GCTCGATGTGCTCGAAGTACTGGATGCGCTCGATGTGCTCGATGTGCTCGATGTGCTCGGTGTGCTCGATGTACTGGATGTGCTCGATGTGCTCGATGTGCTCGATGTACTGGATGTGCTCGATGTGCTTGATGTGCTCGATGTGCTCGATGTGCTTGATGTGCTTGATGTACTGGATGTGCTTGATGTTCTGGATGTACTGGATGTGCTCGATGTGCTCGATGTGCTCGATGTGCTCGATGTGCTTGATGTCGTGGACGCGAGAGCCGCGGCCATAACGTTAGAATTGGCCTGTCCAGGAGAAGCTTGGTTCTTCAGGTAGCACCATGCACCAGTCCAAGATACTGCCTTGCACTGGGCGTTGGCAGAGCAAGCAGCGATACAGGTCTCAAGATCCTTGGTCTGCAGGTTCGAAATGTCGTAACCATAATAATCCCAGCCACAGTGAACGTTGAAGCTTTTTCCACCCGCCGAGTAGGTTGTCGTTCCAGTGTTGCCGTTGGCACAAAGCCCAGTGTGAGAGGGTGGAAGCGCGGCTCCGATAATAGCTGCGTTGCTGGACGGTGAATTGATGGTGCTCTTCATATAGCAGTATGGAGCAGCATAAGCAACGCCAAGGCATTGACTGTTTGATTTACAACCATCCAAACATGCATTCAAGCTCCCAGCATAGAAGTTGCTCAAGTCGCCCCCGGGGTAGTCAGTGCCGCAGGCAATGGTGAAACCATCGTAGACTTTGCCAGATGCACTGGGACAGGTCAGGGTCGCAGCAGCTGCTTTTCTCGCTCCCCAGACACTGTTGGTGGAATAACTGCCGATACCACTCTTCATATAGCATGCGGTGCCCGCGTAAGAGACATCAACACACCCGCTGGTGGCGGCACAAGTGTTGATACATTGCTCAAAAGTCGAGGTCCAAGCTAGACCAAGGTCATTTCCGTTATAATCAATACCGCATTGCACAACGAATCCATTGTAAGACTGGCCGTTGCTAGCAGAGTTGACACAGCTTAGGGCACCGGTGTTCTGGACAGCCGGGGCGGCATTAGCCAGATGAAGGAGTGAAGTAATCAAAACAGTTCTGCGGAAAGACATCTTGACGGTTGGGGAGAGACTTCCGGAGTCCAAAGAAGATTTCTATGTGACACTAAAGGACAACGAAAAGAACCTTCATGTCGCGGACATGCCGTACATTTATAAACCTTCAATACGGAAAGTTTGGTGAAGAAAAACTCCTCATGAGAGACCCCAGGAGGCTCTTCCGGAGGGATTGTGGCCCTGGTTTGGCCGACTTATGCCCTATGCAGGACTGCTATATCTGGAAAGTCTCAGAACATCGGCGGAGGTACCATGGGATTTGTGAATCCGGTCGTCATCGCGCTTGGACCGGCGTCTTCCGACACAATGGATGGACCAATTATGTCATGAATTGGAATCCCTCCACGTGGTTGTGGGCGCTCGGGGTTCTCAAAGAAGTTTGGCAGTGGTTCTAGAGCACTCGGAACCGGAAGGTAGACAGGAATTGAACAGCTCCTTCAAGCAAGTCGAGTCGAGAATCGTATACCATTCGCCGAAGCACTGGAGTCGACGGTACGGCTCGAGAGATCTAAACTGCTTCGATAAGCGAGGGTCGCACGTGGCGCTCAATGGTATCAAATGCAGAGCCGCACAGACGTCTTTTGCTATGCGCAATTTTTTTTTGTACAATAATGACCCGAGAGCGAGGTTCTTCAGCGCACGTACCTCCACTAATCGTCACCACTCCGGAGAGTGGTGCACAGATGAAAAAACGAGTTCTGGACCGACAGGATTCCAAATTTGTGCTGAAATATGTGCAGAACAATGCCTATTCCTGTCGATTCAGCTTTCCATGAGAAACTCTATAGTAATGTGTTGCCCATGTTTGGTACTCCCCTAACGGGTGATACTCTATATACTTTCCGTGGTCTTCCAGCATCCACGACTCCGACCAAGCTGCTCATCTTTGCATGTCAAAGCTCCTCGGAGTCTCGGACATGATTCGGAAAAATGCCCAGCATCATTCGCACAATCAAGGTGTTTCTCCATTTACCTGCCAACAATCGTCTTGATGACTTCTTTTCTTTCAAGGAACCACGAGGCCTCACTTTATTGTGTGTCCGACGAAGTACTCAATCACATCGAAGTGGCAAACCTGCAGCGTGCTAGCCCAAAGATATGTTTAGACTGCGGCACTACCGTGATCCCAGTGCCACCAGAACATTGAAACTTCAACGTCACATTCCACTTTTCTCTTGAGGTCTTGAGGGGAATCGTATGAATTTCTCCCATGGAACATTTCTAGGACTACATTGTAAATGCATAAGCAAGATAAATATTACACCGAGGTCGGCAAACCAAGAAAATCTTGGTGCTGGCACTGTAGACTACACACCCCCACTTGCCGCTTCATCCTTTTCTTCAACCTTGGACACAGTCTCAAAAGGAGCCTTCACAACCACGGCCTGACGTGCAGCGGCTGATGTCTGATATTTCCTCCACTTGCGTACCGGGACCTTTTGCTCGTACATTTCATCAATTTCCGCAAAGGTTCTTCCAGCAGTCTCGGGCAGGAACAGGGAGTAGAAAATCAAGATGCAAACGACACAACCACCGAAGACCAGATAGGTCTTGGCTCCGAGGTTAGCCGCATCCGCAGAAACAAGTTGGGGGACGGCGAATGTGGTGATGACAGCGGTTGTGTAGGCACATGCCAAGGCATATGAAGTCGTCATGTTGCGGAGTTTTGCTGTGGGAATCTCTGTGGGGAGAGTAACTGACAAGCAGTAGAAAGATGCACCCCAGAAGACGTTGAAGATGAAGGATAGTGCAGCAACGCCCATGGCGTAGCTCGACTTGTCCGCCTTGAAAGCCAGCCCACCAGCGATGAAATCAATGGTCAGCAGTACACTGAGGCCTCCGATTGCAATGGTTCGACGACCGACTCGATCCACAATCAATGGCGCAATCAAGGTACCTGCAAGAGTACAGCATGAAGCTGCAATGGTCAATTGGAATGGATTGCCGACACCAAGCGTGGTGAGGAACACCGTAGCGTAGGTGGTTGAGAGGATGACTCCGGAGACCTGGTTGACTGAGTACATAGACCCCGCAACGATAGTGCGTTTGATATTGGCTCTGGTGAAGAGGTCGGTGACCTTGGTTCCGGATGTGAGTTCTCGTTCCTCGTGTAGGGCAAGTTTCATAACTCGTAGTTCATCCTCGACCAGGATGTCGCCAAATGCACGAATCTTCCTCAAGTTGGCACGAGCCTCCTCTTCGCGACCTTTACCCAGTAACCAGAGTGGACTCTCTGGAATGAAAATAGTCAGAGGAATAAGAATGGTTGGCATGATAGCTTGGGCGCCGAGAGGGATCTGGAAAGAAGCGCTGCCGGATCGTGTGTAAGTTGCGTTGCAAACGACAGTCGCAATGACACCAGCAATCAGATTGAAGATATTGCTCGACGTCACTGCGAAGCCTCGATATTTGGCGGGGACGATTTCCGAGAGATACAGTAGAGATACTGTCGTTCCGATTGCAATCATGATGGCGTTGATGAAGCGGCCGACAACAAATGCTCCCAGTACCGGAGCAAAGGTTTGTAAAAACTACAATATGCATTAGCTTGATCATGCAATGAATAAAAGTCAAAAAACATCGATAATCAAAACCACAAGCAACGAGCAAAGTCAGATAAACTTACCGTACCACCGTACGACAGTGAGTATACACCAACCACAACCCACTTCCGGCCAAATCGTGAGGTCAGTGGCGATGCCGCTATAGCACCTAGAATTGCCCCAACCAATGGCAGGCAGAAGACGAGATCTTGATTCCTCGCAGTCAACACAAGTGTACCAGCGCTTGAGTCGCCGCCTTGGAATTTCTCGACCTGCGATTAATGTGTCAGCATGTAGTGCGAGAAGCAAGATACTCCAGGTGAGGAGATGGAGGTGCTCCTACAAATTGGTCCATGGCGGCAACTGGCGAGATAACCTTATCATCGAAGCCGAAGAGGATTGACGTGCAGCCAAAAGCGACGCACGACAGGATGAGCAAAGGATTCCAGACCTTCTCCGACGTCGTCTCAGATGATAGGACAACATTGCGACCATACTCATCGACGTGCTGAACATCGGTGGATGTCTTTTTCTCCATGGCGAAATGATTCCTCTTGGGAGGAGGGGATGTGCGGAGGGTAATTGATTCTTTCTGAACTTTTCGAAGGGCAAACGTTATCGGAATCCCAATCGATCTGGGTTGATCAAGGATTTATATGCATCTCCATAACCGAAGCAAATATCGCTCTGGATCTGCTTCAAAGATGCAAGTCGAGTCTAAATGTTCGGAAAGCGCTCGGCCTAGTCGAGATGTGGTGAAAATTGCTGCACTTCGCCAGGTGGGCTGACAGCCTGCAAAGGAAAATGTGGGTGAGTCGGTGCCCCAGATTCCTCGCAGCCGCCTAGATTGGACTCCATCTGAGCCGAGCACCATCCGAGGTGCTTCCATGCAGCCAATGCAAACCCAGCACTTTGAGATGCTCGGCTAGGGCGTGTCTACTCGCAATAGCAAGTTTAATGAGGCTCCAGACAGGATCCAAGTTTCTCAAAATACCTTGTTGTATTTGATACGCTGCTCGTTATTGCTGCTCGGAGTGGTGCTGGGATCTCCGTGCTGATATTGGAAACTACGAGTAAATGAAAGACTCAACACTTGAGCAGAGGATTCCACGCCGGCGTCATTTGAGCCGAGTAAAGCTGTGGCAAGTTATATTTGAGAATTGTAAAGTGTTACTCGACTGGCTCTTTTGATACATGATGTGATCAGGCGTTGGTAAGGTCACGGTTTTACTTCTCCGATATTGCTAATACCGCCATCCATCTTTTCAGAACATCAGGTCCAATGATATCACCAATTCTCTCGTACTTCCTGCCCCTGCCATAGTTTGTAAACGTGTAAACTGGACCTAATCGTTCCTGATTGTCCGTGTTGAATGGCTCCCAGCCTAATTGACCATGACAGAAGTTGGTGATGCTATCTTGCAACTCCTGAACAGCACCGCTAAGTTCGGCTTGATGTTTTTCTTCGACAAGATCGCCACCCGAGTTGTATTGCAATACTTCGTTGATAGCGTGGCCAGCCTTGCCATACCCGGCTTCCCATCCCGGAAATGGCGATGTTGACTGAAATTCGTAGACGTATATCTTGCTACCAATATGATTGAGCGCCACGTGATACTGTGGAATCCTGAATACTACTTCGGCCACGAACTCAGCCCAGTTTGCAAATTGCTGGGTCGGAGTATCGACGCTGGTGGAAAGGTTATATAGCTCCAGTATCTTTGGTGCAAGAAGGCAGTCTGGTTGTGTCGTGAGACCGAGTGTAGAGAGCACAGAAAATATGGTCGTCCGCATGAACTTGTCCGCGTCCTGGGGAGACATTCTCAACGCTGGGCTCAGTATGCTTAGAGTAAGGTCTTGCTCATAAGAGCAGGAGCCGACCAAGAGCTCCGGAGGATTTTTAGTTTTGAGGTCTGCAAGAGTTCGGCCTGGTATCCATTCTCCATCAATAAATGGAGTGTACCAGACGCCGACGACATCATGCGTCAGAACATTGGCCGGGACTTCCTGGAGGCATTCCACTGTGCTTCCACTTACGGAGAACTTCTGAACGAAGCTATTGAATATTCTCTGATGCCAATCAAGTGGCATGGCTGCTAGAGCAAGTACCGTACCACTGAAGAGCATTGCGCGCTTGAATTTTCGATTCGGAAACAGAGATTGGAAATGGCATGACACAGCACCGGCACTGCCGCCATCTATGGTGATGTTATCTGCATCTCCTCCGAATCCTGCTATGAACTTCGAAACCCATTCTAGCGCTTGTCTCTGATCGTGCAGTCCGTAATTGCCAACTGCTTCCCCGTGCTTTCGATTAAATTCGGTAAGCTCGGTCGATGCGAGGAAGCCCAATGGGCCATGGCGATAGTTGATGCTGACGACGATAACCGGTTTCCCGATGGTCAAACTGCGACGGACAAGATTCGTTGCATCCCATATCTCCCTGCCAGATATTTGTGCGCTGGAGGAGCCAACCATGAACCCGCCGCCATGGATGTAGAATAGTACAGGCATCTTTTGGTCGCCTGTGATCGCCACACGGGGTACCGTAATGTTGAGGTTCAAACAATGGAACTCATCTGGCTTGGGCTCATCTAGTTTCACACCATCCGGCGGTAATGATCCAGACCAATATTGCGGAAATGGAAGGGTTGTTGTCTGGGGACATACAGGCCCTGGATGCCGAGCGTCAAAAGGGTTTTGGGGAAGTTGTAACCGAAGTATACTCTGTCGAAAGCGTGCCGGGATGTCAGCATATGGAATTCCGCGAAACTGTAGAATGTCGTCTGCCCGCCGAATGCCCACCAGAGAGCCAAGCTCTGGATGGACGAATACCTCAGAAGTCATGCTGGGCTTTTCTGGGGTGAATCAGTGCATCAAGTTGCTCGAGTATACTGACAATTTTTGCCGCTGCCGCACTGAGCGCAAGGCTTATATTTCTCGAAACTCGATCTGCAGAGTTCAGATCTTGGTGCGTGCGACGGAACAGGATTGTGGCTTCTCAGTCCGATCTAGCTCATTCAGAATCCCCATACAGGCGACACCGAGAGATCAATTCAAGGATTGACATAACATTAGTCGTCCAAGCAGCCAGCACGAATCAGGCAATCACCCTGGGACGGAGGCACTCGGCTCATGCTCGGAAGCTTCGAAGCCATCAAGCCACCTTACCGACTAGACGATTACCTGCTTTGCCCTCTTTACCCCAGACTCACTCCGTGCCTTTTCGCTGACTAGATAAGCTTGGTATATTAGGAGAACTCGAACGTATCATGTGGCATTCAGATCCTGCATATGTGGATATAGTGAGTACGGAGCAGGAAATCGTCCCTAGGTAGTCAAGAGTCGATCTACGAGGCATCATGCAACGTCCCTCAATGAAGCATACTCTCGACAGGCTTTCTTGAAGCAAGATAATGGGGGCACCGTAGCGACGTGCTCCCAACCTGCAGTCGCCCGCAGTACGTATTGAAAAGTTGTGAACATTACTGAGTCTCTGGAGGTTGGTCGTTCAATTCTAGGAGCTCGAGGTCACACGAAGTGTTGCAGGCTTGTACTTAAAGCACCAGAATTTTCAATCGTCACGCACCACCGCACAGGCCGTCCAGCTGCCATCGCTCTGGAAAACTCGACTAAATACTTGCATCCGTACGTGTCGTGAGGCTCGCCAAATGTCGTGGCCCCTCATTCCCCTCATGGTCCCGCGAAAATGGGGCCTCCGTCGAGGTAAATTTCAAGCTTGGAAACATCTCTGAATGAATCACAATTATGGACTATACCGCGGGTTTATGCCAATACTCTACCGATGTCAATTTGCCTTAGCGATCTAACGAGGCTATCCCTTGTCAATTCCAGTTCCAAAAGTGCCTACGGTTCTGGTGCTTCCCGCATGGCACAAATACAATATAACCAGCAAATGTCATAACGGCACTTTCCAAACATAATAAATTTTCGACAGCATATCCTGAGTAGTCTTTGCCGGGTAAAAATGGCTCCAGCGGAGGGCCGGACGAAGTACGCTTGCGATCAATGTCGCTATCGCAAGATGAAGGTATGTCTGGAAAATCGGCAGTTCCTCCATGAAACTAATGCACCTGCAGTGCGACGGGAGTCATCCTTGTTCACGGTGTCTAAGAATGAAGTTCGGATGTTCTTTCGCGCATGACAGGGTCCCGAGGGCAACCCGAGGAAGGCATGTTAGGAAAATCTTACGAGCCGAACTGACTGACTGATGGGGTTTGTAGACGAGTGGAACTCCTTCGCGTCATGCAAGACTCTCCACAAACACATACTCGTGCTGATGAAGACAGTCAAGAGACTGAGAGCTCGCAACGAGAATCACCAGCATTCACAAGCTCATCACATGTCTCCCATCCGACACCTGATCCAGGAGAAACAATCGCAGGACTCCTTTACACAGCCTCGGCCGATGCCCAGGAGCCACAATCAAACGATAATCAGATCATCGAAGGCACAATCGACCATAGTGTGGGTAGCGATAGCTTCGGCAACGCTGCTCATGCGGCTGAAAGACATCCATCCTGGGTTGCACCAACGCCAGGCGGCTTCCTTGCTTCAGACGTGCTAGCAGCCATTCCTCAGGGGTCAATTGACCATTTAGGACGACTTGACTCGTACGCAAGTGCTGCCACCGCTATCGGGAGTCACACATCTCCGCAAAGTCCATTGGCGTTTGAAGGCAACCTGCGCTCACCGCAGTCCACTATCACGTCGACAATATGGCCGAACCAATACGACGAGAAAGATATATTGCAGTGGCTTGATGTATTCTTCGAGAGATTGCATGCAACGCTCCCCATTGTTGGCAAAGTCCTGTACCGTGACTTCATGTTGCGGCAGCACCACGGAGACAAAGATTTTGCTGCCTTGATTCTATCCTTGTGCTCACTAGCCGTCGTTGGACCAGTCTACCGGAAAGAACGAGACTCTATGGTGGCAAGAACAAGCCTTGCAAAAGATATGCTGGCCTCCGCGGCGAATTTGAGAACGAGCTACGATTTTGGTGAACAACCGAGTCTCGAAGCCACCACGGTCACAAGTTTTTTTATGGTACGTATCATAATGATTGTCTATGAGATGGTTGAAGTTGATTACTCCATAGTTTGCCGCTCTCTTCGCTATGGGTCTTCAGAAAGCAGCTTGGTTGCGATTGAGAGAAGCAGTCGAGTGTGGGCGTCTCCTCGGAGTTCACAAGCCCGAGACATACGAGCAGTGCAGTCCAAGCGAGAAAGGACAAAGGTTGCGCATATTCCTCATACTCTCGGTGACCGAGCGGTAAGTCTAGTGCAAAAGTGGTCTCACCTATTGTCGGGACTTTGAAGCTGACAGGTAGGTGCAGCGGCTATGCCCTTCAGCGAAATCATGATATCAGCTTCACCGGCCAGACTTCTGAGAGAATGGCGGAGATATACCAGGATGTGTTGACAGCAGAACACAAATCTGCGGGTGGTATCGCCATACACGACGACAGTGTCAAATCAACAATGTTAGGCCTACAACAGCTTATGAAGTTGTTTGATTCTGTTGACGAACAAGTCATTCCCTGCTGGAACAACAGTTGCTCTTCTTCATTGTCAAAGTGTGACCGACTTTCTGTTGACCGAGTACAAAAGGTCTTCTCGGCCATCGAAGCAGCCCTCCACTCCCCGGCCGAAGATCGTGCTCTTCGAAACAACCTGAGGCCCGGTAGTTCTATGGCGCTCGATCAGAACCCGGGATCGCAGCAACATTTTCTCACCGATGTGCAATGGGGCGATTGCTACGTCCTTCAGCAATGGCTTCTCATGCGGCTATGGACAGCTTGTTTGACACACGATGCGCTGTCAGAAAGTTCAGATCTGGTCTTTATGCAACCGTCGTACGCGACTGAAATTGCAGATCGCGTACTGGACGAATGCAGTCGTGTAGGCGATTACGTTCTTGAAGTGCACGGCAACGGAATGGTAAGTAGCGGAGAGCCAGTTCACGATGCTCGATCATGTTGCTGATATCTCCCAGATCGAACGTCTTCATGACATTGCCATGGGGGTGTTGATGCGCTTGCAATTTTACGCTGCAACCTCGACACAAATCAGCATTCAGAAAGCTCAAATGATACTCGACCGATATTTCGAGCTGCTCTGTCGGCTAGGAGGTGATGAGCATCCATGTGCAGCTGCACTGCGACGAGCCTATGAGTTATCGCATTGAAAAATCAGAACATTCACGACGGTAGGATAAGGGCAATTCTCTGCTTGTGGCACAACATCAGGGCTGCACTCCCGCATCTTCGGGCTTGGGCGGTCCGTGATCCAACTAAGGTCAATGGTCCCCACGGGCATCTCCATAAGCCTGGCAAAAATCCAGCGAGACTGCTTCCGAACGAACCGAGCATGTCCGACTACCTTCCGACGAATTTTGCAAGTGGCCTGGCACCTCGTGAGGCTTCCTCTGTCCCTTGCACTTCATGCTCCGCTCACCAATTTGCCTCAGGAGCGACCCAAATCAACAAGCCCGTCACTTAGTTCCACCAGGCAGCATTGCAATTTGTATTTGCACCATGTCCCAACGCCTCCCTCTGGACTTTATCATTCAAAGCACTGTCGACCACCTTTCGAAAGGTCGAAGGGATCTTCAAATTGCCGTACATCTAAGCTAATCGTACCTCGATTCGTGTCAAAGCCGACGCCAGACGCCAGACAACAATGAGCGCTGCCGACCAAATTTCATTTCTCGATGAAAGACTCATCAGCAGTCATGCGCTCTCAGGCGACAGAGTAGAGGACCAAGTTGACACGGCGAGTTCAGTCAGAAGCACAGAGGTAACGGATCAGGAATCAGCAACCGCAGCCTCAAGCACCTTCAGTTCCAGGCCGTCGACACCGCCTTCAGAAGCTGGCTTCCGGAGATGGCGACCAGGCTACCATGTCATTGCCTCCCGCGGTTGGCTGAATGATCCTTGTGCTCCAGGCTACGATCCGCAAACGGGCATCTACTCGTTGGGCTTTCAGTGGAATCCTTATGACTACAAATGGGGTAACATGTCTTGGGGATCGACCGTTTCCACTGATTTCGCGAATTGGCATGTCTCGGAAAGCCCAGCCATGGAGCCTACAAAGACCATGGATCAGTGTGGTGTTTTCACGGGCTGCATGCTCCAAAAAGACCACATCACAGACGATACCTCAGAAGCCGTCAAGGGTGACTTTACAACAAATATCGCATTCTACACATCTGCTCAGAAGTTACCCATTACGTTCAAGCAACCTTACACTCGTGGAAGCGAGCAACTGCATATGGCGACTTCGACCGACAATGGCCGTTCATGGACGAGGGCGGAGAGCAACACCATTCTGTCCGAACCTCCAACCGAGCTTGGAGACTCAGTCAGAGGTTGGCGAGATCCTTTCGTGGCACCCTGGAAAGCTTTGGACAGGGCTTTAGGCAGGAATCACTCGCAACCCGGGCTTTACGGCATCATATCCGGTTCAATACATGGAAAGACGCCTACGGTATTTCTCTACGAGCTCGACAGAAAGGACGTACGTTGTTGGAAGTCTCTCGGCCCGATAAATGATATACCTGTAAACTTCTCCCCGTCGCCTTGGTCAGGAGACTTTGGTGTCAACTGGGAAGTTGCAAACTTTGTCGATTTGGTCGATCCGGACGGCGTGGCATATTCGATTCTCATCGTTGGCGTGGAAGGTGTACAGACTCGTCCTGGAGACCCTCTGAGAAGCGAGCTTGTCAGGGAACATAAACAAATGTGGATGTGCGGCTCGCTGGAGCAGCACGGAAAAGGCGTACGGATGCAGTACAACTTTGGCGGAACTCTGGATCACGGGTGCTACTACGCCTCAAACGGCTTCAATGATCCCGTCACCGGCAATTTTGTAACATTTGGGTGGATTTTTGAAGAAGATCTTTCGCCAACCCGGGTTGCCCAACAAGGCTGGAGTGGATGCCTGTCGATTCCGAGGGTGATTTCCATGAAATCCCTGAATTATGTCACAGCCGCTCTGAAGACCAACATCGGCGATATCAGCAGCATTGACTCTTTGGAAGACAATGGCATACATACCTTGAAGGTCCTCGGGGTCACACCCGATCCACGGTTGGCTCTGTTGAGGAACCTCGAACTTCACGTCGATATCACAGATCAAGTAACCTGGTTCGAGGAAAGTATGAAGCGGCACTTCGAATTTCAAGCCAGCTTTGGGGTTACAGACTCCAGCATTGTCGGTGTGGATATTGCTCATGACGAAGGTATGGGACATGAAGCCGCGGCAGATGTACGAAGCAGATACTAACCTTGATTGTAGACTTTGCGACCTTCACTTCAATTCTCTTTGACCCTGCTGAAGAGACTGTGACTATTGACCGAAGTCGATCCACGACCGACACCGAAATCAACACATCTCCTGAGGAGGCCAAGCATACCCTATTCTCATTCGCCGACGGGACATCCGAAACCCTGGATTTACGTGTCTTCTACGACGTCAGTGTGCTCGAAGTCTTCGTCAACGACAGGACGGCGATTGCTACGAGAATCTATCCGCAGAGTAGAAAGTGTTTCGGAGCACGGTGGATTCGGTCCAACTCTACGGGACCGTCGTCTGACAATGATGGTCACCATCCTCAACAGCAGCTTACATCGGAGTATGACGCCAGAAATGAACAGCCACAAGGATCAATGATCCAAGGCACTTTCTGGTCATTGAGAGAGTCCGTGCGGTTTAACTGAGTTAAAGGCTTTCCATATCTTCTGTCTTTCGACATAGACAACCTAGAGTATCGAAGTATCAGGGTTTGCAAAGCCCTGTGCTTGTTTGTAAATTTCTATATTTCAAGTCCATGACTTCTGTATAGATGCTTCTTGATTTGCTCCCACACTTTCTTCGACAAACTGTAGTACACACTATCAACCCACTCCCCGCCCACTTCCCACGTTTTCTCCTCAAATCCGACGTCCACGAATCCCATACGCTCGAGAAGCGATAGACTCCTTCGGTTTCGTGGGTCTACATCCGCAGTGATCTCTACCAGGTTCCGACTCGTGAAGAGATAATCCAGTACGCCAATCATGGCTTCGCGTGCGAGTCCATTTCCCCAGTATTGTCGCGAAAGGAGAAATCCAATTTCGCTGTCCTGCCAGATTCCAATTTTGCCAATAGCAGGGCCGTCGTTGGACAAGGCAATCACAAAATCCGTGACCCCGTTCTGAGGCGACAATATCATCTTCGACAGCCATTTTGAGGTTTCCTCCTTGGAAGTGTGTGGAGTGGTGCTCCTGCGTCACGGCGGTGAGCCCAATTCAGACGTAATCACTGATTACATCCTCGGGAGCTCTCAAAAAAAGGCAAGATTCAAGAAAAACGTAACGAGACCAACGTACCAGTACTTCATAACCTCTGCGTTGGAAAACGCCCCGTACAAGGAATCAACGTCATTTTCTTGAGCCGCACGCAGGAGAAGGCGTGATGTCGAGATCTCTACTCTGCCGTTGTCGACAGCGGTGATTGTGAGTACCTGCATCATCGCATATCAGATCAGATAAGGCCTGAGCTGCAAGAGTTGTTTGGCGATGGCGTTGATTACGATCATTTGACCTTTCTGTAGATGGAGTGAGATTCCATTCGGTACAAGCCACAAAAAGACGGAGATTGAAACCGAAATGCATCCATAGTCGCCAAGAATTGCACGTTTGACTTAAGCTGACCGTGCAACCAATTACTGCTAGAAACTTCTTGATATCTTGCAAAACTCCTGAAAGACCACAATTACAACGAGTTTTGTTTTTCAACCCTCCGTTCTACCATCGCAATCGGTCATAGGTTGAGGAATACAGGGCTTCCCGTCCGCTCAGCCGTTCTTAAGCCTCAAGCCGGTGTCTTAGTAGTGTGGTCGGTGACGACACGCGAATCGACACTACCGATTGTTTTTGTTTTTGTTCATTTTCTTTTTCTCATTTTTTGGTGCACTATGCTCCAACTGTGGGATTTCACTGGCGCCTGATAAGCCTCGCAATGCTCTGACTCAGCTGTTTGATACAGCAAGAGTGAGTCTTTTTTGGGTTGAGAAGTTCAGAATGCTGACCTTCAGTTATTGAAGTGCTTACGAATGTAATCAAAAATCCAGGTTCATTCATCTGTGGTTGAACATCACCTGACATCTCACGCAACGCCCGCCTCAATGACAGCCTCACTAATCGTATCTCCTGGCCAGAAGATATTGGTTATTTTCAGCCCAGCTTTCTCCAGGTACTCCCGGTGGAGGAGGAGGGTGCGCTCCATGCCTCCTTGCACGCTCATCAGATTGAGATCTTGGACCGTCATGAATTTGGACGGAGCCGACTCTGGTACGATCCACTCATTGATGATCAGCCGTGAGTATCCAGGTTCCATTGCCTTGCAAATTTGTGTGCAGATTTGCACATTCTTCTCTTGAGACCAGTCATGCGCGATGTAACGAAGGTAATAGCACCGAGCTCCTGAAGATCACATCAACTGGACGAACCATCGACGCTCTCTGACGACTGACTTACCTTTGATGGGTTGCTCAGCGAAGAAGTCATGTTCCATGTATTCGATACCGTCTTTTGGAGAAGCCGGAAGACCTTGTACTAAGTCCTGAACGACGAATCGCCCTGGCAGTTGCTGGAATTTGTGCTTCAGCTCTGCGGCCTGATGACCATAACCTCCACCAACATCGACTATCATAACAGCACTAGCATCTTGTTTGGCCTCCCTTCCCAGTCTTTCCATCACGGGGTAAAATTCTGTCCAGCTCTTGTGTCCATCGTTGAAATTTGTCATGTATACGTTGAATGCTTCAAGCACTCTCGACGGTGCAGCCTTCATGATTTGGAACAGTGATTTTGGAGAGCCGTCTCGTACATGTGCCTTACTTAGCGCCGTGATAGTCGCACTTTCCGGGTTTCTCCAACCATTCTCTTCCAGGTATGAGGGAAGACAGAGCCATGACGGCGTAAGAAATTCCAGGCAGAATATCATGGCCGCTTCATTGTCTTTCTTGGTGAATGCTCGAGACACTGTGGAATGATCATAACAACTCGTCCCAGTTTCCTCAACCGCTCCAAATGCCGTCAAGCATCGCAGCAGTCTCCCTACCAGGACTGGATCTGCATTGCAGCCCAATGCAATATCGTCAATCGAAGTCGGTCCATCCTTGAACGCAGCAAAGAGGCCCATTCTCATGGCGGCACTGATGGCAACGGTTTCCATGACCTTTCCGATTGTGTCAAAAAAAGGTTTTCGAGCTTGATCAACATCAAGAATGACAGAACAAGACACACCTGATAGCAGACACGATGGACAACGTTGTGGTCTCTCTCCAGTGAAAGGAGAAATCTTCGCGATTCGGCGAGAAGTTCTTCTCGCATATCAAAGTCTCCTTCCGTTGGAGGGGGAAGTGACCGGCGAAATAGTTGCAGCTGCTTGAGCACATCCTGGGCGGTGATATGTGACATGGTTGAATGTAGCTTTCTCCTTTTCGACTATCTCTTGAAATTTCCAGAAAAGTTGGAGGGATTCCCCCGTCCGACAAGTAGTCTTCGTTGAGACCTCGAAAAATAGTGAGGTAAGGGAAACATACCTTTTATATCTTTGCCATCCAGGCCAATCTCCCCACTACTTAAAGAACATCATTCGTTCCAAAGCGCAGCATCTCCGACCCCTAAACATGACTCTGGTATTGTACGAGACCGTCTTGCTCCACACGAGTCTTAGGGGATTCGGGGACTAGTGGCACAGGCAGTATTTCGCATCTGCGGATTGGTCAGAGGTGGTCTTTTTGATTTCCAAAGTCGCTCTTTAGCGTGGTCATCAGTACGAAATCATCGACATGATTGGCAGAAGTCCATACTAAACTGCTACATATGCTTAAAACAATCGAACATGTACTTGGAAAGATGTGATGACAGGAGCAACGTAAACGAGGAATATACTTAGACTCGAAGACTTTTGATGTGGACTATCATGTCAGGCAAGCAAATGTCTAACCAGTCTAGGAGAAGTAAACTTGGGTAGCTTTTGTTGAGGACGCAACGACATTTTCCGTAGCAGAACAACACGATGGACTAACTATGCAGTAGAACCAGCCTACTGTCCATACACTTTGCAAACACACGTTCTTCCAGTTGCGCGAATCAATCCATGATACCCAATAAGATCCATCGAAGCGACTATCGGCCACAATCGATATGGACGGGACGGTAGCGTGGTGCTGGAAGAGTATGCAACGTCGACGGTCTGTCGTTGGGTATAAGGCGCCCGAGTAAACACCACGGTCATTTTCCCAGGTTTAGTGAGATCTGACTCCAGAACACGAACACGGTGACTTTCCGTGATGTCACCGCACGTCCGCGCAATTGCTGTCCCCTCTTCCTCCAGCTGAATGACGGCATCTACCAGGACGGCTGCAGAGCATTCATCCACCTGTCCACACTGACGATGGTGCATGCGTATCAGCTCAGCCGCCCTTCTGCGCATCATGGGATCACGGCAACTCATCCCAAGAAGCCACAGAGGCGGCAGAACTCCTGGTAACATGCCAAATCCCATGTCATTGGGATCTTTAGAATCCAGATACATCTCTCTGTTTTGACAGATGTCGTAACATGTCTGGAACATCTTCTCAAAGTCTTCAATGTGTTTGTCCCACACGGTCTCGTCTCGATAACGCTGGCACTGCAACGCGACTGAAACCATGTCGTAGAAGACGTGTAGGAGACGAGCATGTAGTTGTGCTCGCACAGGCCAGGAGCCAGAGTTGCGAGAATACTGCAAGAGCTTGACATGCCACCTTTCCCACAAGGGTAGAGCCTGCAGCTGTGCCACGGCGTCGATATGTTCCGGAGGATGCTTGCTGAAGAAATACATCCACAGTTCAATCATTTTCCCGCGGGCTTCCAACAAACTTGTGAAATCCGAAGGAAGTACAGGCGGCTGGTATTCTAAATCTCCAACTTGTACAATATCTGAGACGCTGGATCGTGAAAAGATTACCTCGATCCCCGCAAAGACTGGCTGTATGTAGTGACTGATGATGTGGTCCTCTGATGAAGAAGAAGGCGATCTATAGTTTTGCAGGTTACGTCTCCATTGTCTTAATATGCGGAGTCCGTTCTGCAGATGCAGCGAAGCAGCTTTAGGAGACTCACGGAAAGTTTCGAAGCCCACGAAGACAAAGCATGCCAACATCATCACCAGGACAGAGGGTTTGACTGTGGTGTCTCCCAGGAGGCGAAGAGTGCGCCCATAAGATCGAAGTAAAGTGGCCTCAAGTGACCCTCTTTGATCGACGGGTGCATGAGCAAGTTCTTGTGCACTGGCTATCGCAAGAACCGCTTGTTCGATCGCTGGTTCAGTGTGATAACTCTGTGGCAGGAGGTGTTGAAAAACATACAAAGCCTGTGGACTTGGATTGACATATAAGAATGACGGGATCGTGTTCTCCCGAAAGTATTGGAACCCGCGTGACGTGACGTGGTCAGACCTAGGCGAGGAAAGATGCAGGGGTAACGAGGGCCTTTTAGCAGGGCAATGTGGTGGAGGGCGTTCTTCGGCCATGGAGTCGCTGGCCGGGTGCGGCCCGGCATTCAAACGGATGGCAAGTGGTTTCGTTGTATGCCCATCTCTAAACATATCCATGCCTTTCTGTGATCCTTGAATTTTTGATGCACGGTCAGGAGAACTGCCGCCTTTTGCCAAACCACCTCGTGTCTGACCGGACTCAAAAACCCACGCGCGATCAATGTATCCGGGACAAATTACTCCATACTTGATACATCGAGCACACTGTGGTCTTTCTCCGGTACATTTGATGTGTCGAGCCCTTGTACAGAAGGTTAGTAATTAAGATGCCTGGCGTCTCGAGAATAGACTACTCGCGTACCTCTAGTATGCACTCAAGTAAGCAAGGTTCACGATCATTACTAGAAGCATGACAAGCCGAGGCGACAAAGCGCTGCCTCGTGGATCCGGCAGGGCCATCTCGCAGATGATCAAGACATTGAAGAATAACACTTACACATGTTGCGCATCCCGTATTGGTTTTATGGTGGTGCTTCTTCCGAACATATGCATCCTCCACCTGTGCTTCCTGAGTTGTCGACATCGACGTGGAATCCATATAGTATGACCGGTGTCATCTCTGATTTACCGCAGATAGGTTTTCATGGCATGGACCCTTCAAAGAGGTCTCTCTTCTGAAGTAGATGTCGGCAGAGCGAGGAGCTGAAGATGTCTAGCCCTACTAGAGACTGTTTCGTGTCGAGGCATTATTTTCCACCAATCCGGTGGCAATCAAAGACGGGCTGACGGGACGCCTGAAATACCCCAGATCACATGTCAAGCACCACATCAACGTCAGAGTAATCAGCAGTGTCGGCACAAATCTAGCGATTGTTGCAAGGTCTGACCTTGTCTATTCATAGGTCCGATCTCTATGCGCCCAAGAGTTAAGACGACATTCTATGATACTCAGCAGACCACGACAATCCCAGATCTTCACCACCTTTAGTCCAGCCGCTTGGACAATCCGCTCGTATTCCTCTGGACTCCTTTCTTTTCCCTCTGTCATTGCCATCATGTTGAGATCCATCGCATGTGCAGTATTCATAGCACAACCATAGTTCGCCAGGAGCGGTTGAGGTGCCGCTCGAATCTTGTCACTAGCCAGCGTGGTAGTCATCAAGATCTCAGCTATGAGTACCACTGAATTTGAGGTCATTGAATCACGGATACTGGACAAAATGGGGACGGCATCAACATCATCCCAGTCGTGCCTGGTAAGAATATTTATCAGATGAATGCACAAATTCTCCATTAATCTCAACGTACAGGATGTGTCGTAGCCAGTATATCTCTGCGCCGGAGACAGGGCTCTTCTGGAAGAAGTCGTGAGTCATCAACTTGGCTGTTCCTTGAGAGACCGCTTTGGGATATCTCTCCTTCCATACACTGGCTGCTTGTTCAATGACAGGTGCCTTATCTTGAACGATGACTTTGAGGTTTGGATGCGTGCAATGCAACTGCATGCAGAATGTTCCTAGACGACGTCAATCCGTCTGCGAGCTCACTCGCCTTGGACGAGCTGACCAATCCCCCCTCCAACATCGACTATCGTGGCTTCGTCACTCAAGTCGATCCAAGGGTAATCTTCGATACAAGACCGATCCTGAGCCCGGCCAAGCCCACCCATTGCAACGTTAAACAAGCTTTTCTCGGGACGAGGCATCACAAGCTCGCTCGAGCTCTTGTATTCATGACAGGTCTCCATGTAAAGTTGGTCATACTGCTGCGGCGTCGGAAAGCGCCAGTCTATGTCATGCTCCGGTAATCTTTGATGTAGCCATTCAAAGAAAGACAACTTTGTCCGTGCTGCCATCTGGAATGCGTTCGGGCTTGATCTGTCTCCATCATGATCAGGACTGGTTGACAGTGCGGTCGGAAGAAAGTCGCTTGCTGCATATTGAATTTGGCCTCTGAATGATATCAAAATTCTCCTTGATTTCATTGGAATGGAAACAAATTCGCTACGTACCTCGTAACGATCAAAGCTCGGAACTCGAGATCATCCGCCAGAACTTGCGAAATATGATTGTTTGCAAAATGATCGTCCTGGACTTCAGCAAAAAATGTGGTTCGAAGTCAATACCCTCATGAGTCTGCCTACATTTAGTAAGCTTCGGCTACCAGTTGAGTAAGGCCAGGAACAGTACGCAATTTTCCGGCCTGGATGCCGCTTATTCGAGCCAGCTCGCTACTGCAAAGACCTTCTGGACCAGCTTGTGCGAGTGTTGCGGCAATATTCTTCTCTGCGACAATATGCAATGTTCTGGAACGCAAATACGACATGAATAAGTCCAGGAGGAAGTCATGCGGATCGATAATCAAACTCTCCAACGAACCCATTGCCGCACGAATGACCTTGACGGCATCGTCTTGCGTTCGTGATGTAGCACCCGTGGAACCGTGTGTGACATGGTGATGAGCACTTTCTCCGCGAGTCCTGTCGCGGTCATCAATCAACGTCTCGACAGTAGTTGAAAGCAATCTGAAGATGCTCTTAATACTATCTACAGAGCTGGCGGGAGAAAGGGCCGACATGTTTCTTCGAAGATCCGTCAACTCGACCAAAGCGATAATCACCTGCACCTGGGTTCAATATTGAGTTATAACCCGGGGTAGACAAGGAGGACTTATCACGACAAGCTCATTTAACGAAAGCTGCGTTCATGAATCGACTCCAAACTTACCAGGTCACATCGACAATCAAGACGCCCACAACATGAAGCTGGCTTGGTTTTGACTGCGACGGCAAGGAGCCAAGCAGGGTCGGCGAAGTATACGTCTCGATCTGAATAAAGTCAAATTGGCAGTAATGTCACTCTGACATGACCCGGACGCTCGCCGTAATTTATATTTGTTTATCTTGACATAAAATTGGTAGACTAATGCCGTCGAGAATTTTCGGAGCCCGACAGAGGGAGTCTGGGCCGTCGGAGACTGTCCGGCTTGTGGAACTTGAGTTATTGTCTTCGTGAAATGATTTGAAATCCCAAGATAGCCGTAATAGATCTAGTGTCCAGCGAGTAAAGGTCGCTGAGAGCGATATATACGGCGTGTGTCCGATACTAGAAACATAACAGTCGTGTGGAATCGATACTATGAGGCGTGTTGTGATCGTGGGAGCTGGGCCTTGCGGCCTGGTGGCATTGAAGGAAATGCTTGAACACGGTCACAATGTCATGATTTGTGAACAAGAGGACAGACTAGGTGGTGTCTTCGCCAGCGCTGTGGCTTACCCGAATCTTCACCTAACAATCACAAACTGGGCAATGGCATTTTCTGACTTCCCTGATCCTTTGAGGCTGCGGTATTCAACCGCGGAAGAATATCTTCAATATTTGCAAGCCTACACAGACCACTTCAACCTTGAACCTCACATTCAATACCGTACAAAAGTCACAGCAGCAAAGTTGAGTTCCAAAGGCTCATGGTCTCTGCATGTACGGCGAACACTCGGTGAAGAGGTGTCCGAAGGCAACATGGAGGCAGATGCACTCATCGTGGCGACAGGTGCGAGTCAGTATCCGAAAGCGATACCTCGTGAACTCGCCGGATATAATGGTCGGATAATTCACTCCTCCCAGTACGATGAAACATTCAAACGGGATGTCGCAGACAAGTCGCTTAGAGTACTGGTCATTGGGGGAGGAGAAAGTGGTGCCGATATTGCAGCTGAACTCGGTGACTTATCGCCCAATGTGAGTGTCTGGCTGCGGAGACCACTCTGTGTTGGGCCACGGTACCTCAACAAACGTGATGAGTTGGAACAGATTCAGATGAACAAAACAACAGACTTTCCTGCGAATGGGTTCCTTGAGGCGGCAACGACATCGAGAATGAGTGCAGGGCAGAATGTGTTAGCATACGGCATTTTCCGAAGAATATTATGGCAAACTCCCGTGCTGAACAACACTTTGTCGCGCATGTGCTTGGATAGCACTAAATCGGCCTTTCTTCGTAATGATCAAGCAACCTATGTTACCAAGAACCAGCGGATGTGTGAAGCATTACACAATGGCAATATTCAAATTCAACTCAGTCGCAACATTTCCTCAACAGGGAGATATTGTACCTTCCACAGGCAGGATGGCACAACGGAGACCCAACAATTTGACGCAATAGTGCTCTGTACTGGATATCGAGTAGAATTCCCATGGATTCAGTTCTCAGAAGGGATCTGTTTGTCATCCAATCCACGGTCATGGTTTCTGCATTGCTTTCCGCCCAACTTAGGTCATTGCCTCTTTTTCGTTGGCTATACAAGACCTCATCAAGGTGGCATTCCGGTGATGGCCGAAATGCTGAGCCGCTATATAGCGTTGCTGATGACTGGAGCTCGAAGGCTTCCTGTCGATTATACGGCTCAAGCACATATCGACGCCAAAGCCGAGCGGGAATATTACCACTTGAGCCCTGATCTCGACACGTTGGTCGACTACAATGCCTTCTTGGAAAGTGTGGCTCGTCGAATTGGTTGCGAGCCTCGATTGCCTTTGCTCGCAACAGCTCTTTTCAACATCCACATGGCAACAGTGATTCTGCTTGTCGCGCAAATCCTCATATTTGACACGACTTGGTCGAGTGTGCTATCCAGTGTTCTCTTGTGGGTATTGTCAGTTATTGGATTCTTCATACTCGACAATGGAGTATTGCTCAAATGGTGGTTTTATCCACATTGGGCTGTGTGGTACCGGCAACGAGGCCCTGGTGCCAACCCCAAATTGCTAAAGCAAATGCTGGCGCGTGTTAATTTGTGGAAATCAACAGCAATTACTCGTGGCTTCGTTCTCCTCGTCCTTTGGTCAGTGCCGGCATACTATGTACAACGGCTCACGACCATCATGCTTCTCGTCACGAAAGCAATGTTGGCAACATTTGGTATTCAAGTTGAGCGGTATTGGGGAGCCCAATTGCTTCCAAAGCTCTACTCTTTGCATGATTGTCCAGCGCATTTCTCGGACATTTTCTTGCCGTGAGAATTCAGCAGTCGAGATTCGGACAATCTTAAAATTCTGGAGAACCATATTGCGGATATAGTCCGGACATCAGAAAGGAGAATAGTACTTGAGGGATCTTTTGAGATCACAGGAAAGCCATTTCCCGAACCAAGCTCGACTTAACCCATCCTCTAGCGAAATTTCTCCCGGTCCATAAGATAATAGTCATCCACCAGACTCTTCCCACGGTTGAGTCATACCACATTCGACCAGGAATTCCTCTTTTTTGTCTTCTTTTCTCGACTATCTGTACGAAGGCTCCCTCAACGACGACGGCAACCCCGTTCAATGCAAAGAATTTCGCCTCACCAGTAGCCATCTGCCAGTCTCCAGCCAGGACTCCACGGACTGCAAAGCTGTGGACAAATGCACTGCTCAAGAAAGCTCCGAGGACCTTACCAATATCGGCCGGCTTGTCGCTACTTCTCCCCAACAATCTGCGTTCGATCCACTCCCCAGGCCAGACGCCGTATACCAGGAAAAGTCTGGCAAACAGCCGATGCCAGCCGAAGCTCCAGAACTTGCGGACACTGGTAACATCCCATGGTCTCGTGGTGTACAGAGGTGGAAAGAAGGCGAACGGGCTGGGTCGCAGTGGGTGCAGTATAATGGCAAAGAGTGAGTGCCCAAAAGAAAAGGCACCCATCAAGAAAGCTCCAAGAGCGCCAGTAAGCTGCAATTGCACAATGATAGGAAGTCGGCCGTCAAATAGATCGTAGGCAGAATATGTCTCCCATGGAGCGTCTTGAAGGGGCAGAACATATCGCGAGTAAATGGTCCTAATCATGGCCCAGCTCACGAAGAGGACCGGACAAACGTGGACAAGAATGCTGTGAATGCGGTTCCGTACAGTAGGGAGCCATGTTTTCTTGGTATGTCTGATGTCTGCAGTGGTCCAGGTGAAGCCAACACCTCGCATGGAAAGCTCAAGTTCCAGAGCCCATGCAGCACGATCCGCGAGAGTCGTAGGCCAGCCAGTCTCTGTCAGGGCCGTCTCGTAAACGGGAATAGGATCTGGTCCAGAGAATGAATTGCGGAAAGCACGTATCGTGGAAACTGTCAGCGACGCGCTTCCCTGTTGAAGGCTGCGGTTCTTCGGGATGGGAGCATCATCAGCTTTCGGCGTGTGTATTGTATGCTGTGAGGATTTTGCGGCATGTTGAAAAGGGTCGGATATTCCTCCATTTGTCCATTGCTTTGCCAGCTCTTGTAACTCCGACTCTTTCCGCTCCAGCCTCAGACGGTGATGGTACTTGACTCGGCGTGGTATGTGATCGAAAAGGTAAGGACTGATGAAAAAGGCATCGAGAACTCGGCAGCCACCATATAGGCCGACAAGTCCGAGTTGATAGGTAAGGCCAATGCTTTGAGGAACATGGTAGACAAGAGGAAGGCGGAAAAAAAGGATACCTGCGGTCAGCGCGAGTATGTTTCGAAGTACCTTGACGGAGAGTCGATCAACAATGGGAGGAGGCGACGGGGCAAGGAGGAGAAGAGCAAAGAAGTAAAGAAGTGGTGGAAGGATTGCAGCGAGTAAAGTGAGAGGTTTACTGCCAGGGATGGGATGCAGGCCTTGACGAGGCGTTGTCTCACACAGGGAATCCTGCAGGTTCTGCCACCACTCTGTAGTCATGCTCACGCTATGAAGCCGTAGCAGGGTATATCATGTGGAGCATGAGCACGTCTTGTTGCGCATTCGAGCACAGTTCTCTTTTACCAAAGGCGTGTGGCCGTGTTGATATTCACATCATGGATGACGTTGCGTTAAATGTTGACGAGCTGCAATTTGACAATAGTAACGATGCCAGGTTCTTGTCAGAAACAAGGATCTGTTTGTGACAGTCTTGGTCATCGGCTGAGAGGCAATGCGAAACACGAAATGCGAAGTTGCCTGGGTCCCCTATGTTCGCGGCTTGATGACCATTCACTGCTGTTCTGAACGGAGTACGAATTGCACTGTTTGTGAGTGTCACGTGCAGCACACTCTCTCTAAGGTAAAAGCTCCTCTCTTCGAGTCTCCTTACAGTGTCATCTCTACTACGAGTAATGGTGAGTCTCGCGATGCGTTCTAGTTCGCAGCAGCATCATGTTGTTTGCCTTGCCGCCTCATCAGCCTTGCAAAAAATCCGGATCTGCGGTGATTGAATTTCAGCATGGCAGGGATTCAACAAAAGACCGTTACATTTCCCTTCGTCGACGTCCATCCTCCCACCAACCACCGATGCGCAGTTGATAAGAAGGACTCGCTTATGCAATCGAAGCCTGGAATCGAAGCTATGGAAGCCGGCTGAAGGTGATAAGGCGGGCACCAGTCACCAAGGCAGCCAAGGCAACCCATCCCGTGTCTCGTTGCTTTTTCCAGCGGACGGTCGGGCGCAGTTACTTCATCGCCTTATTAGCCCTCGCCCTCGACCTTGGCTTCGACCTTGACCTCGCTTCCCTCTTAATCGTCGTCCAAATGGTCGCCCACGGTACATAAAAAGACAAGACCCTTCTGGCCGTTATGCGCACCCTCTGTCCGACATTACTATGCTTTTTTTACGCCTGTTCTTCTTGAAATGGCGGTCAGTGCCCTAACGCAACGAGAATCCACAACCCAATATGGGATTGCGGTCGAGAAACAGTCGTTCGATGGCCAGTATAGTCCCTCCTCAGTCATCGTCACGATCAGCGTGGCTCTCGCCCTCTACAATTCTCTCGAAATGGTGCTATTGATCTTGACCACATTCAAGAGGTGGAGAGGCTTATACTTTTGGAGCCTCACTCTTTGCAACTTTGGCGTCTTTGCCTATACCATCGGCATGATGCTGGGTTACTTCCAACTCTGTATCTTGTGGCTGAGCAAAACTTGGCTTGATGTGGGATGGATGAGCATGATTATCTGCCAGTCTCTTGTGCTGTACTCGCGACTTGGTTTGATCATTGACAATATCAAAATCTTGATGGGCGTCAAATGGATGATCGTGATCAGCAGTTTCGTCTTTCTCGTGCCGACTGTGGTCTTGGACTTTGCTTGCACCTACTCAAAAAAGCCATCGTTCTCCGAGGCATATTTCTACATGGAGCACATTCAGATGACGGGTATTACCATACAGGAGTTGGCCATTTCCAGCTTATACCTTTGGAAGACGTCCAATTTGTTGAAGGTGATCTCCAAAGCAAACTCACGCAGTATGGTGTGGCAGCTTTTCACTATCAACGTGGTTATTATCGGCATGGATGTGAGTCTAGCCTCCTCTGTTGATGCGATTACTGACGAGCACCAAGATTGCCCTCATCGTCCTGGAGTATAAGCACCTGCAGCTTTATCAAGAAAGCATCAAGGCCTTCGTCTACAGTGTCAAGCTAAAGCTTGAACTGAACATCCTGTCCAAATTGGTAGACCTTGTCAATAGAGATTCGATCAGCAGGTCCATGACCTTGGATGTGATCAATCCAACGACATTGTCAGGTCAGGCACAGTCAGAGATACGAGGAGAAATGGCAGAGTTGGGACATTTCATGAGCTCGACATCAACCGATGAGAAGGGTCGCCCAACACATCGCCTCAGCAGCTGTACGAATGGTCGTGACTTCGGCGATCCATTTACTCAAAAACCCACTGACGGCGAACAAATCACGACTGGTTCGTCACACGATTCGAATTCGACCCAACCAACTAATAGAAAGAGATCTGATGACTTGTACGCGGAGGCTCTTCGTACCTTGACGTGAATTTTTCAACTTTATCCGTAAATTCACATCTACGCGAACGTCAATACTATTTTTTGGGTTTCCCAGACATGGTGATATGGATTTCTTTCCTTTCGTGATCTAAGACATCTGGTGATACTCGGGATGACCTTGTATTTCTCGTAGCTACTGGGATCAAATTAATGTTGTGGTGTACGAGATAGTGCTGAATGAATCGTTAGCAGATTATATATATTTAAGGATCGTACGGATACATTGCGGCAACTGCGCCGAGGTCAATGCAACAACATTCCATCTCGCGCTCAGTTACACAGACATTCTCCGACATCATTATTGAAATCCAGTCTTCTAAAGGCCCATGCCTGTTGGGTGATCACATGTTTCATTTGTTTCGATTCATTGCAGCTCCCAAGCTCATAGTGATGCCCTGAATATGTTGAGTGGCACCCACTCCATCTTCATCCTTGATCCGTACTACTCAAAGACCGAGCACACGAGGCTATATGAAAACGCCAGAGACGTCCCAGTGGCCGTCCTTCGTCTTTCCACGAGTGGCACAACCTGCATCCCGAACACACAAGATCCTGTGAGTGGTCCAAAGAGACGGAAGCTGTTCGGAGTATGAGAATGTTGGACAGTGCCGAGCAGAAGCTGCACCAAGATTACTCGATGATAATGTTGAGGTCTTATGAATTGTCGGCTTAGCCTTACACCTTCCAGCATACTCCTCCACCCCCCTTAACCCCCCAGACTTTCCTCCTACCATTTGGTAGCTACGAAGCGCACTCAAAGTTCCGTGACGGTCCACGTCTACGACAGGCTCCCCGAGTTCGAACTGACTTCACGCTTTACTCAACCGAACCGACAATGGAGATCGAGTGCATCAACAGAGGCTTGCTTTCCATACACCGTGACAGTTCAACATGAATTTGTCGGTAAGCATTGCTGGCGCATCCTACTGGTACGCACGGAGAAGTAAACTCTGTTGCAACAAAGACGAAGGAGCTTCTCTCAGAGGAGGTATATGATACGTCTTTTCGGCGATGATTGTCACCGTGGCCTGGGAAGGCATTGTTTTCTTGACGAGACTGCCGACAGTAATGCTGATATTAGCGGTCTAAGCATTGTGCCAGGTCCGATGCGAATGCTCCCACGTGCGTGTCGAGAACATCATCATTAGCCATAGGCACCTTGCTTCCCGTCGGAATTGCGTGCAGCATCAACTATCTGCATATCATTTTGCTTGACTGTGCAATACATAATCTTCCTGGATCAGTCTCAGTGTTAGGCGTCCTCACATTTACGCCGAGCGCAAGAGGCTTTTGTCCCTGATGGTGAGTTATGATCTTATGGGCAGTGTGTTTCCTCACCTAGCCCTCATGAACTCGGCTGCTTTTGCTGGGCTGTCGTCAGAAATGTGGTCAGCTCGTGCTCGTCCTTGCATATCTCATACGCTAAAGACGATCTTGGCGCTCGTCAATCGTTCCGTGCCCTTGGAAGCCAATCGTGTATGCCCGTGGAATCCATCATGGTAAAGACGAAGTGTGCCTCTGCAATATCTATATCTATACAACTTCACGACATGAGAATAGTTCCTTCTAAAACTTAGGACGAGCTATAAAGACGGTGCCTTGTAGCGGAAACCCTTCGATACCCCCAATATGAAGTTCATTAGCCACTACGCGATTTTGGCGTTTGCCGCTTCGGCTGCATGCCAGCAAACGAGGCCTGTTCAATGTCTACCGATGTTCAACGGAACTGTAGGTAACGGCACAGTAGGATCAGAGCAACAGATATCGAGCAAGACAATCCGATCCGTCAATGCTACAGATGCGAACCAAGGTGTTGCCGTCGATGCCACCTATTTTTATTCCATTGACAACTTCTCCATCACCAAGCACAACAAGACGACGGGACAAGCCATCATGCAGTGGTTTGGTGGAGCCAATGGTCCCATAATCCATCTTGACGGGGCTGTTGTCATCAATGGCACCCTATATGCACCGCATTCCAATTACCCTCATTCCCCAGAAACATCGTCTGTCGAGGAATGGAATGTGACCACAATGGAACATATCCGAAGCTACTCCTTTGGGGTCAACAGAGGAAGCCTGACATGGATCGACCAGGATAGCACAGGAACGTGGTATGGGACATTCGCCAACTATGACCGGGTGCAAAAAGGACAAACGCAGCCGTACGGGCTCAGCATGAACACACAGCTCGTGCGATTCTCCCCCGGGCCAGAATCTCCATTCCAGTACATCTCGCAGTCGTGGATATTTCCGCAGGAGTTGGTTTCGGAGAATTTCTCACCCATGTCGAACTCGGGAGGCAGCTTTGGTCCTGATGGATGGCTGTACATTACCGGCCATGATGCAAGTGCTGCTTACATTGTGCAAATCCCATCTGCTGGCAGTATCCTCATCTGGGTTGCGACGGTAGACTTGCCAGATATTGCGGGACAGGGAATAGCCTGGGACCGAAGTAAAGGCCCTCAAAATGGAGGCAATGGAACATTGTATGGTATCAGCCGAGAGAGCAAGCAGGTCGTGGAGATGAGCGTTCCTCTGCAGACTTGTCAAACTACGACCAATCTGCCAGTGGGAAGCATCTTGGGTCCTGGGAGCTTCATCGATCCTGACTCAGATTGAGTCTTTGCTACTACATCAAATCAATTGTCGAGAGAGAATCGGTATCCTGTAGATAGTCGAGGTTCCACAGCAAGAAGTTCTGCGAAAGTAGCATGATGAAGCGTACCTGATGTACAGCAATTAATTCCCTTGCTGTTTTTGGCGTGCGAAAATAGGCCAAAACCGGCGAGAGATTTCGAAGAGGACAATCTTCCACAAAATCAAAGGGGCCGCTTCTTCATCATCTTCGAGATATCCCATGCGACTTCACATCTTTCATCATCGACGTCTGCATCAACACCGGACACAAGACGTTACCATGCTCATCGCAAACCTCTTTTCACATATCGACGATCACCTAGATGGATGGGCAATGTTGCCTGAAGCCGATATCGGTAGACGTCACTTGGCGTTGTTTGTGGACGCTCTACGGATACGCGAAGATGGGACTTAAAAATTACCAGTGAAATACCCACCGCCCGTCAGACGCCGACTTGCCAGATGGTAACAATACTGTATTCGCCCTAACGATGAATCGACATGTAAGCTCAATTAGTATGGGGCTTGAACAGACGTATCCCACCTCCACAATGGTGCAGGATGGTAGCACAGGGACTTGTACCTGTCTTGCGATGTTTCCACGGCAGATTTTTTCCTGTGGTCAGGATCCGAGGACGCACAGCATCAATTCAATCGGGGTGCTGAAGGTCATAGAATCAAATACGAATACTCGAAAGAATACTTCCTGGAATTCTCGCTTTTGACGACCCAAGACAATACTAGCATGGTCTGATCAAGTTTACTTTGTTCTTGGAGTGTCTGAGGCTATGAAACAACATGTCGTTCCTCCGCAAGTCATTTCGCTATACTCAATTACTCGTCTCGGCCGAACCGAGCAGGCTTGATATTCTATTTCTGGCTATAGGCACCCTCTCGGCCATTGCTTCTGGCGTTCCTTTCCCGCTGATTGGTATCATCTTTGGTCAATTGATCGACGACTTCAATTCAGCCACGTGTGATGTACAGGAACAGAATTCTGATGCTCACGATTATCAAGGAAACGTTGACTCCAGGATCCTGCTCATATTGTACCTGGCCATCGCTCAGTTTGTCTTGATCTATACACATCTATCATGCTGGAGTTTGAGCGGCGCACGGCTTGCACAGCGATTGCGAGAGAGCTACCTGAAAAACCTTCTCCGACAAGAGCCTTCTTTCTTCGACAATGTCACTCCAGGCGAGGTTGCGTCTCGCCTCAATGGGGACATTCAAACCATTCGATCAGGAACTTCTGAAAAAGTCGGCATCTGCATTTCAAGTGCCTCCTTCTTTGTGACGGCATATATCGTGGCTTTCATAAAGGACACAAAGCTGGCAGGCATGTTGGTATGGCTGCTCCCAGCTTACTTTATCATGTCATTTGTGGGCAGTCACTACATTGAGAAATACTCGGAGCTGGTCTCAACCCATGCTGCTTCTGCAGCCTCCATCTCGGCCGAAGCACTCTCCAATGTCGTCGTTGTTCATGCCTTCGGAGCCAATTCTCGCCTCGAGAAGATTTTCGCCCAACACCAAAGGGCCTCGGAACGCGAAGGTGTCAAGAAAGCATTCGCAACTGGTGTACAGTCGGGTGTCATGTATTTCATTGCGTATGCCGGGAATGCTCTCGCCTTCTGGCAAGGCAGCAAGCAAATCGCGCGCGTTGTTCGTCTCGATTCTTCCGGCGCGACTGTCGGCAAAGTGTTTACCGTAATATTCGTCATGGTTGAAGGTAAGGTCTCTCAAACACGTTATGTTGCTCTTACTAAGACCTTTGTTAGCTACACTTATACTTAGTCAGGTCGCTCCTTTCATACACATGTTTAGTGCAGCCTCAGCTTCGTTCCAAACAATCCGTGCCGACATGGAACATCAATCAACCATTGATGCAACTTCAGAGGACGACGGTGATGCCATAGGCGACGTTGAAGGTTCTTTCTCTTTGAAACAAGTCTCTTTCGCGTACCCATCACGACCAGACACGTATGTACTCAAAGAACTGGATCTCGAAATTCCCGCAAGGAAGCACACAGCGATTATCGGAATGTCAGGTAGTGGGAAATCAACCATTGCTGGGTTGCTTACTCGACTCTACGATCCCAGCGGAGGGCTGGTTCTGCTTGACGGGAAAGACCTACGAAGCCTTAATACGCGACAGTTGAGGGGCCATATTGGCTTGGTCCAACAGGAGCCTGCACTATTCAATCGCTCAATCCTGGAAAATATTGCTCATGGGCTGGTCAACTCCCCCCATGCAGAGCATGAGAGACTGAAGGAAGTCCTACTAGGGCCTGAACTATCCATTCTCGCAGAGTGCATTCGGAACGGCGAAGATATGCTCGTTGCAGCCGAGAAGCAAGGTCCTCTTGTCACGGAAGTTGCTCGACTCGTCCAACACGCCGCCACTTTAGCCGATGCTACCAACTTCATTACTTCGCTCAAAGACAACTTTGGAACAATGGTGGGCTCAGGTGGTCGGCTGGTGAGTGGAGGTCAAAAGCAACGCCTTGCTCTTGCACGGGCCCTGGTCAAGAACCCAGAGATCATTATTCTCGACGAGGCAACGTCTGCTCTGGACTCGGCAAGTGAACAGCGGATTCAATCTGCAGTATCGAGAGTGGCTGCGGGGAGGACAATGGTCACGGTTGCACATCGTTTGGCAACAGTCCGTTACGCCCACAAGATCATTGTCCTGAAAGAAGGTAAGATCTTGGAGGAGGGAGATCATGCTACATTGATTGCCAAAGGAGGTGCATATGCCAGCCTGGTTCAAATGCAAAGCGTCAAAACAACATCCACTGAAGAGGACGAGTTACTGCAGGACCTCCGTAGTCGATCAAGTACTGCAAGTGATAGCATCGAAGAGAAACGACCAGACCATACGACTCAGCAAGAGGTGAAGTTTGCAGATCCCCAACAAGACGAGTCCGGAGACGCCGAGGACGAAGAACTCCCCCCATCAGCGAGGTCACTGGCATCGGTGATGGGCGGTCTCTCGCATCTCGTGCGACCATACGTCCTTGTCATTCTGATTGCACTATTGGCATCAAGCATTGTCGGTGGCTCATTCTCTGCGGAAGCAGTCATCTTTGGAAACACTGTCGGGAGACTCAACCCTTGCAAGACTGAATCGAGTATTCGATCTGCAGGCAACTTCTTTGGTCTGATGTTCTTCGTACTTGCAATAATCGAGTTCTTCGCAAACATGATCAGCTGGACAGCGTTCGGCTGGCTGTCGGAGAAATTGCTCTACATCGTTCGAGTTTTGTCCTTCCGCTCGCTCTTTGAACAGAGCCTTCAATGGCATCAATCCGACGAGCGAACCCCTGCTAAACTACTGTTGTACATCACCAGAGACGGCAGCGCTCTGGCCGGACTGAGTGGATCAGTTCTGGGCACGATATTCTCGATCTCGGTCAACTTGGTGGTTGCTATTGTCTTAACGCATATCATCGCCTGGAAGATAGCGCTGGTATGTCTGTCTCTGGTACCTCTTCTCCTCGGCGCCGGCTTGATGGAACTCAGGGTCCTGGGACAATTCGAGGAGAAACATGAGACCGCTTTCGCAAAATCAGTTGACATCAGCGTGGAGGCAATCACGGCCATCAAAACCGTTGCAGCACTCGGCCTTGAGAAGGAGACTCTGGTGACATACCGCCGCTCGCTCAAAGGTCCACGGAAGGAGACAACGAGAGTGAGTCTCTACGCCAGTCTGTGGCTAGCTCTCATGTACTTCCTGGGCAACATGGTGAACGCCTTGGCCTACTGGTGGGGATCGAAACAGATTATATCTGGAGCCTACACGCAGACTCAGTTCTTGATCGTGGTTTTCTCGCTCTTGGTGAGTGCCATGCTTTGGAGTCAAATGTTTGCCCTGGCTCCAGAGCTGTCCAATGCCCGCGCTGCTGTAGCCAGAATCTTGGATCTCATCGACCTAGGCTCGACAAAAGATCTCAAAGGCTCAGACATCAACAAAACTTTACCAGAACCATCCGAGAAGGATATTGAGGCTTTCGGGGAAGGAAAGGTCTCACTGAGCTCTTCCAACGTGGGTGGCTCGAGTGTAGCTTTCCATGATGTCACGTTCTCATACCCAGCTCGACCCGATATGAAAGTCCTACGAGGCTTGAACTTGAGCATCCAACGTGGTAAATTTTGTGCATTAGTTGGGCCAAGTGGAGCTGGCAAATCGACAATCATTGCGCTCTTGGAGGGCATGTTCAGACCTCAATCCGGATCGATCCTGATTGACGGGAGTGATATCACAAAACACAAAGAAATCTCATTCCGAGACGAGATATCTCTAGTTCCGCAAGACAGCGTCCTCTTCGAAGGCACGGTCGCCTTCAACGTCGGACTCGGTGCCCGGCCTCACGAAGAAGCCTCGCGAGCTGATATTGAAGAAGCATGCAGGCTCGCTAACATTCATGACACCATCATCGGCTTACCACAAGGATACGGCACTCTTTGTGGGCCAAACGGAAGCCAGCTATCCGGAGGACAGAGACAACGACTCTCGATCGCCCGTGCTTTGGTCCGCAAACCTCGACTTCTTATCCTTGACGAGTCGACCAGTGCATTGGACGCAGAGTCGGAAACTTTGCTACAGGAAGGTCTTGCCAAAGCTGCTCGAGGGATCACTGTCATTGCCATCGCTCACCGTCTGCACACGATCAAGCAAGCGGATATCATATTTTTGATCGAAGAAGGTAAATGCATAGACTACGGATCACATGGGGAATTATTCCAGAGGTCTGAGAGCTACAGGAGCAATGTGCTACACCAGACTCTGGGAGATGTGGAACAAGTAGCATAGAAGCATGAGAGTTACGTCGAGACAATATGATGATTCAGTAGAATTTCTGGAGATTGATATTTCACAATCGGAGTCACCATCATGTTGTCGAGGAAACAATCGATTAAAATTCATAAGTCTTGATATCACTGCCTTGTCTTTCATCATCACTTCATGTCCATCATCTTAGCAACGATCATAGGCTAATGACGGCAATCTTCGGGGTGGTTGCAGCATATGCCTTCCGAGTCAGGTAGAAAAATGTCAAGGTCACTTAGGTTGAGCCTCTAGTGTGCAGTGCGAGGGTCAAAAGACAGCGCCCCGTGCTGTTATACCGTATATCAGTGTATTGTAATACACGTACCGTCTGGCGCGCGTACTTACAAGCCCTTACATACCGACGCTACGGAGAAGTTAGTCTCATGCAGTCGCAATGGGGATCACCAAAGTGGCATTCTGATAAGATGAGATATTCCACTTTTTGCTGCAACGATGAGACGCTCTTTACCTCATCTGATAAGATAAAAATTTTCACTTTGGTGGGGAACGTGTCTAATGTAGACCTCTTTTTCTCGAACTCCCCTTTTTGTCCCGACTGTTTCCAACAATACCATGGTCCATACCAGACCCAAGGTGGTCGCTCCATCTGATTAGCGTAGCGAGAGACCTGTCACTCTTCTTCCTCTACTCGTGCTCCGTAAATAATGATGATCATGCTCAAAGCTTGGAGTCCTTCCATCTCGGTGGACGTTTCTCCACAAAAGCCTGGATGCCTTCGGCAAAGTTAGGACCTTGGATGAGTTTTGGATACCACCGATCGGCGAGCGTGGTGACCGCTCCCTCGACGCTCCTGGACTCCCAGCTCAACCGGATCCCCTGACGGCCGACGATCAGCGCGTCCGGGCTGTTGCGGCACATGTCCAGGGCGAGTTGGACCGCAACCTGGACGACATTTGCATCTGCACCAGCACCAGACTCCACAGCCACCACCCGGTTCACCAGACCCCAATCGTGCAGCTCCCTGGCGCTCACATTCCTACCCGTCAAGACCAAATCCGTGGTGCGTTGAAGTCCGATGATGCTCGTCAGGCGAGGCAGACACCCTGCCACGGGGACTATGCCTCGCTTCGCCTCGGGCAAGCAAAAGATCGCCGTGGACGCCGCGACGACGAGGTCGCAGTTGGCCACCATCTCGAACCCGCCGCCCATGCACATGCCGTTCACGGCCGCGATGATCGGTTTCTTGCCGCCACGGCGGGGTAGTCCAGCCAGTCCCGGTGCGTCCATGCTGTTGACCACCCCGGCCTTGTTCATTTCGTTCCATTCTGTCATTTTGTGGATCACGGTCAGTGTTTGGCTTTTTTTCCTCCGTGCTTGACACTACCTTGAAACCTTTGAGGCTCGCAAGGGCCTGACTGCATGAGTAGTGACTGCTCGTAGAAAAGCAAAACGCCAAAACTTACCCTGTAAATCGGCGCCGGTGCAGAACGCCCTCCCTGTGCCGGTGATGATGCCGACCCATAGAGTCTCGTCCTGGTCGAATAGTTCCCACACATTCTGGATCTCCTTGCTCGTCGTTTTATCGATGCAATTCAGCTTCTCGGGTCGATTCAGCGTGATCTGCAGAATTTTCCTGTCGGGAAATGAGACTTGAAAGTTCTTGAAGACCAGGGGTCTTGATCTTAGAGACATTGGATGTTACAGTGGGGTCCTGTCGGCTCTGTGACTCGGAGCTGCCACAGGATAGAAAGCAGTGCACGTACATACAGCACAAACGGTCCCGATCGGCTGGCTCGAAGGAATATTTATGTTTCCCACGACGAACATCGGCAACTTCACGTGTCTCGAGTGTTGCCGTGCCTAGGTAGCGTCTGACAGTGGTAGCTTACATCACGCCTCTCTTCCCACCAGTCTATTCGATCGTTCGTTCGATGTCGCTCTCATTTGGTGATCGACACACTCCCGCGCTCCATCCTACTCCTCCCCGTCTTGGAAAGCTTGCCCTCCAGACGTTGCTGTCCTCAACCCCTACCTACAATTGACTATACCGCCATCAAGTTCTGACCTGAGTAAGACCAACTCTCCTTTCCTTGTGGTAATACAACCGTACTGTCCGTAGAGTCATATCCAATTACACTTGCACAACAATGTCTTCAACATCGAAACCGCCTTTCAATTATCCGCCTGTCAAGTTACCACATCCATACCTCACGGCATATCGAGTTCAAGCCATTGGACAGTCGACGCCTACCAAGCTCACCCTGGTCCAGGAAGGCCAACCATCAGGAACAAAAGCTTTGCCCAAGCCGTTGCACGCCGACACACTCACATGGACTGACCTCTCCTTCAGCCCAAAGTCAGAATGGCCTCCAGTTTCCAACAACAGTGCGTGGGCACGAGCACGTCGGAGTCCAAGGACTATCTTTGAATGGGCTGAAAGTAGTACGCCGACACTGGGACAAATCTGGAACGTGGTCCATGCAATATACCTCGCTCACCCTGCAAACGAGTATTTCAGACTTACTCTGAACGGTTTAGGCAAGGATGTCGTACGCCAGGAACTCCTCACGACCGGACTGGCAATCGAATACCCCCAGGCATGGCGACCTGGCGACGACAAAGACTTTCGTTCCGACGAAGTCTTGGTTTTGAGAAGTTCATTCTGGCAGGGCGCCGGTTCTCCTTTGGGTCCCCGCCCAATCTGGGCAGTCGGCGACGGCACAGATGGTTCTCTGAGAGAACGTCTGGACCAGTACGCCATCATGCCCGAGAACTACCACTTCACCATGAAATTCCCCCAAGAACCAATCTACACCCGGCACCCGGTCCGTCGACCAAAGCCCCATCCAGGCTCGATTGCCTACAGCCGCTACATTCCCGAGCTCGACGAGCACTTCTCGCTCGAAGTGGTGGACTGGCAAAACGCAGAACACCTCGGGCTCTTCAACACGTGGCAGAACGACCCGCGAGTGGCCCAGGGCTGGAATGAGACCGGCACACTGGACCAACACCGCGACTACCTCAAAAAGTTATGGTTTGATCCTCATGTTCTGTGTCTGTTTGGACGATTCGACGACCGTCGCTTTTCATATTTTGAACTTTACTGGGCCAAGGTAAGCTGAACCCTCCAAAACACATATCCCCTTGCTTCGTACAAGTACCATTCGTACGCTCTGGGTCGATAATTAACTTGGTCCGGTAGGAGGATCATTACGGGGCTCATTACGACGCCGGTGACTACGACCGCGGGCGACACTCTCTGGTTGGCGACGCGTCGTTTCGAGGATCCCACAGGGTGAATGCGTGGTACTCTAGCTGCATCCATTACTGTTTTCTGGACGACCCGCGGACCGCCAACGTCGTGGGAGAGCCCAAGGCCGCGGGAGCAACCATCTTGTCGTACGAACAGTCCCAGGGACTCGTCATCGGCAAGTACGTGGATCTGGGTCACAAGAGGTCGGTTCATTCAGTGTGTAGCCGGGAAAAGTGGTTTCAGTTGTGTCCTCTGTTCTGGGACGGCCGAGAGCGACCTCTAGAGTCGTCGGACCGTGCGGCGTGGAATGCAAAACTTTAGGGTTTGGTCATGCTTATCTATAGGATTTGGACCATACCAAAACCAAAAAATATGATTCTTTGTCACGACGTCAATATCAAGCCCATTTTGGCAAGTAGACTTTTTTTTTCTTAATTCCCAGCATATTCAATTATATGAAACCAATAAAATAAAGGCTCAGAAAATGCAGCAGTAATTACGCCATCTTACTATACCGACACTAAACTATTCTTCTCGCTTGGATCTGCTAGAGTGGTCACGGCCTTGACCAGATCATCAAGCATTCCCTGTACAGCCTTGGAGTTTCTTTCGCTTCCTACAACACCGACGTGTGTCTGACCGTCGCGAACAAGTGACACGACTTTAAAAGGATAGACCGAGTCGCCGTGCGGATTCTTGATATCCACACCGCACACACCTCCGGCGAAAGGCATGGTATCAAAGTCCTCCCAGTCTTGATGGTGCACGATGGAATCAAAGAACGCGGACGATGCTGGCCACGAGGTACAGTTCTTCGAAATTTCCTCGAAACCTAAAAACTCATGGACCGAAGACTTTGCCATTTGCATTTGCACGAACTGCAAAAGGTCATCCGCTGCCCACGACTTCTCGAATGTGACTCGGACTGGCGTGAATTGGTAGCACGGTCCCATGATTTGATCCGCGTTTTCAAGGTCGAGGAGACGCCCAGAGGTAACGTTGCCGAAAGTAACGTCCAAAGTCTGCAGACGACGCGCCAAGACAAGAGCCCAAGCTGCAACGAGCAAGCTTGCCACAGTCGTCTCTTCCGGTCGCTGTGATATGTCGACGGGCGAGGTCAAGAACAATGCTTTATCGGTTGATTCGACGGGCCCATAATCCAACATGGACAATGAAGAGCCCTCTAGGAAACCACGCCAATAATCAGTGGCGGCTCGTCGAAGCGCTTCGTCGTACGTTCTTGCCACGTATGAAGTAAATGGCTTGGTGACGGGCTTCTCATTCCCAATATACAGTGTTTCCAAGTCCCGAAGCATCAATGGAAGAGACACTCCATCGAATTGGGCATGGGACAGTCGAAGAATGAAGCATGCCTTGCCCTCACTTCCTTGAACGTAGAAGGTTTTCAGAAAAGATGATCCCAGGGAGAAAGCGTCTGACTCAATATCTTGGTTGCACAAATTGATCACACATTGCTCAAGATTCTCCGTTGTACTTTGTATGTCCCAAGGCGTCTCGAAGTCGTCCACGATGACCTGATAAAAGGATGTCTCGTGCTTGATGAATACCGTGCGTAGAATCTCATGAGACCTGATCAATTCGTCACAGGCACGCATCAGCCGTTGTTGTTCCACCCACTTGCCCAAGTACAGCATGGTATATTGGACAGATGTCCGTGGTGCTTGGATCGTTGACTTGATATCCAGAGCTTGTGAGCTTGTGGCGGGCAACACATCTCTGATAGACCACTTAGGGTTGCTTAATCTTGGCCTGACCTCTTTTAGAAGGAAAGAACCGACGCTCAAGTTCTTTAGTGTCAAGAAAGGCTTATAGGGCTGGAGTTGGTCCTTTTGCATTTTCAGAACTTTCAAGACTTTTGCAGCATCGCGCAGACGCATGTTCTGGAAAATGTCCGCGACTGTCAAGCTGTATCCTTGTAGGCGAACTTCGGAGACAAGTTTCATTGCAAGGACCGAGTCTCCGCCTAGACGGAAAAAATTATCGTCCAGATCAATCTTGTCTGAGTCGAGTCTTAAGATAGTCGCCCAGGATGACCGCAAGATCCTTTCGGTCTCGGTCAAGTTTCTTTGTCCCGAAATCCTTGCCCATTCGTTCTTAAGGCTTTCCTGTAAACTCGCAACAATATTTTGGGGTATTTTCGAGACCAGTTTGCTCAACGCAGAGCGACCTGCACTGTCAAGCTCCGAGGGGATCTTGTCGACCACAACATAGGCTGTAGGTACCATATATGGTGGAAGGGCATCGCAGAGCGACTGTTTGAGTTCTTTCAAGATCACAGCAAGGCCTGCAGATATCTTTGCACATAGTGTCAGCTCCAGTTCTTGAGACGTAACCCTGAGATTTGCAAACATGAGCTGCACGCTGGCATCATGAGTGGGCTGCGTTGACTCTATGAGCGCAATTACTTCCTGCTCAGACGCTTTCTGAAGTAGAGCAGTTGCAGCATGATAGCCTTGCGGTAGCCGCTTGCGTAAATGAGCCTCGACTTCGGAGAGATTCACCGCGAGATTATTTGACGAGGCAATATCTTCCTTCCGTCCAACAAACACGAGAGTGCCGTTGTCGTGTCGGACTATGTCACCTGTGGCCTGCACCTTGCCCTTTCGACCTGCATACTTGGTGCTCCCGGCGGTAAGCCAAGGTGGGGACTCGACTGTTTCACCTGGGAGAAAATTCCCTTCCAGCCAAAGCTCGCCCGCACATCCGATGGGCGATAACAAGGAAGGGTTCCAGACATTGCACACCCAGGGAACGACTGCTGGCGGGTATATTGAATCTGGCTCGATATCTGGTTTCGCTATAACCTTGTTCGAGGATTTATCCCAAGACATCGGTGCGAGACGGTTTTCGTACCAGATCTGGTCAAGTTCTGCCTCAGGAATAATGGATATCTGATCCAATCGACAAGACAGGCTCTCGGTAAGACTTTTACACGCCGTTTCCAATTGTGCAAACATCCTTTCCATCTGGGCAGCACTAATCAGGCTGCTATCGAAGCTGGCACAAATTCTGAAGCCACCTTTCTGGATGCCACAACCCAGCATGAGTGGGTATGGGTTGAAGTGAAGTGCTTCTCTGACCACATCTCCTTGTTCAAAGCCGAGAGCGGCCGTCGTGTACTCGGGTTCGGGCTGAATAACGAGACCCGTCCGCGCTTCGCAGGCATATTGAGCGTCATCGCTGACTTTCCTGATATTCTGCACTCCAAAATGCTGGAAAGGTGAACGGTTGAGCATACCCTCCTGGACTGCCTGCAGGTATGCCTCCACTGTGGCCCTTCTATCAATCCGTATACGAACAGGTATCGTGGCAATCAGAGGGCCTTCTATCTCCTCGACACCAGCCAGAGCAATGTCCCTTCCTGTCAGCGTCTCAATGAATATGACGTCGTTACTGCTCGTATACTGCGACGTAACGAGAGCCCATGCAGCACGAATAATCGTTGCTAATGTAAAGCATGACCCGCCACTCAGGCCGACCTGAATCCGATGTTCAAGTATTGCATCGGCTGTCGGGAGAAAATCTCGTGAAGGCGCCCAGGGAAAATGAGGTCCGACAGCACCTTGCAATTCGCCGCGCCAGAAATTCTGAATCTCGGTGGGATTGATATCCTGAAGATGCCGGACCATGTCCCGTATCTGTGGTTGGGAATCCACAAATTGATGCTGTAAAGCTTTGCTAACCTTCTCGAGTATCAATGGTTCTGACCATCCGTCGTACACAACGTGATGAATCGTCCAAACCATATAGTTTCTGCCTGCCTCTGCACCAGTCACGATGGCATAACGCGCCAAACTTTTCCCGAGATCCATCTTTTCTTTCTTGTCAGTATTGAGATACTGTGATAAATTATCAGATTGTCTCCAGGTAATGTTCTCTTTAAGAACTACCTGCCACAAACCAGGCTCTGTCGATTGTATTAGACGAGTGCGTAAAATAGGGCTTCTTTGGACTACTTCATCCCAGGCTTTTTTCCATGCGTTGACATCAATTTCATCCGGTATGCAAGCAACTCTCTGAGCTACATACGGCGTAGATGATTTCAAAGAGAATGTGAACAATCCTTCTTGAGTGGGTGTGCAAGGATAGATATCCTCAATGGCTGATGGCTCTGAATCACAAGCACACGCTGCTTCTGACCGAGCTTTTCCTACTGGCTGGGAAACCATGGAGAATGCCTGCGTGTCGTGCAATTCTTGTGACTTGCTGAGACTGGTGACTTTAGCCATTGAGGAAAGCTTCGGATGGAGGAAAACATTTGAAACGGTGAGATCAAGACCATTGACTCTGCCAACCGATACCAACTTCATCGCTGCGAGAGAGTCGCCGCCCAGCGCGAAGAAGTTGTCTTCTAGTTGTATCGATATTGCTTCGACTTTGAGAGTCTGACTCCATGCCAGACGCAAGCGTTCCTCAAGATCATTCAGATCGCGATTGGTATCGCTCGATGACGGGTGGCATAGCTGACGTAGATCCAAAGTGGCACCAAATTGTCGAAGGTTCTTTCGATCAGTTTTTCCTGATATCAGAACGGGAATGTGATTGACAGGGACGTATGTCGTCGGAACCATATACCGCGGCAGGACCTTCGACAATCCATCATCAGCCTTGGAGAGTGCGTTGCGGAGCTCATCGTTGGGTTGGACTAGTTTCAGGTCGACATTATTCTTACTTGGAGCATGCGGTGCAACAAAGGCAACTAATGTTGCTTGACCTTCAGACCCGTTGGGCTTGACGACCTCTGCGATAACATTTGTAGCAGGTGGAAGAATCAGGCTGAGCTGGTATTCGATCTCTCCGAGTTCAACACGCTGTCCACGCAGCTTGACCTGAGTGTCTTTTCGTCCAACAAAGACAATGCCTCCAGAACCATCAGGGTCGTATTTTCCAAGATCTCCAGTCTTGTAAAGCCGCCCATGCCGACCGTTGTAGGACTTGTAGCCTGACACAAGCCATGCTGGGTCTTCGATGAAAGCAGCTGCGGTTTTGTCAGGGTCATTCAGGTACCCTTGTCCCACGATTGGGCCTTCCACTAGTAGTTCGCCAGTTGCTCCAACCGGCAACAACTTTTCGTGATCATTTGGGTCAACAATCCACATCACAGCACCGGTACCACCACCAATCGAGATGTAATCTCTGCCAGTGGCTGCGCTGCTGTTGACCGTACAGCCGATCGTGCATTCACACGGTCCGTAACCAATCACGATTCTAGTAACTTTTCCCCAACGTGTGACATCTCTGGCAGTCACCGCTTCACCCCCTAGACCTAGCATATCGAGTGACTCTATCACATCTGCATCCAATATTCGGCCCACAGAAGGTGTTAAACCTGCATAGTTGACATTCATCTTTCGCATAACCCCATTGATATCATTCATCCTTTCCTCATCGGATGGAATGCAGAGGCAACCGCCTTGAGATACGGTGCAGAGCATGCTGTCGATGCTGACGTCGAAGGCGTACGATGCGAAGTCGAGGACTCTGGAGTGCTCCTTGTAGCCAACCGCTTCGGCTCGGGGGATGGCACTGCTTGTGTAAGTTTCATGTGAGATCATGACCCCCTTTGGAACTCCGGTGCTTCCTGAAGTGAAAATGATATACATCAATGCAGATGGCGGAACAAGTGGAAGTTCAGGCCTACCCTCAACAATAATTGAATCCTCAAATGTCAGACTATCGACAACAAGAAGACTTCCGTCGGGTAGAATTGACTTTGATAGATCTTGTTGCTGACGAGATGCCAATATGTATTTAGCACCGACTTGGGCTGAGGTGTTTTGTAGGCGTGCAAGAGGTAATGTCGGATCCAAGAGCACAAAAGTGGCACCAGCCTTCATCGCCGCTAATACAGCCACGATTGTCCATCTCGATTTCTCGAAACAGATTGGCAAGACATCATGCAGCTTGACACCCATGTCACTTAGGGCGTGAGCAACGATTGTGGAATAGAGGTCGATCTGCGTGTAGGTCAGATCACCATCCCAAGAACATATTGCCACTTTGTCAGGGCATTGCTGGGCTCGGTTTGAAATGAGATCGTGCATGCAAAACTGGTGCAAAGGTGGGAGCGAATGGTTCAGCTTCCATATTGCTTGCATATCATGGTCTGTGGGTTGTATGCAGTCCTCTATCGTCGCTTCAGCATTTACGAGACACAATCGCATGGTATCAACCAATGTTTCGATGTGTCGGGTAATCGTGTATTGGAGCATGTTTTCAGACTGCCACACAGGCACGATGTCGACTTGTTCACCCTTGAAAACTACTTCAAGGTGAAGTATTCCCTACATAAGTCAAGTCAGATATATTCGATCAAGATATCTAAAAGCTCACCTCTTCGACATCTTGAGACGTGTCTTCGAGGGACCCTGTACTCAGAATGAGCGACGTATGGTCAGCCGCATTTACAGGCCGTGGAATGCTCGTCAGATAGTGGGAGATTGCCGATGTAGTTTGTCGAACATTACTCGGAGAATCTTTCATGAAACCGTCCAATGAGAGATTCTGAATTGGTTGCTTGTTCTCAAGATAATTGGGTTGTGGTCCGTAGGCCCATTGACACTGGACCTGATCTCGCTCGCAAGTGCGATAAAGCACTAGAAGCCATGAGAGGAGCACAAATTCCTCCTTCATGCCAGTCGGGGTGTGTTCATGTTGCGATGCCAAGTTGGCAATCTTGAACGACCGTCGCAGGCTTCCATCTGTACAACCATTGTCCGAGGGGTGAAGGGACATCTTCCTCACACAAGATTCCTCAACAGGGAGATCTTGAATAGAGCCCATGCTGAGCATCTATCTTTCCTTGGTAATTGTCATCAAAGAGCAACAACGGCACAAACTAACTCTGTTGACTTCATCAGAGGTGCACAAAACTGCAAAAGTGCCTTGGAAATTCTACGAGTCACAGCGTACTACCTCTTGCAAGCGTTGGATCGACTTAGAATTATGTCAGCATCTTCCTCGGTCAAGCTTTCCCGCTGAGAGGCGACAAGCTCATCACGAGAGGCAGAGGCTTCTCTCGACCGAAGTCGGTCTGATGTGGAGAGCAGTGGGCAGCTTCGAAGCTCGCTAGCAAAATGAAAGGAAGAGGGCATGAGTGCATCGGGATTTGGTTCAAAACGACCATTGTTGTTTCTGTGTCAGACCTTGCTGTTCATGTTGGCAGGGATCGAGGGGCTGTTCGATCTGCAAGGTGAGTAGCCACGTCGTCAGAGGCTCGAGAGTGGGACATGTCTTCCAGAAGCCCACACCATCCTGTTTCATCTGGAGGCATGATCAGCATTCGGCATGTGTATCGGAGAAAAAAAGGCGACTAGTGAGCGCGAAATGAAGGCAGAAAACTACAGTATGAAGTTGGGCAAATGTGTCGTCGGCTGAGTTTCCCCAGGCGTGTGTTGTCGGTATCGTATTGTATTGTTTCAAATGACCAGAATTTGAGGAAATTACTAGCGTGGCCTAACGCGTCTCAAAAGAGCCCACCTGGTACTCACTGTACGTCCCAACCTGATCCAAGTTCCCAGCCCTTGTACCGAGTGTACTGCATCCTGTCAGCTTCAACTAGCGGCTCAGTGGAGCAGAAGTCGAGATTATTGCCTAGTCGTCGATATCGGCCTTCTTCCAGCACGTTCATCATCGCCCGAAATGCTTGTCCATCACCATTACCTGTGCGATACGGCTGGGCGTGTCTCCCGGCATGGCATCGGTTGGCCTTGCGTATTGATTGCTCATCCGACCGTACCGAACCTGGCTCCAATGGTCAGTGTGTGAGACGGGTCCTCAATGGAACTCCGAGGATGCGAGGTCTCTGGGCCACGCTAGAGGGAAAACTTCATGGCTGCCCATCCTCACACACACATATGCCCATAACAGCGATCCCAGAAAGGCAGTGAGTAGATCAGGCGATGCACGTGTTTCTTGATATAGTGCGTGGAACTGCCTGAACACGGCACTGGAAACTCCCAGCACCATCAACCATCATCAGCGTCCCCTAAGGTCCTGTCTGATAGGTATATCGTGACGATGGCCCTGGCGACCACAAGGCCAACGCTTTTTCCACCTCAGCAACCTTCTATTGTCCATGGCACGACTGAGACGCCGCTACTGGATTTTACGCTCGGAGAGCTGCTAGACTTCCAATGTCGACGATACTCGAGAAGGGAGTGTCTGATAGTGCCATGGACAGGCGCGAGATGGACCTACGATCACCTGCGACAAGAAAGCATTCGCGTGGCTAAGGCGTTAGTCGCACGTGGCATACGTCCTGGTGACAGGATCGGTATCATGGCCGGAAACTGTGAGCAATACGTAGCAGTTTTCTTTGCGGCCATGCGAATAGGCTGCATTCTGGTGATCCTCAATAACACCTACACCTCTTCTGAAGCCCAGTATGCATTGAAGTTCACTGGTAAGTCAGAAGTCCCCAATTTCGGACCAGCCTAACAACTGCAGAGTGTAAGATACTATTCACGACTCCACGAATTGGGCATCATAACAACAAGCCACTTCTGGACTTACTCCTTCATACCCCGGGCACAGTCGAAGAGGTTGTCATCCTTCGAGGGCAAGCAAGTCGGTTCACCCCATATGGCAGCCTCGTAGAAGATGGCTTTTGCCAGCCAGATGAGCCATTATCCGAGTGCATGAGTCGATTCGATTGCCACGATGTTTGCAATCTTCAATTTACGAGCGGAACGACGGGGAACCCCAAAGCCGCCATGCTCAGTCACCAGTAAGTGCGAAGACACGACTGCATGTGACGACACTGTAATAACATGGCATCAGCTCCTTGGTCAACAACAGTAGATTTATAGGTGATCGAATGGCGTTCACCGAAGAAGACGTGTTGTGCTGTCCACCTCCATTGTTTCACTGTTTCGGTCTCGTTCTCGGGTTGTTGGCTATCATTACTCATGGTGGCAAAGTGGTATATCCCACAGAGACTTTTGATGCTGGTGCTTGCCTGAGAGCAATCTCCGAAGAACAATGTACGGCCCTTCATGGAGTTCCAGCAATGTTCGATTCAATATTCAGTCTCCCTCGACCCGATGATTTTGACTGCTATCGCCTTCGGACCGGCATCATTGCTGGAGCTCCAGTCCCTCGACATCTGATGGAACTCTTGGTTAATGATCTCGGGATGACCGAATTTACGAGCAGTTATGGTAAGCCTTTTGTCCTGACAAGTACCTTCCGGCAACTGATCGTCATCTGTCAGGTTTGACTGAGGCAGCTCCCACTTGTTTCAATGCGATGCATGATGACCCAATCGATCTTAAACTCTCCACCGTCGGTCAAGTCATGCCACACGCCCATGCCAAAATCGTGGACAGACATGGAAATATCTTGCCGATTGGCGAGCGAGGGGAGTTATGCATTGCTGGATATCAGCTGCAGCGTGGATACTGGAAGAATCCTGAGAAAACTGCCGAAGTGATGGTCCGCGATGAAGATGGTGTCCTGTGGTTACACACAGGTGACGAAGCCGTCTTCCATGAGGACAAGACTTGTACCATCACGGGTAGGTTTAAAGATATCATTATTAGAGGTGAGTACAGTTCCTTTCAAACTTTGAAACCCTCGGCTCACGAGGACTTACCAGGAGGCGAAAACATCTACCCACTAGAAGTTGAAGAGCGACTGGTGCAACATGCCGCCATTGAGAGAGCAATTGTTGTCGGAGTGAAACACCATCGGTTGGGAGAAGTGGTGGCTGCATTTCTGCAGGTTGCTCCTGGGAAGTCTGGGCCTCCAGAACCTCTCCTCAGTGATGACGAAGTGCGTGGATGGGTGAGGGTAACATTGGGTAGGCACAAGGCACCAGAACATGTATTCTGGCTTGGAAGGGACGGTGTCCCAAACACGTTACCTCTGACGGGCAGTGGAAAGGTGAGAAAGTTTGAGCTTGCCAAATTGGCCGAGCAAATCCTCGCGAAATCCAGAGCGAGGCTATAGACGTGTATGGAGTAGCCTCATGTGTATGATTCTTAGTGTAGAAGCTGATGCTGTACTTGTGGACAATCGCCAATGGAACATTTCTTATGTGACGTTTCTTATGTTGATGTGAGTGGTATGAGTATGTGGCTTCAGACCAATTTTCTCCAGTCTAAACTCCCGTGCCCTGGCTTTTTGATAGTCCAATCTACAGTCGCGCAGCTTTCTATATCATTTTTGGTGCATCGTCAAAGTTTGTTCCCAGCGTAACAATAAATTCCAGTCTGCTTTTACTAAAGGCTACCGCTAATATTCTCCTCCATGTTTGGGTCCAAGTTATTGTTCATAGTCTAGCTGATCTCTCCTCGACCGAAGACTCGCTTGGCTGCTGTCTTTGCTGCACAATTGACTCAACAGCACGACGGCTTCTTTCTGCCAGAGTCGGAAAAACAGCTTCGTCGTCCTGGGAAGGGTCAGTAATGACATCACAAGCGGATCAGAAGCATACGTTGTTTGCCTCCCCAATAGACCCTTGTAGCCACAATCCACAACCTCTTGCTAGCATACCAGATCGGAAATTCACCTGGTAATTTCGGTCGACAGAAATCCCAGGTCCTTCAACCAGTTCGAACAGTTGCTGCATTATTGCTTGATGGTCAGTCTTGACGAATCCGGTTGCGGCAATGACAAGGTCATAGCTATCGGTATGCCGTTCTTCGTCACCGGAAGTTTTGAACCCCAGCACGACCTTATCCCCTGTCATCCTTTCTGCTGAGGTCAGTTCTCGACCGACCTTGATTTGATGCTGCCATTTAGAGGGATCTGATTGCTTCACACTTTGGCGATACTGTGAGTCATATATGGTCCGCAGAAGCTCATCATCGACTTCACTGGATCTCAAATCCAGTGCCTGTCGTCTCAACTCTGCCGGTAATATTCGGGCAGCACTTGTTGCCGGCTGTCGTACAACGTCTTGGAGGCTATAAGCAGCATTAGTGCAGAACACTTTCGGATCGAACAGTACAACTTACAACGGGCTGCCATCAGATGTTCTGAAGACATTTTCTCGTGTGTACCAAATCGTCTGATGATCGCCTCGGATGCTTTGGACGTAATCGAAGACTTCAGCAGCGGATTGGCCGTCCCCAACAATTGCAATTCGACCTCGTCCTCCAGTTCTTTTTAAGGATGCAGGAACGACTTCGAGGGTCTCCGTCGAGTGTGCAACTACTGGGCGGACGTGAGCTTGTGACAAGATGGCCGGTACACGCGGCTCCGGTTCCGTGGCACAAATCACTTGCTTGGCTTCTGCCACTTCCAGCTTTCCTGTGGCCACATCCACGAAGAATACTTTCCAACTCGAAACTCTGCCTGTTGAGTTCTTCACTGGCACAATCTTGTCGACCTTCTTGGAGAATTCCTTTCGCACGTGGAGATTATCGGCACACCACCGCAGATACTCGGCGAATAGTTCTCTTGAAGGCGTAATGCGGGAGCTGTTGGCATAGACGATGAGGCGGTTGGTGGCGTGAAGATAGTTCATGAACGTGAACCTTGACCGAGGATTTTCGGAAGTAATGAGATCGTTCAAGAATGAAGTCCTCAGTCGTTCAGATGGAATATCTGGATATGGCTTCCAAGAACTTTGCGGCTGAGTTTCTAAGAATAATGCATTGTCTAGCGATTTCTTCTCATGCAACGCAACGGCGAGGGAGAGCGCAGTTACCCCGAATCCGATGCATATCAGATCCAGGGCCTCAGAGTTGTATTGCGTAGAAGACACCATTTCAAATGCTTGTATGCTGTTGTTTGCCATCCAGAAGTTCACGTCGTGCACTGAGAATTATACTAGGACAACGGCCCTCGTGGAATCAACACTACCTAGGGACCGCAGGAGTACGGATTTAGTGCGGTCGGAGTAGATGATCCCTGACACACTCTCTTTGGGCTACTGTACATTATTACCAGACTCTGCGTCATCCATGTGATCTGGTGTCTGTCATTACAGCGTGACGGTGCCTGTATCTGGTATAAAACGAAGCCAGTATTGCTCCGTATCGTGTATGTCAACAATACACCGGACAGTCTTGGCAATGCCCCTCGTCGGATCAGATAACTCAATATTACATCTGATAACTTAATTTACACCACGCCAAATCTGCGCCGAGACCGCGCCGGCCTGCAACAACTACCCGGGTCCCGCATCCTCATTGGCCCCTACTACTGGTCACGGAGCTGTGAAAAATTTTCATCTGATAAGATTATCTCCAATCGAACGTTCCCTTTCATCCTCATGTACGGAGTATCACCCCATTCCAATTTCGATGTTCCACCGTGCCTCGATCCATTTCCCAAACGATTTCCCTCCCAGGCACTTCGACCGAAGAGCCATCTTGATGGGGTTATCAACCAAATGACAGGAGCTGGGACCCTGTGTCGTGGTCTGCGGGCCTGCGACATCGGAAACATGAACACTAGCACATTTCTTTACCAGATGGCCGGACATGCTGGAGGAGTCGGGAACCAGTGGCAGCAACGGAATGGTTCAGAATTGATCCCTTCTGGTGGTCTATCCTGACCCCGGGTGAAACATCTGCATGCAACTGCATGCAACCACGTTCAGCTGCAACCTTGCGCACGCGAAGACTGACACGCCAGTGATCACAGAACCCAGTCCACACTTTGTTCGATGTCATGTTGACGCTGCTTCCTTATACGCAGACAACTCATTCGTGCCGATGTGGATGATCATTTCCTCAATCATACGAGAATCAGACTATGTGGCTGTACGCGTGTCATGTTTGAAGTCCCGATCGGGAGCAGGCCGCTCAGATGCCGCAATCTTTGTATGATCAGGACATCACGAAGGACATTCCTTTCCAAGCTGCATATGGTTCCAACAGACTGTTCTTCGTCAGCTCGGGTCGATGTCTCACCATACTGGCGGTACTCACTGGTGTATCCCAGATCATTGCCAAAACACATGTCTTGGACACTTTCTCCGTAAGTGACACCATCAGCCGGCCAATATGCGACGGCTTGCTTGCCAACCGCAATGCCGATCATGGGCGGTATTTCATTCAACTCCAGGAATTCCGGTTTGATACCTTCTTGCTCGACGAGCATCAATTGGTGTATATTCTGTGCAGCGTATTGCCCCATGTGCATCGCTGAACCACACCGCTTAATCCCCGACCACTTGGCAATGTCGCCAATTGCAAAGTGATTGAGCGAGTTGGGCATATCAGGCGTGAGATGCAGTCTGAGCGAAACATCAGCTTTCCCATTCGCACTCGCACTGATCAATTGCACTCACCTGGGGGTGACCTTGACATAACCTTCGTTGTCCAGGGCTAATGCCGGTAGATATGTGGTGGAAGGTATACTTCTTGATATAGCGTGAATCACATAGCCGGCGCGAAGTTTCGAGTTGTCGGCTAATGTCAATTCAGAAATGGCATCGCCCTCTTCTGACTGAGATGTCTCGACGCTCAATACGCGTTGGCCCATGATAGTTTCTACTCCAGCCTCATGGAGAGTACTGAGACATCTATCTTTGAACTCGTCTGGAAGGGGTTCGGAAGAACAAAGTCTGTCTCGGGAGTGAATCAAGGTAACTTTCTGATCAGGCATCACCAGCTTGATCTCAGCCGCCATCTCAATACCGACAGCCCCTGCAGATAGGTGAGCTTCGCAATCACATTGATGCACTTGACCTAGCGAAGGTGACACGTACCTCCTCCTATGACCGCCACGCCATCCTTGGCCTTTCTCACTGCTTCAATGTGCTCTGCCGCCTCGGACAGGTATGACTCTCTGGTCTTGGCTTGAGGGACGACAGGCCACGCTCTTCGAAGACCTGTTGCAGCGACAAGGTAGTCGTACTCCAAAGTAACGGGTGACTTCGTCTCCGAATCTAGGATCACTGCGTGTTTTTTGACGGAGTCAACCTTCTCAGCAGTGCCTTGAATGAATCGAATGTCCTTCAAGGCCGGAAGGTCTCGGAACTTTGTCCAGGCCCTTGGTGCATATTCACTGGAAGCAAGTGCAAGCGGCGTAGATATCAGATGGACTTTATTATGGATTAACATGGCGCTGCGAGTACGTATGTGCTTGTTGACACTTACAATATCCATCCTTCTCATCCACGACCGTGATTTCAACAGAGATCTTGCCGAACTTGCTTGTATCGGGTGCCTGGGCTGCAAATCGTGCCTTTCTTCCACTGCAAAGATCCTGCAGGTTCAGAGCCGCTCCAAGCCCAGCGTAGGAACCTCCGAGAACGAGGACCTTATAGGGAATCTGTTTAACGATGGAAGCGAGAGTTTCGTTTGACGGCATATTGAAATTCCGATTGGTGCCACAAATTAATCTAGAACAGACGTAGCAAACCACATAATAGTAGACACGAAGCAGATGAGACTCACATATATAGATGTCTACAGTAGCCAAGGGGGCTGGCTCTATGGGGCACTCACGCTTTGGCCGAAATCGGTTCGGAAGACTGGGGAAGAATTGTCCTTGGGCCCTCCCATTCCTGATAGCGTAACTTGGTGCCTTTTTTATCGATTTATCTTGGCGACAAGGGACACGATAGCATCGAGAGGAGTCAGTGTGCCATGACCGAGAAGTATAAATATGGCAGTGTACTCAATCATGGTTGCGCCTTCAAGAATTAAGGTTGGAATGTGGCATGTAATGGTGAGAAGGGATCGAATGACAGACCGCGATGTCGACAGCCGATACGCCTCCAGTAGTGCCACATGAACGAAGATGGTGATGAGAGGCAATTGACAGCCATTCAGCACGCTCTCACTTAGTAAAACATGATGAACGGGCCAAGTGGTGGATGAATATGCCTGAAATGATGAGGTAGGGTGTGAGATGAGAGGCAGAGTTTTGTGCTTGCCTCCGGGCTTGCCTAAAGTTACTGACCAGGCCCCCAGAAGCGCCTATTGCGGCTCACCTAGCTTGCCGAGTCATTGACTCTTTAGGCGCTGATCAATGCCTAGACTTTTCATCATTAGGCACTCAGCTTCCCGGCATCAACATCATTTCCAGCCGAAGTCCAGATCGCCAAGACTGCACGTGTTCGATCAAATCACCCCAAAGTCCCCGTGACTTCATTCACCCTCCATCCGACATCGTTCTATTCTCCCAACCAAGTGCTCAACATCACAAGACGAAATTACAACACTACCCGATGTCAACCTCCAAGTTTCGCGTTTTCAAACCGAACCCTAAACCATCAGTGTCTTATTCCCGAGCTTGCTATGCCTGCCATGAGAGGAAGGGTCAGTCTCTCCACCATCTGAGCGAACATTGATTGACGAATAATGCCAAAAGTTCGTTGCAATGTCGAAGTGCAGCATCCTTGTGCCAGCTGCGAGATTCATGGTGTCGATTGCAGGTATGTTACTACCATCTTACTTGGCCTTCGATTCGGATGTATCCAACTACGTGAGTGTTCATGTTGGTGACTGTGAGCTGCCAGACCCCGTGTGAAACCCCAGAAGTCTGCCCACTCCCAGGCGAAAAGGGCGCAGAGCCCAAAAGTTCCAGCCGCGGCTGGGCACACTATCGATTTGGCTGCCGATGACTGCGTTGCAACATCGCAAAACCCAGCCATCCCAGTGGCAGACGACGGCGAAGAACTTGGTGACCATACACACTCTCCAAGACTGCCTAACCCTCCGACACCGACAGACATTCCATCCCTGTTCGTACATAGTCCCATTGTTTCAGGAACCGGTGTGCAACTCCTGGAAGAAGTAACGTCACCATCCATAGATGAGTTCCACAACTCTTCATTTCTCTCACGAAGTGCTATCTTGGGTCAAGACTTTCCTGAACTTGACCATACGCATCCAGACCGAACGGCTCATGAGTTCAGACTGTCCGAGGCCGATCTCAAGGTGTTGGAAATCCACAAAGCTTTTGACTTGCCACGGCTCGCTGTGCGGCAGTGTCTGTTCGAGGCAGTCTTGAACAATTGCTGGACATGGATGCCGGTTCTTGACGCTGACGCATCTTTCCCCAAGAGGTCATCTCTGGGTATCCTAGAGACAAAATCTATTCTTCTCCTGCAGTCATTGATGCTGGTGGGATCCTACATGACGGGAGGGCAGCACATTGATATACCTCTATTGGCACACTATCGTCGTGTCAAGGCGATCATCGATAGTGGGGTGGAACGGAATCCTTACAAGCTCCTCATCGCCGCGTGTCTGATACAGTGGTGTGCACCCAGTGCTCCAAGGGACATATCAATGGATAGTCCTCGCTTCTGGAATATGTATGCTATCAGTCTCGCACAACAGATGGGCTTGCACCGAAAGCCTCTCTACCCTACTCCGAACGACGGACTTCGCAAGCGGATCTGGTGGACTCTGTTTGCGCGAGACAGCCTCTCGGCTTCTGCACACGGCCGGCCCCGCTTGATCAATCTTGCAGACTGCACCGTCGAGAAACCCAGCCTTCTAGATTTCCCAGACCCTGCCGATGTACGAGCTCAGATATTTATCTCATGGGTCTCGATATGCGAGATCCTCCATGACATCTGCCTGTCACTTTCTGGACCTGATGGAGCGACACTACCACAAAAGCAGATGCTCTCTGATCGACTTCTTGATTATATCCGCAACCTAAGCCCCACACTCCGCCTGACAAAGCTAGAAGGCGCACATCGTCCCTATGACTTCCAACTCGCACAGCTCCATGTCACGATCCTGACGGCAATCACCATCCTCCATCGACCAGCGTCTATATTCAACATAAGCCCTCTCTACTCCTCGGCTTTGTCCATCACCGCTTCACACCTCAGTGTCAAGATATTTGAAGCCATGGAACTGCGTGGCCATACTCAATGTCTAAGTTCAGCGTACACCTGGTCCATGTTGGTGGCCGCCATTCCGCAATTGTCGGCACTCTGCTGCGTTCCGGCGCTTGCGCAAGAGTCTGGTCAAGCACTTGACACTATCGAAACTTCGCTTCAGTCATTCAGTCGTGTTAGGATGTCCGCGGTCAACAATCTTGCAAATGTCAAGGCTATCAGGAAGGCGATTTCGGTTCAGCAAACGAACAACCCAGACTTAAACCATACAAGGAGAGGACAAGACCACGCAGAAACTCAGGAATCTTCCCATCTTGATAACTCGAATTCAATCGTGTTCAATGTTGAGAGATTGCTCCAGCCTTACGGTCCTTCGGCGTTGAAGTACTACGAGTCGAACGTAAATATATTGCGACCGTTCATTGCAAGCACCATAATGCCCGGCCTTTCGGAAGCTCGAGGCGGCATGCGAGGGCTTAGTGACCGAGACATGGAAATGAATGGCTGGCAAGATGAAGGATTTGGGTCCGTGTCGAGGACAAATGCCGATGCATTCAATCTAGACTTCCAGCTCCTCGTTGGTGATGATTTCCAGGAGACCGGATGGATGCGCAATTGGATCGAAGACCTGGAACTCTTTGATCTTGAGGCGTGAGGTCGCACGGCCAACGAGTACAAAATCGTATCAGCTCAGCGCAGCGGATGATCAGTTTTTGCCTCCTTGACCAGCGCGTCCAACTCCTTGCCTGATGAGATAGTCAAGTATTCTTCACGAAGTAGCAACTATTGCACTTTGGAATTGTCCGCCTTATCTGCATTGTCACTTGCAGCGAGCGTGAAATCGGAATCGCGAATGTCCGCATTTTGACTGGTCAAGTCGTGGACTTAGCCGTCGGGACAGAATCAAGGGTTATCTCGACCACCCTCTACTTATTTCTGGGACGTCAGGCCAATACGCTCATTCATTGCTTAGTATCCTGTTTTTTGATTGTCAGTCTCACCAGTACAAGCGCAATAATGTCGACCACAGCCACGGTGGTGGCTCCGCCAGAGCCTCAATACGAGTATTACTTCCGAGACGGCACCACCGACAATAAACGAGAAATCTTGACTGGCGATAAAGCTGTGCCAACGTTTGAAGAAGTACCCGTCGTCGACATCGAGAACATATTCAGTAATGACTTCGACGAACGTCTCCAAGCGGCAAAAGAGGTGGCTGAAGTCTGCAAGACTGTCGGGTTCATGTACATCAAGAACCATGGCGTTTCGCAAGACCTGATCGACGAGGTCTTCGATATGTCACGCAAGTACCACGCACAGCCGCTCGAGGTGAAGAAAGAGCAGGACGTGTACCAGTCGCCGACACTTCGAGGATATGAGATTCACTACACAAAGACCCCGACAGGCGAGGCAGGTGAGTGTCAGTAAACGCCGGGGGCTCCCAGTGGTCTTGAGTCTTGGCCCAGCTGATCTAAGACCGCAACAGTGAAGAAGGGATCTTTTCTCTACAGTTATGATCCCGACAACGATCCGCAAGTACCAAAGTTGACCCCAGAACAACGAGAGTTATGCATCGGAATCCACAATCAGTGGCCGGAGAAGTGGCCCGAATTCAGAGCCACCATGTTAAAATACCAGGCTGAACTCCTAAAGCTATCTCGCGCCCTGCTTCGGACATTTGCTCTCGGGTTAGGCGCGGACGAGAACTACTTTGACCCTATTGTCACCGCTCCCTTTGTGAGTATCATCCTGCAACACTACGCACCTCGGGACCCGCAAGCAGAAGATCTGGATGGTCTTGGTGCTCACAGTGACTTTGAAAGTAAGTCTACACAATTCCTCTGATTCTGTTATCCGACTAACCTGAAATGATAGCATTTACGATTTTGAACCAAGATATGATCGGAGGACTCGAGATTTTAAACAAGAATGGAATCTACATCCCTGCCAAACCGATCCGTGGGACATTTGTAGTCAACGTCGGGGATTTCCTGCAACGAATCTCCAACGACCAATTTGTGTCGACCGTCCATCGGGTCCGCAACAGTTCGGGTGTGAACCGCTACTCGATCCCCTTCTTCTTCAGTTTCAACATGGACGTTGCAGTTCCGGTACGAGACATGGTGCATTTCTGGTCGGCAGTGTCAACTGGGCTAACAATCATTCCAAAGGTCATGCCGGCATGTACGTCCGAGGATAACCCGGCCAAGTATGAGCCACGAAACTTGCATGAAGTATGTATTTTCCCTTTCCTAGTTCGCATCACATTTCCGAATGTTTTCACTAATACGACCTGCAAACTTAGTACACTGCGGAGAGACGTCGACTCAAGATGGAAACACACAAGAATGGCATTCACGACGCACTTGGCTGAGCACCCTCAACACACAACATTGTGACTTTCGTGAATAAGACATGTCTTTCATCGTTCTACAACATTGGTCCTGACTAGACTCAATAACTATCTTCCTACATCCTACAGTCTTGATTTTACTGTTCCGCTGTCTTTCTCCTCCTCCAGCCTCTTCCATATTCTCCTTGTATCCACCATCATCGGCCACAAATGTTGCATGTTGTTCATTTCGCTCTTCTGCGCTCCCTCGAACAAGGCCTCGTACGGCGTCTGGTCAGCCCGAGCCAGAGCACTGTCCAGCTCGTACTCTGTAAAACCGTAAGCGTCGATGACCTTGGCCACATGGTTCTCAGCTAGATCGTCCAAGGCATTCCTATAGGCGTCTGCAAGTAATCTTCTTTGCCGACCCGTCAATGCCAGCGGTGGAATCAGGGTGAGATGGGCGTTCTGGAGAATCGAGAGTGAGAACTATATCCGGATATCATGGTCAGTCAAGTCATCATCCCGGACATTGTTGTAATCATGACCATACCACTTGTGCAAGTGCGACGAGCGATGGCGCGAAGCTCTCATTTTTGCTCCGGTCTATGACTTCCCATAGACCTTTCCAATACACAAAGTCCCCGTGGGCCATTGTGAGCGCATGCGTCGAGAAACTGGTGTCTTTTCCGGCAGCGGTATCGTCCATGTGATTCTGCACGAGGACTACCAGGCGCTGTTCGAGCACGAAGCGCTGAGTGTCTCGTCTGAGCCAGTCCGACGCCGAATGGACCTCAATCGGCGCCACTGTCGTGTCGTTGCGAAGAAAAGAGAGGTACGACAGACTTGACAGAGATGATTCTGTCTTGCTATTGTGGATGGTCTAAATGTCAGTCTCCAATGGTTTAGGAGATATTTCGATGGCTCGAACGACTTTTCACTCACGCTTTGAAATGTTTCAATATCGCCCTGGGAACCTGCTGAGCAACGACGTAGTTGTCGCCTTCGTACGTCACGGCGTTGATCGAATTCGCATACATCCGACCGAAGCCTGAGTGTGCATTGTATCCGTGACCTCCACATGCGATACGACATGTCTCTACGCCGTGTCCGGTGATCTCGGTGGAATATACCTTGGCACCCACGGTCTGAAGATGGAGATCTTCAAGCTCAGAGGTGTCATTCGTTTTGAGATATTCCTCTGTGTACCTGTCATAGGCTCGCTTGATATTCTGACCCACCAGCACGAGTGCTGTCGCCTATTGATCAAACCAGTCAGTAACAGACTGTCATCTACCCCGATTTGGCCTGTCAAAGAAGCTCACCTGAGCAAGAAGCGGCAACAGGCGATATCTGACACTGGCATAGTTGAAGACCGCCGTCTCTTCTCCTTTCTTGTCGTGGTCGAATTGCTTTCGGAAAGTCGTATAGTGGTAGGCAACCGTAACGGCTTTCAACAAGTCCCAACCTGTGATCTCTGCCATGAGTGCCCGGACCGTGACCATGGAACCATACGAGTGCTTGGTGTTCTTCGGTGGGACATACATCCCGTCCCTCAGCACCTGGGCATTTCGCGCAAGCATCTGACTCCGTGGAACTCGGACGTTGTGGAATCTCAAAGCACCATTGTCTGTGCCGAGCATTCCTTGAAACACCTTTGGTCCCATCTCGTAGATTTCGACTCCCGGCATCAACTCCTGCGTGTCGAGGTTCCGAAGTTGCGTGAGGAACAAGTGGTTGCCGTACTCCTTGCCGTTGATGATCAGTCGCGCCACCACGATAGAATGGGTTGCCCAGATACCAGTAGCTCCTATCCAAAATTTGGTACTGCTAACGGTTGGAGAGTTGATGACGAACTCATCCGTGGCTGGATCAAACGTCGACGTCGTCTCGATCCCTCGAACGTTGGAGCCATGGCCCAGCTCGGTCTGGGAATAGGAGCCAAAGATCTCAAACCTCTCTGCTTTTGGGATCCATATCGCCTTTTGCTCATCAGACATTTGTCTCTCCAGGTTCGACATGAATACTGTGATGAAATTTCAATGTTAGCCCTTGATCTCACTCATAGACGCATGCCCTCTTCCCCCGTGACATACTTCTGAATTGAGGCTGCACAGGGAGCATATTATCTGTGAACCTGATACTCTCCATGAACTGTCTGTGAGGCCAGTTGTTCTTCAACTTGAGCGTAATGAGCTCTCTCGACTGTAGAGCAGCCCGGGTCCAGGCATCTTTACGTGCCAACGACGGAAGCGTCACTGCTTTCTTGGAAAAGATGGGATTGTCGATAAATGCTTCCAAGATGGCCTTTCGTCTGTCGAACTTCTCCCTTCCGCCCCAGAGGAACAAACCAAACGGCGTTTCCTTGGGTGCCAGAGGAATATTTCTCTTTGTCTGGCCTTGGTTCGTCATCGATGTTGTATTCACTGACGACTCACTTCGTATTCCAGCGATCTTGGTCTCTGCACTCGGCTCGAGACACTAGGTAAGCTGTTGAATATTAATGCCTGCCGATTCTGCCTCATTTCATTGCCGGTCATCCGCATCTGCAAATTCAGGGTGATCGTCACTTGGATAACTGTAAGGTGCCAATGTCCGAGAATTGGAGATGCCCCCAGGTTCGGCATTTTCTGTTCGGAAACTGCCCAAAGTGGTAGTCACCGAGAACTAGGAACCCACTTTTTCCCCAGCCGAATACCCCGTGAACTGATATAGCGAACAGCCGAGGACGTCTATTCAGGTACGTGCCCTGGTATCACGGCGTATTTTGCGTGCATCGCCATGTTTTGAAATATTAGGCTTCCAAGACTCTAGGTGGTCTTATGCCAAGTGAGTAACCTGACATTGCAGAGTCAGACCATTGAAGAAGGCCCGTACATACGACAATGTCGACCACTCCCTCAGATCCGGACGACAGGATACACTTTGTAAAAAGACACCAGGGACCCAATGTGTTACCAAACTTCTACTTCTTCAGCCGCCTGGTCCGACTGGCATATAAACCCCAGCTGATCGCTGTGGTCGACCTGACCTTTGGTTATACCGCGAGCTATGCACAGCTCTTGACAGATGTTTTGAACTTCAGAAATGTCCTCCGATCTCGCCTCAGCCCAAGCGTGGTTGCTAAATTAGATCGAGATGAGGAAGTGTATATCAATTTGCTTGGTTCGGCCGGATATGAATTCACAGTCGCTTTTCTGGCCTTGATGGCTCTTGGTGCTGCGACGGTACCGATATGTATATTTACCCATCATGAACTTGAAGACATTGGCTGATCATACTCTCAGCGCCGGATCTTCCAGTCAAAGAGGCTGCATATTTTGCTGAAAAGTCGAGGGCAGCAGCTGTCATCACCGCCAAACGCAGCATCCCTCTGGCTCAGAGCCTAGAGAAATGGATGCAAAGTTCAGGCCACTCGCAGTATCAGTCGATAGAGGTCACGCCACATATAATGAGACCTTGCCTGGACCCGGATCAATTCATCATTTCTTCCGATCCATACCTTGACCTGAACAAATCAGGGTTGGTGATCTTCACGTCTGGCACGACGGGACCCCCAAAAGGTGCTGTGAAGCGCCGAGGTTTCTTGATTGACGTTGCTCTCAGCTTTGGAGACCAGCATGGTATTCAACAGGGCGATGTTGTCCTGCACATGCTCCCTGTACATCATGCAACAGGTATCACGGTGACTCTACTCCCGTTCTTGTGGTTCGGAGGGCAGATTGAATTTCGAAGCGGATCCTTTGATGTCCCCTGGACATGGGAGCGAATACGTAAAGGAGGCTTGACCTACTTCAGTGGCGTACCGACAATCTACATGAGGATGATGGCGTATTACGAGCAGCGGCTGGCCAAACTACCTCAGGATCAATTGAAAAGTTACGTCAGTGGTGTGAACGAATTCCGAGCGATGCTTTGTGGGACATCGGCTCTCCCTCGACCATTACAGTCCAAATGGACAAAGTTAAGAAACGGTCGACCAATTCTCACCCGCTACGGCGGTACGGAATTTGCCAATGGATTTACAGTCACACCATGGGCCCGAGGAGTCCCTGATGTATGTGCGCTCCTCAGATTTTCAAAACAGCCACTAACGCTGTGCAGGGCTCGGTGGGTGAGAGAGCTCCGGGCACAGATCTGTACTTGACGAATGGAGATGAGGGCGAGATCATGTCCAGAAGTCCTATCATGTTTTCCAAGTCCGTTCTAATTTGTCTCCCAGCCAAAGATGATATCGCTGATGATGAACAGATATTTGTTCGACCGAGAAGCCACCAAAAAGTCCATGGACGAGAATGGCTATTTCAAAACTGGCGACATTGCTCGACGAGAAGGAAAATACTACTTTATCCTGGGTCGCGCATCAATAGACAGTAAGTCTCCCACGTTCATTCGTAAGCTTTTCTAACTGGGTGACCACAGTCATCAAGTCTGGCGGATACAAATTGTCCGCCCTGGACATAGAGCGGGAGATCCTTGGCCTCGACTACGTTTCTGAAGTCATGGTCGTTGGCGTCGAAGATGAGGAGTTTGGACAGAGAGTTGCAGCAGCGATTGTATTGAAGCCAGAGGTGAGACTTCGCCAACAGGGGACGGTGGCAGAGAGAGCTGACTTTAATCAACAAAAGGTTCTGAAGACTTTGTCCCTCGAGAAGCTTCGCACAGATCTGAAAGACAGTCTTGCAGGTTACAAAACCCCTACATTACTGCGTGTGGTAGATGAGTTACGAAAGAATGCTACGGGTAAGGTGATCAAGAAGGTCTTGGTGAAAGAGCTTTTCCCTCCCGAGGGCCATCCAGACATACAGATGTGGACATCACAGAAGCAGAGGAGCAAATTGTAGTTTGGTCTTAAAGAAGTCCGACCATAACCTTACACGTACACTAGAGATGATATCCCCGACAGTTAAAGATGATTGATCTGGTACTCTGCCAAAGTTCTTTCAGTCTTCATCATATGCAAGGCGCCAAGGGGTATTGGCGCTTTGAGAAGACGCTTTCGTCGATTTATTTTGATAATGCTCTACCGAGATGTAACATTGCTCAAACGCTTATATCATCCTAGACCCAGGTCATAGCTTGACCTTGGGTTCTCGAGCTGTCTCTTTGTGATGCACATAACTATTCTGGCGATATGCCAGTAGCGCTTGACCCCATAGCTCGCTCCGTAGCAGACCATAAACACCCATTTTCGCTTTACTCTTCCACTTCCTAGCCAACTCCATGGCAACATCGAACATGTGATCGGGTTCTGCGATTGCGTCTACGATACCATCCTCTAAAGCAGTCTTGCCAGTGTACTTGTGGGCCTCAAGGAGAACCTTCCTCGCAACTTTCGGGGCTAGCTTTAATCTGATCAAAGAGCCCATGCCGTCGTGATGAAGACCTGCATTCACCGGTGGCATCTGCCAGAAGCCTCTTTTGGAGTTCATCACTCGATAATCGTGTGCTAAGGTCAATAGACACGCGCCGCCAAAAACGTGTCCTGTGATCAATGCTATTGTTGGGAATGGAAAGTCCAAGACTGTTGCCAATAACTGGTACACACACGCCATTCAGCGACTAGTATCATGAGATGGACAGTGACTTACTGGGTAGAAGCCATCGCTGGATGCAAACATATTCCGCTCCCGTTCATCAAGATCGAGACCCTAGTATATTGTCAATCGATACTCGAGTAACCGACGTACACTTCGACGTACAGTGGTGAAGAACTTGGCATTATCTCCACGCAGAATCACAGCGCCCTCAGAGTCGGACCCCAATGCGCGCTGAATGCTGTGATACGCGTGTATCAACTCTTGACAGCAATCAACATTGAGTCGGTTCTCTGGAGGTTTGCACAGGGTGATGACATAGATACCCTCACCCCCTTTCTGTTCGACGGTAATGTACTGGTATTTCTTTTCCATGGTCGACGTGACAAACTGTGCTGTTTTGCCAAGTTGCAGTCGTATGACCCTTTCCTCCTCCGTTATGCATATATGTCTTGGTTTGCATAACGAAATATTTCAACGTTGGAGAAATGTCTGAGACTAGCTTCGCCTCATACGGACCCATGATAATTGCCTCATCCAGAAGGACCGAGATGATTTTGCCGAAAAGAGGGATGAATGGTAAGCATTTCTCCAGGTTCTCCTCACACGCCCCTTCCACGACCAATTACAGGGTCTACAGCACCACAGAGTATAACCGAGACATGGAACCCCACGGGGATAGTCATGGAGTGTCCTTATCAGGCCGAAGTCATACAACAAGTCACACCATTCCTCTCGATCTTTCGTCTGTGTTCCATCAGTCTCAGCTGAGGTCACAGAAAATTGGTTGGACTCTGCCAGGATGTTGGGTTTTACAGCTTTTAGCAATGCTAGGGAGGCAGTCGAGGCCGAGGGTGTTCTCATCGGCGGATGGTCCCTTCGACGTGCCATGTGGCCAAAGACGGTGGATGGTATACACGGTGAGTATCTGTTTCTCTTTACTATTGTGGTATTGAACTCTGATATCTTGAACAGACAGCAGTCAAGATCGTGTAGAGCATGTTGCTGCCATCCAAGACTGGGACGCAGCTGAAGAGGCAGCTTTGGTCAGAAAGATCGACCTTCGTGTTCTGTTGCCATGCTGCATCGTTTACTTCCTCGCTTACCTGGATCGTGCCAACATGGGTTTCGTCAATATCATGCAGGCGGGCACAAGTCATAGCTTCGAAGAGAGTTTGCATCTAAAAGGCACGGACTTCAACTGGGTACGTTCAAATTCGATATGGGAGTAGGTTTTCAGTCATAGTGTTCTGACAAATAACCCCAAAGGCCGTCTCGATCACCTACTTCATGGTCACTGTCCTCCTGATGCCTTCCAATCTCCTCATGAAGAGGTTCGGCGCGAAGAAATATTTCCCAGTCATCATGGCGCTTTTTGGTAAGATACTGAACTTTACAATACCTATTGGGTACAAACTAACCTCTGCCTACCTACACAGGCACCATTGTCATGACCATGGCTGCAGTACACAACTATGACGGTCTCCTAGCAGCCCGGTTTTTCCTGGGTGTTCCAGAAGCCGGTGTTGTACCTACAACAATCATGTACTTCAGCTTCTGGTATAAGCCAACTGAGCGAGCCTGGCGTATTGGCATTTTCCACGCTGCAAATGCCCTGGCGTCTGGTGTTGGTGGTTTCCTTGCCGTTGCTATTGACCATGTATGAGCGAGTCCTTGGTCTGAATGCCAAAACAATAGCTGACGAGTAGTATAGCTTGATGGAAGAGCGGGTCTCGAAAGCTGGCGGTGGCTCTTTATCATTGAGGGTCTGCTACCAATCATCATGGCCGTCCCAGTCTACTTCCTTCTTTTAACCTTTCCCGAGACATCACCAGCATTGACAGACCGAGGTGAGCCGCACATGCATGGAACATTATCGTATGGTGCCTTGGCTAATTAGTCATGCAGAGCGTCACATTGCTATCAACAGATTCGGTCGAGGCGCCACACGCAGCACCGATGTCACATGGGAATGGCGAGCATTTGTCGCTGTTATGAAACGACCTTCCACCTATGTGTTTTTCGTGTCATACATCTGTCTCTTGATCGTGGCGGTGGCGCTAGGAACATTCTTGCCAACTATCCTCAAAGTGGTACGTTCCACAGTCTCTCCGGTGTTCATTGACATCCAAGCTGACCTTTTGAAGTTTGCAAAATTCTCAAGCACAAAAGCAAATGAATACACTTCAGCCGTTTACTTCGCCGCCATCGTTTGCTACGCCGTATGGTCATGGCACTCTGACTGGACTCGAGAGCGAATGTGGCATTACATCCTCCCCGCAATGGGTGCAATTCCGTGCTTTGCGGTCTGGACGTATGTGGGTTCTCATGAGAGCTTCAGTGGAATCAAACCGATTTCCTTGTACGGCCTCGCATTCTTGGGAAACCTTGTGTCGATCGCACAGCCGGCGGCGCTCAGCTACCGAAGTTGTACGCTCTATGGTGCGTCAGAGCAAGCTGTCGGTGGTGCGATTGCTGTTGCCTCTCTGTCAATTGCCAGCATCATTGGACCACAGGTGAGCATTCAAAATTTCCCGTTCATATCGCCATCGGCTGACATTGGTTTCTAGATCTTCCCAAGCAGAGATGCACCATGGTGTAAGTTCCCCATCATCAACAGTCACCGCTTTCATTTAAAGTATATGTGATACTGACTCATTCAAGATGTTCCTGGTTTCTCGGCCGCTTGCTCAACAATCGCTTTCACAATAGTTAGCTTCGCGTCGCTTCCCGTTTGGCTCCTCATGGAAGCTCGATCTCGCAAGAAGAAGACCGGTCACGCGATGCCACTGAGAGCCATGGAAGACGCCGAGCACTCTATGATTTCTGCAGCTGCCATGGCTCGTCTTCACGAACAAAATATGATTGAAAATAAGGTTGACGTTGAGGCTCCCAAACATGTCGAGGAGATCCCAATGGAAGGACAAACCAAGCATTAATACAAACATGAACAGACACTATGGCAGAAAAGGGTATACACATACACACACACATATATATATTTATTAAGGTAGTAGGCACTGTAGTCCATGTGTACGGATCCTTTGGTCTCTACAAAATGCGAGCACAGTAGTGACGAGGGGCGATTATCACGAGTTAGAGCGTGGAGAATAGGTATTCTCGGATGAGATTAAAATGAACGATGGTTGTTCACCGGAAATCTATCACATATACGTAGTATCTCCTGCATAGGCTTTCACACTGCTCGCTATTTAGTCCCAAGTCAAACTCTGTAGTGACCTTACCGTCGGTGCTGCCATGACCCCCTGGGGATTTCGGAAATTTCCTATTCAGGCAGCTTCCATTAGTATTTGGCCGAGGAATCACGAAATTCCGAGCAGCCGACGCCACAATACTTACGACTAGCTTTACAGAATGGCATGATGATATTACTGCGCACAAGACAAAGAGTCTGGCCACTTACAGCACTGATCTCGCTCTGTACTAAGTTGCTGTACCCATAGACAAATACCCGGGGCTATTCGAGGTTCTCATACTTTAGACGACACTCTCTGAGGCCGAAGTGACCACGACCACTGCCACGCACCAGTTCGGAACCAATTCACACGTATACACTGCGGGATATGGCTTCAGACTTCAGTCGTCACCTTCGCCCGGCTCCACCAGTTGGTGCCACCGTCATTAAGTGGGAGCGAGGACGATCTGACATCAACACCGATCAGTTGGGCGAATACCTCCATGGCAAGGTATACCTCGCGAGACAGAAGCGTCTCCTGGACATCATCACCAAGGAGAAGATATTCGACAAGTCTCAACAAGCAAATCTATCCCGACCAGATAGGTACAAGCTGGGTCTTGCTCGAGGGAAGAGACTACGCCAGCTACAAGACATCCATGGCTGGGACGAGGAAGACTTCGTCATGGCCGAGTACTTGGTCGACGACGTGCAGCCATATCACCTACACATCTCACTATTCACCGCGGCCATGAGAGAGCAGACCAGCGACCAACAGCGGGCGTATTGGATGCCGAAGATCGCCTCCTGGGAAGTCATTGGCGCCTACGCCCAGACGGAGCTAGGACACGGTAGCAACGTCAGGGGCATAGAGACCGAAGCGCGATGGGATCCGAAAACGCAGGACTTCATCCTCCACAGTCCGCATCTGACAGCCAGTAAATGGTGGAACGGGACGTTGGGCAGAACGGCCACTCACGCCGTTGTAGTTGCACAGCTCTTGATTCCCGACGGCGAGGGATCAGACCCCAAATACACATCTTATGGCCCCGTTCCCTTCATTGTTCAGGTTCGAGATATGAAGACACATCAACCTCCGAAATCGATCATCGTCGGTGATATTGGACCCAAATATGGCTATGCGCCAATGGATAACGCTTACATGCTCTTCGATCATCACAGGTACGTCTCTGATATTATGTTGGAAAAAGAGAGGGAGTTTCTCTACTGACAAGGCCGGATTGCAGAATACCACACAGTGCTCTCCTATCAAGATACTCGCAACTCGACCCTGTGACGGGACAGTTTACCAAGTCCAAGAACCCAGGTGCTCTCTACGGCCAACTGACGAGAGGTCGCTCCGTCATAGCCATGCACGCTCGGCTAGTCCTCGCGAGGGCCGTCACGGTCGCTGTGCGCTATCTCTCCATACGCCGTCAATTCCACGACCGTGACGATTCAGACAAAAACGGGCCGGAGATGTCTGTCTTGGACTATTCGACGGTCCAGATCAGAATCTTGCCACTGCTTGCCACCACTTTCGCCCTTCATTATAGCGGTCTCGCCATGCGCAGGCTGTACGAACGGACCAGGAACAACGGCGGCGGCGGCAGCGGCACGACCGACGGCGACAGGGTCTCTCAAGATGCCGACCTCGCGACTCTGGCCGAGCTACACTCCACGTCGGCAGGACTGAAGAGTCTCGCGACGGAACTCGCCGCCAACGGCGTCGAGACGTGTCGACGGGCGATGGGCGGCCACGGTTACGGCGGCGGCACAGGCTTGGTCCAGCTGAACGCCGATTACCTCTCCAAGCCCACGGTCGAAGGCGACAACTGGATGATCACCCAACAGGTCGCGCAGTACCTGATCAAGAAGGCCAAAGAGCGAGCGCATTCCTTGAAGAGTCGAGCTCTTAACAAGACAGAGGAACACCTGAAAAGCTATCTGTCTTCTCGAGGGAAGGAACCAAAATTCAACGTGATGGAGAATAATGCTGCGGTTGTCGATGCTTTCAATTGGCGTATGTCATGGTTGGTAAGTACCAGAAGAGCACAAAACTCCCGCAGGTGGCATGCGGAACTATTTTCTAACCCCTGTCCACCTCACAGGCTTTCCGGGCGTATGATACTCGGGAAGTTCAGAAACGACCGTGGAATAGTCTGCTGATAGATTTCCACAAGTTGAGTCGTGGTATGTGATTAATCCCCCTGATGGGCCATTTTCAGTACGTTCGGCTTACAAAGTCCCTCACAGCATATTCGCAAGCAATGCTGGTGTCCAATTTCTACGACGCCATCTCTTCATCCGAAGTGCAATCACTACCGCCCACCACTCGTGAGACGTTGACGGATCTATTCCGCCTATTCGCTTTTCAAACCATGGACACGGAGAGTCGAGACTTTCAAAACTCAGGAGCAGTGAGCTCAGTAGAGCTAAATGGACTTTCTGGCACTGTCCTTGCGCTCATGACTAAGATCCGGCCACATGCTGTGAGGCTTGTAGACGCATGGGCATTGCCGGATTATCTTCTGGACAGGTAACAGCCAACTAATGAACACTGTCAACGAGGCGAGTAATTCAACTAACGATGTTCTTGTTATAGTGCTCTCGGTCGATATGATGGAAGAGTATATGAAGACCTGTTCCACCGAGCACATGTGCTGAATCCCTTGAACAAAGTGACTTTCAACCCGGACTACAAGAACAATGAGATTGTCATGGGCAGTGGTGATGCAGGGCAGATTCTGGCAAAACTATAAAGTAGTCCTTATACTTCTGGGAATGAATATATTATCGACTGGGAATATATACTAGAATATACCGTGAGAGATTATCGCAACCATTCATTTGCTTCCCTTTCCTTGAGACAACGAACTACTCAGAGGTCTTTATAGTCCCGAGGGCCTTACCTGTCAGTGTATTGTAGTCCAGTTTGAATATCAATGGTCGCACGAGGATGGCTACCTTGATGGGTAGTAAAAGCCTTCGTCATTTGCGGTGCACCATCCAGGTGGCAGAACATCTAGAGCAAGCCCTTCTCCCGCTGCTTCATCTTCTTGACATCGATATCTTTCCACAACGCTGTAGAAACCAAAGTGATGGTGTATAGACTGGTAGCCGCGATCAGCATGAGCCGTTGAGTATCACCGTAAGACTTGTCGATGGCAATTCTCGTTGGGCTTCCCACAGGATAGCTAGCTTGGACCGTCAAATCACCATAGATACTGGCAAAATCCGGCTGAGCACTGGCTGGAAGATACTCTAACAGCTTCTGCGGAAAGATACCGGTCCACATGGCGGCGGCAATCGCCTGTCCGATCGAGCTTCCAACGTATGCCACCAGTCCTTCCATGGCCAAAACGGCAGGAATGTGTTGATGTGTAGAAACAGCCATGACAGTCATCTGCTCAGCTATGACAAGGGTGCCGCCGCCGAAGGCAACGAAGATCTGACACATGACAATGTAACCAATGTGAACCCCTGGTTGACGGAAATGAATCATGAGACCGACACCGAGGATTGTCATGGGCACGCCGAAAAAGAGCGCGTACCATTTGATGCGACCATTGACCTTCAGGCAGATACCAATAACAAGAGACCAGAAGCAGGATCCAATGGTGTAGATGTTGCCAATGTATGTCGCTTGTGTGATTGATTGTCTGAACAGGACAATGTTGAGGGAGTAGAAATAGCTGTCCCAGATGTACCAGGCGACGTAGATGCTGGCGGCCATGATGTAAGTAGTGATGATGGTACGGTTCTTAAGCAAGGACCATGGAATGAAAGTAACAGGCGCAAGATACTTCTCATATAGTCCGAAGGCGATGACGAGTAAACCCCCAATGATGATGAAGCAGATGATAAGTGGAGAGCGCCACTCGTTGGCTTGGTACGAATACAAGCTGAATGACAACAGAAAAAGCGCCAGTCCTGTGCTAATGAGCAGAAGACCGATGACATCAAACTCTCTCAAGTAGTAAATCAGAGTCTCGTAGGCTGTGCCTCGGCTTGGTCGGGCAGGGATGAGACCCATCTTAGCGGCCTTTTGCTGATTGTACCAGAAAAGCGCACAGAGTGGTGCACAAGTGACAGGAAGCACAATGGCCCAGATCCCGAAGCCCCATCTGTAGCCAATGGTACTTAGGACGCTGCTCGCAGCTGGTCCGTATGCCCAGGTGGTGGCTAGGTATGGTGATGATATAAAGGCGATCATGAAAGCTCTGTTTCTCAATTTTGACGTATCGGCCACGAAGATGGTCAAGGAAAAATCAATGCCCGTCGAACCGACCGAGTAAAAGACTTGAGCGGCACAGTAGGTCTTGACGCCGTTGCAGCCAGCCATCATGATCAGTCCGAGGGTAATAGACGCAATCATGATCAAGAATGCCTGGGGTCGGCCCCAGATATCGAGAATTTTGGCGTAGGGAATCTTAAAAAGACCCCCAATTAAAGAGGCGAGTATGCCAGTAGTTGCGGTCAAAGAATGAAGTTCAAATGAACTTGTTACATACGGCGTCAAGGTACTAACAATACCCGAGGAGAACGCAAGTATGAATTCAACTATCCAGATCCTGACGGGGACGTTAGTCGGCGATCTTCTTTATAACTCTGAGAAGAAATGAACTTACATTCCGTAGGCGAGGAGTAGATCTCTCCTGGTCCAGACTTCTGTCATGGCTTCCACGCTGGCGACACCATGTTGAAGCTCAGTTTTGGGAGTCTCGCCATCACTCTCTGAAGGAGTTGGGCCTCCAGTATAAGTTGCTTCTTTGTCCATGGGCTGCTTGTCTTCGGGGTAATGACCTTGGTCATTGTGTCCATCCTGTTCAGGCTTTTCTGAGCCTGGCATCAAGGAAGAAGGGAGTCGGAACCTCATCTTTGCAATCCTGAAGAGCGACGTACGTTCCAGTGTACCAGGCGCGACAAGTCTGTTGATCCTGCAGTCGAGAAGCGAAGATTCAGCCAGGCTATATAGCAGGCGGGAAGATAAAAATTTTTATCATATCTAATCTCCTGATCGAGAAGCATCGCCGGGTATTTGATGGAGACAAACGAGGTATATTCCCACGCGAGGAGTGAGCGAGTCAGCCCCAAGTGGCCCGAAGGCGCAGCTAAGCCTGCCCAAGAGGAGTACCACAAGGCTTATCAGATGAGATTTGATGGCCCAGAAATTCTGAGGTGGTACTTTTTACATGGCTCGACCCATCCAGTATATCGCGATTGGATAGAAATAGAGCCGCTTTGGTCGAGGATCCAGAGGTTGCTATCGAACATGCTATCTTAGCGTGGAAGGCCAAAGCACAGATCACGAATTCAACATCACAGTTGCAAATTTCTGCACGTGGTCGTGGGCGATGCCCCATGGGTCTGTGCATAGTCTGCTGTTGACATAAATCGAGCCTCTGGAATCGGTAACGACCAAGGCGATATAAAGTAAGCGCGGATTGACCATGTGGTGCAAGACGACACAAAATAGAAATTCTAAAGGCCTCGTGTGTCAAGTCTCCTTCCTACAAGGCCACGCAAGCCTCTAGTGTGTCGCAGTTTTTGCCCGCGGAATGACGAATTCGGGTGAATTATTTTGTCGGTGGGGTTCCGATGGTCGCTTGCGAGTGCGGCAAAGGCTAGTAGGTGGTCTGAAAGAAGGGTGAACTTCGACAGACAGGAACGGGAACCGAAGAACAGAAACCACACATGAATGGCCCAGACCCGTGGATAGCAAAGAACCCCACAGAGGCGAAAGAAACCCATTGTATCGAGGATAGCACGTATTGTATAGGTCGATTTGATACATTCCCGAGTCTTGCTGTATGGTATGTCGGTTTTGCCGGCAACCCTTTTCCGTACCTCTCATGGAGCGAGTCCGCTAAGGGTCCATTCTGCCTTCGACCGGATGCCTCGACGAGATTTTTAATATAGGCGTTTCTGCGTAAGTAAAAGGCGCAACGCACCCTTCGGCGTTCCCGTAGATACTTCACCCAAGGCCGTGAAAGTGAAATGGCCATATACTGGTCGAAGGGAGCCTGCCATGAAGGTAAGGGAAAAGTGAATGCATTCGAAGGCAAGAAAGGTAAATATGCGACTGAGGACCGTAGGTATCGTCGTTCAGTTTGTGGCTCATCCAAATATGACCGAAAGATTCGAGATCGAATAGTGCATACAATAAGATTTGGTGAAGCCGGCAATTGAACACGGAAATTGGGGAAGTGGCGATGACTACGAAATTACCTAATCATCCATGGCGCAACGTCTAGAACCAAAAGCCATGAACTTTATCGCACGCCACCAAATAGCAAATTCAGACTTCAAAACTTGAGGGCAACTTGCCGGATCGAACATGCGCCGAGATACATAGACATCTTCCCCCCTGAGTCAGGATCTGATACGGTTTCAATTCTATCGACGTCGGCGGGGACGAAGTGTGCCCGTTCATTGCGGCTTTCATTCGCCGCCACGTAACGCTGCAATAACCGTCAGCTGGTGTAGGCCGAGGCCAGTATGATCAGAGTGCTTCCAACGCGCTCCAACAACCATCATGCCATTCAGGCCTCCTGAGAAAATGCTATCGGGGAACGATGGCTCGGAAGATGGATACGCACCGCCGGCACGCCAAGTTCGCACGCCCAGCGCCACGCCGGAGATCAAGGAAAGTCCTCAGATGAATCTCTTATGGATCCCGCACTCTACCAACTCGGCACAAGACGATGTTAAACCGGACCACCGGGAGATCAACCGACGCGCTCAGCAGAATGCGTTCATGAAACGGAGACAGGCTCGTCAAAGGGAGCCATCTTCATCCCGCAAAGTCCGAACCCCATCATCGATGACGGTGCTCCCGGGAGCCTTGACTCCTCTGAGTGAATCGACGCTTGGATCGATGATGAATAGTCCCCGGGCGTCGTCGTCGTGGCCTCAAAGCGCGAGTCTCACCACGACCATCAGTCCGTCTCAGGACTACGAGGCCCCCAGTATTCGGACGTACCTAGACTCCCTCCGGATCGACCCCTTCCAGAGTGGCAAATTCCAAATGGTTCCACAAATGGAGAACATCTTCATGTACTACTTCACGACAATCATGCCGGCGGTTGAGCCGGTCCAGAGCGAGCGAGAAGAGTATAATTCGTGGCTAGTGCCCCTTACGGCTTCGGAACCCGCCTTGATGTATGCCCTGATAGGGTGCATGGCGTACGATATCGAACAGGTCTCGGTGGTCGGCTTCGGCCCCAACTCGAGACGAAACCTGACGCAAGAACGTGTACATTACCGTATCAAAGCGATCCAGGCACTCAACGAAGCCCTCGCGGACCCGAAGAAAGCTGCCAGCCCATCGACCCTGATCGCAGTGCATTTTTTACTTTGGCAAGAGGTATGTTTTAAGTTATCTGTGTCATCATTCCCTGCATTCACTAACATGTGAATGACCAGATCTTTGCGGGTGATGAATGTGTACATCTCGACGGCGTCAAAAGACTTTTGGAGCTCAGGGGAGGGTTTGACGGCGTCCAACGAAAGGCCATCGAGGCCATCATGGTCGGGTCATATTGGCGGGCAATCAGAACCGGGACGAAGCCACTTCTTCCCATGGTCAAGGACGACATGCCACTCACCGACGAACAGTTCCTCCAAGTGCTCGCCAAAAGCGAGCCGAGCATCGCCAAACTCGGCGAGGGACTTTTGGAATCCCACATGAGAGAATATTTTGATGACGAATTCTGGAAGCTCTTGCACGACACACGGAGGGCCTGGGTGTAAGTTTCTGAACCTTTTTGGAACTCGTAAATGTTACCCACTTGTCGTGTTCTGTGTCTGACTCCCGAAAACCAAATAGATGTTTCGAACAAATTGGAATGCAGGACTTCCCTGCGGTCGGAAAAAGACACATCAGTATCAAACGAGTCAATGTAGACCACCGTCTCCTCTCGTATCCCTTTGACCATTACGGCACCCACCGACCGATCCAAGAAGCCTGCCGACAGGGTCTCATAGCGTACTCCAACGCACACTACAACGTCATTCAGCCGAGCAGCAAGATAGCACGCGGCCTCGTCCAGGACCTCAAGAACGCGCTCGAAGCGACAGACCTGCGGTCGTGCTGGGGTTCGGCCCACGACGCCCTGCTCTGGGTCTTGTTTGTCGGAGCCCACATGAGTTTCGGCGAACCGGAGCGTCCTTGGTTCGTGGCGGCTCTAGTCAGAGTGACTCAAACCCTTCAGCCGCGTGACTGGCTTCAGGTGCGAGCTTGGCTGGTCCGATTCTACTACTCGGACCGCGTTTTCCAAGACTCATTTCGCAGAATCCTGGAAGAGGTTGAAATTCTTTCGACAATGTTACCGAAATGGTTCTGAACTTCTGGTATAAAACATGCCCCTCCTAAAATAAAGGTGGAATGAAATACCAAAACTTCAGAGAACATGAAGAAATTACGAGTGACGCGCGTTCTGAATCGACGACAGGAGGTATTGGGCGCTGAGCATCATCTTTGCATTATTTGGAAAGGGGGAAAATTGAATCTGCATCGTACATATTTCCAAGCTTTGTGTATTTTATGACAACTAGAATCATTTTGACTGGCACGTAAATAAATATCATATTAAAATTTTTCCCAACATTGGATTCATGCATCCCTGGAGACCTTAATATACCCGAGGTACATAGATCTGTCGGGCATCATCGGGCTCGAAGCCACGCCGGAGCATGGACTATGATTCCAAGTCACCTGTTGACTTGAGGTACGGCACTAAATCTTCTCGCACGAACTGCTCCAGACTGTGTAGCTTGACCCCAAGGTCCAGCACTTTTGGGTCAGGCAGCTTCACCCCCGGATACGTACCGGTCTCGTTGTACAGATTGAACATGATATCACGGGACTCGTTACCTGTCTTGGGAAGGATGACATATTTGGTAGGAACTCCAGCCACTACTCAATCAGCCATCGTCACCAAGATCGACCACCAGTCGTGAACCACTCACCTCTTTCGATGGTCGCGCAAACCTCGCTTGGGGTGTGTATAGCATCCATGGCGTAGAGATGCTGGTGTAGCAAGTCGGCTCTTTTTGTTTCCCAGTTGTCCAGGACCGCCTTAACAACAGCTGATAGATCTCGTTGGACCCAGAGCATATGCACTATGTGCCAGTAGCCGTCAGTCGTCAATCAAAACTCATCTCTCAACGCGGAAACGCACGTTTCGTATTTTCTGCGATAATGGGCTGCCTGAACTCTAGGCATTTGCCATCCTGACTCCTTTTCACGTGTCCTCTGAAGATCATGTTCTCGTAGAAGTTGCCCGTGTAGACGAAAGTAGCAGGAAGCCCGATGCTCTCGATGAATGCGTCCACGCGGTGTTTTCCTTCGTAAATCTCACAGCAGACTTTGCCGCCAGATATCTTCAACGAGCTAGGTAGTGTGCTCCACACAAAGCACTGCACCCCGGCGGCGAGAGCGGCTTTGGCGGCATTCTTGCCCTGCTCTTCCTCACTGGCTGGGTCATCCGTGATGGTCTGGGTCGCCGTCGGTCAATAAGTTATACAGCCGGACTGATCTACTGACAGAATCATAAAAGTTGGTGACGACAAATGCACCCCAGCATCCATCAAACGCAGCAGGTAACGTTGATGGATCCGTTAAGTCGCCTCTCACAACCTCTGCCCCAGCATTGGAGAGGCTTCTCGCTCCTGGCGAGCTGGGGTCTCGCGTAAGGGCGCGCACTACATATTGGTCTGGGTACTTGAGAAGTAGCTTGGCAACAGAACCTCCTGTGTAACCCAATCAGCGATGTCGACCCGGTCAACGTTGAATTGGGGGCAACCTTGGTTCCCAGTGGCCCCGGTAACTAATATTCTCTTCGCCATTGCCAAGTCGACTCTCTCCGGTAGAAGGTAGGTCAGTTTCGATGGATCGTTGAGAGTGTCTGTTGCTCAACAAAGCTTTAAGACTAGTAACGCAGTATATTCAAACACAAACCTCCTGATTACAAACCTGTTGTTATAAACTGCGGAACGCAACCGTGGAATAGGATGTGACCACCTCTGCTCTGTTCCATAAACAGTGATAATATCTTCCCCGCCAGCGTGTGGAGAGATATATGCGGAGCAATTGATTGAGAATCCGCTGGTGAATGGCAAGGTATCCCGTGAGGAGGGATGCGTCGTGTGTCCGTACACCGACAGGAAGTTCAATAGTTCAGTATATCGCGAATCAGTTGGAAGACTGTTGAGGATGGTGAGAGAGATGATATGATCCTAATTAGGAATAGCGTATGCTGTGTCCGTGAATCTATCTTCATCTTCTTCAAGTCTGTTCTTTGGAGTCTCACCATTGACAGCGACAGGTCCGATGAACCAAGCTGCGAAGTCTGGGCAATGCAAGGGTCAGACGGACTTCCGACACTCTGTGAAACTTCGTTCGCCTTCAATCCCAAACACTGGCAATGACGTCTACGAACGCGAGTCTCATGCGGCGCAGTTTGCAATGACCGTGTAACAGCCATGTAGGTACCTCTTTTCAACCATCCACCCTCCATGTCTACACATCTATTCTCGACAGGAGTATCCAGATATCTCTATGCCTCTCGGTAAGCTCCTAGAGATATTCTTCTACCTTCTCATCACAGGAAACCATGTATTACCGTCTTCTATCCTGCCTCCTCTTGAGCGCTGCTCCCGCTCTGGCCATTCCACCGCCTGACTTTGGCTTCCCCGAAGCACCAAACCATACCGAGCTTTCCATTACCTATCAAGATGGAGGGAAATCAGTCGTGGTTACAGAAGCGGAGCTCTTTGGTGTAGGCAGTAAGTGTGCGATCGGCTGCTATCGCGAATTGCTCACTCATAGATGATAGTCGCTGCCAACGAGCCCACCGTTGCCCTCGAGACTGCCAAATACGAGTCGCTTGCAGGCTACAATGGCTCCTACGTCCTCTTCATGGTCGATCCAGATGCGAGATACCCCTCGAACCCCAACCTCCGGTTCCTCCTGCACTGGTTACAGACTGATATGACGGCTGCGCCCATGTCATCCGAGGGCACAAGCCGTCTCATGAATACCACGACCCCACGAGTTCCTTACATCGGGCCTGCTCCTCCTACTAATTCCTCCGCCCATCGTTACCTCATCTACGCTTTCTTCCAACACGAAAACTTCTCCTTCCCATCTAGCTTTGAGGGAATCGGTGCTACGAACCGAACGAACTTCAATGTCACAAGATTTCTGGAAGAAACAAACTTGGGTCAGAGTCCGGCAGCGGCTATGTACTACTATGCCAGCAATGAAACCCAGGTACCGCAAGACTTCACTGCCGCAGGAGGTGGGACATACCCCGGTGGGAATGGAGATATGATTACTTCTGGCCCTGGTCCCAGTATAATGCCTTCCTCGACCGCTGCGAGTGTTCCGGCTTCTCGGACCGAGTCAAATGAGGCTTCAACGACATTAAGCGGCACCGCCAGCTCAACCGCAGCAGGTTCGGCGGCGTCTGCAACAAACACAGGTGCAGCTGGGAAAATGGGTATTGAGTCGGGGGCGTTGTTCGGTGGAATGATGGCTTTTCTGAATTTGATGTGATTCGAAGAAAGATTTTGAGCTGATGGTGGTCAGTCTCAGAGCACGCATATATTTATATTGTTATAGGTCAAGGTGGAATTATTGGTGGACTGTAGGATTGTCCCACCATCTGTACGGAGTCGGCACGAGATATTTACGAATGATCCCAGAAGCTGTGTACCCCACCATGCATTTTCTCCTCCAAAAGCCCGCAACCACTGCGCCCCTCATGAAATTACTTGCTCGGACGGGAGATGTCGGCAAGGAAATGAATTCCCCGTGATGTGCCCACGATGAATCTCCTCCAGGCACTCCGTGGAGGTATTTGTAGGTATCTGTAGGTGGTCTGAGAGGGTCTCGCTGGTGCGTTTTGCCCGCAGGTCCAATAGGCGACTATCGGAAGATGACGGTGTTTGGCCGTCACACCACCCAGACCCCGAACACCACACACAACAATGGACTTCTCTCGGACATCAGACCTTTCTAGAGGTCAGACCCATCTCAGAAGACCGAAAAGGAAAATTGTTATATAATGTGACTCGTGCGGACGGCTTCGAAGAAGCACCTGGTTTATTCTACCTCTTTTTTTATCACTTCTTCAAAACATTCCAAACACTGAAACCGAGACACCTGGAGACACTTTTCAGTAAACACTCTACCAATACTTGCAGACATATCTTCAACTATACCACTTACATAAGCACAAAACCACCACTCCACAATGAGATCAGCAGTACTCCTATCATCTGCTAGAACGCGACTGGGTCGACCGAGCATCATATCCCGCTCTCTCTCCACGACGGCTGTCCGTGCCAGACCAACCGCCATCGCGAGAGCCGAGAAAGAGGCCGACCTGAAGAAACACCCAGAGAGCGCCCTGACGCAAGAAAAGTCGTCCGATCGACCAGGGAATCGACACTGGACGGCAGAAAATGCCACCGTGAGCGAGCAAGATGTATGCCTTAGACCACCAATCCTTGATTCACGTATTCGATTGAACCATGGGCAGCAACGAGAACTAACCGTTTGATTTTTTCCCGACGTAGATTCACGCCGATAAAGAAGCCGGACCGAAGGAAGACGTAGCCAAAGACTCTGAGAAAACCAGTAACATGTAAGCAGTGAGCCCGACGACCAAAGTCAACTCAAGTAGGACAGACAGGCAAACAGGCAAGGTGCTTGCTTTCTTCTTCCGAAATCAGTCTGTCCCGGGCAGAACTAGCAGGATTTGCTGACAATGATCGTGGTAGGTCTAGGCATCCGTTTGGAGACATCAACTTCGGAGCCATGGATACGTTATTGTTCTGACCCAGAAGAGATATTGATTGATGATCCTTTTTTTTTGCGTATGGAGTTTTGACGGCGCGAGGAAATTGCTGGAGGAAATGGCAACGACCCGAAAACTCTAGGAGAACGGCGAACGGCTAAGGATGTGCTTCAATTTCTTCTTCGGCAATACTATTGTCTGGGATCAAGTCCTCACGCTTCTGATCAATGAACGAAAGTCATGCTGTCGATGTTGGTAGGTGCGAGGACCAGGTAGCATCACACGCAGAGTCCATGTAGCGAGAATGAATAATGCCTCTCAAGATCTTCACACATCTCTTTTCACGGTCAGGCATGATTGATACCGCCGAGACTCTCATCGTTCCCTGTGGCAGACATTGGACGAAAGACCATCCAAATGATTTCTTTCGTTGCTGGCTACTGTAATGTCTTTCTCAAAAATCAAAATCCTGGCGCCGTCACGTGTCAGCCAGCCAAGCACACGTGAGACCGTGCAATATTCGACTTCTACCTATCATGACACCTTGAAGCAGAAGTTCCTCGCGAGAGTAAGCTTCGACAACTCTGTGCGTGTGAGATTTCCTGCAAACAGTTCACGGCTACATAATCCAAAGCACCGGGGCGCGCCATTACACAGACCCAAAAAGCGCGTCTCGATGGGTGTTTTCCACCAAGCATGTTCCGCCCATACTCATACTTTATTCCTTCCGAGACAGCCGTATTGACGAGCGCCAAAGCACTCTCTGGAGACACTCACCGTCGTTCCAATATATTTGGTTGGTCATTCAAGTTGAGTACTCGCCCAAGTTACCTGGAGCCATGTCTCCCTTCACGTTCGGTGAACACTCTGTACAATGCAACCGTCACAACCTTGGTACCTTGAGAGTGACAACACCCATAAAAGTGCAGAGCACTCGATCAAATCTCGAGGCACTTACTTTTCTTATAGGCTCGGTCTCATTTCCGCCAACTGCGGGTTCATTCCGGTGTACTCGGGTTGTATGTACTCGTACAGTAGGACAAAAGAAGTCCTTACCCCACACTCTATTTACCCCATGGCCATGGATGTCGGTAAGTCAACGAGTGGGTTGTTTCCGCCAGGATTGGACATGACAAAAGGGCAAGCCTCCAGAGCCTTGGTGATTTTCATACTGCGAGTACACTGAATTCATTGAGAGTGTCATACATCCGACCTCGTATCACTCTAACTAGGTCGCAGGGGCATGATGTTGACTGATCAACTACTGGCCGAATTGAAAGAACATCCGTATGTGTACTTACTCTATTTGACGGTTGTTCTCGTCGTCACCAAGGCTCTTTTCAACAGATATGGCCATGGCATCAGCCGCATACCGGGTCCATTCCTGGCATCTTGCACAGATTTATGGCGCGTGTTCGTCGTATGGCGGAGACGGCCTGAATTGGAGCACATCAAACTTCATCAACGACATGGACCACTAGTTCGACTTGGTCCGCGAGCAGTATCGGTTTCGGACCCAGCGGCCATTCAGATCATTTACGCCCTGAATTCTGGGTTCACAAAATCCGAATTCTACCCTGTCCAACAGACGATCGCCAAGGGTCGACGATTGCTGACTCTCTTTACTTCGACCGATGAAAAGTTCCACGCCAAACTGAGACGAGCCGTCAACAATGCATACGCCATGAGCACGCTGGTGCAATTTGAGCCTCTCGTTGATTCAACTGTGCTGGAGTTTTTGAATCAATTGGAGAAGAGGTTCGCCGATCGAGCTGGCCCTGACGGAGTTTGTGACTTTAGCAAGTGGCTGCAATACTACGCGTTCGATGTGATAGGTGAGCTTACCTATTCGAAACGCTTGGGATTCATCGAGAGAGGGGGGGATGTCGACAACATCATCAAGGATTTACAATGGCTGCTCAATTACGCAGCAGTGGTAAGTTGAAGATCCGTCTGAACCGTGCAACATGTCACTGAACTTGTTACAGGTCGGTCAACTTCCCATTCTGGATAGGCTATTTCTCAAAAACCCTCTTCGCCTGACGGCGAGCAAATACAATCTGCTGAACTCGAACTCACCTGTGGTCAACTTTGCCAGGAGCCGAATCGCGGCGCGACCGGACGTGGCCGAGGGGAAAGAGAAAATCCCCACGGGGCCTGACGGCAAGCCGGGACGGAGGGATTTCCTGTCAAGATTCTACGAAGCCCATCGCAAAGACCCCGAGTTCATGACGCACGACCGGGTGCTGGCGGTGACGGTGGCCAACATGTTCGCCGGGTCCGACACGACGGCCATCACCCTCCGTGCCATTCTCTACAACCTCCTGAGAAACCCGGGCGACATGAAGAAGCTGACGGAGGAACTGAAAGAAGTGCCCGCCAGCGAGGAAGGGTTGTTGGCCTGGAACGACGTGCGAGACCTGCCGTACCTCAACGCCGTCATCAAGGAGACCCTCCGGTGTCACCCAGCGGCAGGCCTGACGTTGGAGCGGATCGTGCCCGCCGGCGGGGTGACCATCTGCGGCGAGTTCATCCCCGCCGGGACCATCGTGGGCTGTAACGCTTGGACGGTACACCGAGACTCGCTTTTCGGGGAACAGACCGAGCTGTACCGCCCTCGACGGTGGATCGACGCGTCGGCCGAGCAGAAACGAGTCATGGACAATACGATTTTCACATTCGGTGCAGGGTCCCGAACTTGCATCGGGAAGAACATTAGCTTGTTGGAGATGTACAAATTGGTGCCGGCACTTTTGCTCAGATTCGAGGTAAGTTCCACCGTTCGATGCTCCCCGATTGAGCCCGCGCACGGAGACTGACATGGCACACGTACAGCTCGAACTCGCGGACCCTTCCAAACCCTGGAAGCTCCACAATGCATGGTTCGTCAAGCAAGAGGATTTCAAGGTGCGATTGAGGAGCAGGAAGAAGAGTCTATCGTGATGCTGGGGTGATCTTTGTCTGGGGTGGGAGTTCTTGGTAGATGCGTGCTACTCGCGTTACATGGCTTCGGACCATGTGCTTCCGTAATGAGTACATACATATCCACGCTTTGTCCGTGTGACTTTTTCCTCTGCGATCTCTAGACCTCATTTTGCGGACATAATATATCCATGGCATGTCCATAATACAATGTTCCGCCATTATGATAAATTCCCCACACGTGATATGACGAAATTCTGATGTAAAAAAAAAAAGAACTTGCTCCCCCGGAATTTCTAGATGATCCGAAGTTGGAGAAGTAAATTGATTCATCCAGCGTGAATCGGCAAATATCCGAAACCCCTCAATTTTACACCCGCTTCGTCCCACGTCGCCCGTTCTTTGCGAGTTGAAACGAGCTACTCTACTGTATCTCCAGAACTGTACGAAAGATAAGGGACATACATCATCATCGTTGCTCCTTCTTTGTCGTACTGTAAGCAACATTGCCCTTTATTACCAAATATCTCACACCACCCCACTTAAATCCGAACAACCAAAGAATTTGTCGAGAATAAATACCTGACCTGTATCTCCGTATCACAAGCTGTTGCGTCTTGCCATTGTGAGAGAGAAAACAAAGAAAACCCCCATGACTTCACGCCTACGACTCGCTGCCATCACCAAACAGATTTCGTCCGCCGCCTCCAAAACACAATCCAAAACTTTGGCCAGCATGTCTCACACTCAATCCGCAGCATGTAAGAACACTCGTTTGATCAACATGCAGACGTCTGAGATATACAAGTTACTAATCTCCTTTGATTTATAAAAAAACACCAGGCTGCAACACACCGGCAGTAGTTAGCACAGGATATGTGAGTTCTTTCTTTTGAATCCAAAACCCAACCCATCATCATCAGCATCAGCATCAGCGACGACAACAAACAGGGCAATTATTATCAATGCTGACCTCCACTCTCCAAAGCATGAGAAAGGTCAATACATTACCGTGGATGGCATGAAAACTTGTAAGTTTGTGTCCCCCTTGCCCCCCCAAGGAACCACCAAATATCCTGTCACGCCTACTGAGTTCTTCTTCCTTCAACAGACACCACCGGTCCTTCCTCTGCGAGCCAGGGAATCTTGGTTGTCTATGACATCTTTGGTTTCTTCTCACAGACGCTTCAAGGGGCCGACCTCCTCGCCCACTCGGACAAGGACCACCAGTACAAGGTGTTCATGCCGGATTTCTTCGACGGCGAACCGGCCGACATCTCCTGGTACCCCCCACAGACCGAGGAACACGGCAAGAAGCTGGGGGAATTCTTCCAGACCAAGGCCGCCCCGCCCAAGACGGTCGCCAGGGTCAAGAGTGCCATGGAAGAACTCAAGTCGACCAACCCGGGCATCAGGGATTGGGGTGTGGTTGGATATTGTTGGGGCGGTAAGGTGAGTACTTTCCCCCTTTTTCCCCTGCCCCAAAATTTAGTCGACCGGAGAAATCCAAATCACAAAAACTGACAACTCGACCGGTAATTTCCAGATTGTCAACCTGGTCTCGGGATCCGACACGGTCTTCAAGGCCGCCGCGGCGTGTCACCCCGCCATGGTGGACCCCAACGACGCGCCCCAGGTGACCATCCCCATGTGCATGATCCCCAGCATGGACGAGGACGAGTCGGAGGTGTCCCAGTACGAGTCGAAGTTGACCGTCCCGAAGGAGATCGAGTGGTACAAGGACCAGATCCACGGGTTCATGGCGGCGAGGGCCGATTTGGAGGACGAAAAGGTCAGGGCCGCCTACGAAAAGGCCTACCGGACCCTGCTCAACTTTTTCCACAAGTACTTGTGAACGAGTTTTTTGCAGGGACACGCCAAAAGGGCGGGACCAGGGAGGGAAAGTAGGAGTGTTTAAAATTGTCCGGAAAGGAGTGAACCATCTAAGCAAAACAGACTCGCCTTCCAAGATCGCCAATTGTTTAGTCATTCATCGACCCATGGATGTGTAAATGAAAAGAAACAATAAACATCCAGCCTATAAGTCGTCACGACCATGCATTTACTCGTAGTCAAAGACGAACCTCGATTCGCTTATAATATTCCCCGATATAGTCCAGCGTGACGAGACTCATGACAGGTTTTGGTAAGCACCAAAACCAAATGGCCAGCAAAAAGAGTCACGCCACATTCTCCCGATGAAATCTGCATACAATTATACAACCACCACTTTTGTTTTAACATCATGTCTATCCATATTTTTTCTTTTTTATCTTCGTACTGAAAAATCTACTTTTTGGGTCTCCAAAACAGACCACTGTGAACAGTCACCGTCCTGCTTTACGGCATGTTTTCCAACAAAATAGTCACCGAACACACGCATCTCACAATTCTCATCATCGACATGGCTCTCTTTAACAGACGGTGCCTCGAATCCCCACTCCACGACCAATCCCGCGGACTAAATCTACATGGCTGAACCATGGCGTCGACAACTGGCTAAGCATACCACCACTTTGCCACTTCCGCATTCTCATCTCTTCAGGTAGTCCTCGCGACTGGCTTCTCCGCCCTCCAAAGGAAGAAAGCACAAATGTTGACAACCTTGAGCGCCGCAGCCGTCCACAGTGCGCCGGCCAGTCCGACGGAACTATGAGCCCATAGTCCCCCGAAGATAGCGCCGGCCAACAACAGCAGCGGTGCGGCGGCCCTTCGGTTCCTCTCGACGTTTTGCGTGAGTCCTGCCATCAACAAAGGATCCGAGAACAAGTCGCAATAGATGCTCGTCAGGACAACACTCGTGAGACTGTTGTACTGCAGCGCGCGACTGACCACAGCTTGACCGCTGCTCTGGAATGCCACGAATGCCAACGGCACCAGAACCTCCCACCGCAACTCGTTCTCGGACCCTTGATCGATCGTGACCACGACGCCCGCGACGACGACCAGGAGCAACTGGAACCCAAACGAAGCCATGAGCACCCAGCGCTTCTTGGGGGAGAAGAAGCGATGGAAGCGGGCAAAACAAAACGACCCGGCACAGAACGAGGCGATGGAGAGGAGCGACCTGATCCATCTCGTGCCCTTGGTCGGCTCGATCAACCCGAGGCCCGTGTAGACGGTGTTGCCGGTCTGCATACTGACAAAGGAACCCCAGATGAAGACGGCCGAGCTGTCGAGCAGACCGGTGATGACGTACGAGAGCAACAACAAGAGATCAGCCCATCGCTTGTCAATGTCTTCGGTGAGATACTCGGTCAACGGCACGACGCCATGGGATCCGCGAACCTTGCCGTGTAGAAGGGGCTGCTCTTCATTGTCCGACGAAGATACTTGGTTGGGTCCAGAGCGAGCATCTCCAGATGACCCGTTGAGAGTGCCGTATCCGTTGGCGGGAGCCGAGGTCATGGTGGTGGACGGCTGGACTGATAGTGCGTCTTGTCGCCGTGGTCCTTATGGCCTGACTTGGAAGTACAATCCTCGTGATCAAGTGACTCGAATCGAATTGAGATGATCGTGGTTTGTAGCGAGGAAGTGTGACGAGGGAACGGAAAATCCTAGTAGACCAAAGAAGTGGCGCTTGGCGCGAAGCAGGAAGGCGTAAGTCGGGTCGAGGTACGAGAGTAGGCGAGAAGGGAGAAGAGAGGAGAGAAGATTCGGCAAGCAAGAGAGAGAGAGAGAGAAATGGACGAGATAAACAATCTGCCGGATGGGATTCTTTATGTTGTAACGAGGGAGATTGACAACAATAATGCTGATAGTTGTGACGAAGGGATTGAACGGTTTGGGGTGACTCTGTTTCTTTCCCCGGTCGATCTCAGAACCCCCGCATAATCGTTTATCCGGGAGACATCATGACGTCCGCCCCCAGTACATTTTACATATAATACGGAGCACTACCTGGGTATCTCTCACCCACAACCCTGAACCATTTACCCCGGCCCTTTTTACATTTTTGTTTCTTGTGCCTTGCTTCTTATCTGAAAAGGATACACGAGGACAAAGAAGGTATACTAAGATGAAGTTCTCTTCGTGGTCACTCTCACTGCTCCTGGCGGGCACCACTACCATTGCAGCCCCGACCATAGACTGGACGACTTCACACCTACAACGACCCATTGAAGACAACACAAAAAGCGGCAAGAACCCGTACACCCCAGGCAACAAAGACCCGTTCGACCACAAGGTCGACTCGTGGGCCGAGAAGCTTCAGCCTCTGCCATGGCGAAACGGACAAGGTGCCACCATGATGGGTCCCCGCAACAAGGACCGAGAGAGGCAGAACCCGGACATGCTTCGACCCCCCAGCACCGACCACGGTAGTCTGCCCAACATGAGGTGGAGTTTTGCAGACTCGCACATTAGAATCGAGGTAAGTCGGGGCAAGACGTACTTCAAAAACCTCTGTTCCTATATGCCGTGACGGAAGGGGGAAAAACAGCCTCTAACTTTGTGTGTGTTTTCTCTTCAGGAAGGTGGATGGACCCGACAGACCACGGTTCGCGAACTGGGTTCGTCGGTCGAGATCGCCGGTGTCAACATGCGTCTGGACCACGGCGTCATTCGTGAACTTCACTGGCACAAGCAAGCCGAATGGGCCTACGTTTTGGAAGGGAGTGTCCGAGTCACGGCCCTCGACACCGAGGGTGGTCAATTCATCGACGACCTCCAAAAGGGTGACTTGTGGTATTTCCCGTCCGGTCATCCCCATTCCCTGCAAGGCCTGAGTCCCAACGGTACCGAGTTTCTGTTGGTCTTTGACGATGGGAACTTTGACGAGGAATCCACATTTTTATTGACGGATTGGTTGAGTAAGTTTTGAGCTCTCTCTCTCTCTCTCTCTTCGTCTTACCGCCCCATCCACGATGAGAAAATGCACACGTTTCCAGTTCTGACGCCCACGTTCTAGTCCACACGCCCAAATCCGTCCTGGCCGAGAACTTCCGCCTGGCGCCGGAGGTGTTCAAGGCGATCCCCAAGTCCGAAAAGTACATCTTCCAGGGGTCCATCCCGGGGTCGATCGAGGACGAGGAACCGAGGGGCGCCAACGTCAAGAAGTCCCGACTCCAGTTCACCCACAAGATGCTGGACCAGGAACCCCTCAACACCACCGGCGGGCTCGTCAGGATCACCGACTCGACCAACTTCCCCATCAGCAAGACCATCGCCGCCGCCCACCTCGACATCGGCCCGGGGTCCATGCGGGAGATGCACTGGCACCCCAACGCCGACGAGTGGTCCTTCTTCATCTCGGGTCGGGCCCGGGTCACCGTCTTCGCCGCCGACGGGACCGCCCGCACGTTCGACTTCGTGGCCGGCGACGTCGGGGTCATCCCCCGCAACATGGGCCACTTCATCGAGAACCTCAGCGACGACGAGCCCGTCGAGGTGCTCGAGATCTTCAAGGCCGACAAGTTCCAAGACTTCTCGTTGTTCCAGTGGATGGGTGAAACCCCCAGGCGGATGGTGGCCGATCATATCTTCGCCGACGACCCGGTGGCGGCCAAGAAGTTCCTCGACGCCGTCGACAATCCGGTCGAAGATCCCATCCGATCCGTGCCTCACGTAGGGAAGACCGGTATGGATTGAGTGAGTGAGTGGGTGGCCAGAAGTGATAATTGGAAAAAAAAAGGTCTCCAAGAACGGAGCTTTTTTCCCCTTTCCAGAAAATGTAAAAAATAAAAACGGACACGCACACACAGCCACATTAGAAAGTAAGCAGCTGCTCTCCGTCGTACGAAGGGGCCCGTGGCTTGTCTCTCAGAAAGATCCATCCTTTGGGAGTATTCCGTAAGAGTAAACCCCCTGTCCGGCAGAACGTTTAACCCCACTAAATTTGTAGATTTTGGTGCGGACTACGGAGTAAGGTATGAGGGTTCAGTTACGGAGTAAAGGAGTAATGATTGTACACTATGTACTCCGTAATTTATACTGTACATACTTCTGCGTCGAAACTGAGCCTCCGAATAAGAAACACTTTGCCCGTTGGGGACTCCGAATTCGGTACTCGTAGTCATACTCATAGTCAGAGGTGTTATCCGCCGGGATATACGGAGTACTAGTAAACGCCCTCAAAGATACCTAGTGATCAATGTATATCCTTCCCTCATATGCACCTAACAAAAATGTCCTGTCGTCCCCAGTCTGTTCGCTCTGCAAGCTTGGACTTGTCGCAATCAACACGCTTTGTCCCATCTCCTTTATCAACGCTCCAACGGTCTCTGAAATCACCATTTCATCCGCCGAGAAATTAAGCACGACCAATGCCCTTTTCTGTGTGTCCAAGCTGCTGGTTTTGACATAGCTAAACACCTTCTCGTTCTTGCTGTCAAGCAGGTCGAACGTGCCGTGGACAAAAACATCAGCATAATATTTCCGTAGCTTCAACATGTCTCGGTAAAATGATAGCACACTCTTTGGATCTCGCAACTGCTTGGCGGCATTAATCTTCGGATAATTATCGTGGGCCCTCATCCACGGCGTGGCATCGGGTGCGGTGAAGCCTCCATGGGGAGAATCATCCCACTGGAAAGGGATGCGAGAATGATCTCGAGCCAGGATCTGGAGACCATTCATGACCTTTTCGACCCGCTCGGGATCTCCGCTTTGTTCTGCTTCCTGATAGAAATTATTGCTCTCAATGTCCTTGTACTCTTCTATCGGCCAATTCCTAGGCATATTGGTCATACCGATCTCTTGGCCTTGATACAAGAATAATGTGCCCGTCAAGGTCGCCTGCCAGAGAGCGATCATCTTGGCCGAAGTCTCCCAGTGTTGCACGAGGGAGTCATTACCGAATCTCGAGACCGCTCTCCCGTTGTCGTGGTTCTCGCAAAACACTGTCGTCCATCCGTCTGTACCCTCGATGAACTTCTGCCACCTCTCCACAAAAGTCTTGAGAGTCGTCAATTTCCATGGTTGAAAGTCATACTTGCTTCCGAACCCATCTCCGGTCCCGAGTCGGATCATGTCGAATTGAAATACCATGTTCAATTCACGCTCGCCGGCACTGACATAATCCAGCACTTGTCGCGGATCGGGAGTGTTAGATAATTCCCCGACGGTGACTGTGTCGTAGTGATCAAGCACCTTGGTGTTCATTTCCTTCAGGAATTCGTGGATTCGAGGCCCGTTGCACCACATTTCCGGAGCTTGCTGCCATTCACTGTTGGGGTCCGTCATCTTTGCATCGACAAACTCCGTACGTTTGCTGTACTTGTTGACTGTGTCCACCCGGAAACCATCCACGCCTCGGTCCAGCCAGAAGCGCATGGCGTTGTCGTAGATGGCCTGTCGACAGGCCTCATTGTCCCAATTGAGATCGGGTTGGTCTGACGCGTAGAGATGCAGATAGTATTCTTTTGTGAGTTCGTCCCACGTCCAGGTTCCACCGGCAAAGTAACTACGCCAATTGGTTGGCGGTCGCCTGTTGCCGTCTTGATCATAGCGTGCCGGCTTCCAGATATACCAGTTTCGTTTGGGATTGTCCTTCGAAGAGCGAGATTCCTTGAACCACTCATGTTCTTTCGAGGTATGATTGACCACAAGATCCAAAATCAGTTTCATTCCTCTCGAGTGACATCCTTCCACCAAACTGTCGACGTCTTCAACTGTGCCATATGGAGCATACACCTTCTGGTAATCGGAGATGTCGTATCCCATGTCAGCTTGAGGACTCTCAAACATAGGTGATAGCCACACGACATCGACCCCTAGAGTGCTAAGGTAATCAAGTTTTGATACCAGTCCAGGTATATCGCCCCAGCCATCGCCATTCGAGTCCTTAAAGCTGGCAGGATAGACTTGATAAATTATGGCATCTTTCCACCAAGGATGGGATATTCTCGAGATCATTATCGTCAAAATGTGGATGGCACAACTTGAAAGATCAGAATTCAAGTGTCTCGAGTCATGCGAACGAGGGGTTTAATGATCAGAATGCGGATGAGAATTTCGTCTCGGCTGGATTGGGTGCCTCGGATCTTGATACAGCATCGGGACAAGGTCAACAAGAGGAGGCACTCTGCTTTTTGTCACCTTTACTCTGAGGCCAGCACGCTGAGCCGAAACAAATGCTCTCCGTGTATTCTCCGACTGTGCCAACATTCACTCCGAAACAAGGTCCGGCATAGTATTAGGATATGGTTGCGACGGTCGATCGTCGACCTCCGACTTGCCTCCGGCTCGGCATGCAGGACAATGGCAATGTGGCGTCCAGATAGAACCATGTAGCCAATCAAGGATGGAGATTGGAGGTCGTCCCATGCGTCAGAACCAGCTTGTTGACAATCATCTGCAAACTCCACATATTTTCTTTGCATATTGTTCTTCTCCATGCGGAGAACATGGTCTGATAGATCGCATGGAAGGGAACCGGAAAGTGCTTTCGTAGCAGAGGCGAAGACAGATATAAGACTCCGTCAGCCGCAATGCGAGAGATACCGTCGTCTGAATTTCTCCATTGCTCATTTCGTCTTGTTCTTGCTCACACAGGAGATAAGTCCCTCAGGTTAGTGTGAATTTCAACCATGTCTGCAGACAACAAAGCCGTCCCTATGGATGCCGACCATGACGAGACCGTTCCTAGCAATGGCAGGAAGGACACTGCCATAGACCAACATGCCCTCAGCCACGAGGCTCAACAAGGTGCCAATTCCGAACACACCATGAGTCTCATGAAAGCCATCAAATTGTATCCCAAGGCTATCGCATGGTCGATCCTTCTCTCCTCGACGTTGATCATGGAAGGATATGATCTCGCATTGCTTGGAAGTCTGTACGCCTCTCCAGAGTTCAACAAGAAATACGGCACCTACAGTGTGGACAAAGAGAAATGGCAAATATCTGCGGCCTGGCAGTCTGGATTATCAAACGGTGCTCGGGCGGGAGAAATCTTTGGTCTCATCATCGCCGGTTGGGTGTCCGACAGATATGGGTACAAGATGACAACCATCGGATCGCTTATCTTCATGATATGCTTTATATTCATTCTTGTTTTCGCTCCCAACTTAAAAGTCCTCGTTGTTGGAGAGATACTCTGCGGTATGTATAGAGTATAGACCTTGTGAACGTCGACTTCTGCTAATATACACCCTAAGGGATGCCCTGGGGTGCTTTCCAGTCCGTAACACCCGCTTACGCCTCAGAGGTTGCACCAACGGTACTCAGACCTTATCTTACCACCTTCATCAATAGTAAGTAAGCAAGTCTCGTGTCAGGCATCCGGGCTGATACCTTTGCAGTGTGCTGGGTGATTGGCCAATTTTTTGCGGCTGCTGTTAATCGCAGCTCTGTGAACCGGACAGATGAGTGGGCATATCGTCTCCCATTCACGATCCAGTTCCTGTGGCCCGCCCTGATCATCGGAGGTGTTGTATTTGCCCCTGAATCCCCGTGGTGGCATGTTCGCCATGGCAATCGAGCCGCCGCAAAAAAGTCCTTGCTTAGACTTACCTCCCGCAATGAGCCGAATTTTAATGCCGATGAGACCATTGCTCTGATCGAGCACACCAACGAGATGGAAAAGTCCATGAGCGAAGGCGTAACGTATCGAGACTGCTTCAAGGGTGTAGATCTTAGAAGAACCGAGATCGTGGTAGGCATCTGGTTGGTACAAACTCTGGGTGGTCAAAACCTGATGGGATACTTTGCCTATTTTCTGTGAGTCTTCTTCTGAACCTTCTGTTTCTCAGCTGACTTGCATGGAAGTACTCAAGCTGGGATGGACCCAACCAATTCTTTCTCGTTGTCTATGGGACAATATGCCCTCGGTATCATCGGAACTGCGGGTTCTTGGTTCTTGATGAGCAAACTTGGGAGACGGACGATCCATTTTAGTGGCCTCTGCGCACAATTCACGCTCTTGATCATCGTGGGATGTCTGTCCTTTGCAACATCGAACAATGCAACCTGGGCGATTGGTGCAATGCTGGTAGTCTTCACATTCGTGTATGACTTCACTGTTGGACCAGTGACCTACTCCCTGGTTTCGGAACTGTCTTCAACCCGGTTGAAGGCGAAGACAATCGTACTTGCTCGAGCAGCTTACAACGCCAGTAACATCTTTGTGAACGTCATGACGAACTATCAACTGAGTTCGACAGCCTGGGACTGGAGCTCACGTGCCGCTTTCTTCTGGGCAGGAAGCTGTCTCCTCTCAGCAGTCTGGGTATTCTTCCGTCTTCCAGAACCCAAGGTGAGCCTTTCAGTGTCGAATCCGAGACTTGAAGCGCTGACTTGATGACTTTGTAGGGACGAACATACGCGGAACTTGACATTCTATTCGAAAGACGTATCTCTGCCCGCAAATTCGCATCGACCAAGATTGACCCTTATACTGAGTATACAACGCCAGAGAAGAGGCTGTCCATGGGTACAGAGGAGCTAGATGTTGTCCTAGACAAGCACTGAAGGACTGCCTCTGGGGTTGTGGCAGAATCGAAGTACAGAAGAATAAATTGCGGCCTGAAACGATATGCCTTTACATCTGTTGTCAAGTCTTCTTCTGGTCGAAATCCATAAAAAGTTGCTTGCTTGCAGGCAAGTGTATGTGGCGAGAAATTGGTGCCACCATGCTAGGAAGCATTTGATCAACCTTAGTTACCAATAGAGGCAGATATTTGTCAGAACCTCCGGGTAATTTTGCGATCAGTGAGAAGAAGTGTTTCAAGTTGTCTTCAGGTCCGATTTCAAATCCGTTGGACTTGACATCTTCCATAGGTATGCAGGAGATGACATCAATAAGCGTACAAGTAATGTCGAATACCTTCTCCGTCAATCCGATACCATGCATCTGCATGCTATGATGCGGAAGCTTCCAGGTTGAGATTGCCAAATCTTGTGCAATCTTGAGAGGATAGCGGAAGGTGAGATTCTCGTGCACCGCGTCGCTTGATAGGTATCCCAGCATTGTACATAACTGCCAAATGATCGTTCTGAGCCATTGTTGTGAAACGCGAATATTGGCAAGCTGAGTGTCGACGACATCTAAGGATGCAGGAACACCAGTGCGGATCTTCTGCTCTAGCTCAACGAGATACCTGGAGGAGCATGTAGTACTGGCTCTGTTCCATAAACTGATGAAGTAGTCGTCGATCGGCCTGAAAAGCTCGGCTAGGCATCGAAAGCCAACTAGATTAGGACTTTTTCTCGTCGCTCTTTTAATGCTTGGACTTTGTGGTGTGATCTGTAGAGTGATAGGCCGCCGCCGGCGGATTGCGTGGGACCTGTCTATGATCAGAGAATTCAATGAGAGATGCGTGAGCTGCTGACCTTTCAGATATCAATAGTAGCCAGAACAGCGGACCGAACATTTCGTCAAGATCTTCATTTGCAGAGTCCATAGTGGCCGCTATGTATAGAGTGGTGGTTTCACGAAGCAAATACCATGCTTGTCTATGTTTGCCTAACGCCGAATGACATCCATAGATGAAAAAGATCAGAAAGAGTGTCTGCAAGCTAGGGATGGCCAGCGAATCCAGATGCCCTCGAATCGCAAGAGCTTCTTTCAGCAAGGCTTGACCATATTCTGATGGCTTCTGATGAACTCCTGCCACTGCTAAATAGCTTTCGCTGATCATGTCTGTCTGAAGAAGAACAAACGCACAAAACGCACATACTAGACCATATGCTTCATCGTCGTTATTGTGCGTGGCGGCAGAGACCGTCTGTTCGATAAGTTCGGCATTCAAAATAGGCACGGTTGAACTCAAGTCGTACAAGAAGACTCCTGCAAATTCATCAACCACGCGATTGGGTTGCAACCCTGCATTCCGCGTAAACCGAGGTTTCGTGGATGAAGTATCCACTTGGGGACTCGTGATGGATTCAGGAAGATTAGAGAACGTGGGAGACGTGTAATTGAGGCTGTCGAAAGGTAAAGGTAGCAAGTTTTCAGGCCGTGAAACAATTACAGCGCCGACACCGATGGGCGTTGGAAGCCGCTCTGAGTGAGGTCTGGGTTCACTAGCTCCATACAACAGTCCTGGTTGATCTTGCTGGCTTGTGGAAGACGAATGATCTGTCTGGGATAAGATCGTTGTCTCTTGAGAGTTGCGGATTTCGTTGATGACATGAGCACTTGCTCCTTTGCGGCCCTTTCGCTGTCTCGTGGTCAGGAAAGTGCATTTGAGACCTGCGTCGAGGCATGAAGCACATGGTTGACCCAGGCTGCATTTAACCTTCCTCCGCCGACAAGCGTCACAAGCCTTTGAGACAGCGGCACGCCTCATAGTAGTAAGACAAAGAGCATTGATATGAACCAAGGCATCGCAATCCGTGTGCCGGGCAATGTGAAGAAGCCGGTGTTCGAGAAATGACCCAGATATCAAGTACTGCGGTGACCAAAATATGTACGTAGGCTCGGCACACCTCCCTCGAACAAGAGCAGTGCTGGCTTAGTGTAAATAAATAGAGACTAACTCTGCTAAGTGCAACAATGCCGAGGCTGATGCCAGTTCCAGGTAATTCGATATATGGACACGGAATACGAGTACTTCTAGATATAAGTACGTACAGTTTCACCATGAGACTTGAATAAACAGACGGTCTACACGTTGCAAAATGGACGATGAAGGCTTGTGCTAAGTCGATACCCCATGTCTTCCAACTTAACCGCCACGGCGCCTTCGAGAAAGCGACCTTATTCCCGCGCGCGACATGCTTGTCTCCGATGCAGGAGGCAGAAGCTGCGCTGCGACAATACTCGTCCCTGCGCACTATGCATTCGAGTTGGAGTCGCTTGTGAGGAACGTCCCTCAGGATCTCGGTATGTTCTCGACTATGCGCAAGTTCATGCCAGCGTCCACTCACTAGACCACAGGTTCTCGACAACGCCATCCTCGCGCCCACATCGCGAAGACCATCATGCTTCTCCGGTACAAAGCCTCCACGATGATCGACCATCTGCTCCCGAGACACCTCTGCTGAACAGCAGTCCTACCTCGAGAAACGGGCGGGACGCTCAAGGGCAACAATCGGCCGAGAATACGCCTCACCTCTATCGACCAAGGACATCAACCTACGAGGTTGTGGATAAGATCTTCAGAGAGCACAATCCCCAAGGCACAATTCACCACACTTCTGCTGCCATACCGGGTGGTAGTCCTGACGCGAGGACCAATAATTCTGGCATTCAGTATCTGCTCGTGTCAGATGTTATTGGTGAAGATCTACCGCCGTCCGATATCATTGACCTCACATTGGACGCTTACACCAGAGCTGTACATTGGTTCATGCTCATGCTTCACCTGCCGTCCTTCAGAGCTGACTTGCAGAAGTATCAGACCACAGGCTATGTGCGGGCTGACAAAGTACCCTCACTGGTCCTAACTATTCTCGTCATCGCAGTAGGTGCCAAATATATAACATGCCAGACTGTAGGCGAGAAATGCCCCGGCTTTGACCTACATGGTCTCAGTGATAGATTCATTGGCAAAGTGGAGAAGCACTTGCTAGACGTGTACGAAGCTGCTTGCATCGAATCCGTCCAAGTCTCGGCGATCCTCTCATCATTCTACCTCTACCAAGGGCGACCTAGTCGCAGCGTTCCTGTCAATGGGAGTTGTCTGCGGGTTGCTATGACCCTGGGGCTGCATAAGGAATCAAGCTGGAAGATGCGAGACCTCGTGACTCGAGAGCTTTGGCGACGTCTCGCTTGGGTCATTTACACCGCCGAGGTCTTTGGGGCTCTAGCATATGGAACGCCAGGCACAGTACGCGATGATGAATGGGACGTGGCACTACCTGAGAATATTGGCGACACATCCGAAACATGTCCTGGCTTTGCGTCGACGGAAACTTACGAAGGAGAATCCTGTGGTCCAGTGACCATCCTCTCTTATCAGCGGTATAAATTCCGCCTGTATCGTATTGCCTCATCGATAACGAGGACTATCTACCGACCCAGCGGAGCTTCCTGGGATTATGTCGCCACAAAGATCAAGACCATCAACGACCGACTCCAGCAATGGGAAAAGAGCATACCCCCGGAACTTCGCCTTTCGAATCTCAGAGTGACAGCAGATAATGAGGGTGATCAACGAATGATCAAGATCTTTCAACTACAGGCGCTTGTTCTCCAGCTGTCATACGACAACATTCAGCTAGTTTTGCACCGCCCCTTGTTTACCATGAATCGAGCACCGTCATGGCCATCACTGAACGACAGCGGCCAAGTTCAAGGAACCTTTGGGGAGGTCTCGAATCAAAGCTCCAGTGATCTCAATGAGATGATCAAAATAAGCAGGTACCAGTGTTGGGTATCTGCCATGAGAACCTCCAAGATTGGTGACCACGCTGAAATCCTGTCTGCCTCACGGGAAACTCACGGAGGTGCTTATGTCGGGATTCAATCATTCACCGCTGGTGTCGTGCTTGGGATATTTGCTCTCTCAGATCCGCTCTCCGACCAGGCCCATCAAGCTAAACGTGCTGTAAGCAAGATCATCAAGCTTCCTCGTTTATACGAGTATCGTACAACGATCTCAGATCAATGCGGTGTTATCCTCGAAGAACTCTTGCGACTTATACTGGCGGAGGAGATGAAAGCATTGCTCGTTGAGGGTGACGCTTCCGCCAAGGCCGGTGAGTCAGACCAGGCTGTGACGGGGAGCCGCGACAACTCGAATCCAGTGGACACTGAGCAGACCAGACAACAGAGGTTTCCGAGGGTTGATTTTGATCCTCCTCTGAACAACGCCGACGACTTTCCAAGCATGGACACTCTACGAAGTTTCCCGGATCAGTCACCAGAGATTCCCCGGGACATCTGTATGGGCAATTTCAGCGATGCGCTGCTATCGCTACAAGACATCAGGACGTCCAATACTTTTGACAATACTACTCAAGCATGGATATGGGACGATTTGATTTGGCAACCCGAAATGTCATGATATTTTAAATGATAGCGCTACCAAATTGATTCCGTTGCGTCCCACGGCAACAGTTGATCGAAGTCATCCAGTTCTAGATCAGGTAAGGACATTATGAAGCTGTTGGCAAGATCATCGTCGTCCTCCTCGTGAGGCTGATGTACCTGGTCCTTTTCTATTCCTGATCCTGAAACCAGCTTTGTCATGGCTGGCATGCTACTATCCTCGACATGGAATATTGATGCTGGGCTCTTTAGCACTTCGACCGAAACTGGAGTGGGACCACCAGTTGCATCCATCGTCGAATGTTTGGCATCCTCCTTCATTCGGTATGCTGCCGTATTCAACATTGAGATTGTGGTGTCTGCAAGCTGATATGACTTTGCAAATTCAAGCAGGATTCGCCAGCAAAGGTAAAATTTCTGAAAGCTGATTTCTCGGACCATATCGTCCTGAGACATGCTGTACAGGAGATGAGTGACGGCCGTGGGCTCCAAGGCTGCAATGGCAGTCTCTGGCAGAAACTGTACCAAGTCCTCAGCGTATAGGTCGCTGAAAATTTCGGTAACTGACCTCGCCGATTGACAGACCATTTTTGCAGAAGACGCTGTCAAGTCTGCATTTGTTTGGCCGCGACCTGATGGGTTAGCCAGCGGTCTATATATTGTCATGAGTGTCATGCAATAATATCCCGTTAACAAGGCCTTGTGCACCCTAACAACCTTGTGCTCGTTGGCAACTCCAATGATCCCTCCCTGGGATTGATCCGAGTGCACGCTGACTGGCAATTGTTGGAACCAGTGTTGGAGCTCATCTCCGCAGACGCTAATCTCGATGTCCGTCAGCTCGCTGGAACGAGGGATCAGTGAGATTGTGGATGGTCGTCTCCCACGGGCAATTTGTGTCCTTTGAGGTTCATAGTGTGATGATAACACTTTCTCAATATGCAACGCCAGTTGCGCCAAGGCAATGCAGCATTGTGACAGAATCACACACTCACCCGGATTCCCAGGTTGAATAAGTGAAGTCTCTTTTATGGCTCGATGGAGTGAGTCTGATCGAAGGTCATCAATCTCGAGCGATGGCATGCTCGTTGTATCCGGTTTGAACTGCACCGGTCTCCTTAGAGTAACCGCCATCAGACGATCTCTGATTAGGAGTGACCACCAGGTAAGTCTTGTCGTGACTGAAGAACCTGAGCATGAAGTAAAATCTATATTCGAGTCCCAACCGAGACTGCTGGCATGCATTGTCGCGACACCCATCCAGTGATAATTGTCTCTCAGTGTACCTGAATCGCCGTCCCAGAAGCTAAGCAGAATGGCGGATTGGATGATTGACAGACGGTCCGATTCGACATCGAAGTCATGCAGTAACCTGGCGCGGTCGAAACAGATCCTTCTGACTGATTTTCGGCATCCTTCCTCTAGGCTGTTGCCTATGAATGCCGTGGCAGCAGAGAGTAAGGACTGGAAGACAAGGAGGCTGACTGTGCGTTTTCCGCCGTTGCTGAAGACGGCCGTCAAGATCCCCTCGAGATCAAGCATGGGTGTAAAAGGGTGGACCCATTGCATATATGCCTGGAGGAGCAAGTCTCGGATCGGGGCATCGGGAATATCAAAGGCTCCTTTGCTTCGGAGGAAGTCGAGGTCCTCTGGAGAAATGTTTGTGGACAATGGTGTGATGAAGGAAGGGAGGGTAAGACACTGGGATTGGTCACTGATGACCGTAGATGTAGGAGAAGGATACGATGCCACTGGGTCTGACTTCGAGTTCTGGGTTATCTTGTCTAGCGGGGGATTGAAGAAGTCGATTATGGGTAGTGTTCCGAAATCACCGGGCGAGAGGGTGAGCGTCTTCCCGTGGACCGCTGCCGCCCTTTGGTGACTTTTCTGCTGCATCGAGGGCTGTTCTGTTTTGATAGTCGTCCGTACATCTTCGAAATCGATGATGGCGTCACAAATGGGACTCTGTTCTTCACCATTTTTCCGGGCTTCGAGGAAAGACGGACACAGGACGCGGTCCCCGGCATGCCGCCGTTTGCTCACCGGAAGAACGCACGTCTTGTTGTCGAGTCTGCAGTTGGTGCACGGTGACTTCGTCTTGGTGACGTCGCATCTGACCTTTCTTGCTCGACAAGACTGGCACGCTCGAGGCGACCGTCTGCTGAGGCCGTTGCGTCTGATGGATATTTTGGTCGGTACCGTTGTCTTACCGCTGCCCGGAGAGTCCATTTGGAATACAGAGAGAGAGGGGGGAGGATATGGAGCCAATCAGAGTTGATCTCCGGGTTGATTCTGTTTACTCCTTTTTACTCTCTTTTCACTCGACGCCAGTCGATATTGCAAGGCGTTGTTGACGAGGTATGAAACTCTCTCTCAATACATTACGTGGATATGTATATATACACACACACAATCAACATTGACCTGCCACAGTGCACGCCCTTTTAATCAGCATCTTCATCATCCCATGCTTGGATTCCGGTCTCTTTCCGGCGGAATCTCGTCAGCGAGGCGCGGTTAGGCGAATGTATGGCCACTCTTATTGGCCAGCCTTGCCTCCGACCTGCCAATCCCACAGCCTCGTTTCCGGTCGCATTTTCCACTCACCCCGAAACACCCAAGGAACGTTGGAAGATGAGATCAGCGGGCTACTCAATACCAATGCTTTCTCTGGTTAGGTTCAAGCTTACCGTAATGAAGTATTTTGAGTTGAATATCAGTGTGCTATTTCCCCTTCCGAGTCCATGCAGCCGTATACATCCGTACATGCAGGTGCACAGGACTCCTCTGTCATCCCCGCAGGCTGCCTATCTACTGTACCCAGCAAATCCTCTAAGAATTGGTCTTGAGCATTGAGGGAGATGCTCAAATGAGCCTCATCCTCCAACACCTTCAACTTGGCACCTTTGATCAGTGAGGCTGCATTCCTCGCCATGGCCACCGGGACATTCGCATCACGACCTCCATGCCACAAGCAGATGTTGAACCCTTCCTCCGTGTCGAGATCGGCCAGGTCGAACCCCCAATCTCCGGCGATCAACCTGATGTCCAGGTTTATTCCTCCCCCGGATGGCTGCCTGTAACTCTCGTGCATGGCCTCGACCAGTTTTGTCGTGACCTCCTCGCTATCGACGCACCTCGCGTCGGGTTCGGGTTTGGCCTTCATGGCCCGCACCAGCACTTTTCTCATCCGTTCCGGGTGCTCGCGGTCTCGGGCGACGGATCCAAAATCCCAATCCATCAACCACCCGACAACTCCCCCGAACCATTTCGACGACGCGGTCAACATGAGGATTCGGACCGGCCACGACATGCCCGCCGTCCCCAGGCTGAGGGGGTACGCCCCGGCCACGACACACGCGCCCAGTAGTCTTCCGGTCTTTGACACTTCCTTGACACAAGCAAACACGTAGGGCGCGCCACCAGACGCTCCGACCACGTAGAAACCGTTGATAGACAAATGGTCGGCCAGCTGCAGGACGTCCCTGGGCCAGTCGAGGACACTACGGTTGGGTTGGAACGTGGAGAGCCCCATGCCCGGTCGATCGACGGAGATCAGTCTAGCGCCATGTCGTCGGGCGGCCGACACCAAAAAGTCGCCTTCGATGCGAGATCCCGGAAAGCCGTGACAGTAAACCAACACCGGTTTGGTGGTGGTGGTGGTGGTAGTTACGTGTGCTTCTTCTCCATCTTTCCCTGCCGCTGCTGCTGCTGCTGGTGTTGTTGTAGGAGGGTCGTAATCAATATAGGCGAGGATACGACCGTCGGTGAGAGTGACTTGAGAGGTTGTCATCACAACAACGCAATGGTCATATTACGTGCCATGAATGTGAGTACCTATTTACATACAAGCAGTCGTGTGCTGGAAATATACCACGTTGATACTCTTCTGTAGGGGATTGATTGATGCCTGATACCCGCCCAAGCACTAATCAAGCTTAGGTGGTTCTTTTGTGGCTTGACAGTATCTACAGAAAGGATAAGGCGTGTTGTGAACATCCAATCAACCTCGTCCAGGCTGAATCGAAGCCTTGTCGAAGTCTCTCAGCGTCGTTTCGATTCAACATCAAAACACTTGACTCCGTCCCGTCTCTTCTGTACTCTCCCACTAGTACATACATGTACGGAGCATTTGTCCACCGTTAGTTACTCAAATCACGGCACGCGAACGAGTAACGTGACACTTTCATGTTTCTATTTCCCCCAATGTCGATCACAAGGCACCAAGTGGAGATTTCCGGGATTTTTTTTCAATTGATGTCACGCTGATCGAAAAGTTGGGGGGGAAGAAGAATGGGAAGCCCGTGTGTCTGTGTCTGTGCCTTTTTCAAGACAAAGGGTCCAACACGAGGTTAAGAAGATGATCGTCATGGAGAAGAAGCTCGACTTCGCTACTAGTAGAACAAACCTCGACAACTACTCGTACTCCTGTTCTCTTCCGCCTCACTTCGTACGTACAACTTGCTACAAGATTTTGCCCAGACACTTACGACTTAACACATCTAACATTCGTTGCGGAGTCACATGGAGAACTGCCAATGCATGTTTGTTGCAGATCCAGCCAGGTCCACCACACACACACAGGGTACGGAAATTGTAACAAGTACGAGTACTCGAACGGAGTACTTGTACCGACGAAGAATCCATCAGGATAATTGATCAACCCTACTCCTCCACATCGCCACCACCGCGCACGAGTCCTTCCGTACTGTTACAGGCGTCGTCGACACTCAAACCTCACCATTTCAAGCAATGGGCAAAGATACAAACCCCGAGTTACCTGATGAAAGTGTGGCGGTAAACCATCCCGAAGTCAACAACGACGACGCACTTGTCGAACTACGAGAAACCTATGTCAAGCCTGGTGGGTAAACCCTCGCGAGTCACAGGTACAACCTTTTCTACTCACATTTATTGATATTCACAGGCTTCAGAGGTACTCTGCAATCCAAATATGTCGTCCTTTGCGCCTTCATCGTCAGGCTCGGTGGGTTCCTTTTCGGATATGGTATGTATTCGATTGCCCTACCCCATGTGCAATCTTCGGACGGTGAGCTTACACGCGTCTTCTACTTGCTAGACCAAGGTGTCATTTCCATCATTCTTGTCATGGACCAATTCACCGATCGTTTCCCTCGAGTTTCAGATACTGCCAGTGGTGGAGGGTTCTGGAAAGGATTAATGACGGCCATGATTGAACTGGGCGCGTTTATCGGTATGAGCAACTTGTCCCCTCCTGGGAATTATCAACGCCCTCCCCGATGCCCCCTTACTAAATCTCTTCATTACAGGCGCTTTCAATCAAGGTTGGATTGCCGAAAAGATCTCTCGAAAATACTCCATCTGCGTCGCCGTCTGCATCTTTGTCGTTGGTTCTGTTCTACAAACCGCCGCTCAAGATTATGCCATGCTCATCGTCGGTCGATTGATTGGTGGTATTGGGATTGGCATGTAAGTGTCACACTTTTTGTCTATTCTTCACTTCACTCACTAATACACCATGACAGGTTGAGCATGGTCGTCCCCATGTACATTGCCGAAGTGTCACCACCCGAGATTCGAGGTTTGTATTGGGATCGAACTCCAACTTGAAGCCCTTCGTGACTGACAGACCTCATCAGGCACTCTTCTGGTCTTGGAAGAATTCTCCATCGTCTTCGGCATCATCTGCGCGTACTGGCTCACGTTCGGTACTCGTTACATTGGCGGCGAATGGTCCTACCGTCTACCGTTCTTGCTACAAATCTTCCCGGCCATCCTCCTCGGCATTTCCGTCCTCTTCATCCCATTTTCGCCGAGATGGTTGGCCTCCAAGGGTCGTGACCGGGAAGCCCTCCAGGCCCTGGTCAAACTTCGACGAGTCCCCGAAGACGACCCCCGGATCCAAGCCGAGTGGTACGACATCCGAGCCGAAGTGGCCTTTCACAAGGAAGTCGCCATACAGAAACATCCGAACTTGGGGTCTCCCGGTCAGAGGACGAGATCCCAGGCCCTCAAACTCGAAATCGCCTCGTACCTTGACTGTTGGAAACAAGGTTACTGGCGACGAACCATGGTCGGTGTAGGATTGATGTGTAAGTATCAGCATTATTTCTGATCTTTGATCCACTCTGTTGACAAATCTACGTGTTTGTCAGTCTTTCAACAATTCGTCGGCATAAACGCCTTGGTATGTTACTTTCCGCAGACACCTCCTTCCAATTGGTTTCTATGGAATTTCGACATTGACAATTTTGTCAGATCTACTACTCTCCATCATTATTCGAAAGTTTCGGTATGAATTACAACATGCGTCTCGTCCTGGGTGGAGTTTTGAACGTGACCCAACTCGTCGGCGTCTCTACATCTCTTTACACCATGGACGCCTATGGTCGTCGTCCACTTTTATTGATCGGTAGTGTCTGCATGACCATAGCTCACGTCATCATTGCAGTCCTGGTCGGACTATACTATGACGATTGGACGAATCACAAAGCTCAAGGTTGGGTGGCTGTTGGGTTTTTGTTCTTTTACATGTTGGCATTCGGATGTACTTATGGACCAGGTAAGTCTATGTACACACGTACACAAACAATCGGCCCCTCTATCCCTCACTCAACGATCGCAAAGTTTCGAAGACAAATGACCAACTTCTCTTTCAGTGCCATGGGCTATGCCATCCGAGATTTTCCCCAGCTCGTTACGTTCTAAAGGAGTCGCTTGGAGCACTTGCAGCAACTGGTTGAACAACTTCATCATCGGACTCATCACTCCTCCCTTGATCCAAAATACGCGCGGGTTCGGGGCGTACACGTTCTTCGCCGTCTTTTGCGCCCTGAGTTTCGTCTGGGCCTATTTGTTCGTGCCCGAGACAAAGGGAAGAAGTTTGGAGGACATGGACCGTGTCTTTGGTGACCGAGCCGCCGTGGCCGACCGGGCTCGTAGAAAGGAAATTCTACAAGAGTTGAAGACTAAGGACGGAATCCGGAACCGAGAAGAAATCAAGGCCGCGTGAAGGGGTATGAACTCAAGTAGTTTTGGTACGAACTTTTTTCGAACAACCAAGACAAGGACATTACCAAAACGGAACTGATACTACTTCAACGTTGGCTTCATCATCCCTCGCCACCCCCTCGTGGAGTCAATCGCAAATCACCAAGGCAATTTCGTCCCATCGTACTTCCACAACCTGACCTCGTCATTCACCGTCAAGCCTTCCACAATCTTCATCATACCCTTGATGCTCTCCTCGGGTTCGATGGTGGCCAGACCGATCCTCTTCGCCAAAGGGGCGACCGTCTCCGTGGCCACCACACCAGGATGAATCGGGACGGCCACGATTCCATTTTCTTTTTCTTCGTAAGCGACGTGACGCAGGAACATGTTCAAGGCCGCCTTTGAGATGGCGTACGCAGAGGATTGACCCGGTAGATCCTCGACCATGTCCAACGATCCGTACTGCGTGCTGACGGCGACGAATTTGGGTGTCCCACCTTGCCTGGCGGATTCGATCATCAAAGGTCTCAGGGCTTTAAAGATGGCGATGTTGTTCAAGAGATTCACGTCCAAAAATTCTTGATACATGGACATGGGTGATTCGGCGATGCTGGTCTCGTGGTGGATGATCCCGGCGTTTGCAATCACCACGTCAACTTTACCCGCGACTCTCTTAACTTGTTCCGCGGCAGCTAAGGCCTCGTCTACGGATTCGGGTTGTTTGGTGATTTTGACAATGTGGACGTTTCCCTTGTCCGTGAGGGACGACAGACGAGTGGCTCGTTCGGGGTCCCTCGTGGTCGCGAATACCACGGCTCCAGGTTTCTCTCGAAGTTGTCGAACGAATTCATACCCCAGGCCCTGTTGTAGTCTTTAGTTTCGTTCACGAAAAGCAACCGCAAACACTCGGCAATGCAAATACTGGCAGTAGTTTGGATGAGTAACTTACTTGGGTTGTCCCCGTGACAAAATATACAGTCTGATTCGACATTTTGTTGTCTTTGTGAAATCTCACAGGGACGTACTTCTCAGTCTCGACTCTTGAAATGTAAACGAAGGGCTGTAGATTGTTTCACGCAGCGAGTCAAGAAGTTCAGTAAGTCATTTCATCCAAAATGCTTTGTCAAACTCATTCCAACATTTTCCCCGCGTTGGGTACTTTATCAACAGGTGTCAGTATGTGCTTTTTCTTACTCGTACTCCGGGAAATCGGGAACTCGTTTGCTCCACCGCAAAACTTCCTTGCCGAGAAGCGATGAGGGGAGCGAGTTGAGAATTTGCTTAAGAGCTAGAAAGAAGATCGAAGGATATTTTGATAATCGTCCAAGTCTCGACTTACGGTCTCGATATACTTGATGTTCCGAAACGAATCGTAACTGTGATTGCGATGAAGACTGTAGGAGCATATACGAGTATTGGAAAATGGCAAGTCATTCATGGTCTTGATTTCCCTTAACTTGTCGACAGAGACTCTCTGGCTTCTCAGTCCAGATCTGATATGTTACTATGCCACTGACCAAAGTCCCCTCCCCTTGGACTGTGCCATGCTACCAAGACTTGCAGCAAACCCTTCCCCAGGAGGTCCGAGCCGCCGGTGGAAGCTCAAATCCTTACAGCACTCCTGGCTTCTGCCTCGATCATCCAACTCGGCGCTTCACCACATCTTTCTCCTCTCCCGTTGATCGCGAGTCGTCTATTTTTTCCAAAAGGCCTTCTCAAGCGCCGAAGCTTCGTACCGGTGATCTTTTGTTATATTTTGTCCCCAATCTGCGTATCATTCGTCCTGGCGCAGACTGAACATGTAGTTCAGCTTGCCCAGGGGCCTATCGGCAGAGGTTCTGTCTCCCCCCATGGATGGCGCTCGCGACGCACTCGTGTACAGCAGACCCTCGTGGACTTCTCAGAACATGTTCCTCAATCCCCCAATTCCTTTCTGACCACTTGTCCATCAGCCCTCCTCACGCGCAGCGAACACGAAGAGGCGCTTGCGGGGGAAAGCTGAGATAACTTGGCTCGCAGGGATCAGCCAGCCGAAGCGGTCTAGCCCTAGTGCCTTTCCCAATCAACAGATCAACGCAGTTTTCAGCTGCTGTCGCGGGCACGCAATCTAGATCCTCATCGATGCTGCTGCTTGCCGGATCGGTCAGTCGGAAATGTCTCAGCACGAAGCAAGGCGGGCTGCAGAGCTCGACTTGGCAGGGTCCTGCAGCCCAGCAGAACCCCTTGAAATATTGTCCAGGTCACGAGGGGAACCAGGATGTTGTAGGATCATCCCCCGCTACCTACCTAAGGGAAAAACATTAATGGCAATCTAGATCACGTTTCGCAGCGCCGGATGCGTCAATGATCAGAGTCTTTGGTCGTTGCCTCGACCTCAAATGGCTGGTTGACCCACAGAACACGATGACGCTCAACTCAGCCTGTCATGCTCAGCAGAATCTCGCTTTCGCCGGCTTCAGCTCATGCAAAGAACTCTTGTTTTTGTCTCGGACACAAGTTCTAGATCTTGAGAGGCTGGCCGAGGAAATTCCAAGGCTGTGTGATCGTTCTGGGCCGTCTCCCATAGCTTGGCGAGAGATGTGCACTTCTAAAGAAGCCCTGCAGATGAACAGGCAGCTTGCGCAGCTTGGTGCATGGAGGTTTGTGATGCTTTGAGCTTGTTGGCGTGGCTCTCTTTGGCCCGCTCAGCTTCGGGCATATAAAGCTATAAGGAGAGGATACTTTTGCCAGCCGTTTCGCATCATTGCTCTTCTTCCCAAACTACGACCGGCCCAGACACGGCCCTTGATAACAATTATACTTGTGTGAGTCTCCGTTATTATCTCCAGACATGGCAATCGAGTCTACGACGAACGAGTCCCTCAGGATGGAGGAGTCAACTGTCCTACGAACGACCGCCCTGGTCAACAGCAGCAATCCGTAAGCACATTTTGAAGGCCGTTTTCCGCAGTACCTCGCGCGAGGCCTGACGACTCATTGTCTAGGACATTGGTGGCGGCATGGGATGTGGGAGCACCACCAAGCCCGGAGTTTGCCCCAGACATCCGGTTGCGGTTCAACGGTGCGCCAGAAACCCTGGGACCGGATGGCGATCGGCGAAAGAAAGTAGAGGCTGCCAATTTCGCACCTGGTGGGAAGTATCGAGGTGAGCTGCACGGGACTACCAGCATCTGCTGGTTACTAAATGTGCCGCAGCGGTCTGCAAACTTCAGATGGGCTATTCGCTCAGCACCAGCGAGTACATGGGCACCGGCTGGCTGATCGCGGACAACCTCATTGTGACGGCCGGTCACTGCGCGTTCGGTGCGGACGTCGGATATCTGAAGTGGATGCGCGTCCACATCGGATACAGTGGTCCTGAGTCGGTCGGCAAACCCAGCCACAAGGTCACGTACGCCGTCAGTGTCTCTATGCCTGCCGAATATCTAAAGGCCGAGACTGGAGTCCACGATGTCTCCTTCGTAAGTCGCCGACAACCTTTCGCGTCATCCACATGGTCAGGACGCCCCATGCTGACACGCCGCAGATCAAACTCAAGGACAATTTCAAAGAATTTGGCTCCGGCGGCAAACTTGTCCGGTACAAAGACACCCCGGTTTTCGCAAACCTTTCTCTCGGCGTCGTTGGCTACCCGGGTGACCGTGAATTCGGAGCCTACATGTATGAGCATTGGGCGGACGTCCAGATCGACCTGGCCAGGTCCAGGGGCGTCCTCGAGTACAAGGTGGACACGACCGGGGGCCAATCTGGCTCACCCGTCTTCACCTCGGACCTGACGGCCATTGGCGTGCATGTGCGCGGCGGCTGGCCCAACTCGGCTTCGTCCATCGGGACGCTGGGTAACATATTCGCAGAGTACCTCGTCGCGATGAAGGTGCACGCGGGTGGCAACGTGCTTGCGGGCACGAAGATCGTCGACAACACCATGACCCCCCCTGCGCCGAACTTCCAAATGATCAGCGTGACTTCACTGGCACAAGTCGAACCCGCGAGTGGTGCCGCTCCAGCCGCAGCTACAGCCGCGCGAAGTGCAGTCCCCAACGGCGTCCCTACTACCGAGACCGTCGGCGATGACGATGTGGCGCAGATGTCGAAGCTACTGCTGAAGATCCTCAAAGGTATCGTCCAGAAGGACGAATCCGCGATCGCGGCGGAGAGGGCCATTTTGGCGGAATGAGCGTAGAGCCGGCCGGTGATGTGCTACGGAAGCACGGTAGAGCAAGGACTTTGACGGATTGGCGGGACACGGCGGTAGGAAGCCGGCTGGCAGCGCAATGTTGACTCGACAGAGACTCTCAAGAATCTGGACAGCAAGGGATTAATAATGCAATATCATCTCCTCATATAGGATATTTGACGTGTTTGTGACAAGACGGGGCGAGAACGCACCAAAGTGCCATATCGAAATACACGAGTCCACCTTTATATCTGACTGAGACTCATAGATCACAATCTCTGTCCTCCATTGCGCGTGGATTCTCTCCATAGACTGCGGTATACTTGTACTAGTAGACGATACCCCCGCTGAACTGCACAGGTATGCATATGATTGAAAGATGGAAAAGATTAGAGTAGCAGTATCACCACGGTGGCAATCATACTTTTGACTGCTCCCAGCATCTGTTCTCCTCAGTAGCATCAGCTCACGGCATGCATCTTCCCGTACTCGAGGACTGAATTTCAAGGAGGCACGGGTGGTGAGTATATTGTGTGCAAATTCGAGGATCCCCCTGAGCCGAGTCGGAGCCAGGCCAGCCAAACCAGGTGTCGAGGCGAAGTGACTATTCTTGCTCATGATACCTTGAAACTCTTGTGCATGACAAGATATTTTTGTGAAGTAACACATCTTGGTACAATGACCGAATACCTTCAGAACATATATCTACAGTAAGAATAGGTAGCCCAGGTACTCTATTCTTCTGGTACTCGTACTAAGGATTTCATTAGCAAAAGCCCCACGTACGTTTGTAGATAGCTGATATTGTACATTAAGGTACTCGTGAGTCCTCCATATCCGTGCCCCGTGCTCCATCATCGCTCCGGACCCCACGTACCTATCTAGGTCTGCACTCTACCTGGTCCACATCCGAAAACTCACGGCCAGATTCTTCAAGTACCGAAAAAAAACAAAAGAAAACTCTCTGGGGGGACATTTCCACCCGCGGTACTTGACCACGGGGAATGGAGCATCGCCTACCATTGTCATTCTAGACCATTCTGATCGATGGAGTCGTTGGCGTTAGGTAGGGACATCGGTAGGTACTGAAGATACGAACAGTTACGAGAAATAGAATTTTAAAGCAACCTACTGCGCTGCACCAACTTACTTACCTGTCGTGTTGCTCAACTCGAGAAGTCATAAATTACACATCCGATCCGAGTCATATGGTGATAACCTAGGTAACAAGTGAGCACACGATCAGGAAACAAACTTCACCATCATCATCATCATCATCATGGAGATTCCAGAAACCCACAAAGTGTCAGTCCTAGTGGTAAGTAAATCAGAACATCAACAAAACACCGTCAATCACCGAGTTGCTCTTTCAAGAACTAACTGCCCAAAATCAGAGACATGACGACGATAGTCACTCGTACCACTTTGAAACCCGCGTCGTGCCGGTCCCCCAGATCGGTCCCAACGATCTTCTCGTTCGCCTGTCTGTCTCTGGGGTATGCGGTTCCGACATCAGCCTCGCGGCCGGACACTTTGGGCCCACGCGGGACATCCTGGGCCACGAAGGGGTGGGACGGGTCGTCAAGCTGGGCTCTGCGGTGCCGCCGTCGTTCGTCTCACTCGGCACCCGCGTGGGCATCGCTTGGGTCCGGGACGTCTGCGAGAGATGCTTCTGCTGTCTCTCGCCCGACGGTGAGGCGCGGTGCCTGGAGATGCTGTGTTCGGGTCTCAGGCGCGACGGGACGTTCGCCGAGTACGCCGTCGTGCCGTCGCGGTACGTCATCCGCATCCCCGAGGGGGTCCCCGACCGGCTCGTGGCCCCGGTCCTGTGCGGCGGCGTGACGGCCTTCAAGGCCATCAAGGTCAGCGAGGCGGCCCCCGGACAGTGGATCGTGATCTCGGGGGCCGGGGGAGGCGTGGGCGCGTTGGGCGTCCAGTTCGCCCGGGCGATGGGGTACCGCGTCGCCGCCGTCGACCTGGGCGTGTCGAAACGAGAGTATTGCCTCGAGTTGGGTGCCGAGGCGTACTTTGACGCCGCCACAGTCCGGCCGTCGGACATCCAGGCGTTGACGGGGACAGAAAGTGGCGGGGCGGCCGCGGTCCTCGTCATGGCGAATTCCACCAAGGCCTACGAGGCGGCCCTGGAGTTTGTCGGTCCCTACGGAGCTTTGGTCTGTGTCGGGATCCCCCCGTCCGACCAGACGATGAAGCTCCATCCGATCGCGACGATTTCCAAAAACATCCGAATCATAGGTTCCGCGGTTGGAACCAGAAAGGACATCTGGGATGCCATCGATTTCGTCGCTCGAGGAGTCGTCAAGCCGAGGGTCCAAATGGCGACGCTCGATGATCTTTCTGACATTGCAAAGAATTTTCAAAAGGTGAGTTATCAACCTGCTCTACCCAGCACACCTTTTCTCCCAGATTGACAGAGGATTCAAAACTGACTGAATCTCATGACGAATGTCAAAGACGCCGGCAAAATATGTGATGCGTTTTGCCAAAGACGGAGAAGTGAATCCAAGTGTCAATGGAGTGCAGACTGATGGACAATAAATATCAATCAGGCCCATAGATACCTAAGTATAGATAGAAAATTCCCAATATGGACTCGTATTGTAGACTCTAGGGACATATGGGCTGCCCTCAAACCCTGCCCTCCGTTCTCGTATTCGTTCTCGTACAGACCACCTTAATAGTGAAGCTTCCCCGCAAACTTGCTCGCCTATCAAGTCCGTGCAGACTCATGCATCCATCATCTACTCCGGACTCCGTAAGAGTAACACAACAATTCACATGCCCTTTTCCCTTTCAGAGACTTCTCGAATCAAGGATGCCGTCGGATATGCATCTTTTCGTCAGGTGATGATCATTGGCCCCTCCATCTCTCCCCCTCTTCTCTTGCTCTAAAGTGTGTTCACCTCGTGCGAGTGACTAGTACCTGTAACCTCGAGCTTCATGACAGTCCAACGATAGTGCCTGGGTAGTGATTGTATCCTATCACTCAACACTACCGTATTGTATTGTTCTCGACAATGGCATCACGTCCATTACTTCTCACCCTGCTACCAGCTGTCACTAGGTCCGGTGGTCTCTTGACGACTACCGTCCCACTTCGAGCTGCTTCTCGATTGTCCAAACGATTCATCCACTCTTCTCTCCTTCGACCTGTCGCCGCTGCCCCTGCCGGCACCTCTTCCTCCAACACGATCAATGTCCCCCCTCCTTCAGCCTCTGCCGTAGACCAGTCTCGTCAAGTCTCCTCCGACCCGTACGATGAAGCCAAGAATGCTGCCTTTTTAGGCGAGGCTGACTCCGACGATGGATTCGAAGCAGGTAGGCTCGAACGAGGTGACACGGACGAAGCCGTCGATCCTGCCATTGCCCGCAACGCGGCCTTTTTGGGAGAAGCTGACTCGAACGACGGTTTCGAGGCACGCAGAGCCGAAGAGGGTGACACGTACCCCGGCATTGATCCATCCGCTGCCAGGAACGCCGCCTTTCTGGGTGAAGCCGATTCAGACGACGGTTTCGAGGCACGTAGAGCCGAAGAGGGGGATAGTCACGAAGCGATGGATGCCACGAATGCCGCATTTCTGGGCGAGGCCGATAGTGACGATGGCTTCGAGGCGGACATCGAGGTAAACCCAGCAAAGCATCATCACAAAATCGAAGACACCAGTGAGAGTGGCTTTCATGCCGAACGAGGAGAGTTGCGTTGAAGAAGCCCAATGTCGGACCACAGACGCCGTTCCAGATTGATTCTTCCAAGTGATCTTACCTTATCTGTTCATCGAGTTATTCGGGGGGCTGCTCGGCTCGTGTATCTTAGGTGAACGTGTCTGCACAACGATGCATTACCTGCAAAACCACAAAAAATGGGGATTAGCTGTATCAATTAGTTATACCATTGCAAAATTTGTACGAGTTATTTGAGCCCCGTCGTCGTTGAACACACGTTGTGTTTGTTTTTGTATGTTGGATATGTTTTTTGGCAGCAACCAAACACCGCATAGTATGAGCACTGAGGCTCTTCCTTTGAAAATCGCCTGTCCCTGCTTTCCCTGAATCACTCCTTTTCAAAGCTGTCGTAGTCTTCCTTGCTCATCAAGCTTTCCAGCTCGGTGGTGTCGCTGAGCTCGATCTTGGCCAGCCACCCTTCACCTTCGGGGCTCTTGTTTATCGTTCCTGGTTTTTCCTCTAGCACTTTGTTGTGGTCTACAATCTTTCCCGACACCGGGGTCATGATGTCGGACGCCGACTTGACCGACTCGACGGCACCGATGGTGTCGCCTTTACTGACGTCCATATCTAGCTCGGGAAGTTCGACGTACACGACATCACCGAGGGCTTTCGAGGCGTATTCCGTAATACCGATCGTGCCTAGGCGAGGAGAACTCAGTAAGCTGGTAATGACCACCAGAACAGAAATAAAAGCATACCCGTCTTTCCATCCGTGTCGAGTTCAATCCATTCGTGGTCCTCTGTGTACTTTTTGATGTATACTGCGACACCACCACATCAGTTTTGTGTGATCAAATTTCCAGCAGTTCGAGTGAAGCTCACAAGTAGACCTCGAGGAGAATGTCCTCCTAGATGCGGCGCTGTTCCATTGGCATGCTCGGGTCGTGCTTGCTCGTGGTGCGACAGCCACTCTCCTCGTCGCAAGCCTCGAGACAGAGGGCACCAGTCGGTTGACAACTGAGGTGTTCATTGTGCGCGTATTACTGAGATCGTTGCCGTCCTTGAGATAGCGAATTCAAAGAGGTTGGAAAATATCGTCCTGCTTGTCTTAAGAGCACGAAGTACGGAGTACAGGGTACCCCAAGAGTCCTGGAGCATTCAACGGTGACTTAGCCGCAACGCACTTTCCCGCGAACCTGGTTAAGCTGCCCCGGAACAGTTAAAGAATCCATGCCACTCATTGGTCCAATGGCAGAAAATGCCCAAGTGGTTTTCCACTCGGCCGTATTTTGTAGCTGCGCCAGAACATTTTGAAAATGCAAGTAAGATCTACTATGTACGGGGCCAGTTCAGCAGTAACAACAATCATCGGCACAGCGATCATGCTCTACGAACTGATAGCAGTGGTACGTATCAATATTTAACCTTCCAACTACCCTGTTCAAAAAGAGGAATTCCCAGCTCACCACTACTACGACAGGTCCGTCCGGGCAACCTCGGCCAGGTCAAAGAGTAAGTCCCCTTGTCCCGTCCATATTTGCTTTGATCTGCCGTCTCTGACACCTCTCTCTCACCAACCAGAATCGCTCGTATCTGCGGTAGACAAATCCTCGACAACAAAGGTGTCATCCGCGGTATCAAGAACTGGGGACAGTTCGATCTTCCCCGACCGACTGTCAAGCATCAAACTCAGCACTTCCAAGGCCACTACTTCATCATGCAATTCGACAGCAGCATCAAAGTCCAGAAAGAAATGCGCCGGATCCTCGCCCTCGACCCTCGTATGGTTCGCTTCTCCGTCGTCAAGCTGGGTGATAAATTGGGTGGTGTCAATGGTGCCATCGAGGAAATCACAGGTCAGGTCGACTGGAACTCAACGCCGGACACGAACATCCCTCTCGACACCTTTGAAAACTCTGGCATCGCTCGAGCCGGTTCCAATTACAGCTAGGTTTGACAAGAAAACACAAAAGAAGAAGTGGAAGAGTAGAGTCGAGACAAACCCCAAGGACGAGCCCCGGAGATCTATACTAGGATACGAGAGGAGCATCACAACATCCATCATGATCTACGAACAGACGCAAACGCCCGCTACCAATAAAACTATACGTGGTATCTTGACATGTCTTAAAACAAACTCCATCGACCTCTCTCCTTGGCCACCGGCGGTAACTTGGAATGCTGCTTCGTCCGCCCTTCCAATTGCCGCAAACTCTCGATTTTCTCGAGTACCAGTTCCAGCTTCTCCTTGCGTCGAATGACATCCAGATGCTTGCGGACTCGGGGATCTTCGCGAGCGAACCGTTCAATCTCGGCCTGATTGAGGTGCCGGCCAAGCCGAATGTCCAATTCTCGGGGGAAGTTGTAGTAGAATTCGGAGAGGAGCTCGACGTTGAGGAAGAGCACAGCTGTAGAAGTCAGTTTATCGGCAACAACGTCCAAAAACACCTCAGGGCAATAGTATTTGTTCTTGAGATTGGAGCATTGCTTCGACTTGACAGCCATGAGCCGCATCTTGATGATCTCGGCTCGGTCGCGGAGAAACACAGCTTCTCGACCTGTATAACTAGTTAGACAAAATCCCAAGAATTTGTACATTGTGCATTCAAAAACTTACCTCGTTGTAACAAGGCTGATGAGAAGCCCCCAGCTCCACCAGCGCCGTCCCCTTCAAGGACAACATCTCCCTTCCTGACACGATCAATGAAGCCAATGACATCCTTGAGCTTCTTCCTGCCAATGCTGTCTTCCAATTGACGCTGGGCTGATTCACAGGCTTTGAGCTCAGTCTTCAGGACACGGCCAATGTTTTCCCGGCCCTTGGTCCATTCATTGTCTTCCACTTCAATCTCAAACTTGAAGGGTTTGATGCAGTTCTCAACCTGGTCGCTGGTACTGTAGAAGCGATCGTTGAGAATACTGGATGAAGCATCAACAATCGCTCTCTGTGCATAAGGGTGTGCGGCAAATGTTGAGGAGGAGATCAACTTGTCCACATGACTCTGAAGTTCTGAAGCAACGACGGTAGTTGCCAATCTTCCCACACCGAGCTTCGTTAACTCAGACGTCGATGCATCGAGTTTTCTCTGCCAGTATAATGAGGCAGGGTCGGCCTTTGGTAAATCTGCCAGAGGATCTGCTTCCAGCTGCATGGGAGATAGATCTTCGATGGGTCTGTTCCAATACCTCTTGGCAAGAACATCCATCACTTTTTGATCCAGAACTTCCTTCAACAGCATTCGTACCTGCGGTCTGCCAAACTGCTCACTAAACTCCTTGAAAGAATGCTTGAAGCTATCCAGGCTTTCAGCCAGGTATGATTCGGCACTGAGCGGTCGATCATTGTATTGAACTTTGAATTCGTACGTAGCCTCCTCCAGTTCCTGGATGATGGCATCTCGGGTGGTTGCAAGACTGCCGGCCATAGTCTGTTCCAGTACATGCATCAACTTATGCCGTAAGGTAGGTGTACCAACTGCCAATTCTGTCTGAGGCCCAAACTGTATTGGGTGAGCGGAGAAATAAGCGTTTTCGTTCTTGACAATAGCGCTTGTCACGTTTTGATTAGGGCGAGAGAACAGGCCAGCGGTCTGTGGTATTTTGCACACAACGCCAACATACCCGAGTCGTAGGGGGTACTTTCGGTCGGACAGGATCTCAGCACCTCGAATTGGATCGACGAGGTCCATTTTGGTAATTACACCGATCGTCCTCTCACCACGAGGGTCGATCCTCCGGCTGGCCCTCAATGCTGTAGAATTTGCCAAATCCACGTCGGCTGCGGAGATGGCTAAAATAACATTTGGGGGTTGAATGTATTTGTCACACAAGTCGGAGATCTTCTGCTTCAACTCCGGTGGTTGGTCTTTTCCTGACACTTGGATATAGCCTGGCAGATCAATCAGGGATAAATCAGGGACATTCGGTGAGTATATGGAAAGTTGAATGGGGTCGTCTGAGACGCATTGTTCGGCGGGGACAGCCAGATTAAGGTCAGTCAATGTGCGCTGGATCTGAGAGAAGTCGGTGATTTTGCCTAAACCCAAAGCAGGGAACTCGCCGTATTCTGCCTTCGCATCTGGTGTATTGATAAGGGTGAGCTCGATGGGTCGTCGGGTTACCATGTTGGATCCCTTGGGCAGGAATTCATGTCCGACAATAGCTTCAAGCACTGAACTCTTTCCAGATGACTGAGATCCAATCACGACAATCGACGGTAGAGTCAAGGTACCTCCTTGGCCGACCGTATTCAGTATGCTTCGAATTTCGATCATCTTCCTCGTCAAAACCATCATCTGGTCATCCCTAGCAGCTTCCGGGTCTGAGCGCTCGTCTTCCTCATCCGACTGCTCGAGTCCAAGTGCAGCCCCAGAAGCAGCAGCTGCCGCAGCAGCCTTCGAATGGTCGGGTCCTTCGGGCCCCGAACTGCCACCATTGCCAGACCCTTCGCCCTTTTCCAGGAGTTGTTGTAACCACTCGGGCAAATGTGCCTCGTCCTTTGTCCGCTGCCAACCAGTCCCAATCTGATCTGCAATGTCCTTCGCTCCACTAAACAGACTGGATGATGTGTCTGATACTGTCTCTCCGGCTCTTTTAAAGAAATCCATCGCAGCGTTGCCCGCCTGCGCAGCCTGGTACTGAATGTACGCCAAACCCGCTAGCATGCTGGCCCCAAACATGGCAGGTAATCGGGCCATCTTGAGGGCGAGTTTGGGTAGCACCCTGGCGAAAGATATTGATCGAGCGGCGGGGACATTGTGAATAGAATTCGATCCCAGTGGCCAACTTCGTTGAGGAAAATGTCGATTGGGCCTCAGCAAGCCCCCGGCTCTGGTCAAGAAGGCATGGTTATGAAGGAGACGCGCCGGTGACTGGCGCAGCAAAGGTGCGGCCCTCGCAGTGAGTAGCCTACCACTCATCACAGGTCTTCATCGAATTATGATCATGGAACGACTGAACTTTGGACGGTAACAGATGGAAATGTAAGATCGTGAATTGGGTGTGGTTTGATGTTTTCGGCCACGCGCATGATAGAATCCGAGGAGCCACTGACAGGAGAAATGACGTTGGGGGGAATTGATAGGGCGAAGCTGCGGTGGAGTATAAGTGGCACAGGTTGATGGTCCGGCAGAGCATAGAACCAGTGAAATGCTATTTCTTGCAAAGCGTTTGTATCCCAGTCATACACCCAAGATAGCGGTGAATATCTTGTTGTTAGAATTGGACAGCAAACTGTGCATGTGTCACCTCTTGTGCAATAAAGAAACTTCGTTCTTTTCCTTCTTCTTCCTTTTACCTGTTACTTCAAATCTATCGGCGTTTTGAGGGTGTTGGGTTCTCTTCCGGCATCAATATCAAAGTCCTTTCTGGATAAAACCACTACAGCTTTCACGGTCCAAATACCTCTGCCTTGATAACACTTGATTACTGCCCTTCCAAATAATGTTACCGAGTGGACGATCAATTGACCTAGTATCCTTATCCTCTGTCTTTCACAGCGGGTTTATTCCTTTACTTCTCCTCAGCCATGTGTAGATTTATGGTAAGTTGCCAATTCCTCTAGCAAAGGAAAAACTGACGCCCGTAATAGGTCTACAAAGGCTCAGAGCCCATTATTCTCTCCAAACTCATCACTGAACCTTCACACAGCATCCTGACACAATCCTATGATAGCCGACTGCGTCTCGACAGTCGTCGTCCGGTCAATGGCGACGGCTTTGGCGTTGGGTGGTATACCGAGCCCGAGCTAGGGCCAGACCCTTGTGTGTTCACCTCTACTCTTCCAGCATGGAATTGTGTCAACCTGGAACGTATCGCTCCCAAGACGGCTTCGAGACTGGTCTTTGCCCACGTCCGTGCCACCACCGAGGGTTCTCTTGCGGAGAACAACTGCCACCCTTTCCAGCACAACACCCTCATGTGGATGCACAACGGCAACATAGGGGCGTGGAAATACGTCAAACGTCCCCTCGCCAACAGCTTGTCCGACAAGTGGTTTCTGGGAGTCAAGGGCGGTACGGACTCTGAATGGGCATTTGCCTTGTTCCTCGACACCCTGGAGAAGGACGGAGTCGACCCGAGCTCCGAACCCAAGGATGGATTCGACACCAAACTACTGAGGAGGGCAATGAAAAAGACCATTGCGAAGATCAATGCATTCGTCAAGGCTGTTCCAGCAGAACACGAACTCGATGATGTCGAGACCAGGAGTCTTTTGAATTTTGCCGTGACCGATGGGCACTCTGTCATCGTCACTCGATACGTCAGCAGCAAGACCGACGCCGCCGCGAGTCTCTACTACTCCTCGGGAACGGCGTGGGTCGAGGGCAAGACCAAGGGCCAGTTCAAGATGGAACGCAGAGACAAGGCTTCCGATGTGGTCCTGGTCGCCTCCGAGCCCCTGACGTTCGAGCGACACAACTGGTTGTCCGTGCCCACAAACACCATCGTCGCCATCTGCAACCAAACTGTCTACGTGCGACCCATCAAGGACGAATTCTACGACCCTGACCCATCCACGGAGCGGTCCACCGGCTTTGCCAGATCGAAAGGTCTGGTGTCAAAGGCTCCCGGTGGGGGCACCATCACGCCGTCCACCATCCCCGGAACCCCCGTCCCTCGGAACGAAGTCGAGACGGCCGGTGGCAGTTTCATCGTCAAGGATGACCTGGAAAGAGTGCGGTCGAACGTGGAGGATTTTAGTCTGCGAACCGGGCCGGGCGGTCTACCTCTACTTCCCACTACCGGCCACCACGTTCCTGCCTGTCAAGCACGGCGGGCGGCTGGCATGAAAGGATCTGCACCAAACAACGGCCCAATTTCTGCCACTTGAGTGAGTGCCGGGATGAACTTGTCGAGGACGGCGTTGGATTGGTGGCTTTTGGGGAGATTCACAAATGGAAGAAAAATTGTATACTCCGTCTCACGACGAATGACAGACGTATGGGCCAAGACAGGGACGCGAGTTTGATGGTGTAAGGACTGAAGGAAAAGTGTGTATGGGAAAAGCTAACAACAACTGGCACCTGGCACGGATTCGGCCATATGATGACAAAACAAACTGAAATCAGGAGCATGGAGCGAGGCGTCTGTTTGTGTTTTTGTTTATTTCTAGATACCATATCCTTCTGAAATTGCTGCACCATTAACCATTTTTTAATACCCATCATCAACCATCATCTCCTTTGAAATCCGCATGCTTGAAGTATTTCATACCCACCCACGCCACCACCACCCACACCCACGCCATGACACACGTCAAGACCAGCAGGGCGGGATAGTACCCGACTATCGGCAGGGTAGGGTCGTCCTCCAGCTCGGGCGGCGCGTAGGGCGTCTCCCCCACGTCCCACGCCCACGACCAGATGTCGAAACACGAGCCCATGCCCACGACGAAGACGATCCACGTCACGATTAGGATCACGTACCCCCAGAACGCCGTCTCGGAGTAGTCCCACCCTTCCTCATCCGGCGGCGTGCCGGCGACGGATTGCGGCTGGGTGGCCAGCGGCGACCGTGTGCGGGAAGCGAACATGCGACGCACGGGATCTTGGATGGGGAAGTACGAGTCACCGCCGCCGCCAAAGCCGCCGAACGAGGACGTCGACGAAGGCAATTTCCTCAGCGCCGGCATGCGCGGCAACACCAGCTGCTCCTCGTCGTCCGTCGACGCGTCCGTGGCCATCGTCGGGCTGGTGATCGAGGCGGTGGAAGACGCCGGCTCGATGGACGCGATACTGCTGCGTATCGAGGGAATAGAGACTCGTGACAGTGTGCGGAACGACCAGGGGGGGGAGTCGGGAGAGGCGGGACTACTGCTACTCGGCAGTTCTTGACTCGCTCGAGGCGTCGGCGGTGCTTGTTCCTCCTCGCCCGGCGACCGCGCTGTCGTCGTCGTTGTTGTCGTCGTCGTCGTTGTAGGGGAGTCTGCGCTGGACAGAGGACTTTTCTTGTCTGAATTCTTCCTGTCTCTTCCTTTTCCCAGGACAGTCTTTCTCAAGGACCCTTTTCGCTTCCTCTTCGTCTGGACCTGAGCTTCTGCCATGGCGCCCCGCCCATGGTGGTGGTGCTGCGAGTTGATGGCGGTGTCCGAGCCATCACGATCGACGGTGTCACTCTTGTCTTGGTCGCTGTTGGTCCGCAAAAAGGCAAATCGGGACAAGATGTTCCCCGACGTGGATCTTTTGTGTCCGTCGCGCAGCCTCTTGGGTGGTTTCGAGCTTTCCTTTCCCTCCTTTTCTTGGGTGCTCAGTTCGTCTTCGATCTTGGGGAACGGGGTTGGCCTCTCGGAGGATTCGAGGGAGCCACGTTTCGACCCATTCATGGCAGATTCCTTGAGGATTTGCGCCACATATTGTGCAAGTCAAGGGTCCAGGCTAGTTGTCTGGGCAAGTTCAGACCGCGAGAGTGAGACTGCGGGAGATCTTCAGTACAGCAGTCTCGTTGCACTCGTTTTGTTGTCGACAGTAGCTTGCGCCTCAAACATGGTCACGTGGTCGCGATCTCCATGTTGTCATTTGATGTCATTCGTGTCATTCCAATTGAACTTCAACACATACGAGTTTCCCCAAGTCGCCACTTTTTCCATCTACTGTCGAGATCCCACACTGACCCGTCAGGAAAGAATATGGGGTTCTTCGACGCGGGGCCATTCGTCGTCGGTCGGCGCCTCTCTCAAACATGCACAGCTCCTTGGTGACAGAGCAAAAGACTCGGCGGGAATCCCCCACTCGTTTTTGGCAGGCCTGGAACATTGTTTCCACGTAAATGTAGGTTGTGGGGTACAGGCATGTCTGGATAAGTCTCGATGTGATCTGGTCCTAACGATGTGTGCGCCATGTTCTACTGATAATGCTGCATAATGAGATGCGATTAACATTTCTCTGCCCCCTATGATAGACTGATCTGCAGCATAACAACGGAAACATATCATCATGGGCCCTTCTCAGGATCTCCCATCCCTACCGTCGAGTTCTGGATCAGTCGAGGTGCAAATGCTCGATGGTGGGAGCTTTTCAGCCAACTATGCCATGGTTCATGCGGATACGGCCTCCAGCCCATTTCGATGCCACTCATGGGTTTTCTACATACACCACAAACCTAGCGGACGCCATGTACTATGGGATGTTGGTCTCAGCGGGGTGGGTGACACGTGGAATAACTATCTTTATGTTTATCATAGGCAAAAGAGCTAACCAGCTCTATCTTCATCAGGACCATTCCTTATTCACGGCGTGGAACGTAAAGCATAACCTGGACATCCTCCATCCGGTGTCAGCGAGAGTCTCTCTTCCGGGCCAGCTGAAGAAGAGAGGTCTTGAATCGGACAAGATAGACACGGTTCTCTTCAGGTATGTTGAAGATGAGGCTTCCCCCTTGGTCCGAAGCTGGTAGCAAGGTTGACCAGGAGTCAGTCACGCCCACTGGGACCATTGTCGGCCAGTGAGAGGGATGTTCCCAAATGCAACAGGCTACTTTGGCCCCGGGACTTTTGAATACTGCTCACCAGGCCGGTTTCCCGACGAGCCATACGACACCAAAGGAAAATGGGACGCGAACTTCTTCGACCCTGAACGGGCGACCGAGAAAGCGGAAGAGCTAAAAGGCGAATGGCAACCATTTGGTCCATTTCCGAAGGCTCTCGACTTTTTCGGTGACGGTAGTCTCTGGATTCTTCAGGCCCCCGGGCACATGGTCGGCAATCTGGCTGCTGCTGCAAGGCTTGCCAATGGTGAATGGGTGATTTTGGGTAGTGATTGCTGCCACTCAAAGTAAGAGACTCTAGATATCCATCACCTATATCAAGCAAAGCTAAAGGGGCTTGTCCGCCTTGCTAACCACCAATCAATAGGGCCCTCGTGGACGGCACTTTCGACTTCAAAACATGGCTCAACTCGTCGGGCCACACCGAGAGCCTCCACGAAGATCTAGATGCCGCCAAAGGGACAGCGAAGAGACTTAGATCTCTCGAGGTGGATTACGGCTGTCACATCGCCCTGGCACACGACAGCACGTGGATGCTCGCTGGGAAGGACAAAGTGTTGATGTCGCTCCTCGACGACGACTTGCGAGACTTTGCCAGGTCCAGGCTGCTTACAGGTGGCAGTCCTTGAAACGAACACTCCTCGTGGCGCCTTCGCACAAAGAGCAACCACTTTGTGGCACTGAATCGCTCCCAGAACCTGATCGGGGTAATCGATTTGCCCCTTTTGTTGGAGGGGGGAAGGGTAGATTTGTCGCCAAGGTGGGCAGGAATAAAGTGATAGTAATTCGAAAGTCGCCATGAGGTAGTTACTACTCATCAGTTCTGGCAACGACTATCCGTCAATACAAAGGACTAGGCGGTGGTTATAATATGGTCTAAAGTACATGATCGCGGCCAGTCCTTCCTTTACATCTATGATTATAACTCCAAAACAATCGTCCCGATCCCTCTAGACACACAACTCAACATGGATGAAGATTTCTCGTCCTCCATCAACCCTGTACCTCTATGTTCTATTCTACCGCTCTTCACCACGACTCTGCAGGTGCCACAGTTTCCGGCCTCACACGACGACGGGACATCGAGGCCTGCTTCGCGCAACGCATCAAGCAACGTCCTCTCTCCTGGAACGTCCACTGTCTGCCCTGAATCCGCGAGTTCCGCAGTGAATGGATCGCCCGAGGTGGCGACCTCGAACTGCTCAAAGTGCAGATTTTTGGGACTCTTGCCCAACGATGCCGCGGTGTCAGTGACTGCGTTTTGCAACCTCTCCGACCCACAACAATAGACGTGCGCTCGGTCATTGACCTGATTCATGACGTCCCTGATATGAAAGACCTTGCCGGCAGATTTGTCGTATATCGTGACATTCTTTCCAAATCCTCCCAGGAACTCTTTTAAGGCGACGTCCTCCGAGTTCCTCACGAGGTAGTGCAGGTGGTACGGGAATCCCATCCGCTGACAGTGCTGGGCGGACGCGATGAAGGCCGTAATGCCTATTCCACCGGCGAGGAAAACATGATTGTCGGCATCCTCGGCCAATGGGAAACTAGACGTCATCTTGCCGGCCTGTAGAACGTCGTCCGGTTTCAGCTGGCTGTGAACAAAGTGCGACCCTCCACGACTCGTCTCGCTCAGTGCGACGGCCAGCTGGAACCGATTCGAGTCGCCAGAGACGACCGAATAGGCACGCACCAGTTTGCCCCCCAGACGCAATCTGATGTGACTGCCCGGAAGAACGGTTTCGGGTTTCTCGTGCGGCTCAGTGGCTTCAAAGACGAGAGATGCGATCCTCGGAGTTTCCTTCCTCTTCTCCACCAGTTTATACTCGGTCCAGATGTCCATGGCTATCGCGCCCAGACGGCCACTGTGATCTTCGTACTGTTTCTTTAGCCTGTTGAGAAAGATGTTCCTGGGCTCGGCGCCCAACTCTTTGATCTCGACCAGTGTCTTCATGACCTCTTCGTTCTTCATGTCGTGATAGAGGTAGTGTTGGATCTTGGCCACCGTCCACCCCGGGTTGGGCCTCTCCAACAATTCCATTGCGTCCCCCGCCTGGATGGTCCCCGGTTGGAGGATTCGGTAGAACCACCCCGTGCGGAACATGTCCTGTGACCGTTTCGCCATGTCTTTGACCTGAAACCTGTGGTTCAACTTGTAGCAGGGCTGTCGAGGTTCGCAGACTTGGGCTATGACGTTGCCGATGCGTACCACGTCGCCGATGCACATGTTTCGTTCATTCGCGTGCTTCGCGATAATATTCTCGCCGAACCCACCTACCACGAAAAGGTCTTCGCTCTGGGGGAGTTCCTGCTTCCACCGCGTGTAATGCGCCGAACTGTACTGCAAAAGGGCTTTTTCTGGTCCGCCGTGAAACTCGTATGCGTGTTCGTCTCCCTCAAACCCCAACATGGTCACCTTGATGGGCCCCGTGCGGATATGTTTGAAGATCGCCGAGGGTTCTTTCATGCCAAAGGCCGGTTTTATCTTGCCCGTCCTGATTTGGACGACCTTTTCGCCTCGCCATGGCTGTTCTAGGACTTTGATGGCCACCTCATCCTCATCTCTGAATGGCGCCATGGTTTTGTCGGCGCCTCGGTATCTCTATCTATCCTCGAGACTTCGTAAAGTCTGAGATGGTTTGGGATCTGAATAATCAATCGATTCCTTCATGTTGATTTGGCAGCCTGAAAAATCATCGGAGCTCTCCGCCGACTTGTTGTTCTCGCCGACTGTTGTACGAACAAGATAATAACTTCGTACCTACTCTGAAGGGTTCTTCTTACCTTGGTATCGATGAGATGGAGAGACCTGCTCAGGCCTTCTGAATGTCGGTGATTCATCCTGGTGGTGCTTCTTCGTCTTCTTTAATGATGTTCGTCAGTACCCCAGAACTTCCTCTTAGGTCAATAGGGAATGGTGGAAGCGAAGCAATTTAGTTGCCGTGTAGTGTAGCTTAGACCTTGGCAAGAGCTTGGGTATTTTTATATATATTCACGGAGTATATATATATAAATTCCTTTGGATCAACGAAACTCCCTTGTACTCCTTATTCATAGGCATCTTCTTCTGGTTCTCGGTATCCTGTGAGGGTCGAAGAATCTCCTCTTCCCACATCCCACCTGCTACTCAATTGTCTGTCACATCACCACAATCACAATCATCCACCTCGGCAAAACCAAGGTTCAGATATGCAGCATTTGCCGGTTAAAAAGTCTACAGTGACGATCGCTTGACCACAAACCGCAAAGCGTGAAGATGATCACATCATGTTTTCTGCAAGGGCTCATTGCGGGGTTTGTTACAATCTCAAGAACAGCTGATCATCTTTGTGCGTTGCATGGGGAGAGTTTGCTCGAGTCCCTCCCAACGAGTCGCTGTAGGCTCTCTCTCTTGTCTGTCCGACTGCTTTGTGTATGGAAATGGGAGCCAAAGAACAAGACAATTGGATTGCTCATAGAACCACAGCATAATCACTGTCATACCGAAGTGATACTGTATTCCGTACGACAATTAAAAGATGCAAAGAAGGTACTCGGTCAACTCGTATGGGTTACAAAGAACTGCGTACCCAAAAGGCGACTTCAGAAATGTGATCAACAAATGGGTGAAGGATGATACACCACCACCATGTACCGATACCCGTGTCCACGTTCACTCACTGAACGGCAGTCGCTTCACCGCCCGCAAAGATTACGACGCGTTGATTTTCAATTCCATTAACCCAGGACTAACGTAGCCGACATATGTGCCCAATGCAACCTCTCGGAAAAGACAAGGTCAAAAGCCGATCGACGTAGCCTCGTGGAGCAGCCAACAACTGGAGACTGTACATCAAGTACTCGTACTCCAGGGTCTATCACAACACAGATGATGCGGGGTGAGTCGTGAACTACATCCAAAGAGGAATCTGGACAAGCAAAAGATGTAACTCTCCGCAGCAGCAGATGGACTCGGTACTCGTATAAGAACAAGCGTCAAACAGCATCATCATAATCTGCATTTGCGTCACTTCTTTCATTCCCAAAAGCTCTACTCAACCTTTACCTTACAGATGGTCGTGATGTTGATCTTGACAGCTCTCTTAGCGGCTTTGGTCGGCGACCTCGTCGTCGCTCAAGACTCCGACTATGGCTCCTCGCCACCGGTCTACCCGAGCCCCGGTACACAGGGGATCGGCTGGGAAGCGGCCTTTGCCCGGGCCGAAGCATTTGTCGCCAACCTGACCGCGGATGAAAAGGCCCAGCTCGTGACTGGCACTTCGGGTCCGTGTGTCGGCAACATAGGTGCCATCCCTCGTCTGGGTTTCAACGGTCTCTGTCTCCAGGATGGTCCCCTGGCCATTCGGCAGGCGACCTACGCCTCGGTGTTTCCGGCCGGACTCACCACCGCCGCTTCGTGGGACAGAGGCCTGATGAACCTCCGAGGCATCTACTTGGGCGCCGAGTTCAAGGGCAAAGGTGCTCACGTCGCCCTGGGTCCCGTCGTCGCCCCCTTGGGTCGTGCCGCCTACGGTGGTCGCAACTGGGAAGGTTTCTCTCCTGACCCGTACCTGACGGGCGTCGCTGCGGAGGAGACCATCATGGGGATGCAACAGAGTGGTATCCAAGCCTGCCTCAAACACTTCATCGGCTACGAGCAAGAGACCCAACGAAACCCGAGTCTGTCAGCTGATAACGTCACGATCGAGTCGGTGTCCTCCAACATCGACGACCGCACACTCCACGAGTTGTACCTCTGGCCCTTTGCCAATGGCGTCAAGGCCGGTGTCGCATCCATCATGTGCTCTTACAACCGGATCAATGGATCTTATGCCTGCCAAAACTCCAAGACCCAGAATGGATTGTTGAAAGGTGAACTCGGTTTCCAGGGCTACGTCATGTCAGATTGGGTAAGTAATTTGTTGTTCCTTTTCACAATATGAGTAGCCATCACTTCATCAACAACGGCACCTATCTAGACCCTCATCTTTGCTAACTCTGTTGTCACAGGGAGGAACACATTCCGGTGTAGCTTCTATCAATGCAGGGTTGGATATGGACATGCCAGGTGAGCAATGAGTATTCTTCTTCGTCGTCAACGCGGTCTACCTGCTAACACACATAACCCCTTCTTAGGCCCTCTCAGTTTCGGCGGAGATCAAAACTCTTCGTTCTTCGGCGGCAACGTGACGTCGGCGGTCAACAACGGTTCGGTCTCGGAGACGAGAGTCAACGACATGATCATGCGTATCATGACACCTTACTTTTTCCTCCGGCAGGACGAGTACCCTCCCATTGACGGCGAGGAACCTGCCCTGAACTCCAACTTCCCACCTTACGACTACCAATTCACCCTGGGCGCGTCCAATGTCGACGTTCGTGATGACCACAACCAACTCATTCGTGAATTGGGATCTGCCGGCACCGTACTCTTGAAGAACGTCGGCATCACTCTCCCCCTGAAAGCACCAAAGACGATGGGAGTATTCGGCAACGACGCAGGAGACGTGGTGGACGGACTTTATTTCTCTGGTGCAGCATTCCAAAATCAATATGGTTACGGTGAGCCTTTTTTCCACTCCTCTTTCTTTAAGACTTCCTTCTCTTCCCCCTCCCCCTCAAAAACACTATGAAGATTGCTAACAACATCTATTTTTTGTAGAATACGGTACACTCCCCGTAGCCGGAGGAAGTGGAACAGGTCGACTGTCTTACCTCGTTTCACCACTAGAAGCCATCAAGGCCCGGGCGGCCCAAGACGGGACCCTGGTTCAATACATTTTGAACAACACTCTCCTCAGCACCGAAGGCCCGTCTGGTTTCAGCTCGGCCATTTTGCCCGTCCCCCAAGTGTGCCTGGTTTTCCTCAAGACCTGGGCCTCCGAAGGTTACGACCGAGTCGGTCTAGAGGCCGACTGGAACAGCACGGGGGTCGTGGAATCGGTGGCTTCGTACTGCAACAACACCGTCGTCATTACACACTCGGGCGGACTCAACGTGATGCCTTGGGCCGACAACCCCAACGTGACGGCCATTTTGGCCGCTCACTTGCCCGGTGAAGAATCCGGCAACTCGATCGTCGACATTCTGTATGGGGCGGTGAACCCGAGTGGAAAGTTACCCTACACCATCGCCTTGAACGCGAGCGACTACAACTTCGCTCCCATAACGAATTCCACCGCGCTCGTCGAGACGGAAGATCCCAACGCTTGGCAGTCCAACTTCACCGAAGGTCTCCTGATCGATTACCGTCACTTCGACTACTACAATCAATCCGTGGCGTTCGAGTTTGGTTTCGGTTTGTCGCACACCACTTTCGACATGTCCGGGATCGGCGTGACTTCGTCTGGTGTCGCCGGCGGCGGCACTGGCTGGGGCGCCAACAACACCGGCGTAACCTCGACACCTCCGTCGACCAACACAAGCTCGCCGGGAGGTAACCCTGCCCTCTGGGAGACCCTGTACACGGTCAACGTCACCGTCGCGAACACGGGCGGTGTGGCGGGCGCCGCCGTCCCTCAATTGTACGTGTCACTCCCCCAGGTCCCCGACGGGGACCCCACCCCCGTCAACGTCCTGCGAGGTTTCGACAAAATCATGCTACAACCCGGACAGTCACAATCAATCGGCTTCGACTTGGCCCGTCGAGACCTGAGTTATTGGGACACCAACGCCCAACAGTGGACCATCCCCTCGGGACCCATAGGGTTGAATGCAGGGTTCAGTAGCCGTGACTTTAGACAGACGTCCCAAATCACCGTGGTTTCTTAACGAATTAATCAGCACTCAAGCCGAAACCTTGGGGCTGTTTACAAGCGTCCGAGCAATAATGACGAAATGAGAAAAGAAAACAAAAACGAAAAAAGCAAAAGAACAGACACTGGTGAGGTAGTTAGCTAGCCCCAACTAAAAGGTCGTTGGTCAACATTCGAAGGTGGAGTCGAGATGAATCGAATCATGTATATACAAATCAATCGGCTCACTCACTCACTCAGTCGTGCCTTACTTCATAACATAACGATAATGCATGCAATAGACTATTTACCTAGGCATGTACTCAAACACTGTATGTTCAGAAATCCTTTAAGAGGTGTACTAAGCCTTCAAAATCTACAACGGCGGCAAACCTTCTCTACATACAGGACAAACGAGTCTCAAATTCATCCATCCTTCCAAACACTCGGCGTGGAAAATATGTCGACAAGGCGTGACCATGTAATTTCTCTGCTCCAGCCAGGCCGAACCTCTTCCTGACCCAGAACCGTCCGTCTTCGAAACAACAGGAACATCAATCTCGTTCATACATATGGCACAATCAAACACCTTTCTGGTTTTGTCGTCTTTATCTTTGGCCTCGGACGCCGACGCCAGCAGACCAATCGACATGCCGTTGGCTTCAACGTCGTCTTCGCGTAGAACAGGATGGTAGTCGTACGCCGGCGGACACCAAGAATCGCGGACCAGTAGCCGTGGGCCGAGAAATTGTTGGCTAATAAGAATGGCGACCTGAACCCATAGCCAACCCAGCAAGATAACCCCCGTGGCCGGACTCGTGTCGATGGAAAGAATATTGCGGTCCGCAAAGTACCAGTACAAAATGGGCAGAGGGCGCAGGACGCTCGAGCCGATAACGTATTCCCACCCCAGAGCTTTGCGACAGTTGCGCATTGCATTGCGGTATATTTGAGGCCACCAGAAGGAGAAGTAGGCGAAGATGAGGAGGTTCGCGTAGGCGGAACGGAGTGTTCGCGGCCATGACAAGGCCCACAGGGAGAAAAACATCAACATGACGAGGGAGAAGTAAAATCGTGAGTAGATTGCGGCAAAGGATGCTCGAGGGCTAGGAATATCGGCTGGGGTTGTCGGATCTTGGTCCGAAGGTAAAAGAATGGGCGTGGCACCCTGAGGCCGAGGAGTGGTGGCTGGAAGTGGAAGGCCGACTGTGCCGTCTGCGCTGGTAGGTGCAGGTGTGGAAGTCGTAGTTGTGGGTGTGGGGGTGGGCGCTGGTGCTGGCGAGGGAGTGGTCGTTGCAGTTGCAGTCGAGTTCTGCGTCGTCACGGTCCGCCTCCGTCTCTCTTGTTCTGCTCGTTGAGGATCGCCTACCTGCACTGTCCAAATGTCGAAGACGAACTTAACCTCTAGAAAAGCGACATGGATGCATGCTAGGAATGCAGCTGCGGCAACCATAAGGAAGGACGCCTCATCCACCATCAATAACGCTATGAGCACGAATAGTAGCATTCCGTCCCCAAGCGCGGCGATGACGATGCCCTGGTAAGCAATCCGACTTCTTGTGGATGGTGTGGCCGCTTTCTCCATTTGACGTTTGAGCAGGGCAATTTGAAGGCCCAAAGCCATGATGAAGGAGAAGATCAAACGTTGAGCTAGCGCCCAGTACGTCTCGACCTTGGGGCCGAAAATCGCATCGGTACTGAGCATGTAGCCACAGTCGGGAGACATGACGACAGCGGAGTAAGTGAGTAGGGGAGGGCGACCGATGGGGGCTCCTTCAGGGTGTTCGAGTTCCTCCTCGACTCGATGCAGATAATTGTGCGTTTGGCCCGGTTCCTGATCTTCGTACCTATGAGGCAATGGTTGCAACCAGACAATCAATTCACATTGTGGCGCAAAGGCTAATCCATCCGAGACGTCTTCAAGAGTCGTTTCCCAATACTGGTGGACTGTCCGGTTCATAACATGTCGTGATGCGTTGAACGTGTCGGCGTTGAGAGCAAAATGGGGCAGAGCTGGAAATGCATCGAATTTCGAGCTGGTGGTGGACATGATGATCTGACCAGATGGTAAATGGACTCCTTGTAATCTGGCCTGCCATCCATTGCCTGGAGACGAGTCCGTCCACATGGAAATGTCGGCTTTGATCGCAGATGGTTCATGGTCGTGGTCATGGCCTTCAGTAGAATCAACCAGAGTAAAACTAACTTCGCCTTCCTTTTCGGTGATGTTTCTTTCGAATCTGGCTACCATGTAATCCTTGCCAGGATCGATTGCAGTCAAATTGGGCGTCGGAGATGAAAGGAAGGTCTCAAAACGGGAGAACTTCCCCCTAATTTCTCCAGTGACCTTTTCATAGATGGGCAATCCATCGTTGAGGTCGATGCCTTCCCAGGCATTTTCATACTGCTGCTGGCTCAACGAACGCGCCTGGGGTAGTAACTCCCATTGATATCCATCAGTATCGCGGAAGCCGGTCAAATTGAGCCATCTGTCCGACTGAGCATCGAAATGGCCGTAAGATGAATTTGTCAAGACATCGAGTTCTCGTTGATGGCGTTCTTCAATACGATCTGTATCGACTTGGAAACGTCGTCGCGCTGGCTGGTCGGGAGTGAAAAAGATGAAAAGCAGCAGAATCACCAAAAGAACAACTCGAGGCCCTTCCATCCACTAAGCCCTAGACTCTTGCGACGCATCGCAGAGTTGAAGACAAGGATAAGAAGATGACGGGGGATGATGAGACTGGGATGGAATGGAATGAAATATGTGGCTGATTGATTCTCTTCTACTAATACCTTGTTCTATTCAGCCAATCGGAGTCGCTCCTCTCCATTTTCCCTCCGCAGACACGCAGCACGGAGACAACGACTTTCTCCTTGCATGTTCAGTTCTGTCGACAACGTTCCTACTACTCGATATTCGCCCAGCATTCACTCGTACCTTGTTCCAGAGGCACAGGCCTCACCAGGAACTCCCATCCTCCAACATGGCCAACAACATGCCACTCCCAATCCCGCCTCGCACTCCTACCCCTGACCCAGAAGAACCCTCCTCACCCCAGATTCTCGCTTCGACAGATCCAGAGTTACAGTTTGACAATAACAGTCTCTCACCTCTGCATGCCGAAAGAGAAAACATGAGCTCGTTGGGTGGAACACTGTCTTCGCCAGTCAGTCCGTTAAAACAACACACCAATAATGGTGTGGGACCTTTCAATTTCCAGCCTTCGACCATGGCCAAGTCACCAGTCATAAAGTCCAATATCGGCCAGCGACGGGGTCACAAATACAAACATAGCAGTGTGTCGCATCAGATCTTTCTAGAGCCTCCTCCACGAGCACCCTTGGCCCTCCCGAATTCTCTCCCCATCCCTACGTTCGCAGAGTGCAGGGCAAGCATGACGAATGACCAGAAGGTCCGCTTCTACTGGAGCATATGTCATATGGCGGTGGCAGGGTATACGGCGTGGAATGCCCATGGGTCGGCAGCAATGGAGGCACTTTCGCATCTGATCTTTTACGATTCATTGGGTGCCCTCTTGTGTGTCTTGGTCGAGATATTCTCAAACTTCGAGGTGTGGGGGAGATCGAGCGTCCGACATCCGTTCGGACTGCAGCGCATGGAGGTCATTGCGGGATTCGCCTTGTCTGTGCTGTTGATCTTCTTTGGGTTCGACCTGATATCACACAACGCGAAACACGCCCTCGAAGGAATCGGCCATGAACCACACCATCCACATACCCACGCCCGTGTTACGACCGGCACGATCGACCTGACCGCGTTGATCGCGTTGGCGGCCACTCTTGTCTCGGCTGTCGGTTTGCAGAATCACGCTCGCATCGGGAAAGCCATGAGATTTGCAGCTATGGAAAACCTGCCGTCGCTGTTGAGCAACCCGTCACATTTTCTGACGCTGTCATGTTCGGCCACCATGCTGATGCTCCCTTTGCTGTCCCTGCACACCTACGAATGGGTGGATAAGATCCTCTCCCTGAGCATAGCTTTGAGCATGCTCTTTCTGGGTGTGCACCTGGGTCGCAACGTGGGGGCTATGCTGTTGATGTCACTTCCATCGAGATCCGCCGACGTTGCCGAGGTGGTCAAGGCCATCGAAGCTCAACCGTCTGTCCGGAGCGTGGAACAAGCCAAGTTCTGGCAGGCACATTATGGCATGGGCATGGCAAATCTGAGACTGAGAGTCATTGGGACGGAAGAAAATCTACTCAAACTCAGAGAAACAATCTCCAGCATTATTAGGAATCGGCTGAGTGGAGGATATGGGTCCGGGAGCAGTGGTCAGAAATGGGAAGTCAGTGTTCAATTCAAGGTTGACAACGACAGTGCCATTTCTCAGAGTCATGCTCACTTTTCACCCGGGCCGAGATGGACTCCTACGTGATATTAAACTAACAGATAGATGTATCATTATTTGTAGTTATAATGTTGTTATGAATACATGAAAGTTTTGGATCCCGGGGTGTCTCTACAATCGAGACAGTGATGTCTTCTGATATTTTACATGCGGCTATTGTGTATGTGTATGAATAGGCCATTCTGTGAGACCTCCTTGCATCTCTTGTAAGCGTGCGCGAGATGCCATTCGTAGAAAAGTGAAGAGCTCAGGTTTAGCCAGGTTCGTATATCGCCCGATCGATTCCGACCCTCAGACTTATCTTTGAAAACGAAAGTCCGTCCAAGTCCTTTTCCACGGCTCTAAAAATGCAAGATCTGGCAAGCCATGTCTGCTCTCGTCTTGGACGACCTCTCGTAGTAGGAGCATACATAGAGCCCTGAATGCCACTCGTCTGGTCGTCGTTGCTACAATGAGCCGCGATGTGACACTGGAGTTATGCAACAATGGTGTCTGTTCATCGTGAGGCGTCCGGGTCGTCTCATGGGATCTTCGCGGTGATTGTAGTCTGCCTGGGAAATGATCCCTGCATTGGAACGACCTCGGTAGCTCCAAGTTCTTGAATTTTCTCCTGGACAGTCCGTAGCAACTCCTCGGCCTCCTGCTGTGTTGCTTTTCTCTGATACTTTCTCGCGGCCAGGAGCAATTCGACTTTCTTCCCCTTGCGCAAGAACTCTTCTAGTTGTTTCATCTTCAACTGAAGGTCATTCCCACTGATGGCCCAGTTCAATTCGATCTGCTTCGGTTTCTTCTCTTTCTGTGCGAGCTGAGATTGTCGAGCTGCCGACTCTTTACTGTTGATCCTCTGGATCAAATCCTTCCGTTGTACCACTTGTACGATTGCATGGTCGCCGTCTCCGGATTTACTCAACTGGAGGACATACTGTTCGGATCGATCAATGTCGCGGAGTAACTGGGCAAGAGGTTTCGGTTCGGAGAGCTTGTTGTCGGGGGTCTTTTCTTGTACATAGCGAGTCTCGATCTTCTCGTTCAGAGTGAACGACTCGGCGATCTTATCGTCGATGGTGACAATCTTGATCTTGGTGCCAGGTTTCCTCCCTCGAGGTCCAGCAGCGAGAGTGGGTGTGTCAACAAACCATCTTCTCGAGATAAGTTGTGACGGTGGTAGTAATGATCGGGATTGAGGCCTAATGCACTGTGCGACTTGCCGCAGCAGCAGCGGCTTCACTGATACGAAAGTCCGCTGCATCCAACTGTACAAGCAATGAAACAATATACAAGACAATACAACAGCAAAGGGAAAAGAAAATCGTCGACCTGCGCAACTTTTACTTTGACTGATTGATCAATTGGAGACTTAAAAAAAGTTCCCCAGAATCGGTTTCAATTGTTCCTTGTGGCGCCGGAGACTCGCCAATCACTTTCGAACTCCATCAGCGGCGAGACGCGGCGCAGGGAAGATCAAGCGAACAGATCGCGCGACCAAAAAGTACTCCGTATGTACAATCTTTTTGGTTGAATCTCCCTCCCCTCCTGTCCCCTTGCCGATTGTCCTTTTTTATCGATTTCCTTTTCCCAATCCCTCTCCTTTTCCTCCCTCCCTCACACACACACATGTCATCCTCGAAATCCTCCGATCGAGCAGGAATCTGGTCCTACGTTCCTTTCGGTTCATCTCCCAGACGTCGCTCCGTATCCAGTGGCCTCCCACTGAGACATTCGGCCAACGGCAGCGCAGACAATAACAATACACCCTGGGACCCTTTCGAGAAATCAGGCCGCCAGACCAGAGGTAGTAGCGGCGGCATCGGCGGCCAGAAATTCAACCTGGAGTCTCTACAGCAAGCCTGGATGACTCAAAGTCGGCAGGCAAGATACCTCAAGACAGGGGGCGTTCTAGCCTTGATATTGTTTTTATACCTGTTCCTGTCGGGCGGCGGTAGCGGTTATGGCTCGAGAACGAGCAACATATACACTCCAGAGAACTCACCGACCACGAAATGTACAAAGCCTCACGATCTCTCGAAACCACTCGTTCAGTATGCCATCATGATCGATGCGGGAAGCACGGGCAGTAGAATTCACGTGTACAAGTTCAACAATTGCGGACCTACGCCAGAGTTGGAAAATGAGGAGTTCAAAATGACGGAAAAGAAGCCCGGTGGTTCAGGTTTGAGTTCGTTCAAGACAGACGCCGAAGGCGCAGCGAAGAGCCTGGATCCTTTGATGCAGGTTGCCCTGGACTCGGTCCCCAAGGAGTACAAGTCCTGCACTCCAATCGCGGTCAAAGCCACGGCTGGTCTGCGATTACTCGGTGACGAAATGAGCGAGAAGATTCTCTCCGCCGTGAGGACGCGTCTGGAGACAGTCTACCCATTCCCGGTCGTCTCCAAGGAGAAGGGTGGTGTCGAAATCATGAAGGGAGAGGACGAAGGTGTATTTGCCTGGATCACGACCAACTATCTTCTAGGCAAGATTGGAGGACCCGACGAGACACCCACGGCGGCCGTTTTCGATCTCGGTGGCGGTTCGACCCAGATCGTCTTCCAGCCGACTTTTAAGAACAGTCCTCATGGAGGCATGCCCCCGAAGATGGCCGAAGGTGACCACAAGTACAATCTGAGATTTGGCGGACGGGAGTTCGAATTGTACCAGCACTCGCATCTCGGCTATGGTCTCATGTCTGCACGCAAGGCTTTACACGCATCCGTGCTAGATAAGATGCACAAGCAGAACCCCAGTTCGAAGGAATGGCTCTCCAAACCCATCCCCAACCACTGCATCACCCCTGGCTCCCAGAAGAAAGTGGACGTGACGATGCCAGATGATCACGCACTGGCGGGTGACCACACTGTCATCATGGAAGGACCCAAGGATGCATTACCGGCCCAGTGCCGTGCGTTGGCCGAGGGCATTCTCTACAAGGACAAGGAATGCTCCGTGGCTCCGTGCTCGTTCAACGGTGTTCATCAACCGTCTCTAGAAAAGACCTTTTCTCGCGAAGACGTCTACATCTTTTCGTACTTCTACGACCGCACTCATGACCTGGGTATGCCCGAGTCTTTCACGCTCCGGGAACTTCACGACCTCACGGACAGGGTGTGCGGTGGAGAAAAGCACTGGGACGCATTCACTAGCATCGAAGGTGCCTTGGCCGATTTGCGCGATCGACCCGAGTGGTGTCTAGATCTCAACTTTATGACCGCTCTGTTGCACACGGGTTACGAAATGCCCATTGATCGCGAGGTCAAGATTGCAAAGAAGATCAAGGGTAATGAGTTGGGATGGTGTCTGGGTGCGAGTCTACCGTTGCTCGAGCCCGGAAGTGGTTGGGAGTGTAGGATTCAAGAAGTCGTCTCATGAGTACGAGCTTTGGCTTGTGTCCGGGGTTTCGGGGTTTCTGTGTAAATGTAAATGACTTTGACTTCGACTTGATAAAAGACTCATTATGATTCCATTAGAGGAAAGAGTGGGCGCAAATGCAGGGGAAGGTCGAGACCAACAGCGACAGCGAGAGCGCGTGTGTTGTAAAGGTGCGGTTGCATACATGATTCAGGTACATTACATTTGTTGGCCATGGGTGAAAGGGGTTGCTGGTCATGGGACAGGAGTTCATGGGGGTCATAGACATGATTCAGAATCAATTAAAGGTTCGTGATACAGTGAATACGTGACGATCATGGCTACCTCGAAAGGAGTGGCAAGTGTCGCATAAAAAAAGCAGCATCAATCTATCGCAGCCTCGGAGGCGACTTGTATGACAAGTTTCGAGTCAACATGCAAGGCCCGTCCCCCTGTTCAGTTGCGTCTTGATTTCTCGCGCAAATGTTCAGCCTGACTGCGCACACCACCATGTACAAACTGCGCCAAAACGCAGCGCAGTGGACGTCGCCTTTGCTGCCTCCATGCCTAAGATGCGAGTCTTCTGGGTAGCGTCTGTCAAAGAACGTGGTCAAACCGTTCCACATTCCTCACGATGCGCCTCTAGGAGCACAAGGACGATGGCAACTTCCGTCTTACCGAGAATCTCCTCGATGAAGATATCTCCCGACGTCCATGTGCGATTCTTTCGTATAGATGGGGAAAGGTGAATGAGGAGGTGACGTATGAAGACATTCAGAATAGGTCTGGCCGAGACAAAGCTGGTTACAAGAAGATTCTTACATTAATTCTACACTCATATAATATATTACTGGAATATTGAAAAAGATATCCTTCTCAATAGTGTTGACAATCCGACAACTGTTCTAGCGAATTAAGTCGACGAAACATAACGATAGAAGCACTGAGCAAGACGGAGGACGGAGGTCCGTCTCTTGGTGTCGTTAAAATCTCCCGTGCCAACGATACTCCCTCCCTGAGACAAGATACCATAACAGCGCCAAGTACGGAGTATGGGAAGGGTTGTTATCTAAGTTGGTTAACCTGGGGCGCTGGTGTCGGAGGCGCTCTGCCGCCCTGAGCAGGGTCTCAGTGACCCTGGAGCTCGGCTACTTCATTACCCAGCTCGATGTCCTGTCTCCCGTCGACAATTTCCTTCGCCGTCACCACCCACATCTCCTGCCCGCGGGAACTCTGCAAGGTACCTTTATTTCGCATCTTGAAGCTATTCGCTCTTTAAGCGCTATTTTGATGACATCTGTAGCTCTACCACAAAAGAGGGCCCGCTCACGTCGAGGGTGCTGGACCTGTCGGCAGAAGAAGGTCAAATGTGGCGAGGAGTGGCCCCGCTGCGAGCGGTGTGAGAGATTGGGAAGATTTTGCGACTACGAACCTCGGGCACGCAAAAGATACACCAGAAAGAAGGTGCCGGCACACCTCACTCCTGAGGAGGCCGACGTTGAATCAACTCTGCCTCAACATCAATCTTCATCGCCTGACATCGGCTTGCAGAGCGTGCGTCTGGCTTCGGTGCCAGATGTAGAAGCGCGCGGTAGGACTGTACGCCAGCCCTTTCAAGTCTTTCAAGGAGATGCCGGAAGAGGAGAAGAATGCAACACGGAGCGGGACCATGAGGAGGAATCGAGTGCCTTTGCAACCCCCGATCCCCGAGTGTTCCCTTGTGAGGAAGGTCAGGTGGTCGGTGACGATTGGCTTCCCACCGCTTATTCTGCAACATTATCACATTCCGACCATGCGGCGATTGAATACTTCCGTTTTGTATTCTCGCCGACCCAAGACACCAAAGACCCTCTCTTCTCGGTGCCTGCGATCTTGTGGAGGCTCGCTAAGCAAAATGATATGGTGCTGCACATGATTTGTGCTTTAGGCGCCAAGGAGCTCAACTGTCTAAAGGGAACTAGGGGGCAGACGGACAAGACAGGAGCAGGGAAAGAGTCTGGAGAGCAAGCCCACTCTCCGCAGTCCCAGATTGCCGAACATTACGGAGCTGCACTGCATCTGCTGGCAACCGCCATCCAAAGAATCGTGGAGATGGTGGAGCTTGACTACATACTTGCCACACTCTGGCTCATGATTGTATACGAGCAAAAGTTTGGCGACGGCTGCGGATCGGGGCTGATGATCCACCTGAAAGGGGTGGGGACCTTGGTGCAAAGCCGCTTACAGAACATTGGCCTCATAGTCGACCAAAGCAGACCCTGCGTTGTGGTCGAAGCGGCGGAAGCCATGGCGGGCCCGCAAGGCTGTGTTCCTGAAGCCCGGTGGCAAATATCTGGCTTTTCATCCCGCATGCTTGTGTGGATCTCCCATCTCGACGGGGCCGCTGCGCTCAATGGCCTGGGAGGAGGACTCAATCAACTTCTAGGCGAAGTAATGGTAGGTCTGGCTGAGGACGAAGCCATGTCGCTGATTGAAGGCTTCCGGACGATCCACAAACATTCCCACGCTGCGTTCCGGGAGACTTGGGGCACGTCGTACCCACAGACCCAGCTCCTTGAAGACCTGGAGATCCGTCAGATGTTTTATCTCTATGGAGAGTGCGGACAGCTGCGTTACTTGCTGAGTCTGGCTGCCGAGGCGAATTGGCGTGACGTTCCTGAGTCCCGAGGCTATCTGGAACGAGTGGCACACGCACTAAACGAGGTCGCCTTGAGGTACGCTGACATTCTTGAAACGGCCAGCGCTCTCGATTTGCTTGAAGGATGCTTCAGGCGTCGATATGTAACAAACATCCGCTTCGTTGTGGCCCAGTACAACGCCGTACTTCTGTCTTTCTTTCGAATCACGAGGCGCTGCGCACCGTTGAACGAGCGACAGCGAGCGGCGTTGCGCGTCATCCTGGACCTTGCTCATCAGGCATGCAGTGATTCAGGAGAGGTTGCAATGCACCATTTCACCTGGCCATTATTTGTTGCTGCTATGGAATCGGACGATCCCGTCCACCGGGCCTGGATCTTGGATAGATTTCAAATCCTGTCCACACAGGGGCAGAATTATCATCGGGCAAATGAAGCCCTCAAGACTGCATTTGCCGAGCAGCGGATGAATGAGAGACGTGTGAGCTTCTTGGAGTTGGTCCGGAGGGATGACCTCGATCGGTTCGTGATTTGATTAGCTCGGGACTTGGGCTAGTGTGAGACTGCCACGGATAGTAATGCCAGCAAGAGTAATTGTCGAAGACTTTTAACCGACTTGTAGAACAGTAATGAATCTTGGCCAGAGGGCCTTCTATACGTACTAAGCCGAAGCCGATCATCTAAAGATACCGGAACTTCGCATAGCTTGCCAGGGGTATTAGCCGACCCTACGGATCCTCTTGGGGAAATGTGGTAGTCTGGTGGAGTCCGCGTTCCTCTTAGACAAATGAACAGCCGAGCAAACACAGTGACCAACAAACTATTGAGAAAGCCGTGATCAAAATCAGTGTTACAAAAGCATAAAGAGTACCTTGAGCGGCTGTTTTTCCAGATAGCGGTTGTCCGGATCGTTGCATCTTCGAGATTGCGAAAGGCTGCTCTTGGTCCTTGAATGTCGGCCACCCACGGTGGGGATTGATGAACGAAAACAAACAAGTTGATCTCGTATGATAACCACTTGGAGAGCCAAGTATCAAGGATGGGTGCAGCAAAGGCCTCGATAAACCATCCATCGACATGGGAAAGTTTTGGACGGCTTGATGATTATTTTGCACAGGTAAGTTGGGAGACGTCTGGCGATTCGCGAACTGTCTTTCGAGCCATCAGGCAGAAGCTCTAGGTTGATACTTTAGAAGAGTAACAAAGGACACAGGTCGCGAAAGATTTAGAACATGACCCCAAGCCAGAGCCGTCGCTGGATGGTCTTCCCGATGAACGCATCAAGTGGGAAGCGAAAAGTCGCCAAGATGCCGACAAGATCCTGGAAACGGTCACGGGTCGAGTTTCGGAGAGAGAGATATTCATTCCCTGCCGCGACGGCCACAAGACTCGTGGCCTCTTGTATCGATCCGGGCAGGATTCTGTTGGCGGTAGGCCACTCTTTGTCGTGCTCCATGGAGGCGGGTTCCTCTTCGGTAGCGCGGAGATGGAGTCGCCGCTGTGCATTCGAGCCGCGCTCGAGTTTGGATGTGTCGCGCTGTCGCTCGAGTATCGTTTGGCCCCGGAGCACAGGTTCCCCCAAGCACATGAGGATGTATGGGATGCACTTCAATGGGTGAGTCGGGTCCTTCCACCGGGTCAACCCCCTTCGGATGCTGCTCTGCAGAGTAGTCCCCTTGCCTCGGGGCGGCGCTGACATGCGAAGCGCAGCTCACATCGAATCCCGCCAGTATCGGGGCCGACTTGACCAAGGGCTTCATCTTGGGAGGGTGTTCGGCAGGAGGCCACATCACCATCCCCTTGTCACATCGGGCCCGGGACGAAAAGCTCTCCCCGCCACTGACGGGAATCTACCTCAGCGTCACGCCTGCCTTGGCACATCAGGCGGTGCCGGAGAAATACCGGCCACTGTACAGGAGCCGAGAGCAATTTCGCGACGGCATTTCCTTGGATTTGGCCTCCATCCTCCTCTACGACAAGGCCAGCGAGCCCGACGTATTCTCACCACTCTGGAGTCCTTTACTGTGGCCCACCGGGCACGCAAATCTCCCTCCTGCTTACTTTCAGATCTGTGGAGCGGACATGTTGAGGGACGAGGCCCTGATATACGAGCGGGAGCTACGGCTGAACGACATCGAGACCAAAGTCGACATCTATCCCGGCCTTCCTCATGTGTTTTGGTATACGCATCCGGATCACCCTGCAGTTCCAAAGTATCATGAAGATGCGAAGAACGGCATTGGTTGGCTACTTGATCGGAAATGTTCTTCTGGTGGATTGTAAAATGATACGATGGATCAAGGGTGAATCAATGGCTCATGGAAAAGTAGGATACCCATCTGTGCAATGGTGCATACTTTCTGCTCCAGATGGAATCAGGAGGCCAAACACTATTAGAGATGTTGACGAGATCGTCTGAATGGAAAAAGCTTGAAAATACAGATGACGGAGAAATCCACACAACGATTAGCATACATTCACATAAGTTGGCCCGGGGAGTTGACGACTGGCAGGCATTGAAGCCTTATGGATTCCGACTTTTACAACCCCAAGACTTCATTTGCCAACACCCTCATTCTTTTTTGTCCCTCTGTCAGCCCTTCGGCATCCTCATCCAGCGCCAAAAATCCCATTGCCCTCAATCCATCGTCGCATAGAATGTTCTCCAAGCGCGCACCGCAGTCCTCGTGCTGGTTTTCCACCTCATACCCTTCTTGTAGCCTCTCAAAGTCACGCGGCGGTACGCCTTTCAGGAATGCTTCCCGGGTGCTGAGCAGAGAGTCGAGATTGTACGGCGTCAGAGGATTGCATGCGTTGTAGAAGACGGTGGAGTCGTTCTCTCCCGGATTGGTGGAATCCACGCCGTGGACCAAATCACAGTGCCAGAAGACATAGTCACCCGGCTTGACGGGAGGGATCCCGATCAGGGCCCGGTCGAGGGCCAGGTGAGGGTGGTGTTCGGGGCTCGGGAAGAACTGCGTGCTCCCGGGAGTGGCGCCCGGGAATGTGGGTTGGGATTCGTCAAACTCGCCGTCGACGAAAAGAGGCTTGAGGAGCAGGTATGCCACGGACGCCTTGAGGCTGGGAAGGAGGCGCAGCGTGCCCTCGCCGGTGTTGGTGTGCGACAGGGACATCCAGCCTTGGAGACTTCTCCAGGCCGAGCAAGACGTCTCGTTGGCGTACAGGTCGCTGCGGGCGTTGAGGCGTTCGTCTGCCGCCCATCCATCCCAATCTTGCCATCGACCTTCGAAGATGGCGGCGTAGTTGCGCCGGTAAGCCTCGTCTTCCCAGCGTTCGGTCCCGCCACTGTCGAGGTGAGGCTTCAGGGGAAATTGGTCGGGGTCGTCGGACGGCTGGCGGATCCGGATCCGGTCTGGATACACGACCTGCGTACCGAGATCGATCGGCAGTGACGGGTCGGAGACGTACCACAATCGAGACACGCTGTTCATTGCTTCCAGGACTGCTGGGTGTGACCGAATCTGGACCTGAGGCTCGGTCCAGTAGACGTTCCACCCGGCGGGTTTGTTGAAAGGGACACCGCCTACTCCGGGGTGGCGATGAACGTAATCCTTGAGCTTGGCTCCCCATTCAACTGCTTGCTCTTCGGGAACAACATTGCGCAGGATCACGCAGCCTCTGTCTCGGACAAGGTCGGCAAAATCTGGAGGAAGATCGCCCCCTGTGAATCATGTCATGAGTTTCTGAGGTGGCTGGCCAGTCGGATTCGCCCTTTTTTCAGGAGAGGCACGCTTACCATTCTTTCGCAAATCTTCGAAGTCAATCTCAGGAACCATAAAGGGCCCGGAATTCTGAATACGTTTGACTTCCGAGCTCAGGACATCGAGAAGGCGTCCGTACGATTCAATTACTTTCTGCTTGTTTTCCGTCTTGACAAGGGACGCCTTGAGCACTGCAAATCGCCGGTCAAGCAAAGGCAACCTGTACCTCCATGTCAGCCAACAAGCCGTCTGAAGCGGTCGTAATAAACATACTGGGAAGTCTTCTGAACAGTCGTAAGGATTTGGGTAGTAGCATTGCCGGAAGACATGGCTGTCGATACTTGTGGATGGTTCTGGTGCAATTATTGGTAGCTTTGACATCTCGAGGCTACTGAAGGGCGAGATAATAGAATATACATGTGGATTGATACTGCCTTTATGTGTACCAGAAGCATCTGTGTTTGGTTTGCCGTCCGAAGTATCCTTTGTTGGGGAATTTCGTCCTCGAGCAACCTTAGCGGAGTGGACTTTGAGAAGTTGCCAATTGTTTGTCTTTTGGCTCGGATTGACCGCCCCAGAGGAACCTTTGACCGACGAAGATATAACCCAGCGGGCTCACCAGGCCAAGCTCGCTTAATTCCAGGTGTAGACGACAAAAAGCCGACCAATACTGAGGCTCGGCAATTTGGGCCCACATTTTCATCCCGTGCGTGGCAAGCTAGTGTGACCTTCTTCATGCCCTGGCATATCCTCCGTCGCACGTAGACTTCACTCTCTACACCCAGCAATCATGAAACGATTGTTACTTGTCTAACTTTGTTGATCTTGAATGGCCCTTATCCGACACACTGCCGCCACGCAAGCTTTGAAGGTGTAGTCTCGACCCGCCAGGATCGACGAGCAATGTGAGTTCGCTTCCACCTGCCTGGGGCCCCAATGCCCGAAACCTGGGGTTGAGGTTTCGTAGGCATGAAAGAAGAAGCCTCACTTTTACACCTTGCTACAGATTTGTGAGTTGACCTGTAACAAACGGGCGAGCGAGGATTCATCTTTCGAGCAACCCCTGCTCTCCTGCGAAGACAAGGAGACCGAGAACCATCAACAGCCATGTAACTGCCTAAGAGGGTCCGGGATATGGATCTGGTCAAGGACATGAACGGGCCACTATTTTGGTATGCATTGTCAGCTGCACTGAGTTATGCCTACCTCGGGCTGCGAAAATGCGAGCAAAGGAGGCATACTAACAGCTTCCTATATGGGCGGAATTTCGTCCGGAATCGGTTGGAATAACTCTTCTTTTGACCATAGGAGAAACACCTGACACGACCAGAATATTTTCATACATGTCAAGCTATCGGATCCTCTGCTTCCAGGCTCTCAGATTTGAGGATGTCTTCAAGCTCAACGTAATTTTCATGCTTGAGATGATCTTGTCGTGCGCCTGCGTCTTTTCATCTCGCTGATCGCTGCGGTCGAAGACTGACCCTCACCATTACCGCGTTTCAGATAGTGTCAACTATCCATAACGAATGAACGAGTCTGGCTCTAATCACTGAGATGCCGTTCTCTGTCTAGTTGTATAGTAAAAAGGAGCGTCAATCTTTCTCGAATTGTGGCGGTTCTCGTTGTCGTATTGACCATCGCATAGGGCCTAGTTAACGCTCGACAAACTACCTCATCAATAAGAAGTGCTCTTCCAGGGCCACTATAATATAAAAGAGTGACTTCACACGGCGTTAAAAGGAGCCTGCTGAGACTAGTGTAAGGTCTCGACTTGCGCTGAAGGGAGTACTCCGCGGGACGCTATCTCTTCCCGTTCAATAGATCCGAACAAAGGGAGGCACCTCAAGGCCATCATTCACTGACCAGAATCTTATCTTTATCTCTCACTCGCCCTTGATTAAACTTACTGGAGCATAGCCACTCAATATCTTGAATGTAAAATGGGCAAAGTGATGTGTAACGCATGCTTGTAAAACTCGTGTCTAGAGACATATAAACCCACGTAACGGCAGCTGGCTCTCATTGCTAGGAATATAACGGGTAAGCATCAGAACAGCAGGCCTCCCCGGGATGGAATTACAAAGATTCACTATCGAATGAATGCCAGATACTCACAGCATAATTTTGATATCGAAAAAATCAGACTGTAGCGTAACATTGCTGGTCACAAAGCGTTAATAGCCACTTTGCTTGCTAAGCCATATCGACAAAGTAGACAACTTCACAGAATGGTGTTTACTCAAAAGAGGGATTCCTGCGAGTTTCCAGCAACTCATGCCACCTCCTTGGTAGCGAGAATTTCGCTCGTTAAGCGTTACCTGTCTCTTTGACAGTGACCAGATGCAGATCCTTTGTCTGGCTATGCATCTCAAGCTGAGACTCTTGAGCTCCATAGCTGGCTGCCTTGTATTTCCTAAACTGCCACACAGACACCTTTTCATGGAATAGCTCATCAAGCTCTTCCAAACTGCGGAAGCCTGTTTCTGGCAGATAGAATAGAGCCCAAACAAATGCGGAAATGGAGAAGGCCCCCCAAAGAAAGGCTATACGCGGTCCGAGGTCGCCCTGTCCCGGATCCTGAATGTAGGGGCTTATAAATGTAATGAGGATTGAGGTCGAAAAGCCGCTGATCGTAGCGATTGTGATCGTTTTTTCTCTGAGTTGCAAGGTGGAAACCTCAGCGGTAACAATCCACACGCTGCGTTGATGTTAGTATGATAACACCATCTTTCAGGAATGGAATGACTCGTACCAACTGCTCCAAGCAACAGTCATTACGATGTCCCAAACGAATAGGCATGCCAGTGCTCCCTGCCGGTAAGCCTGAGTATGTGCCTTGCTGGAACCTGCGAGTCCGCCTACAGCGAACATACAAGTGGCCAGAACGACTGTAGATCCCGTCATGATCCACCGACGGCCAAAGCGATCGGGGATATAAAAAGCGAAAGCCGCTGACATGCAAAAGGTAAACAAGTACAGAACGACAACCTTGTATACGTCTTCGACACCCATACTCTGAACAAAGAGCACAATATACGAACCGACAAACGAGTTACCCTGTGCTTGCTGGAAACATTGTACACCAGTTGCAATCAGCGTTCGGCGGAGATTGGAGCCCCTGTATTCTTGTCAGCGTTCCGACCGTTCACAATGAGGGGGCCAAGGGGATCATCGCGAAGGAGCAGGACTACCTGAAGCATTCCAGCCAACCGCTGCTGAAGTGGGTTTTATTTTCCTCTTCCGCAGCCACGAGTAACTGCACCTCATGTGTGATCACATCCCGTGAAACGTATGGGCGGAGGATCGCTAAGTTCTTCTGAGCTTCGGTCTCACGGGATTTTCCAATAAGCCAACGAGGGCTCTCCACAATGAAGAAGGATCCAATCGCGAACACGAGGGCGAGAGGGACTTGGATGAGCAGAACCAGCCTATACGCCCACTGGTCTGTTCGAGTATTCATCCCCCAGTTGATAGTGCCGACAAGAACAGCGCCGATTCCAATCGAGAATTGATAGACATTGATCAGCGATCCACGGAGACGCAGTGGCGCTACTTCGGCGAGATAGACCGGGAGTGTATTAGCGAGGAGTCCAAGTGCTGCAGTGTTGATGAAACGTCCAACCATGATCTGCCAGTAGGATGTGATGGCCGTTGTCATGATCAAGCTTCCCACAATGGACATGTAAGCCAAATACCGACAGGCTCGGACGCGCCCAATGCGTTTACTGATGAGTCCTGCTAGAAGAGCGCCAATTGCAAGGCCGGCGATAGGTATTCCACTACCCGCAGACACCCAGCTCGACGGTAGAATATAGGATTTGGTGTTAGCATCGTAGATGCCGAAGTCTTTCACAAACTGCTGCATGCCGAGCAGCCCGGACCAGAATCCGTAGTCTAGATTCCATCAGTCTCATGAGCTATAAATGTATCTGGACTTGGACGTCCTTATACGTACCCATACCAAACATGATCGCACCGAACTGGAAATATCTGTTAGCTCACCTTATTATACCGCGCTGTCATTCTGGCCTCGAAGGACTCACCGAACAGTAGACAGCCACAAACGCCATCCGAGGTCCCGTGTCCGGAAAGGCAAGCCTTAGGCGACCCTTCAATGATTGTGCCATTGCTCACGATATTTTTGAATCGTCCAGCTCGTTGGAACAACTTTGCCTTCCCAGATACTCTTCTGAGGATGCCGTTTTGATCTTCGAGGCATGTCGTGGAGATGCTTAATATATACTCCGTAGTCGGGTAGTGATATCTGCATCCATCCCTTATTTGAAATCAAATAAGATTCTGCAGCTGGGGAAAAGGCTTCTCGAAGCTTGAAAGGGACTGAAGTGCTCTAGCCGCCAGTAGAGTGAGTGAGTCAAAGGGTTTCTAAATGGCGTAGTACAATGTCACTCGGTAAATCCATCGGCTATTTTCCTTTGTGGTAGAAATCCCGACCGGCAAATTCCTCCCACTCTTTCTCTTGGGTTAAGGAGCGACTGGCAGTGTCAAATATCGGAACCTCAGCCTTGACCTCCACGGCGAGTGCAAATGCAGAGAGTGCTCCCAGCACTGACGCTAGGCCCACAGTACCATAATCGCTGAATTCGACCAAACCACTGGATGGCGACCATGGAGAGGAATCAGATAGAAGCTTTGAAGATGAAAACTTGGTTTGGCGCTCAGGGCACGCGGGCACTGATTGCGATAATGACTCTGACCGAGACATCACAGCCTGAAATTCTTGCCAGATGGGCAACTTTTAGCATCGCATGCGGCTGATCAGACTCCTCGAGTCTGGAACTTGGAGAGTCATGAGCTTTGCGCTGTGCATGAAGATGCCACGTTTGACAGTCTGGTAAGTTTGCTTCCGGAAGGATCGGTCACAGCAACCTGGGAGAAGAAGAAAAGAAGAATAGAAGTCTTATACAAAGATGGACAACGTCGCTCTCATTGGGGCAATACACCCACTTTCTCGGAGGATGGCCAATTCTTGGCGACAACGTCAAAGAGCGGAACCCTCCAAGTATGGGACATGCGAACAGGAGAACTTCATCACACCGAGGAATCATTTGAGGAGCTGAGTTGGTATTGTGCGGCTTCCGCATCAAACTCGGACAGTTTGCTATCCTTCGCCTTGTCAAATCAGTGGGTGTCATTCGCTGGGGCCAAGATCGTACAGATCCCGCCTAACTACAGCGTTTGTATATGGGTTGCGCATGGTAGTACAGTTGTCTTGGGTCGTGAGTCTGGTGAAGTGATAGTAATCTCCTTTCAAATCGACGCCGAGTCGGATACAGGGCGTAGAAGCCAAACTGTCCGGATCTGTTGAGTGCCCAGAATGTCGGGGTCCGGCTAGGCAGGGCGCACGCGACGTGTCGTTCGTAGATGAAGTTGATCAGTTTACATCACTCGTGGGCATACGTGGGTGCTGCTTCTTGCTGGATGGTGGCGGTTGAAATCAAGCAAAATGCAAAGGACTTTACCAAGAACCGCGATCGTACAATTGAAATTGTAGTCGATAATATAAAGTCTGCGTTATTGCGATTGATTGGTAACAGTTTAAAGGTACAAAAGAACTTGAATCAAGTTATTTCTGAGGAAGCTCAACTTCTCTTACTTCTATCGCTCGAGTACAAAGAAAAAAATCTTTATCCACACAATTTCAAAACACCATGTGAAGAAGAAGAACAAAGTGTACATTTGTCTCTGTGTCAAGAGTGTTGTTTATTGACTACACAAAACTCGGTCGTCATCAGCCAAACCGCGAGAAGTTTGAGAGGTTCAAGCAAAATCTTCTCGGGCAACCCGGGTTCGTCAGATAACGAACCGTATTGGCAAAAGATGAGAAACGGTCGGGGGTTGGCTCATGAATATGACGGAATTGAAGATTTCCCACCTCGATGACATCGTCAAAAAAGTACTCTGCTGTGCTCTCGGGATTTTCTAGAAACCTCCTTTCCCCAGCAATTCATCCCCGACTTCCTTCAACAACGGTTCATCCTTGACGCCCAGCTTGGAAGTTTTGAGGCCCTTTAGAGTCTCTCGTAGATCCATGGCCGTACACAAATCCCAGAGCATATTCTCAGGAGGACAACCGTAGAGGAGCATCCCCAACGCCAAAAGGAGGGCGTGGAATGATTCTTTGACGTTGCCCGTACTCGCAGCACCGGACCTCGAAGCCGACGCGACATCCTCGAATGAAATGATACTCTCCAACAACGCCGCGGAAAGGTCGTCACTCGGTGCCGTCGTGGCTTCTTCTCCTTCACCATCGCCGCCGTTCTTGTCGTCGCCCTTGTCGTCTTCGTGTACCGCCGGGTTCACACGCTCATTATGCACGTACGCCACCAGATTGTAAACCAGTGCCGCCGCCATGGATCGGGCATTGAGGTGTGGTGACAGTAGACACTGTGATGCGAGCGATTCAATCATGTTTTTAAGTTTCAATCCATTATCACCATTCGTGGCTCCTCCGTTTGTGTGCGTTTGAGTGTGGGTGTGAAACAGTTGTTCTTGAAAGACATTCGAACTGAACAAGTTGCACGCGAGTTGTAAACTCGTGGATTGGATATTATATGGCGACGAGGAAAATTCGTCTCCGTGAGACAACACCGTGCTAAGCAACTTGTGACCATGTTCTGTCGAGAGAAAACTCGACACTCGAGAATCGACGGCCGCACAACGAACAAGGTCAATGACAGCGAAGTGTGTCTCGGTGGGAAGCGACGCGTATGACGTTGTGAGGTAATCACTAAATGCGTGTAGATTGGGGAGAGGTGCCTCCGTCATGCCCTTTTCGTCTCTCGTGCGGATGTACGAGACGAGGTCCTGGACGGATTGGCCCGACGAAAACTTCGGTCCGATCTTGGCCAGGAGTTTATCGAGCGGTGGTGCACGGGAGTATAGTATGGGCTTCTTGATGAAGCGTTGAAAAGAAGGTAGTTTCAAAGTCGCGTGCTGGTGTTGTTTGGGTCGTGCCATCTGAAGCAGGAGGCGAACATTGCCGCGTAATTGTGCCGAGTTGGCCCCGGCCCATTCATCTTGTTTCTGGCCTTTGAGGAACGTGATGAAAGTCGGTGTCGCACGGACGGAGTAACGCTGTGCGATGGCGTGAGCGGAGTGCGAGGCCGATATGTCGATCTTGATGAGTTTGGCGCCGCTTCGCGTGCCGGCTTCGGCAGCAAGCTCGTCGTAGGTCGGGTAGACGATTTTGCAAGGTGGGCATGTTGCGGATGTGAAGAATATCACTGCGCATGAGTGACGAGCTGAAGAGAGGAGAGCGTCGAGTTCGGAGATGGAGGAAACATAATGGACATGACCAGGTTCATCTGTTGCTTGTTGGGCGTTGATGATGGCCGGCGTGTGGGCTTTGTGCACGACCCCATTACTCACAGGTCTAGGAGGGATCGTAGTACCGTTGGCCAGCTTTGATGTTGGTGTCGTCGTCGTCGTAGTAGGAGTCCTTGAAGAAGCATTTCTTCCCGACACCGCGTCAGGTGCTTGAGTCATTGTGCGCATAGACTGGTCTATCTGGCCACGGAGCATCTGGCCGATGGGTGTTCTGAGGAACGTCTCTGGAAGACTTCGGATCTCGTCAGGGATACTCTTGCCGACGAGAAACATGGCCAGATCTTGACTAAAGTTGTTGCAATTGTGGACAAACAAGTCATAAGATTCTGGAGTGTAGATGTCTTCGAGAGATTCGATGTACTCCTCGATCACGTCGAGTGGCAGATCTGTCTGACCCAAAGGGATGATCTTCATGGGGCGGCCGTGGTGGGTTGATCCAGGGACTTTTCTATGTATACCCTGGCCAAAGAAATATTCCACATCGTTGAGGACGATTGCTGTATGATATATGGCGTCTATCTGTACGCCCGTCAGGGCCATGGAATACTGTCTGGCCAATCCCTGGAAATACCGGTCAGAAAGAGGGAGATTGCCACTCGAAAGGGAGCGATGACTTGCCTGCGAGAGATCATAGACGTATAATTGGACATCCATGTTTGATGAGAAGTAATTGACGAAAACAGATGTCTATCGCATTGGCAGATCGAGTCTAAGTATGATGTCTATAGGATTATGAAAGAATGAAGGGATATTGATATTGTTGTCGGTGTTGATGATGGACAAGGCGGCAATTAATTCGTCAGCCACAATTTGCATTTAATTCAATGTGGCGTCATCGGCTTCAGCCTCGAACATTGACGCCAACCATTCCACTCATTTCCATCTTATACTGCACCACTCACTCGACACAGCCTTGTCCTTGTAGACATGTGACGGGAATACTACTCATCCCTAGAGACATGGTGGGCACTTCCATCCGTGTTCAACCTACATTGCGCACGCTGACAACCTCTTACTGTAGCCACCGCGCAAAACAGCCGCCAAGGGCAAAGCCAGCGCGTCCAAAGGTTCAACTTCTACATCTCGACGTTCCAAACTTGCAAAGGAGAATGAGATTACCGCAGAAGAAGAATTCGAGATCAAAGAGGCGTGGAACCTCTTCCGCATAGACGATGTGGAAGAATATGAGGACGAAAAAGAAGGAGTCATCCCTACCAGCAAGGTGAAAGATGCATTCCGGTAAGTTCCACTCGTACGCGCCCAGTCGTTGGCGGCATAAATGGTAACACTGAACCCTCTGTTTCTGCAGAGCACAAGGCCTCGCTCCAAAGAGTCAGTCAGAGATGCAGGAATTCATCGATACCCTGGATCCGGATTCATCAGGTTATGTCACTTATCCGCACTTTCTTGCCTTGTGCGCCCTTCAGCTCAAGTCAAAGACGGACGAAGCAAAGGATGAGGAAGTCCAGACGGCATTTGATCTATTTCACCCCGGACAAGCCCCGGCAAACCATGAGCAGGTGATTCGCCTACAAGATCTACGGATCGTTGCAAAGACCTTGAAAGAAGACGTCAGTGACGACGTTCTCAAGGCTATGATATTAGAGGCGAATGGAGGGCAAGGAATTGGGAGAGGCGTCAATGTCGAGGATTTCCGTGCTGTCATGACCAGGGCGGGCGTTTTTCATTGAGACGAATGCGATACTGGCGGTGTGAGATTTTCTAAGTCTGTACAAAGACCATGTACAACAGGGACCGGAAAGAAACGATTTCAACATTGATCTTTTATTGTCTCCACATAAATCAACCTACAAGCTCATTGAGAAGCTGTAGCAGTAGAGATCCGTGGAAGTCCCGCGACCAGATTTTGTTATCTGACCGTTGATCGAGACCTGGTACTATTCTAGCTTCCCTGTCCACACTGACTCGTTTTGGGGCAAAATGAAACGGCCAGCTCTAGCATAGATAGAAGCAATATTTGATTAAACAATCGATGATGATCTGTTTGTTATGAAACAGGTCGAAATGGCATCGTCCTGGACCAGAAGTGTTTTGTTGATCCTGGTTGGTTGCAATAGTACATACGTCGAACAGATTGTTCATTATACATCGCGACATATATAAGTCTATGTCGGTGTTGGGAATATCATGAGCAAAAGAAATTGAAGGAATAAAAATTCGAGCTTGGAAAAGAAATTGGAAGCCAAAGAGAAATAGATAGTTTTTGCATGCCAAGACTGATCATCTACTTTTAGTGAATCTTCAACTCTAGCGTCAGATATCTCTAATGCGTGTATTTCTTGATATTTGAGTGTCCTCCACGCGTCAACACCTCATCCTCATCTTCTTCCCCTCTCATAACCGTGCTCGTTGTGGCTTTCGAGCCCAGGGATGATGATCCCCGCGATATATCAACGATTCCAACTCTCCAGTATTGACAAGTCCGGGATGTGCCTGGTCCAGACTCGTTATGCCCAGTAGCTGCATAGCAGTAGCAAGCTCCTCCTCAAGAACTGTGGAATTAATTAGCCGACAGATCATCTTTGCTCACTGACACACCTCGACTTACTCTTGATCAAATGCCTGACACCTTCTTCTCCATATGCCAAAGAGTAAAAGAATGGCCTTCCCAAGCAGACCGCACTGGCGCCCAGGCAGATGGCCTTGAGAATGTCGGTTCCTCTTTGAATGCCACCGTCGATAAACACCTCCAGCTGGTCCAGGATCTCTGGGCAAGTTGCCTGAATCTCCAGTAACACCAGAATCGACGGAGCCGCTGTATCCAAAGCCCTTCCGCCATGATTCGAAATGTATAGACCTGCACAACCAATCTCTAGCGACTTTTTCGCATCTGACGCGCACTGGATGCCCTTGACGAATGTCGGCAGTCCTGTATATTTCTTGACAAACTCTATGTCTTCCCATTTGAGGTCTGGTGTTATGGTTGCTTGTGATGGTCGCTGTGACGCTTCCACATCAACGGGCTTCTTTTGTTTCTTTTGATTCTCGAGGGCAATGAATTTCGTGTAACTTTCTCGCTTCGACATGACGGGAAGATCTGCCGTCACTAGAATACCTTGAGGCTTCAACTTGCATACTTCGTCGAGCAATTTCATCATTTCCTCCCTGTCACTGTGCACATATAGTTGAAAGAAGAATGGATGTTTCGGGGGAAGTTCCTGGACAATCTCCTGAACCGAATACGATGCCATTGTAGGGATGATCATTGGACTTCCACCGGCCCCGATCGCTTTGGCCATTGCAAGTTCACCGTCTTGGTGCGCAAGCATCGCCGATGAGAACGGACAGTTGAGAATCGGGGATGCCCATTTCCGGCCAAACATACTCGTGCTGATGTCGACCTCTCCTACGCCTGTCAGTACGCGTGGCCGGAACCAAATGCGCTGATACCAGTCTTGATTCGCAGCTTTCGTCAGCCCGTTTTCAGTTGACCCCGAAATATACGCCCACGACTTCGGCCGGAAGGCTTTTTCTGCAACTTTCTCGAATTCGTGGATGCTGATGATCGTCTCCAGGTCGGGCTTGACGACAGGTACTTCGCCCGTCTCATCGTCCGTCTTCGGAGCACCAGCCTCGAGCAGACCAATCTTCTTGCTTGGACCCAGAAACTTCTCCGCCAGTGTCGGACTGTGAATGCCATTGTAAACCTCACTGCCGTCTTGGCCGAAGAATTCTTCGATGGCTTCACGACCCCCGGGGTGTCTGGCAGCGAAACCACTCATATCCCAGACCACGCCGTTCAGAGCGATCCAACAATCGTCATCTTGATTGTGCTTGCTCACTTCGAGAAGTGGGATCCTCTTAGCACTCATCGCGACGAGATACTCCGTGTCAACAAAAGACTCCTGTTCCGCTCCTTTGTGTCGCAAGGCACAACATACAACCTCTTCAGAAACACTTTTCGAAAGATTATAATAACATTTCTATTTCTCAAGCCCGACAAAACAATACAGCTATGCGCTACAGAAATAGTCGTTGGCATAGAACATCCGGTCCAAGCCATGAAATTCTTATCACGGACTTGGCCGCAGTCGTCGCTCAACTCCAAAGTGGATTTTATGTTGTTCAACCAAAAATCACCAACCACTGATCAACCTCATTTCTCCTGTACTTCAGTCTTGCTCACACTTTCAGCTTTCGAGTCGGGATTCTTCTGATCCTCAGGGTCAGATTTCTCCTCAGGTGCACCGTCACTGCTCTTGTCCTTCAAGCTCTTCCACTCCATCATCGCGGCCCCGACCACCGTACCGGCACCCAGCGCGGCTGCCAGTATGAACACCCTCGTCAGGGAATGGTTGTATGCTTGAATGACAGCCCCAAGCTTGTTCGGGGGCACGATACGACGGAACGCCGTCGCGCCAACCTTGACGATGGCCTGCGCGTCGACGCCTGAAATTGCCTCGAGGCTATCAATAAGCTGATGTGCAAAGATATTCTGACTGACCGCCACGAAGACGGCGCCTCCGAGCTGGGCCGAGAAGAATATCAGGGCCGTTCCGAGCGGCACGTCTGCCCTTGGCAGCACCTTCTGAGGAGCCAGTGAGGGAGCTTGTTGCGCCGCACCCATCCCAAACCCAGTGATGACTTGATATCCGATCCACTCTCTCGCCGCGGCGCCGGGTCTGAGGGTTGAGAGCATACCTCCGCCTACAGCGAGGAGCACCGAGGACAAGTACATCGCCGGGACGTAGTAGCCGATCTTCTGCGTGATCACGGAAACGATAATGCCGAAGACGACCATTGCGACCACCAGAGGAATCGTTCGTATGCCAGCCTGGTACGCGGAATGACCTTGGGCCGACTGAAACCAGATGGAAAGGTAATACAAAACGGCCATCGTGGCGCCCATCATCAGGAACATTGACAGCATCCCGCCCGCGACAGACCGGTTCAGGATGACTCGTGCGGGTGCCATGGCAGTTTTCGGTGTCAAGACTTCGACCACGAGGAACATGACGAACGTGACTGCGAATGTGACAAGGACGCCTATGACCTTGGGTGCAGACCAGGGGTACGTGGTTCCACCCCACTGAAGAGCCAGAATCAAACAGATCATCGATGGCACGAAGAACAAACAACCCAGAGGGTCCAGACGCAGTAACTGTTGAAGAAGCGGAACTTTCTCCCTCGGTGGGGACTGAAGTTTGAAGAAGAGGAAAATGGCCAAGATGGCGGCACCTCCGATCGGTAAGTTGATATAGAAGCACCATCTCCATGTCAAATGCCTATGGTCAGTTAGCACTATGGACGTGACTCGACGACACAGCGGCGTCACTTACTTGTTGTCCGTAAAGACTCCTCCCAGGAAAGGACCGATGACGGAAGACACACCAAAGGCCAAGCCGAAAAAGCCAGTGAAGATTGGCCGTTTGCGCAGCGGTACCATCGGCATGATTATCTGGATACCTCCACCGAAGATCCCCGCGGCACCTGCCCCCGCAACGGTACGTCCGCCGATCAGGGCACCAGAGTTGGGAGCGGCGCCGCATATGGCGGACCCGATCTCGAAGACGGTGATGAAGCCGAGGAAGACCCATTTCGTCGGGTAGAGCTGGTATATGCGACCAGAGAGGGGACTGAAGATGGCGCACGTCATCATGTAGGAACTGCCGTACCATCCGATGTCATTGACGGAATGAAACTCATTGGTGATGCTGGGGATGGCGGTGGCGATGATGAGTCGGTCGAGGGCGACCAGAAAGATGGCGAGGTACACGCTCAAGATGATGGCCCAGAACCTGAAGGTCTTGGGCTTGAAGTTTTCTTCTGCATCGGCGTATTCGTTGTCGTCATTGTCGTCACCAGGAGACTGTCGTGTCGTCTGGTCTTGTTCCTCCGACGGTGGTGGATGTGTGTTCGACATTGTAAAGAAATGATGGAGGAAAGTGATGGGTAGTGGTTTTTTTGTTTTGGATGTTTTTTTTACTAGAGAAAGGTCTGTCTGGCAGGACGTATATCTATACTTATTATATTCATCATTTTCTTTCATCTCCAATCTCCCATGAACCATGAGATCTCGTATGGAGTGACTTACTATACTACTGGCCACCCCCTAAAGACTCTTCCCCCGGGAAATAGAAAAGTCCGGTGATGCCCGGTTATTCCCCATTTTGGCCCCTGGTCATTTCTTGCCTCGGACATTTCAAGAGTCCGAAATACTCCATTCTTCTACTCTGTATCGTGTCCGTCCTTCCATCCCCTCCCCGACTCTCTTTTCACACTCTCTCGCTCGAGACAGTTTTGATTTCCATGTCCTCCCCTTGATTTATAATGTCCTCCACTGATCAACCATCTCCAATGAACTCGACAAAGTCGCGTCGTGTCCTGGCGTGCGTATTATGTCAGCAGAGGAAAGTCAAATGCGACCGACAATTTCCCTGCAACAATTGCAGAAGAACCGGCAGTCAATGTGTCCCGGCTGGTCAGAATCCGCGTGAGAGGCGTCGAAGGTTTGCAGAAAGAGATCTTCTGAACCGTCTACGGAATTATGAGGATCTCCTACGTCAAAACAATGTCGAATTCGACCCACTACATCCGTCCTCGACAGATACCAACAACGACGACGCCTCTCATGCTAGAAATGACAGGGATCATGGTGGCGATGCTAGTGACGTGCGACCGAGGTCAGGAACAGCAGTAGTACCTCGATCTTTTTCAACTATCAAAGCCGGCACGGATTATGAACCCAGGTGAGGCGTTACCTTCCTCCATATATGTCAGAATGCAAATTAACTTCGACAAGGGATTTCTGGCAGGCAATGCGTCAAAATGTAAGTACACGATACATAATCACCTCTCCTGTCAAATATCACGGGACTGATCGTCAACCTTGTAGGTTGGAAATGCCGATACCGACGAGGACAGTGATCATGACGACCACACCAACGACGACGATGATAACGACAGGGACAACCTTTATCCACACGAAATTGTCCGCAAAGCCGTGGTCAGAGGGGCATGGGCTCAAATGTCTCAAGGTATCAATCGCTCTCTATTTGGCTTCGGCTCCTCCAACGTCGACCTGGCGCCTTTTCATCCACAACAAGTCCAAATCTTTCGACTCTGGCAAATCTACCTGGAGAACGTCAATCCGTTGTTGGCCGTGACGCACACGCCCACGTTGCAACCCCGAATGATCGACGCGGCCGGTAACTTGTCCAACATCCCACCTCCCCTCGAGGCGCTCATGTTCGGTATCTATTGCGTTTCGGTCCTCAGTCTCGGCAAAGAAGATTGTCAATCATTATTCGGCATCTCACGGGATGAATTACTGAAAAATTACCAATTCGGATGTGAACAAGCTCTCTTGAAATGTGACGTTTTACGGACCGAAGATCTCGATTGTCTCGTGGCATTGTACCTTTACTTGGTACGTCAACAGATCTCCCACCGAGGTTGTCACTATCCAATGCTAATCAGAATATCCAGGTATCATTCCGACCAGGGACGGACCCTCGGTCTGTTTCGTCCATGTTGGGGATAGCCATGCGTATAGCTCAAAGATTGGGTATACACTACGAGTCCATCAACACCAAGTGTGGTGGTTTGTTGGAAGCCGAAATGCGCCGACGACTGTGGTGGTCACTGGTCATTTTCGATCACCGAATCTGTGAACTTTCAGACTACAAGACGACAATGCTGTCTCCCACCTGGGACTGCAAGACACCTCTCAACATCAACGATTCCGACATCCGGGCCGAAATGACAACCACCCCGATCCCTCACGACCGACCATCGGAAACTTTGTTCGCCGTCGCCAGGAGTGAAATGAGTGACTTTGTACGTCACACTTCATTTCATCTGGACTTTACAAATCCGGCTCTGAAAGGTCTTGCCACTACCAACCACAACCACATCAATCACAATGTCGATTCTTCCGGTCATGGCGATGAGTTGTCGACTCTCGAAAACTTGATGGAATCAAAACATCTTCGGTTTTGCAACCCAGAAAATCCATTACATTTCATGACCGTTTGGGTTACGAGGGGTCATTTGGCTAGGAACAGGTTATTGGATCATCATTCAAGACATTCATCATTGATGTCATCAAACACAACAACAACAACAACGTCAACCAACCATTCGAATTCCAACACCAATCCGAGCCCCAATTCTCATTCGAATCCAAACACGCCACACTCGTCACACCACCTCGAGTCTTCGGCTCAACAACACGACTCTGCCATGACTTACGCCATGAGAATGTTGGAATGTGACACTCGACTGATGACGTCCCCACTGACAAAAGGTTACGCGTGGTACATGCACAATTACTTCCCCTTTCCGGCTTACATCCACATCGTCCGTAGTCTGGAAAAAAGACCGACACAGAAGCACGCCGACCAAGCATGGTCGGTGATGAGTGACAATTACGACGCCAGGTTTTCCGAAGTGGCCGACGACGATAACCCACTCTTCAAAGTCTTTTCGGGGGCCATCCTACAAGCTTGGGATGCGAGGGTTGCAGCTACCAGTAATTCCGACACGGGAGAAAAGCAGGGGGGAGAAGAAAGTCAAGCACCTAGGATCATTGTCAAGATCAAACTCAAACTGTCAGAAATTCATACTTCAACTGCCACAACAACAACAAACACACAACCCGGTGTCACGTCAGCTCAAGACACCACCACTACTGCCGCGCCGGGAACTATACTTCCTACCATGTCAATGGATAATAATAATATTGGTGGTACCACCACATTTGGGTATGGTGGTAACAATGCCATGACGGGACCGGAATTTCCAGATAGTTGGGACGTATCATCTTCATCACCAAACACCAACAGTACCTACAATCCCACGACCATGCCCGGCAGGGGAATGGGGTGGTTCGATTACGGACCGTTGGATTGGAGTTCGATGGGTTGGAACCCCATGTTCTCGAGAGGTTGGTGAAGGAGGTAGAGGAAAATTGATTCATGATCATGGTCATCATGGTCATCATTGTTATATACCCAACCTTTTACACTACGGAGAAATACCTTGGTCTTTTGTGCTCTGTACCTTTTAGTCAATGTCTATCCAATTCCAGCAAAATTACCTACCTAGGTAGTTGTATACCTTGGGCTCTTCAACGTCTTCGCTTTTCCCTCCTTACCACTCAACAGCTTTTGCTCATTTTCAGTTTACTCAGTGAGCGACCAACATCCCAACTCCAACCAGGCCCAACCCGGATATCAGTGTCAAGCTCAAGACAATCTCCCAGTGACAGCCATGACCTTTTATTCATCATCCTCATCCCAGATGAAATTCATCTCCAAACCAGTCACATGCAAAGGACTTTCGTCGTTAGAGTCCGACTCAGAAGCATCCTTTTCCTTGTCACCAGACAATCCAAGTTCCCGCATCTTGTTTGTAGCCGACTCGATCATCGCATCATCTCCACTCGCCGCATTCTTAGTCTCCTCGACGGGACCGACGATGGCCACCTGCTTCATGTCGCGAAAATAAGGCGATGACACTTCCTCTCCGTCAATATCTCCAAATCCCAGACCCATGAATTTCTCCCTCACCACCATTCCCCTCTGGCAGGGCTGCATAATCCAAACGCGGTCGACGAAACTGTATCTAGTGTCGGCGAGTGCTACAGGAATTCCTATCTTCATATCCCCCTGGAACTGTTGTGGGCCATCGCTACCGCATATAGCTTGATACTCGCCGTCCTTGCTTGAGAGACGCCACATGAGTGGCTCACTGTTCCCACAGAGGAAATCCATCAACCACAAAAGTGGTAAGTGGAGATCTCGATGTCGACTTTGAGATTCGGTGGGATAGAGGATTGAAGCTGCTCGCAAGAGGAAGTCGTTCTGTGCATCGACTTCGGCTAAAACTTTCCACACTTCCTGGAGGGACAAATCACAAAAAGAGCAGTTGAGCACTACCTGATGGTATAGATTGTAAAGCCAATCGAGTCCACAATCCAAGACAACAGGTAGCACTTGCTCTAGTTGGTGGGAAATTAAATGCTGGGCGTTTGATATGCCAATCAGTTGCAAGATAGATTGGCACAGCTCCGATCGCGCGAATGTCTCAGCGACCTTTACTGATGCGGGTTTTGCTCGGTCCATTGACCAGCAAGCATCCTCATATCCAATTCAAGTTTGTCAAAGGACACCTGTATTTTGTGCTTGTCACTGACCGCTGGAAAAGAAAACTCTGAGAGACTGAGGCGACTAGCAGAATTTGGTCGCCGCAGCCAACCGGCCTGTAAGCTTCCTGTGTCGCTATCGAAAGGCGAACGCAGATTGAATCGAGTGAGCAACAACTCTCCTCTGTTACACAAAGGACTCCAATCACCTGCCGCGAGCGCCACTAAGCAATATGCATAGCAACAAGCGTCCGCAGATAAACCTGACGTGTCCAAGGATAGATCAAGTCCGCTGAGGTTCAGAGCAATTGCCACCTTGTCAGGCTCTATGCTCGCATTCATGGCCAACCAGTAAGCAAGCAAGTACGAATAATTTAAAGGATAGCTGGTCCCGAGCGTCGGCCAAGAAGGGGCTTTAATGTCAGATGCTGGTGGCCATGCGTCGGTAGTTGTGTTCTGGATGCTATCATCAATGCTATCACCAGTCCCAACATGCTCCGTAGAATGACACATGGGTTTTCCAAGAGCGACCAAAAATAACAAACCTGGTATTGCTACAATACGTAGAGACTCGGTGACCCTGACTAGCAAAAAAGCATCATCAGACTTCAGGTATTCCTGCATACACCATGCTCGCGAAAAAAGCCGTGCCTTTATGATCCTTTGAAAGATTTCCCTGAGCCTGTAATAATCTGCCATAGTCATCGAATGGTTGTCCTTGTCCTTGTCCAGGGAAAAGCCACTGGCACATTTTTGGCAAAGTTCCACATCTGCAATGCTAAGAGAGATATCTTCAAGAACAATGACGACAATCCTGGCGCTCTGATAGAGGATATCCATGGCAATGATGGCGTCCTGCTTTTCGCGTTCATCTTTCTGGTTGACACACAATTGGTCCAGCCATATACCCTCGTCGTCTGAACTGCGGAGTTCCGAGATCGCCCTCCACATCTCCAGGGTCAATGGGCTACCTGTATCTGTTAACGAGTTAATGGGTGGCCAGGAGCCATCACGCCAGCAGTAGCTGACTGCGATAAAACTGGTCGAATCGGGATCCTGTGGGCCAGAATGAAGCTTTCGAGCAAGGGACCAGTCCCGAAGTACAGCCAGAGGGAGATCATATGTCTGTAAGAGGTTGTGCTGATCTTTTTTCATCCCCCACGAGACAGATGTGACATCAGCAAGACGTAGGATAAATTTTGATACTGCTGTCGATTTCGACTGAAACCTCTTGGCCACAAGAGGGTTCAACTGGTTGAGCTTTTCAAGCACGGTGTTCTCGTCTTGTTGATTTTGTCTCATTTTGCGCAGTCCAAAGTCGAGTGCTTTTATCTTTGTGGGCTCGGAAAGCTGCTTTACATGTACCATCAACACTTGTACACGTTCCTGTGAAGTGTGTGCTTGGGCTTTAGGTCCAGTCAGCCAAGTCCAGATGCTCTGATTGCATGTAGTGCAAGAGGCTTGAGCAGTGTGTATATTCTCGAGTGATGCATTGATCTTGATAGCCAAACCATCGTGAAGGTCAACTGGCTTCGCATAAAGGATCGACCGTGACAATTCAACCAGGTGATGACGGCAACAAGCTCTTATGTGTTCTGTAAGGTCCAATCTAAAGCATTCGAGGCTGCACCATATCCAGCTGTAGCAACTGAAACATCGGACCCATCTCTTCATTATGTCACTGCTACCACAAGGACAGGTGAGCACTGCCTCCCCTGCAGGAAACTGCGGCACGAAATTTAAATACCCACAACGCGTCTGTCGTGTCCTGATACAGTCTCCAAAATGTTCCCTGGCACAAGCACGGGAGCACCAAATTGCAGGAGCCCGACAGATGGTGCATCGAACTTGACGCACCAGAGGCGAGCCAGGACATTTGCAGATGAGTTTTCGGTCAGATGCGAACTCACTCTGCTCCTTCGAGGCTTCTTCTTCCATGATTTATACAATTTGAGACTGGATATGTGGTTTTTTGAAATGGAAGGTGTGTCTTTCGTATGCGCTCTGATGGATGAATGAGAATACTGAAAATGAATGAATGACGGATTGAAAAGAAAAGAGGTACCACGTTGGTTCCCGTCGAGAAGGGTATCTAGGTGGGAATGAACCAAAGTGACATGAGGGACTTTGGTATGGTACATTTTGTCTGCTTGACTGTCCCCTAGAAAGACACCGAACCGAGTAAAGATCGAGGTTAAGCCATCACCTTAGCCGCATAGGTTTGTGGCTATGTGCAGACATGATGCGCGTCTAGCTGGCCATACAGGTCGTGACAAGTAATCGGAGGTAAGGTACTTTGGTGACATGGGTTTGTTTCGGCGCGTACAGAAACCAAAACGTCGTCCATGTCCCATCATTGTGTCATTAGCTTCCTGCATTGTTTTTTGCGTCACTAGTTTCGTTTGAGACCGCAGGAAGGTCGGATAGGGATCCGAATGTTCAAGGAAGCCTTTGGAAAGTGGCCAGATTCAACCATGGCTCATCGTTTTCTGTACTTCCGTAGCAAGAGTCCAGAGTGGTAGCCAGGGAAAACCTTGGGAAAGTACTTTGCTGTCGGTCAGGCTGAGCCGAAGGTTAGCCTACCTGACTAGTTTGCATGATTAGCGTTTCAGGTTCAGTAGATTCTTACCAGTATACATTATGACTGTGATGCACAGCTCTGAAAAGAAAATGGTATGGCAGGGAAATGAGGTCTCTGATGTGTTTGTATCATTGTTTAGGGAGAAAGGATCAGACGAAGGAGGTTTATGGTAGGTACCTATCTGTGTACAGAGTATATCTAGGAAAGAGCACCGAGGGCATTGCAGGCAAGTGCGCCGATGGGCTAAATAAACGAGGCTGAAAATATCCCTACATACAGTACCAGCCTTGTGACACCCAGGAAACTCCAGGAAAACATCAAGTATTGCATTGTATCCTTTCCAGAGTAAGATTATATTCTTATATATTATCACAAGAACTTTACTCATACCGAGAGTATTGAGAGTTGAGATCCTCAAGTGGCAACTCCTTAAATGCCAATTCCATACCCCCCCCCCCCCCAATTCCCAATATATTCCATCCTTCTATTAATGCATTATGCTCCCATATGTACACATAGCAATCACCAATCCAGTCCAATGCTATAACTCTACTGGTACTTTGGGGATTTCGCCGATGTCTTAGGCTGACTGTGTGATGAGCAAACAACAAGATAAACGCGGATCAAACGTCGAAAGCCCGCTTCGAATACAGTTTTGGATTCTTGCTCCCTCATCTGAATCGTCTTCGGTTGTTGTTCGGAATTGCTCTTCATGTCCTGAGTCTCATGCAGTTTATGTTCCTGGACGACTTGGAAGATGAATGGCCCGACTCCCAACCATCGCTCATCACTGGATGCAGGGCGAGCTCGACCATGTCGTATCATTATGACAACGAAACTCATCGCCGATCGCGGGGGTATCAAAATCCATGTGCTCTGCAGACTCAGACAATGTCCATAGTATCCATCTTCCAAATCTCCACTTGGGCAACGTCTCGTTCGTAAATCCTCGTCAATTTCCGGCGATATATCGTCTCTTCGTAGGGTGATGAGTCACTACTCTCCGCCGGCGTGTTCATGTGCACCGGACTCTTCAACTTCACCTTCTCCTCGTACACAGACCCAATTTCCCAGACTTTGTGTCCTATACCAATATACCGCAGAACTGGAAAATCAGGGACAGACCCAGCCGGACCTCGTTGCGTCAAACTCCTGCTGATGCTCTCCTCCAGCATGGAATCCGGTTGGTCGACAAAAGAATGGAACACTGCGAGTGCCTTGTCGCCTTCCTCGCCGTACGTCCTCGGCGCCACAACCCTAATCGCCCACAGCTTCGTCAAGAACGGGATGACCATACGGAGGATTTCCATATCGGAGCACGGGATGGCGGCACTGAACTGCGTCAAGTTCGGACACGACCGAATCAACTTCGCGGTCAATGTACTATGCAATGGCCAACGCGAGGGAAAGATGAGATGCTTCAACTTCGGTCCACAGCCATTGCAGATGTTGTCCAGGTAAAGGTCACGGAGACTCATCATGGGGGCTGTCGTGTGCGTTGGTGTATTCCGGGAAGATCTGTTCTCTCCATTGACGGTACGGGGCGACGCATCCAAGGAGCTGGGAGACGGTTCACCATTGACGCCATCACGCCTATGGCGGGCATTGATCAGATACAGCCGCTCCAGATCCGGCGATGCGGCAATTTCCTGCGCGTGCATTTTATGTAGCTGATCTATCCGCAAGGATTTGGCATTGTGGGTCTCTTTCGGGTTAGGGACAAACCAGGTCCGATCGATAAACAGTGTGTTACTTCGATGCAGTTCGTCCTCGTCCATGCCAAACGTATTCAGCGCCGTAACCTCCTCGATCCTCACGGGATCCATAACTGCCATACACTCAGCAGACTCGGAGTTCGCCAGTAAATTATAGAGTCCAATACGTTTCAATCGGAGCTTCTTGTTGGCATTCATGTTCTTGCGGAAGAATCGAGTCAACACCACCGATGCTTCGCCTTGTTCCCTCATCCGTGGCGAAAAGTGCATATTGAGGTCTTCGAGCTTCTCCGAGTTGAGAAACAACGTCGAGACATCGTCCGGATAACACATCGGATCGTAGTGGGTGAAAGTGAACGATCTCAGGTTTGGGAGAGCTGGGATCTCGGTATGAGGTTGTGGTAACCTATTGGTCTGGAAACGTATCCATAATGACTCCAGTCTTGAAAGCTTTCCGAGTCCGGCATACACGTTGGCCTGGATGCGCACGTTCAGATCCCACCTACGGTCTAGTGTCAGTGGGAGGGATACCAACAATGTTCATGTACAGGGGCTGGAGGCGGACCTAAACTTCTCGAGTTGGACACACTGGCTTATGGCTGCGCGAATCGCTATGTTGAGTATCATTGTGCTCTCGGAGACCCGGCCAGCCCTCGAGTATTCTTCCAGATCCAAGCTCTTGTAGTCGCCTTCAAGCACCAACGAGTAGACCAAGGCCGCGACATTCCGGGTGACGAGGGCGTTGAGGCCCATGGAGAAAGGGCTCGCACTTCCGAGACCCTCTGGGACATCATCTCGATAGTGTACGGTACTGTGTGACTTCAGCACCACGCGTTTCCACAACTGCGGGAGGGTCATGTAATAGAGCACGCGCGACGTGCGGCACAGGCGGGCCAGCGAGGGCGCATCGTCGTCGAGGTAGGATATGATATGGGCGACTGTGGTGAGAGGGAGGCTGTCTACGCCAAATGCGCCTTGAACTTCAGGTCCATTGGTGTAGAGGTGATTTCCGCGAAGGCTCATTCTGCGGCGGCATGGGTAGACGACGACGGTGTGATGTCATTGAGCAAAGCGCTGAGGATGGATATATTGTCATCGACTACGGAGTAAAAGATAACACGAACAGCAAAGACGTCCTGTAGTTGCTCGTATAAAACACTTTGGTCAATACGAAGTACGAGTACCGAATCCCACGCATAATTGACCAAAATATGCTAAAGATTATTTTGTGCAGGCAGAAGCTGCAGAAAAAGGGATGACGTAATCTGGTGTCAAAAAGAGGTGTAGTACTTTGCCGTACAAGCACAGCAGATCATATATATCGACGACGCTTTGCTCACGACTGATGCTTGCAGTTCAAGTTCATTTGAACAGCGCATACCTCAATGAAGGGGCTCAGCCTATCGCCATCCTCACACTCTCGATAGCTTGAACCCTCCCGGTACACGCTTCTGCCAGAACCCCTCAGGATCATATTTAGCCGCCATCTCTTTCATGAAAGCCACATTCTCCGGTCCATAGCTGGTGAGAGGATCTTGACTCATATCCGCGTAGTTCGAGTACACCCATTCCGCAGTCGAGGGTTTACCGTCCGGACTTGTGAACTTCTCCAGTTGGGTCAACAACGCACTCAGTTCTGTACCCGCCACTGCCAGTGCTCCATCGTCGCCGTTCGTAATAGCCACTGCTGCGGTCCACAGAATAGCGTTTGACCCGATGCGTTCCAAACCCAGCACATTGCTCATGGTACCATTGCGGAGACCGAGAGTACTGAGATATGCTGGAAGCGGTTGAAAAACAACTTGGGTCGAGTAGTTCTCTGACCCAACCTTCTCGTCAAGCGTGGCCACCAGCTGGGTATGAAGTCTCGTGGCCTCGCGAAGAATCGCGGCATCGTTGTAGAGTGTGAGTGTTCTCTGGACATTTCTAATCCAAACGTTAGCCTTTTGTACCATCACGATCGTCCTGTCTTGTCATCGACAAATCGACATACTTTGTTCCACCCGCTACCTGTGAAGCATTCGCCGCCGCTGCAAGTGACATCCTTTCCCATGAGCTCACCACCGACGGGATCTTGGTAATCTCATCAAAGCTCGTGGTATTGAGGTCGCCTTTGGTGTTGACATAAATAGGTAAAATCATCATACTTCCATCGCCGCTGGACGTTTCGTCGGTGTACAGTATAAACATATGGTCATCCGGGCGTTGCTCCATGTTATTGGTGAAATCAACCAGAGCATCCGACACCTGGGACGAATAGTTGTACGTCAACACGTTGAGACCGTATGCCAGGTCGACTGCAGGCATAGTCTGGAGATCGAATCGTGTGACGATGCCATAGTTGAGGAGTCCTCCCTTCAAAGACTTCCACAGATCAGGGTACTGGTCGACGGTGGCCTCGACTATGGTGCCGTTCGCAAGCACAACCTCGTACCCGACAACTGCATTGCTGCCGAACCCATTACGCCCACTGTAGTATGAGTTTCCACCACCGAGGAGAAATCCACCCACACCCACATCGCCGTCTCGACCACCAGTCACCGTGACATTTCCATTCTTGAGAAGGTTGGCATAGACATTTTTCCATTTTGCACCAGGGCCGACTTGTGCAATGCCCTTGTCTGCGATGTACCGTGAACTATTCATCATACCCAGGTCGATAGTTACACCGTCTACGATGTTATTCGTGGCCGGGAGATGGTGTCCACCCGACCTGACAGCGATGTGCCAGTCACCTGCACCTTGGCCAGCACTTGCCAAAGCTTTGACCGCAGTAGAGACTTCCTCGGCAGAATATGGCTCGACGAAACAATAGGGATGGATACGACCGTTTGCGTGCCAGTAGCTCTGCACTCTCGTCTCATAGGCATCTGAGGTCGCAAGTAGGACCCGATCGCCGAGGCCGGCTGATATTAGAGCATCACACTGGGAAACTATCAGATCCAAGAGGATTGGTTCGAGGAAAAGCGTGACTTACAGGAGGATACCCAGTGGTGCCCATCACTCCGACACTGGCATTTGACGCCGCAACCGCTAGCGATGGCAGCAACAGTGAAATAGAAACTGCTCTCATTTTCTCAACGGCGTCCGACTTATCTTTCTGTAACAAGGTATCTTTCACCTCTATCGATGCTTGGACGAGGATGTGCTGATGTTGTACAAATCAGAAGCAAAAGTCGATGACGAGGGAACAATACTTGTGCCACCGCTCGGCGATGCCTTGAAAATGGAGATGAGACATTTCCATAATCCAGGTTAGGCAGCATTTATATGCAGAACTCACTCATCTTGTAGCTGATCTCGCTCTGAGGTCGTCGTCATAATGGATGCTCGATCCCGACGAGAGACGAGGCTCAGATGTGGTTCGAGGTGGGAACGACCTGCCCTTCCGCCGTAGCTTGAGCAGGCAGAAATTAAAAGAGATGAAGCTGTTCCATGGATGAGAAAGCCCACAATATGTGGTGATCGGCGCTGGAACATTGTCAAGTACTGTATGATCAAAGGGGAGGGTGGTCGAAGTCGAGGCTGAGTGGTCGGAATGAATAGCGATTGGTCCTCGCGTTCGTCGCGATGAAAGTGTCCAGGCTAAGACCAACTAAGTATCAATAAACAAGTCTCTACTCGGTCCTGAGAATCACCGTCGAGGGACGATGGCGGACTATTATACTCATGGAGTACATATATCTTGACCAAGCCGAGCCCTTCATTTCTCTGCTGTCTCCTCCGTACAAATACAACAGTAGTACTCGGTATTGTAGAGAGAAGTTGCAAGAATGATTCGGAGGGTGGGGTCGCCCGTTTTGTACCGATTGATCGTTACTCTGGGTATGATTGACTTCTCATTTACATTGGCTGTTTCTCCCTCTCGTAGAGCTTTATGACGGCGTAGTTGATGAGGACATGGTTGACGAGGACATCAAAGCAAACCCAGCGTCGATCTCAAGTTCCAGATGCGGCTGAACCATATAAGGCGTCCATTCCTCGCCAACCAACGCCGCCACGGCCGCGACAATCTTGACCCCGGTGCCGTGCACGAAACACATTCTTCTGACCTGATGCAACAAGATGCCGTAGTAAGCCAGGACCACCAAGGCCGCCTCGTCCCTCATCCTTAGCAACCTGAGATACCTCGGGTCGAAGAACACCGGTATACCCGAGATCCTGTTGAATGTCATGCGACTATTCTGGGTGCCTTCCAGGAACCCCGAGTGTATCAAGCGGATGGTGGACAGCAGGGTCGCAGTCCGAGTAGCGGTCCACTCCGAATTACTACTACCACTACCATCCGCAGCATCAGCAGGCGGCTGACTTGTGGCAACGTACTCTGAGAGCGACTCCAGAGCCTTCATCGACGCCGACCCGGTATGAGAAGGAGGGAGTGGTGTCGACGGCGGCGTATCTGGCTTGGGGCCCAGCATCGGCTCCAGGTCCCCGGCACGCAACCAGTCGATGGCCTCGATGGCGATGATGAGCGCGCCCTTGAGCAACTCAAAAATCTCAACCATGCAAGTAATGATGCCGTCAGGGTGCCTCGTGTCCGGATAAGTGTCCAGACTCAAACGGGACAGTTGGATGGCGACGATGATCTGGGAAAACGCAAACAAGGCGTGACAATTGGCTTCCGTGATGTTGTTCAGTAGGCCAATGTAGGTCGTGAGTGCCTCCTGCTGGTACCTTTCCGCCGTCTGCACGAGATCCGCCGATTTCATGGCATCCTTGTCGTAGTGAAGTCTGTGTTGTGCCGCAATGGCCAGCAAGCCATGTAGGAGGAAAGGATGCCGGAACGCGTGCTTCGGCACCACGTCTTTCCACAGCTGGGTACGCACAGGGTCGTGGCTCATGACGGAGTATGTATGGGCCGCGTAAAAGTACATGAGTTCGAGTTCGCGCATCCGTTCAATATTAGCCTCGGCCGCCGTCTGAGTCGTGGGTGGCGTACTCGTAGAGGAGGGCGACGGTTGGGCATAGTTGCACGCTTTCGCTAGTCGACTGCAATTGTGGCACACCGGACGCTCCAAACCACAACGCACTTTTCGTTCTTTGCACGTTATGCAGCCTCCTCGGGTTTTGTGGTAGCTTTTCTTCTTTTGCATGAGAGTCTGGAGGTTGCGTAAAAATATTGAGAGAGGGCCGGTCGCTGTTGATTTGATGGCTTTTTCCGCTCTCCGCGGCACCAAAACTCGAGAAAATCAATATAAAGCCGATGTCCTTCTGAATGGTCGAGGTAATATGGATGATTGTATATCTCTCTTGTATATGTTCGGTGGAAGTGTTCACGAACAAGCATCTGGTAGTGAATGTTCGATTCTTCTACATGACACAGCAAGTAGAAATCTAAGCCCCAGGCAACAATATTCTTTTCCAGCGACCCTCAAACAGTACAAACTACTCGATCTTGGCCGTTACAGCCACACTTTCGTTCAATCCATGATGGCCATAGCGTCTGGGCCGATCAAATCTACACAACGAGACCGTGTATCGAGATACGAGTACGAGTGAAAAGTAGGAATATTATTCTTGCATAAATCGTCTATTTTTGTTCGTAAAATTTCGCTATATTTAAGCCGTAACAGATACACATCATTTGAGCTAGCTTGCTTTCATCCTGACCGGTCTTCAGTTCCCCCAGTATTCCTTCCATCTTCCGCAGGAGCTTCACCGTCGTGTTGCGGCGGAGAGACATCATTTCGCGAAATCGGCTCGAAGCCCTCCGAGTCCTGGAAGCCTCGACCTTTAGTCGTAGTCTGCGCCTCAGCTGCGCCCGTGAGGTCTTCTTCGCCCTGGCGATCTTCGGTGAGTGGGCCCAACGAAGTCGCTACACCGGCTTCTCCTGCACCTGACCTGTTCTCTGCAGTAGGTCGAGTGGTAGCCGTTGTTGCGTGCAAATGGGACCGCGGGGAAACAGGCGGCGCCAACGGTTGAAGCCGGTTTGCACGCCTTTCAGATTCACTGATCATGAGTGAACCCCTTTGCGTCCGCACGACATTGCTGACAGGGCTGCTGCTCGGAGTGCCCGCGACGTCAGAGTCAGGGCGCCTGAAGCTGGAATCAGCGGGATGGCCTGGTGTTTCCTGCATATCGTCGGGAGACCACGTACGGCCCGGGGACGGGGCGGGAATGACAACCATATGCTGAAGATCTTGGTTCTGAGAAGACTGCTGGAATTGAGCATTCTGCAGCCCCGGGGTGCCCATATTAGCCGGAGGGATAGCACCATCGCCAGGTATATCGTCAGCTATGTCGTCAGGCGACCAAGTCCGGTCGTTATTCTTCGGTGCTGGAATGAGAGTCACGGGGAGAGGTACGACAGGAGCATTTCCTCGGTTGCCGAAACGATCCCTTTGAGCTGTTGCAAATGCCCCTAGTCGACTCCTTAAATTGATATGGCGATCTATCGGTGACCTGCGTAACCCGCTCGCGATTTGAGCGTCAGCAACCTCTGCGGGCGGTTCAGCTCTCCTTCGTTTGAAGGGGTTGGGCATTGCCTGCCAAATGTGTCGTCCCGTCGGCTCATCTTTGGAAACGGCCGACTCCAGGACGATCTCCTTGTCCGCCGAAGCAGGCCCAGAATCTGAATCTGATTGTCGGGTTTCGACTCTGGCCACCTCAGGCACAGCGACCGTCTGCGGGGGCTCTGACAGATTCTGGTGGTAGTTCGGCGAAGGGCTGGTCAAGTTGTGGTACCGAATTGCGTAGACCGTGCTGGCAGCACTTCCAGTATCGCTTCTGCTGGGAGGGGTGATTGCTTGTTCTGATTGTATCACTTGGCCGTTATTTGCCATCCGGTGGTTCGAGTCGAGCGCATCAGATCCTGTGGTGATACCATCTGGTGGTGCTGCCTTGCGCCTCTTTCGTAGCGGAAGACGGCTACGAATACGCCTGTATCGAGAGCCAAAAGTTTCCACCACACCTTTATGGAGACCTCCATCCGAGCCATCGTTACCGTCGCGACCTCGCCAGCTCGCATCTTCCGAAGGTGTCATGTTTAGCATTTCATCTCCGTCAAATATCTCTCGACCCAAAATTCCATCTTTTCTTTCATCGCGCTCCAGAGACTCGATCCGTTCCACCCACTCCCAAACGACAACACTTGCCGCGGCGGCACCCACCCAGCGGATATACTCACCCCAACCAGCCAAGTTAGGCTGGGAAATGTCCAACACGAAGAAGACCACAGGAATCACCACAGACACAAGTGATATCACAGCCACCAGACAGATGTTCTTCATTTTCGGATGCCAGAAGGCGAAGCGGCGTTTCGATAAACAATAGTAGATGACGCACGAGGCGTAAATGAGAGAGATTGCTAATTCGAACAGGTAATTGAGGGCTGGGATGGCGTCCTGGAATTTGCGAGGCCTAGTCCGTGGATTTCCACTTCCACTGACGAAAGAGTCGAGAATACTGAAAATGGTGTCTAGAGATACCATCACAAATCCAAGCCATTTGATGGCCACTTTCTCCTTGTGTCGGGGAAATAACCGAATAAGTGTCTGTACCTGTGCTAGCCACAAAAAGGTGTCCGATACGATGCGAACGATGCGAATTTCGAGACTGTCTACAACATCGTCGACCAATTGCGATGAATCCATGTAGCCCTTGTTGTACTGATCTTCGGCAACTCGAAAGGTATCGGCGGTCGCGATTGTCAAAGATATGGCCACCGTCACCGTGGCAATTTTTTGAAGAAGAGGCCTGCGCCCAACACCGACAATGGGCGACGAACCATATGATCCTCCAATGGCACCTCGCCGACCCAAAAATCCAGGCCCGCCACCAGGACCGCCGACGTAGAACGTCCTCGGGGTGATGAAGATGAGAATGACGAGAACATAGCTGATGACAGTGGCTGTAGCGAGGGCAAAGACTTGAGGAGAGATGGAGGCATAGAAAGGATTCTGAAAGCCGATGACAGAGGAGTTGCCGGTCGTATCCGGGCTGATGATCTGGTCAGGATTATTGCAAGGCTGCTTGTAGGTGACTTGGGCGCTCAAGGTAGTGGTTGAGTCGTTCCCGAACACGAGCACGCCTATAATGCGTCAGTAGTGTCCAATACCATAGACATCCGACAAACCAACCTCCACTGGGTAGAATCAGAGGCGTGCACCATGCCGAAGTGCCCGTAGGAGGCACAGAGCGGGTGCTGCTCAATTGGCCCCATAACTGGCGCGCGGTGATGTGAGCATCGTGGGACATTTGACTACCGATTCCAATATACCAGCTGCAATCTGTTGCTCGACATGGCTACTGCGCAGGGCAAGCGGGGAGGTCGACGGTGGGAGTCGACTAGGACACGCGGTGGCCGTTCATGGGGTGTAGGCGAGCGACAAGTAAGGAGACCGTCTGTAGCAAAGACTGTCACGTCGGTAGAGGTCAAGAACCGACGCAACGTCTATTGAAAGTAACTTTGACAAGGGTGCAGGGGATTTGCGACGGCGTGGGTGAGGATTCTGAGGCTGTCGAAGGAGGTGGCTAAAGAGTTCAAACATGGAAATGGCGCAGGCGACGCAATCGATTTCTTAGTCCATCATGCTCCATACAGAATCGGTAGTTCTAGGGACGAGGCACATTTTGCGGGGCTTCGAGACAGAACCGAAACCCGGACCAACAGGGATCTGTCACCTATTACTCTGTATGTCGACGAGATCCTCCGTGCGAGGACTGTACCACTCTAGACCTATAACACACTTCATCTCCCACACAACGGATCGAATTGCACCTACGCCCGACACCCGTAGCATTACAACACCTACAATCGATGAGAAGGAGAGGGTTGTTGAGTGGCGAAATTAACGTGGTAATCATAACTACTCGGCAGGACAGTCATCACATGAATTGTATAGAAACATTCCGTCTTGACTCTTACAATTTTTTTGGTTTCTTATTGTTCTATGTGCATAGTAAACGGCAATAATCTGCAGGCTGTCATGACCATCATCAATCGTTGGCCCAAGCATCAAAAGCATGTCCAGAAAACCCATATATACTCCTCGCTATGAAGTCAAAGTAAACCAAAGCGCAGAGAACAAGAATGGACATGCCAGGCTCGTGACCAAATACCTCATGGCTCAAAAGTAGAGAGGGTGGAAGAGACAAGTTGAATCCGCAGCAGCTTTGTCTCAAATGTTTCCGTATCCAAAGGTCTGATTGCCGTTCCATTGCATCTGGTTGTAATCACGATCTGTGATGACTTCGAGCATGTCTCGAGTCCCGACAGTCGGGCCAATACCACCAAAGCCTTGGTCCACAGTGGCTTCATCATTATGGAAGAGATTGTCGAGTGGCAAAGCAAACCAGTCCATGGACAAAGTCATAGATGGGTCCAGGTGAGAATCATCAGGCAAAGCCGAGTCCATGAGCTGGCCCTCGCCACCAAAGTTCGGAGGTGGCACGAACATTTGAGAGGTAAGTTCAGCCATGGGCCGTGCTTGGATCTCTGCCAGGGGGTCGTCCATGTAGAAGTCAGTATTCAAATGATTCAAGTTGATAGCTTGAGTCGATGCATGTTGCTGTTGTGCATCCGTGTTTCCTTCTTTGCCATGGGGCGACTGTGGACGAGATTGCTCGCGGCTTGGGCCAGCCGACCCTGTACCAGTTTGCTGGACGCGGATCAGGGTGTGTTTGACATTTCGAACAATATTCTGAACCAAACGTGACGTTGACGAAGCGAGATGCACGTCGTCAACGACCTCTTGAGACATGGCAACAGTGATCTTTTCGAGTCGTTGCAAGCATTTTCGTACCAATGCTTCGTGGGTACCCAGACTAAATCGCTGCAGAATCTGTTAGCCCTCTAATTCAGAAGATTTGACAGGGGACAACTTACCTTCAAAGTGAACATGATGCCAGAGAGGCTACGGAGAAAAGTCCTCACAGGCGCATCTCTGAGGAAGCCTTGACCTGCAATCCCATCGACTATCTCTCCAAGAATATTGAGAGCCGCATCGCTGACTGCGTCAATATAAAGCTTGTTATCCTCGGCAATCTTGAGAAGCGTGGCCTTGCGAATATTGGAACCTCCTTGAATCCAGGATTCCACCACGTTCTGAAATCCTAGTGAGTTGATATAGAGACGAGCATACTCATATTCAATAATGAGAATGCTTTGCATGACCGGGTGAATCTTGGCTTTGACGGACTCGAATCGAGCTTTCCAACCCTGTAACAGTGGTGCAAAGGTTGCAATGGAGTCCTTGTACTTGCCGCTCGAAATGAGCTCCCTTGTGAATTGGTGAGATGAAAAGATCGCGCGATTGGCCTGGTTCATGATTCTGGCTATATGGACCCAACATTCCTGCATGACATCGATCGGGTGCTTCTCCAAATACTTGGTGGTTTGATCCCAGGTTGAATCTCTTTCCCACTCCTCAACATTGAGCGAGCATTGAACCCCCATTCGGCCGCTGGTCTGAGCGACGTAGACAAGGATCAAGTTTCGAATTCGTCGTTTGCGAGCGCATTCAGAGTCTGGCCCGTGGTTGTGGTTACAGTTGAAGTGATTGGTATCGAAAACTCCGAGTTCAAATGCAAGACTCTGGGCGAGACCAAGAAGCATCCAGGACATTCTGTCCGCTCGCCAGGCGGGTTCCAGCCAGCTTGCGTAGGGGAGATTGTCGTAGTCTCGAGTTGCCATAGGTTCGCCGTTCTGGCCTGGCGGTTTGCCATCCATTTCAGAAGACATCACAACGCTTCTATCCAACAATCCCTCTTCGCCATCGCTCGGCGGAAAGTGTAAGGCACGTGGTTGCCAGTCAGTAAGTAGTAATAGGGCTTCGAGAGTGCCCAGGGTGCGGAGACTGCCTTTCCAGGTGATTTGTCCGGTCTCAAGCTCACGAATTTTAGTCGTAGTGCCGGCACCGCAGAAACCACCACCGAACTGTTCCTGTCCCCACAGCAGACGTTCCACCTGACGGCGAAGGTTGTTCCAAAGCTTGCCGTGAATCTGATAGGATCGAGATAGCGCTGCGTGTCCGGATAACCTCATATGACGGGAAGCAATGGCGAGAATGGCCAATGCCAGGATTGGTTCATCGATCAGTAGTGCTTGGTGTTTGAGGGGTGAGCGATATTCGTCAAAGACGATGGGTGTCATGGGAGCCAGGCGTGTGAAGAAATATTCGACGTATTGCATGGCCTCCCATGCCGTGAACCAGCCATTGCGCACAAAGCGCATCTCTGACCATGCTTTGAGACCTGCTTGCTGCTCCGCTTGCTCTTGAGGCGTGAATCCGGTATCAGTAGGAGCTGGAGGGCCGCCGTGATCGAGACTAGACAGAGTCCTCTTTCTTCCACCTCTCTCGGAATGAGGGCTGTCCTTGAGAGCGGGTGTTGCACCTTCGGAGGCGTAGGCCGCGTCGACCAGAAGCATAATGCTATCTTGAGTACTTGAGACCTGTCCGCCTAGGGTCGCAACAGCGACTTGGCTATGCAACTCGACATCGGAAGGCTTCTGTTGTGAAGATTGTTGAGGGATTACGGAGCCAGTCCGGCCTCGACCTGACAATTCTCGCGGTTGAGAAGTAAACGATCGTTTGGAGCTCTGTGGTGTCCATGATGGTGCAGTGAAGCCATTGCCAGCTGTTGAGGGCGATGCTGAGGACGGCGATTGTTGTATACCTTGTCCAAATCCAAGACCTGACATTCCACTACCTGCGACCGACGTATCATTTTGGTCCTCCGCTGGGTCCTTTGATGTATCTCTTGCAGTTCCATCTGATCGCTTTTGTTTCTTTCGTGTCGCCGCAAATTCGCAGGTGAGTCTTTCACGTAGGCATCTCTTGCATGGCGGCTGAGACGGCGCATCGACACCTAAGTAAAGGTCTGGTGAGTAGAGAGTTTAAACGGCGACCACATGTCACTTACTGCCCAGGTCACATTTCACTTTTCTTTCACGACATCGTTGACAGGCCTGGTAGCCCCGGCGATGCTGTGGTCGGTTGTCATTGCGTGATTGTGTCGCATTGTCGCTTCCAGGCTCTGGGGAATACGAATCCGCCTTGTACAGACCAGCATGCGCTAGATCGGGAGCTGGAACTTGGCCAGGATAGTTGTAGGCCATATTCTGCGCATATACCGGCTGGAGTTGATTGAAAATAACCGCAGTTTGAGGTTGAGCGACACCCGAGGCGCCGAGATAACCGTGCGGCGGAGGAGGATGTGGATGTGGATATGGATATGGATGGGGAGGGGGACGATGATAAAAGACGTGTGGAATGCCTGTGGTTGCAGGACTCGAGGCTGGAATTGGAGGGCCGGAATTGAGGCCGCCAGGGCGCAGAGGTCCTGGGGCATCCAGGGAGTCGAGTGCGCCTAGAAATGCCGATTGCAGAGGTGCTACCGAGCCCTGCGCTACCGGATTCCGGGGTCGTGCTGGAGGTGCAGATGTCACCGGCGCGAAGCTTTGCGGGGCGTCTGCAGGGTTGTTTGGTGGTGCCTAGAAAATGTGGTTGGTCCAGATCGACAGCGGGGTTTCATGCGCGACGACTATATAGGACTTACCATGTCTAGTAGTCGTAGCAAGTCGTCAAAGTTGTCGGGCTCTTGCTCCTGCGCTTCTTGGTTGACTTCGTCGGCCCAGACATAGCCATGGCCCTGGCTATCCATGGCGTCGGCTTCACCAGGTTATGGAAGGGAAAAGTATGTGAATTTTGAAAAACGACGTCATGCTTTGAAGGACTCATTGTTGGGATGCGATGGGCTATAGACCGGCTTTGGCCCTGTCTAGGCGCCCCAGCAACATGTGAAAGACGACAGGTATGCTGGATGTGAGGCAAATATGAATCGAGCATTATCTCTGCTAAGGGACGGACTGTGAGTCGGGCGGCCATCAGTAGCATCTAGACGTAGTTCTGCTATGGATGATATTGAGCCCTGTTGGCAATCAGTAGCATATAGATATAGGTCTGCTTGTACCGCTTTTGAGATCTTGTCTGCCATCAGTGATATCTAGGCGTGGTTCTAATATAATACATTTTGAGTCCTTACCAGTCGCCGGGTACAAAACAGGCCTCTCCTTTAGGCTTCACGATCACATTCACGTAGGGCATCAGACCTATACAATAACGCTAGCTATTGACAATAACGGTGGACATCATAGAAAGTGGAAGTCTAACAAGGTGCATTCATCTATCTACCTGTGGTATCTTTGAAGGTATGCCGATAAGAAACTCCAAGTGCTGGAGATGTGGAAACAAAAGGATCTCCAATGTCTTTCTCCTTAGTGCCACCAAAACCCCCATTAAACCCGCTCTGGCTGCTATCAGACCCAAGTACTGATGGAAGGCTTTGTACACTCTCTTCGCTGGCTCGACGTAGTAGCCCCGGACCCATGCGACCTCCCAGCAGACCCCGAATACCTCCAGTCCGGGTCGGCAGATCACCCGTGCCCGCAGTCAGCACATACAGCAAGTATTTCAGGTTTGGCAAGGTATGTCGAATGTCAAGTACCCTCAACCGCGCCCGATTCATCAGAAATTCAATATCTTTGTTCAAGAGAAACACTCCGTACTCGAACTTGTATGGTACTGTCGTGGGATGCAGAGGATACCTTCGTTGGCTCAAACCGATCGATACAGGATCAGAAATGAAGGATGAAGAACCGTATGGTTCGATCGGGTATGGTAGAGGAACAGAGAGGTACAGTGACAAATAGTACACCAGTTGGGCGGAAAATCCCAATGCGGCAGCAATTTCATCCCGGTTTGTGTCGTTGTAAACTGAGTTCGGCAGGTGAAGACCTCGAATGGTGAACTGAAGAGTGCGGCCTTTAATGGGTTCAATCGGGTATATAGTGAGCAGTGCTTCACAGATGCGACGCACCTGCCCAGTTGAATCCTTATCGGTTTGTTGCAGTAGGCTCTCGACCTCCTGGCAAGATTTGTGTCTTTCCTCAATCAAGCCCGTCGTCTTGGCCAGCTCTTCGCGGCATTCAGTAAGGTTTTTTCGTCGCTTGGCCAATGAATCCCGCTTCTCGTCCCTACGTTTTGTCAACTGCCGGAGGTGCTTTTGTTCGGTGACAAGAGCTGCTTCAGTGCGCGGTTCGTCAATTTGCAGTTCTGAATCCCCATCGTCATCAACGGTCATAAGATGAGCGTCTAAGATGATCTTGTTGATATCTTTTTCTAGCTGCGTCCTGACCTTAATGGCGTCCTGTATACACTCGTCCAGATTGGCTAACTGCATCAGAGCCTCAAAGGATGCCCCGGGCCTCCTTGAGCCTTCCTTGTGATCAATCAAATGGTCGACCTCGGAGCGGGTATCGGCAGGAAGATCTGTGAAACTGGTGTAGATGCCATCAGAGAGATGCAGGAGAATGCAATTCTGTGGTAGGGGATGATGGAAGTTTTCTAGACTTCGCCCAATGAACTGTAACGATCGGAGATTAAGATCAAGCTCGACCAGAAGGCAATAATCGTCGGCATTTGAGGCTTTGGCCCAGACACGAACAGTACCTTCCTCTGACCGAGCGACCTGAGGATCAGTGTTGTCGAGGTCAAAAAATGCAAAACTTGGATTCATAGAGCGTTCAATGACCTCACTGATGTAGACTGGTCCAGGATTGCCAGGGGAGTGTAGTGAGATCCAGGTATCAGCCAGTCGATTCACAACCATGTCTTCTAATTTTGACTGGCGCGCTCTTGGGCTTGCCGAAGTCCAGTGTAGAGTGCTCCTCCTTCGCATCCTCCCCGTTCCAGGTCTATCCGTGTGTTTTTCGTTCTTTTCATAAGAAGTGGCCGCTTTCTGAAAGGTGCTCGGGGTATGAGTGTCATCAGCGATCACAGTTAGGTTTGTGAAGGAGCGAGACTGGGTCAAAGACTTCGCATCATTCTTGAGTGCGCGCTTCGATGGAGAAGTGAGATTGTATGGCGCATCATCGTCCGTGATTGTCTTTGCATGCTTTCGGGGGCTCGGCGCAGTTACATGGAGATTGCGCAGTGAGATACCATGTAGATGTCGAAGTCGACGATTCTGGGAATATGTCAGTCATGAACTCGGCCACAAAAATAGTCCTAACACACCCATGGATACAGAAAGGGTTTCTCATTGCGGACTTTGGGTGTCGTTAGGTGAGGTTCATGTTCATGGTCGTCCATTGCCTAGGTTAGTGACACTGAATGCATTTCGCGGACGCATAGCAAGCTCTACTGTCTGGTGGGAGCAAGGACAGACGACGACAAGTCTCTGCTACAGCACAGAGGATGCTAAGGCGTGGACTTGGGGTTTGCTTTCAACTGCACAAGCTTTGCGACTTTACATTGCGACACAAAAAGACATGCAATTGATTGTTTGAGCGAGTTGTCACCATATGATGTTGTTCATGCAGCCAATCGGCAATGCAGCAGAACATGCTGCATACCGTAGTGAATCTAAGTCTCCGGAAAATAGGAAAATCCGGCCCGACAAGTCCCTGCATTATCTTCACGAGCTACTTCAATGGTTGGCACCAAGAAATAATCCCATGCATTTTTGTATATCAGACCAAGCTGGAGCATCTGGTTTGAAGGTCCTGGATTGGGTTGGAAGTAGCTTGGTCACTCAGATGATATGGGTTTTGGTCGAGGACAGGAGAGCTGCTGGCGTCCCATCATCCGTGCCAGGAAGGAAGCAACGCATCCTGAGCTTCTATTATGGTTTAGTCCAGGACAGATCATGGACAGGGGAATTAAAAGCATCATCATGATGCCGGCAGAGATGGTATTGATCACGGAGTAGCAGGGCAGAATAGGGAGGATGAGTACGAGTACGAGGTACAGGGGGGAACTTGTAGGCCACCGCCACACTGTGGCTTTAGTCGTAGTGTGCAAAGGCCGCGTACAGTAGGGAGCAGACGAGGCTGGATGCATAAAGTGGCGCTTAATGAAGTCACTCTGTCACTCTTTCGGCAGGAAGGCGCTTTTTAGTGTTTTCTCCTTTCTTCAGTGCGAGACTCGTAACTCTTCCGGCCTCAACTCAACTACTCCTGTTGACACTTCGGATTTTGACAGCACGCGTGAAAACCGACTACCCATATTTTGATCACGTTGTTCGATCTATGCTCCCTCTCTTCATGCCATGATCTGCATTCTTCCGTCCCATCTGCAAATATACACAGACCTGCGGAGAGTGTCATTGAGATCGGACGAGGATACACTTGGTTGGCAACCAGATTAGATTCACAAGCTCGGATTCAATACAAATCTGTTCTCATGGACTGTTCTCCCAGTTGAATCTACCCGCATGGACACGTCCACGAGAGTCGGACACGTTTAGCCTTAACGGCGGCGCACGATCAGATCCAGAACAATTTGCTTCTCCAGTTTGACAGGTTTGACACCTCACCTCTACACTCCCTTTGGTCGAAACGCCTCCTTGCCGTCGTTTGTTCCTGCATCTTCGTGCAATCTCCTTTCCCAGTTTGTCCTACCTGGAGACACACTCCTGAAAAACCTCACACAGTCTCGGTAAGCTCACCAGTCAGCGGATCAAGTCCTACGTCGGTCGAGGGAACCGACCCGCCTCGAGCGACCCATTGTTTAGAGCTATACCCACTAGCCTTGTGTCGTTGCTCCCTCTCGGATGTACCCAGATTTGGAGTTTCCAATGGTAAGGCTCTGCTTCACACCTTTTCATACAGTGCTTTGTCAGGGGTTGGCCTGACGCTCGACCATGGCTTCATTGTTCAGCCTCACCAGACTATTGTACCTATCAATTGCTACCTGTCGAGAAAGACAAAAAGGCGCGTCGTCGAGACTGTCCCCTCCAGACCACCTGGATGGCGCCGCTGCTCGGGCAGAGTTATGATCTGGGCATGACAGTTGTCTTGACAGCACCCCAACCATGCTGTCTAATCTCCCTCGACTACCCGTCAACGGGCCATCAACGAACTCATCGTTGACCATGGCGTGGCTCGTGTTATACGGGGCGCGCTGGGAACCTGGGAAACATATACCTCGAACTCGCCCACATCTTTTTGTCGACCGGTCAAGGAGTCGCTCATTGAATTCCCCTTCGCAGCACAGACATACTCACTCTAGTCACTCTCTTCATTGCGCTGTTATTACCTCGAGGCTGCGCATTGCTCTGCCCTTCGCTTCTCTCGATAATCTAGAAATCACAATTGCAACAACCAACTCGGAATGAAGGCCACTATCAAAGCGCTAGGTCTCCTAGCGACTGCTGGCTCAGCTGCCGCATCATGGACGGATTGGTTCGATCCCGATACCACGGTCACGGCCACGATGACGAGAACCACGGCATACTGCCCATGTAATGGCGAGGTCAGGGTAACTCCTGTCGGACCCGGTCAGGGCAACGTGAATGTGTGGACCACGAGCAAGAATGCTGTTGGCCCGATCTTCACGGCGACCACCACCACTGTTCCGGGCAAGACAATCACCAAAGCGGGTCCCATCGTGGTCGTGTTTGAGACTGGGGGTGTCATGACGACGAAGACCGGTATGGCTATCGAGCTGATCATTCCACCAACGGACCCTGCAAGCTCGACGGTGTACGTGACTAAGACTGTTTGGACTGGAGCTCAACCCACCAACGACCTTGCCTGGGTTGACTGGAATGATGATGATGCTGTGGACGGCGCGACATTGACCAGAACCCACACAGCTGAGACAACAGTCTACGAGGGTGTTACTGCATTCCCTACTCAGACTGACGATGCGTCCTGGTCAGACTGGGCTGCCACAACCAACACTCATACAGTCACCACCAATACGACCGTGACCGTCAGCCCAACCCAGGGCACCACGAGTACCACGAGCAACGGTGTTGGACCCATTGGCGGTTCTACAAGCACTTCTTCCTCTGCAACAAGCAGCAGTGGCGTCGGACCCATCGGCGGTACCACCAGCACATCCTCAAGCATGACGAGCTCGATGAGCTCAACGAGCTCAACCAGTGCATCCAGTACAAGCATCACCAGCACCGGTAGCCCCATCATGGCGAGCAGTTCAACATCGTCAAGCAGCGCGGCTGGATCGAGCACCACGGTGGGCGCCACCACTTCATCCGTTGCGTCGACGACCGTCGCAAGCACCTCAACGACCACATCAGCCAACGGCAATCTCCCAACCACCACCCTTGATGTCCGCGGACTAGACTACCAGAGTGCCATCCTCGAAGCCCACAATATTCACCGAGCCAACCATTCGGCCGCGGCATTGACCTGGAACGCACAGATGGCCACCTACGCCGCGGAGACTGCCGCCAAGTGCGTGTACGGACACGATCTGTAAGTCATGAACCACCCTTTTTACCCGCTCTTGAGTATTAACATTTCTCCAGGACTCCTGGCGGTGGTGGCTATGGCCAGAACATTGGCGCAGGCTACACAGCTGCACAAGTACCCGCCATGATCGGCAATGATATGTACAACCACGAGATGCCCTACTACCCATTGCCGTATGGCGTCAACAACCCAGATACCAGCAACTTCGGCGCGTGGGGACATTTCTCGCAGATTGTCTGGAAGGGAACCACTAGCGTTGGATGTGCCACGCAGGTGTGCCCTACGCTCCAGGGAGCCACTTTCACCCAGTACTTCACCGTGTGCAACTACTATCCCCCTGGTAAGAACAGCCTGATTCTCTACTGAAACATGCAGTCTGACTGACTAACCTTCTCATCTTAGGCAACATTGGTGGCGCGTACTCCAACGTTGGCGCTCCTCTCGGTCAGGATGTTGTCTTCATCCAGACTTAAGGGAGTGATGGCTGCTTAATTTGTTAGATTCGTTCTCTTCTCTTAGCTGATTACTTGTAGCGGGGGGCGTGGAGCTGGTGGTCTCAATAAGCAAAGGCTGTGTCAAAAGTGCCCCGGCATTGACATTACATTCGAACTTGTATCAGCATTTTCTAGGTTCTTTTTGGTAGCAGAGGTGTTTTTCTTCCTCCTAGGAGGAATTGAAGAAGGAGGCTTTGCATTTGAGCGCGGGCTCGCAGCTTCTTATATAGTTCGTAGGAAATCCAATGAAATGATGATAACCCAACACACACAATGAACACGAGCCTTGAAAAACATAGTCCTTGTAGCAGCGAGTACTTTGGAAGATTCAGGAAAATATCGTGATGCGTATAAACTAGGACCGCCTTCATCTACCTCAACTCCGGAACACCATGCTCATCGACGTCGGGGTCAGCCCAGCTAATGTTTGGTTTAGGGTCTGAGGTTGTTAAGGCGAACCTGAAGGTCATCATCTTCCCCTCCGCCGCCTATGGCTTGTGCCACTCGTCCTTCCGGGACGGCTTGCTTCTGTATGCCCGTGGGGGTTTCACCAAGCTGCGAGAGTAAAGCATTAGTCTCTGTCTGCGGTGGGTATTGGGCCAAAGGTGGCGCGGAGGGGTTGGTTTTCCAACTTACGGCATTGTTCAGGTCTACACCGATCTCGTCAAGAACCTGATTGACGACCTCTTCGCCTTCCTCTTCGTCCTCGAGGCCCGTCACATCGTCGATGGCGTCGTCCATCATCTCCTGTCTCTGGTCCATGATGTCGTTCTCTCGTTCGAATTCCATGGCTATCCGCTGCAACGCAGGAAGGTTCATCTGTCTGTTCATACTACCGAGTAGCATGGTGGCGCCCTTCATGGACTGCATCATTTGCTCGTTACTTCGCACCGTCTGTACAAATTACTCTTTGTCAGTTTATGGCATCTGCAGAAAATGACAGGCATATACCGCACCTGTATCCTCAGAGAGATGGCCTGTAGCTGTGTCCGCATCTGATAGAATTTCTGAATGTACCGCCTCGTCCGGACCAGGTCTTTTGCTTGGATCTTGCAGGCGCCAATCTGCCCGTTCTTTGCGCTCTTCTTGATATCCGCGACGAGCTTCTTTTCCTGGTTCTCCAACTTGACCCTCTCTCGGTCGAGTTCACGTTGCGTCTTTTCGAGAGCCCGTTGGTGCTTGCGAAGCCGTTCGGCCGGCGTCATGCGCTTGCCAAAGGCCCATTCTATTATCTTGTTTTGGGATCATGAGTATTAGCGGGGTTGTGGTGAACCGATAAAAAAGTGTTGTGCTTTGCTCACATTCATGATTGTAGTTGCGCTGAGTAGGACGAGGAGGGAATCGAGCTCTTAATTGAGGGTATGCGAAACGGTGCGTTGAGTCGTGTTGTGTCTTGAACGTCGCTGGGTGAATGTTGTTTTGTCGAGATATGTTTATGGTAGAAGCCTTGGGATCCCGCGATCCGCCATACGCAATACGCCGGCGAGTGACGTTGGCAACACGAGGTGTACGAGAAACAGTGGAAGTCCTCCGTAGTGACCGCCTAGGGCAAGTAGTCCGTAGGCACCTTAGCTACCTCAGGGACAGTGCCTGCTGTAGTCAGCACCACTAAATCTCTAGGCCCATCAAACAAGTGGTTGGTTTTCCCAAGGGCAGGAATTCCGGGCCCGGATTAATTACTCACCACCTAAAACCACACTAAAAGTCCAAGTGCAGCCGAAACGCAACGGGATTTGCGATTTTGCCCTTGAGCTTTTTGCACCAAAGCAACAAACATTTACACACAAACACAACACACCTTGCAATCCTAACGACTCCCTGAATTATTTCTCACCTTTATCAGCAAATCTCTTTCATTATTATGGGCGCATCTTGCGCATCGATTCCCGTCGACTGCCGCATGTGCTGAATAAGAAACCATGAGCCAGTCCTACTTCCCCGACGAAGGCTCCTCCTCCTGGCGCCACAGTCCCCAAGACCACGGTGATGCGTCAGACCACGCCGACCTCGACCTCGAAATGGACTCACCTGCGCCCATCCGCCCTCCTTCCTACCGACCAGAGTACATGACCGTGGGGACCGGAGGACAACCGTCTCATGCAGCCGCGTTGATGGAGCAATTGGAACGAGATTCAGGTTATGGCAGTATGCCAGGTGACGTACAGCAGCGTGGTGGCGAGATGAGGTCTTGGGAGGACGAACTGTTGCGAGATAGACCTACGCCTGCACACACCCCCCAAGTCGACGGCCAACCTGCGAAGATGTCCGAGAACGAGAAACGAGCCCTTGCCAGCCATGTTCATCAACTCCATTACAATCAGAACCGAGTGGCGCTCGCCAAAGCCATCAGCCAGACCGTCGAATTGCTGAAGCAATTACAGGATATGAACACGCAATGGCCAGCGCATTACCCTTCAGTGCAAAGATCTGAAGACGATAGACACCCACAGAGACCGGCTTTGACGCAGGCTCAGTCGCATCGAGACGATGCCGATCTATCGAGAGAAATCTTCCTCAAGAATCGTCCTGGAGCACTCAGGCGAGCAGGTACATCGATCGGCGAGGACACGACCGGCGAGTCGAGTTCACAGGCACAGCAGAGAAGGACACCTGAGCCCCGATTAATCACGCCACAGATTGCACAAGAGTTCTCCATCCTCAAGTTGGATCTAAAGGTTGGCGCACTGTCGCAGACTGAGTTGGTCCATTCGCTGGAAAAGAAGTCGATCGCTTCTCTGCTGGACGGGAAGATCAGCCAAAGTGTTCGCCACCTGCTCGCTCTTCGCGATCGGATAGAGGATACTTCGAGCAAGGTGTTGGTGACGGGTGATCTCAATGCCGGCAAGTCAACATTCTGCAACGCACTATTACGGCGGAAGATCCTCCCAGAAGATCAGCAGCCTTGCACCAGCATCTTCTGTGAAGTCTTGGATGCAAAGGAAAATGGTGGACTTGAAGAAGTCCATGCCGTCCACAAGGATTCAATATACAATCGAAACGATGAGAGCACATACGACGCCTACTCATTGCAAGAATTGGAGAAGATCGTTGTGGACAATGATCGGTACATGCAGTGTAAGGTCTACGTCAGGGATATACGGACAATTGATCAATCACTGCTCAACAACGGTGTCGTCGATATCGCCCTGATAGATGCACCAGGTCTGAATTCAGACTCGGTCAAGACGACAGCTGTCTTTGCTCGTCAAGAAGAAATCGATGTTGTTGTGTTTGTGGTCTCGGCGGCGAACCACTTCACGTTATCTGCTAAAGAGTTTATATGGCAAGCTGCTCACGAGAAGGCATATATCTTCATGGTGGTCAATGGATTCGACAACATCAGAGATAAAGAGCGATGTCAAAAGATGATTCTCGACCAACTTGCCAAACTCAGTCCGCAGACATTCAAGGAGGCACAAGAACTAGTCCATTTCGTGTCCAGCAATGCCATTCCAACACAGCCTGCATTGCCGCCCAGTGCGGGTGATGACAGTGGAAGCGGGTCTGGACGTTCAAATCCTCCGGATGGCGACGATGGAGATGACGATTCTGGAAAGGGTAAAGGGAAGGACAAAGAAAAGATGCAAGATTTCGAGGTTTTGGAAGGTGCCCTTCGCAGGTTCGTTCTAGAGAAACGAGCACGGTCGAAATTGGCGCCGGCCAAAACCTACTTGATGAACTGCTTGGGCGATATGAACGTTTTGGCAACAGTCAACCGAGATGTCGCACAAGCTGAACTCGAAAGAGTCTCCAAGGCGCTCGCTGAAATCGAACCCGAATTTGAGGACAAACAGAAGCACCGGACTGTAATTTCCGAACAGATTGAGAAAGACATTGATTCCACAGCATCGGATGTCTACAACCACACAAGGTCGAGCTTGTCAAGTACAATCGCGAATGTCGGTAAGGAGAACCATGGTATCGAGTACCCTGGTCTGTTATCAGCCTTCCAATATGCGGAAGATCTACGAGTTGCCATGCTCGACCAAATCTCTGCGGCGGTCACCAACTGCGAGTCCTACGGTCGAGCCAAAACAGTAGAGGGCGTCAGCATGATCAAGTCTCTGGGGCTGTTGCACGTCGGTGAAGGCTATGAAAATCTCAGTTTCCAAGCAGACAAGATGTTCCAACGACGGAAAGACGCCCTCGTGCGATCGGTGGACACGGATGTGGAGATCTGGGACTTTTTCGACATCGCTGGTCTTTGGGAGCGACAGGAGAAGACCGTCGGGACTGGTCTCGCCCTGACAGTCATGGGCACTGTCGGTTCTAGGGCTATTGGTGGCGTTGGTTGGGTTGATGGTGCCTTTGGTGCAGCAAAGATTCTCGGCAGTCAGAACTTGCGGAGGTTGTTTGTTCCAGGTGTGGTTGCTGCTGGTAAGTCATTCTTTTCCGATCGTCATCTTGGAAAATCTCTAACATATGTTGCAGCTATCCTCACCGTGGCCTATGTCCTGTCCAACATCCCTCAGGCACTTCCTCCACGACTAGCATCGAAACTTTCCGCCACTTTAGCCGAGATGGACTATACCCACAGTAATGCCAACCGCATCGCCGCCGAGGTGAGACGTGTTCTTCGTTATCCAGCACAACGACTCACGACCGACCTTGCTCAAGGGGTAGAGGAGCTCAGACAGAAGAAGGAAGACGTCACCAAGACGAAGCGTGAAAGCGAGGTGGCCAGAAAGTACTTTGGAAACCTCGTGCGGGATTCTTCGGAAACCCGACGACGGGTGTCTTCAATTGACCTGGAAGGGATACCGGGCGCTGTGGGCGCGTATGCTTGATTTTGACGGAGTAACAAGGACCGCAACAACAACAACGAGGAAAATGAACCTGCATGATACCGCTTCTGTCCAGTTGGACTGGTTGTATATTCTCCACTTGCCCACACATAGCAATATACCTAAGTAGCCTCTATTCATGAATGATTAGCGAATGTAATATGAAGTTTGTGTCATGTATGTTTAACCAAGTCACTGCTATGAGAAAGACAATGCTCTGTACGCAAATGAAGGGATGGGTTTCATTGTGAAGGGAAGATAATATTCGGGTAGGGACGTGAGCTGGGAGGAGAAATGGAAAATCACTTTATATATTCTGACGTGTAGCTCGTGCCTACCTTACAGAATAAACAGACCAGAAGAACTGTTTTATATTGCGTCTACGAAACATCCGTCCATACTATGCATACATAGTTGTGCAAGTACGGCGATCCTTTAAAATACTGTCGACACTATTGAGAAAGCCTACCTTTCTACGAAAAACCATGGATGGGGTTGATTGGGGGGAGTATTTCTGTATTCGCTAATCTTAAAAGGAATGCCCTGCTTACCTGGCTTGTATCGAACTGTCCGCTTTTATGAAGAGACCGGAAGGTGACCATCTCAGTACAAATGCATAATTGTTCGGACTTTATCGATCGTCGGCCGAGAGAACGACAAACTGTGGTTGCCTGGCTGAGGCTGGATTGTACAAGTACTCCGTGGCCTACGGAGTTTGTAGAGCATAGAGTACCTAGTTCAAGTACAGTAGGTGGTAATTTCTTAGGCTTTTCTAGGCCTGTTTTAGTGCAGAACTACCCGAGGTACGGAGTACAAAGGACACGTACCTAGGCTAGTTCAAGGCCTGTACAGGAGCATAAAGGACCCTTTTCTAGGTGTGACATTTAGGTACTTTAGGCACCGTCATAGGTGCTACAATGCCAACTTGACGTCCTAAACTGCCAGGGGACTACAATCGCACTCTGTTTGCTTCACACGATACAGTACACGCAGTAATGGCGCTTTTATTTGCTACGTTTTTATTTTTGAAACAACAATATCCGTACCATTTAAAGATCTCTTGTAGTCTGGACAAATCTTGACTCGTACACACTAAAATAAAATACATCGCCACCTTCTTCCCTCCCCTCCTCATTTCCATAATACTCCCCCACACAATTGAACTCCCTTCTGTCCTACTACATCATTCCCCCCCCTCCTGCTCACATTCCTCTTTGTGTTCCTGAACGGCGCCTTTGCCATCTTGACTTGTGCGTGACCCAACAAACCACATACATTCGAACATCGGGCCAGATCATCCTTCCACCTTGCGAACCGCCTCTCACTCGTACTCTCTGTACGAACTCAAATCAACAAAGCCACCCAGTCTCCTCGTACAGAACAACCCCCGTATTGCCTTCTGCTGCCGTGGGACTTTGTTGGACGATCGACCTGCGCCTAACCTCAGTCCCTAGCCGCCTGCGCCTCACTTTCAACCACTTGCATTACCTCGACTCGACTCAACTTAACTCGGCACCTTTCCCTCCTTCATCCCTTACTCGTACTGAGGTTACCTCCTTGCTCCTTCGTTGTAACATCTGCCATCTCACCCCCCCGCCGATCTTATCAAGCTTTTCAAGCTGGCGGGCACCACTGAGCGGAGAACCTCCACGCATGGGGGCTTTCTAAACCGCATGTTTGGGAAGAAAGAGAAGGATGCCGACTCGGATTCTATACAACCTCGCTCCAGCACCGACGGCTCTGCCAATGTAGCAGCGTCGCCCAACAGTCCCATTGCCATCAAGACCAGCGACCTATCTCCCCAGTCCGAAACCCCGGGGCGGAAGCCTACAGAAGACCCTACTTCCTCTCCCAGAGACGAACAGAAAAAGCGCAGGAGTAGTAGCGCCAAAGCGAAAGAGATCTTCACCCAAGCCAAAAATTCGCTCATCCACGGAGACAAGGACGGACCTCAGACACCCATGCAAAAGTTATCCAAAACCGACGCCGCCCTGAGTGTGCCTCAAGGCTCACTCAACAACTCGGCCGGCGAGTCTCGTCCGACACCCAACTCGTCGTTCTTGGTCGGAGTGACCGAGGACAAGAACAAGAAATGTCGCCGGACTATGGAAGACACCCACTCCTACCTCTACAACTTCCTCGGCACCCCCGCACCCGTGCTGACCGACAACGCCCTCACCCAAAAGAAATCGATTGAAGATCGAAATAGCTTGACCTCGATACCCTCGGAGCCTGCGCACCACGTGGTCGAGACCGACAATGGCTATTTTGCCATCTTCGACGGCCACGCTGGCACCTTTGCCGCCGAATGGTGCGGGAAGAAGTTACACATCATCTTGGAGGATCTGATGCGCAAACACCCCAACACACCTGTACCCGAGCTGCTCGATCAGACTTATACCTCGGCCGACAATCAATTGGAGAAACTACCCTTAAAGAACAGTGGATGTACAGCCATTACAGCGGTGTTGAGATGGGAGGACCGCGTACCTACGAATAACTCCGCGACCGGCTCTCAGGCGATCGCGGCATTAGCAGCGGCGGCGGCCAAAGAGGCGGAGAAGAACGAAAAGACCGAGAAAAAGGACGAAACAAACGAGGCGACACCACGCTCTAACTCGACGGCCGAAGCGGCCGCAGCAGCAATCCAAGAAGCCAAGACCAAGGCTACACGGCAGCGAGTTTTGTATACTGCCAATGTTGGTGATGCGCGAATCGTGCTTTGTCGAAACGGCAAGGCGCTTCGCCTTTCATACGATCACAAGGGCATGGATGAGAACGAAGGCAGACGAATCACGAAAGCCGGGGGCCTGATCCTGAATAACCGGGTGAATGGGGTTTTGGCTGTCACTCGGGCACTAGGCGATTCTTACCTCAAAGATCTGGTCACGGGGCATCCTTATACGACAGAGACTGTCATTCAGCCTGACCAAGATGAGTTCTTAATCCTGGCCTGCGATGGGGTAAGCTGATCTTCCGGATCTTGCCAAATGGACATTTACTAACGATTGTGTAGTTGTGGGATGTTTGTTCTGATCAGGAGGCCGTGGACTTGGTCCGTAACGTGCAAGATCCTCAACAAGCCTCGAAAATGTTGGTAGATCATGCGCTGGCTCGATTCTCGACCGACAACCTGTCGGTGATGATTGTCCGTTTCGACTCGAACAAGTTGCAGCAAAACACCAAGATTGGCATCGGAGTCGAAGCAGAGGGTGACAAGGACAAGGGCGCCATCAGCGAAGTTGAAATGATCGTCTCAGAAGCCCGACGTCATTCTGGTGTAGTACAAGAAGGCGCGATTTCCGACCAGGACTCGGAAGAGTTAAGACAATCGGTCATCAAAGAGGCGGAAACCGAGGAAGAAGAGCCTGGACCAGAACTGACGCCAGAAGGGAAGGGAGAGGCGGAAAAGATCTTGGCTTCAAAAGATCAAGATGTCGAGATGACGGACAAGAGTGGATGAGGTTGATGGATGCGTATACCATGCATTTGCAATCCATGAGGTTCTTTTCGAGAGGCATCCGACAGTACATTCGACGCGAGAAAGGGGCGAGGGTGGCACTTTCTCGGTCTTTTGAGGCACATTCGGATGACTAAAATGGGGACTGATGATGTCGAATTCTCTGAAGATTACACGAGTCGTCGGCCTCTATCGTTTGTTTAGGATTCGGTATTCACTTTTCATCTCCATAGAGGTTCAGGTCATTGTGGGGTTTGGACACACTCGGAAGCCGAGTTGGAATACAGAAAGTCCTGGTTACCTACAGATGCTGGGGAGATGAAAGTTTGGCATGTATGCATCTTCTACGAGTAGCACAAGGCAAACGAAGTAGATGGAGTGTACGAGTATTCATGCGGCTTTACTCGGGAGGTGTAAATGCAGTACGGTACCTAAGTAGTTGAGATGTGTGTGGCGCGATCAACTGAATGCACGGTTGATGTCTGAATCAATATCAATTCCTTTTTCCAGTGAGTGAGTCATTCTACTGTATATAAGGAGGATGTAGGGAATGCTAGTAGTAAGTCGAGACAAGGCTGCACATTCGGACCACAGGTACAGATTGTGACTTGTGTGCATGAGAAGCTCATATCTACCTTGCTGGAAACACGCTTTCTCTTAACAATTATTACAGAGTTATAATAATTCTAGTTCTCGTTCTCAGGTTGAAACGGCGGTTCGGAATCATCTTCCTTTTCACCGGTTGTACGGGAGAGGGAAAAAAAGGTTGTACGGAGCTTCAGACCGAGTTCCAGCAAGTCGAAAACTTTGGTACGGAACAGATATACCGAATCGAGAGATGAGCTTTGGAAATTGTTGACCCCGGGGCCAACAAATGTACTGTGACTTTATCCGTACTGTAGCTAATCAATGAGTACTCCGTAGATACTCCGTACACAGTGGACAGAGTTAATCCGTCAAATCTTTTAGGCGGCGCCGGGTTTAAGCTGATAAAGATTCAATTTATAGGTGGCGTCAATTGGCGGTTCGGGGCGAGTGGAAGCCTACAATGGACTCATGGTATTGTACTCGTGCCCTGGGTAAAGAGTACAATGTTCAGCAAAGTCATGGAGTAGTACACGTACAAGACAGTTATGTACCCTAGAGAAACCATTATCAATGACGGCGGCGATATAGAGATAGGAACAGAGTACGGAGTAATAATAACCTCACGGTCGATGATGTGGCTGACTACTCGCATCAATCTGCACAGTCACATCACCGCTTATCAGGATCCATCAATTTATTCTCGTCTATCCAGGGAAGCTATTTATTTATTAGTTACTTGGAAGAAGTCAAGTTGTTATCCGTCAGACTCCACTGGCCTCTTGTCCAACTGGTGCTTGTCATCCGCCTTTGCCTTTGCGGTCGCCATTCAAAAAAAAATATAGCCGGACTTTGTTTCTACTGCCCAAAACCATAATTGTTACTCACATACTCCGTATTCTCCCTACAACTTCACGCCCTTCCCTGGCGACTGCCATCGTCCTAACAACTACGAGTACTCCTTCGTTCCTCAAAAGACCTCATGCTTTCCCCTTGAGTCGCCTTTTCCCTTCCCCCCCAATTCTTGTCCAAACTTCTTCCGGCCCGCCATGGCGAGCAAAGTCGCCCTGCGCCTGAAGCCGGTGAGCTTCTCGATTGCGTCACGCAGGTCAATATCCTCCCTGGCCGCGACCTCCCTCCGTGGGACGGTGAAACCGTCCCCTGTGATTGCGATCGTTCCCAAGAAGCCGCAATGTCTCCCTCGCCTTCTCCTTCGACAGTCCTTCCGTCGCGGCTACGCCGACGCCCCCCAGGCCACCCTCTCCCCGACCCCGAAGCCGAAGAAGCGCTTCAGGTTCTTCCGCTTCATCTGGCGGGTGACCTACCTCTCGACCTGTGCTCTGATCGGGTACACTGGCTATCAAATCTGGGAAGGCCGGAATCCAGCAGAGCAGTTTGAACCCGACCCGAGCAAGAAGACCCTGGTGATACTCGGTACGTGCTTTATTCTGTAATCCAGCTGCGGGAAAAAATCGTACACATGCTGACAATTTTAATCTTTCAGGTACCGGGTGGGGATCGGTCTCCTTGCTCAAGAACTTGGATACCGAAAACTACAATGTCGTCGTCATCTCGCCTCGGAATTACTTCTTGTTTACGCCCCTGCTGCCTTCATGCACCACCGGTACCATCGAACATCGCTCGATCATGGAGCCCATCCGGAACATCCTGCGACACAAAAAGGCACGAGTAAAGTTCTACGAAGCCGAAGCCACCAAGATTGACTACGAGAAGAGAATCGTCTACGCCAAAGATGACTCCGATATCAAGGGTGATACCATGGAGACCGAAATCCCCTTCGACATGCTCGTCGTGGGTGTCGGCGCGGAAAACGCTACCTTTGGAATCCCCGGTGTTCGCGAACATGCTTGCTTCTTGAAGGAGGTCGGTGATGCCCAAAAGATCCGAAAACAGATCATGGACTGCGTGGAAACTGCCACTTTCAAGGACCAAACTCCTGAGGAAATTAAGCGTCTTTTGCACATGGTTGTGGTGGGTGGTGGTCCCACCGGTGTCGAGTTCGCTGGTGAACTTCAGGATTTCTTCCAGGAAGACCTCCTCAAGTGGGTTCCGCAAATCAAGGACGACTTCCATGTCACTCTGGTCGAAGCTCTCCCCAATGTTCTGCCCATGTTCAGCAAACAGTTGATCGAGTACACCGAATCGTCGTTCAAGGAGGAACACATCGACATCCGCACAAAGACCATGGTCAAGAATGTCACGGACAAGTACATCGAAGCCGAGATCCAAAAACCAGATGGAACCAAGGGCATCGAAAAGATCCCCTATGGTCTGCTCGTGTGGGCCACGGGTAACGCTTTGCGCCCTTTGGTCAAGGATCTCATGCAACAAATTCCCGCCCAAAAGAACGCTCGTCGTGGTCTCGAGGTGAATGAATACCTGGTCGTGAATGGTTCCGAAAACATCTGGGCTGTTGGTGATTGTGCTGTCGCCAACTATGCCCCCACCGCCCAGGTGGCGGCCCAAGAAGGTGCTTTCCTCGCCCGCCTCTTCAACACCATGGCCAAGACTGATGCCCTCGAATCCGAACTCAAGCAATTGTCTGCTAAGCAAGCCACCGCCAAGCCAGACGACCGTACTGTCGTTTTGAACGAAATCAATGAGCGTCAACGACAACTTCGCCGTGTCAAGCAGATTGGTCCCTTCCAGTACTCGCATCAAGGATCTTTGGCCTATATTGGTGCGGAAAAGGCTGTGGCGGATGTGTCTTGGTTCAGCGGCAACATTGCATCCGGTGGTACCATGACCTATCTATTTTGGAAGAGTGCATATTTGAGCATGTGCTTTAGCAGTAAGTTTCTTGCCATTCACCTTAACATCTCCTTTCTGCCTTGATCTGGTGGTGTTTTCCAGAGTATAATGGCTAACGAATTTCCGTAGCACGAAACCGTGTTCTCGTTGCTTTTGACTGGGTCAAGGCCAAGTTCTTTGGCCGTGACGTGTCCCGGGAGTAGGGTAATGAACGAAGAATTTAACATCCGCCCACTCTTTTCCTACCTACCCAGGTAAGGTAATGAGAGAACAAAGAAAAGGCCATGGACTCCGCCATATAGTTTGTATTGTTTGATTTGTTGAGAGCGTTGAGTCTGGCTAGGCAAGGGAAAGGAAGGAATGGAACATTCTAGGACGGGATTTACGTTTCTGCTTTTGTTTTTGCCTGTCCTTTTTCTTCTTCTGTTCCTGTCTAGGTAGAAGGGGAGAGAAAAAAGAAAGGAATGGAAAAAAAGCCAAGCAAGTGGTGGGATGTCTGTGTAACTACCTTGTCAAAGGTTTATGTATTACTTCCTCAAGGATGGAAATCAAGTCGCATGCACATGTTGTGATATTTTGTCTTTCTTCGACTCGAATGGTGGGTGGACAGGAAGGAGTATAGTATTGAACTCCTTCGATATTTCTACAGTTATTGACCCAAGTCTGTATGGGGTAATGCAAAATCAAAACCACACCAATTCCGGTCCCATCTTCTACCTCTCTTTTTTTCCCCCTTGACTACCACAACTTGTTCTCTTCCTTGGCCTTTGTCACGCCGCTCCGCGCCCGGGCCTTTTTCAACTCCTTCAACTGCTCCTCGCTGATGGGGGGTTTGAAGTACAGACTTGCTCCCTCACCCTCCTTGACCGTGTGGCTCAGGTACCCTCGATTCCTGGCGTCTCGGTAGTACTCCATGTCCTTCCGCGACGTCGGGTCCGGCAGTCTGTAGTCGTAGCCCATGCCGGCCACGCGCTCCTCGAGGGTCGACCCGCCGGCCTCCAGCAGGGCGGGCTCGCCGATGGCCCGGGGGTCCCAGCGCAGCGACACGAACGGGTGCATCTCGCCCTTTTTGATGCGCCGGATCGCCTGTTCGGTGTAGAACCGGGTCGTCACGCTGCCGCCGGCGGCCTCGACGGCCGCGATGGCCGACTGTGAAGCCTTGGACACGACGATGTGGACGGGAGTCTTGAGCTCGGCGGCCCCGTCGGCGAGGAGTTTGACACCGTCTTTCGGTCGGTTGATGAGTCCCGACCGGCAGAGTTCCAAGAACGTGATGGGTTTGCTCGGGTCCAGACGTTTTTGGTCGATCCAACTTTGAATCTTGTTCAGATTGACCGGGGTCATCTCCGTGGCGTGTCTAGAGTCGGCAACAACACGTTAACATTTTGTTTTGCCAAACCTTACAGCTTTGCGGCATCCACCGGTAAAGGGACAAAAACTTACAGATTTACAAAACCATATTTGCCGTGTACAATATGTTCGGGAGTTTGACCTCCATTGAAACCTTCCGGGACCTTGCCATGCTGTTTCTGGCCGTCCGAACCTCGACCTGACTTGCCACCGTGCCCTGAAGCTGGACCACGTCCTCGTCGGATGCGTCGATTGTAGGCGCCAGGTCGGTCGGAGAGCTCGCTCAAGATCGAGGCATGTCGTCGGGGTTGAGTATGGAGGAAGGGGAGGAGAAAGGACGGGATGGAAGCGGAAGGGTTTGACAGTAAGGTGTCGAGGTTGGCGCCTGGTGCGGCCAGCCGGAAGGGGAGTCGTGGCGGCATCGGCGGCGACTCAGGTTTGGGTTGGTGTCGGTACAAAAAGACGACGGGATGGTTTGTCTGAAGCTCTGCTCTGAGACAATCTAGAGTTCCATACAAAAAGTCCGCAATGCTGGTTTTTGTGAAAACGACGCCGCCTTAACACAGTTTCGCGACTGCGCCGTAAGACCTACCGAAGAGACCTCGCTGCTTTTGTAGAACAGAAGCCCCGTATTCTTTCTCCGTTCACGAGTGAAAAGCCCAAGGCACGTGTGGCCAATCATCATCCACAATTTGCGGCCCCGAATACGAAGCCTCCTGACAAGATGTTGAAGGCGACTTTTATTTCAATCCCCATCACTCTTTATTCATACTCTGTACACTCCATAACGACGACTGTGTCGGTTCCGATTGATGTAGCCGGGTGGCCAGTATTGTAACATTGTTTCCGGGCATCTGTCTATTTTCTCTCTTGTTATGTACTGATAAGCGACGGACCTCCTGCACCCCGTCGCTCTCAAACATGGGGCCTATTGAGTTCAACAAACGGCGCATCTTCATCTTGTTCGGCGCCATCATCGCCTTCTACATCGTCTTCCACGGGATCACCTTCTCCGGGGACAGCCTGAGGGATGCCTCTGCTCACATCCCTCTCCCCGGTAGCCTGCGGCCCACCGAACACAAAGAGCCGCCGCCAGACACGACCGATCCAGATGAGATATGGGATCTAGATCCTCCTCCTCCTTCGGCGGCCGCCCCTCCGGCAGGGCAGCCTCCCACCGTATCCTTGGCACCGGCAACCCCATCTTCTTCACCTGTAACGCAGCGCCACTTCGACCTCCACCCGATCGCACAGCTGATGCAAAGGGCGGACGAGCAGTGGAGGACGTACGAGTCTAGCATCTCGACTTCGTTCAGGCAGACCGTGGAGAAATACCGCAGTCGATACGGCAGACACCCTCCCCCCGGGTTCAAGGAGTGGTACAAATTCGCGCGCAAGAGAAACGTCTTCAACATCGACGACTTTGAACAGGTCATGGACGACCTGAGGCCGTTCTGGGCCGTCAATGCGTCCGAGATACGGACGAGGGCCGCGCACATGTGGGAAGAGGAGAAGTTTGGCGTCTCGGTCATCCACGTACGGGATCACAAAATCTCCCGCATCGACTTTCCCAGTTGGAGATCCGAGACCATGGCGCAGGTCTTGGAGAAGTTTATTGAATTCCTCCCGGACATGGACATCGCCATGAACCGTTTGGATCAACCCCGTGTGGTGGTGCCATGGGAAGACATGCAGAAGATGCTGCAGTACGAGTACGACACGCGCGCCATGCCTCCCGAGGTCATGGACAATTTCACCTCGCACCAACCCGATTTACTGGACATGACCGTCGAGAACAAAGATGACGACAAGTCACGGCGGCTTGACGACGGATGGTTTTACGCTCCAGGACAACAGTACATGAAGATCGCTTCCAAGGCGTGCCCACCGGAATCTCCAGCACGATCCAACATGTCCATTGCCGCGGCCGACAATCTCTACAAGGAACCCGTGGCTGGCATCGTGAGCAATTTCAACCTTTCCTCGGATCTCTGCACGGTTGGTCCCGCCGTTCAAGACTTGCACGGCATGCTCTATTCGGCTAGCAGTATGATAGCCTCCCATAAACTTGTGCCCATCTTTGGAGAATGCAAGGTCAATGTCAACAGTGACATTCTCTTTCCCGCAAACATGTATTACCGCCACGACGAACGATACGACTATAGCGACAAGGAAGATCTCGACTGGCGAGATAAAGACGATACCATCATCTGGCGAGGCGTCACCTCGGGAGGTGTCCAGATCCAGGAGAACTGGCAAACCATGCATCGACAGCGACTCGTACAACTCATGAACGGCACTCATACTTTGCAAACGGCAAAAGAGGTCAAAGTTCTCACGGCAAAACGAGAAGATTTGGATCAGGAAAACATTACGTATCAAGTCTACGACCACTTCCAGCCTGCCCACTTTGCCAACCGACACAGCGATGTTGGTTTTGTCGAAGCCTGGGGCTGCGTCCCGAACTGCAGTTTCTACGACAGTGTCTTCTCGTGGAAACCGCAAGTCTCGTTGACGTCTCAATTCAAGTCGAAATATTTGATCGACGTGGACGGACACTCTTTCTCTGGGCGCTGGCACGCTTTCTTACAGAGCAAGAGTCTCGGCCTGAAAGCGACCATCTTTCGTGAATGGCACGATAGTCGACTACTGGCGTGGAGACATTTTGTCCCCGTCGACAATCGTTACGACGACATCTACTCTCTGTTGTCGTACTTTATCGGATACGGAGAGCCCAACATGGAGCACGCGATCGAAAAGGGCGACCTGAACCCGGACGTGTACATCGCCCCGCACCCCAAGGAAGCCCAGAAGCTCGCGAGACAGGGCCGCGAGTGGGCGAACAAGGTGCTCCGACGGGAGGATATCGAGGTCTACATGTTCAGGCTGCTGTTGGAGTACGGAAGGCTCATCGACGACAACAGGGACCACATTGGGTACTCGGGAGATGGTAGCGAATTGGACAAGTTCGATGCCGGCGGTGAGGACAAGGAGCCTGGGAGGTGGGGGATTGGCGGCTGGAAGGATTGAGCAATTCTCTCAACGAGTGAATTTTGCCGGTCAAGAATTTGTCATTCATTGATCTTTACGGCACCGGGCTCATTCGCCGCGCCTCCTTTTCATTCTTCCAAAGAGGGTACTGGCATACACACACCAACTCCCAGATATACTGTGCTTTGAGCTTGATGTTCAAGGCTCGACGCATCGAGTATTGGCTGATTGCCCTCCTCGAGGACAAAATAACTCTGATGATGCCTCGGACGTGAGTGGTTCTGGGGAGGAACATTTCGCAAAGAGCTTTGAAAGGCACGCTCCGGTCGGAAGCATTCCCCCCTCTGTCCCTTGTGGACGAGTGCTATATCTTTGGAGAGACCGAAGCACAAACACGCGGTGCGCCGCCCGAGCGGGTCGACACTTGAACTCTCCCCGCCTTGTTCAGGCACCCAGGTGTGGTGTACCGCCTCGTCATCAGCGAGAAGGGATGTCGACTGCCCGTGATACGTACGAAGCCGGGTGCTCCCGTAATACTTTTTAATAGGCTCAGGAGCTCAACCACTTTGACAATTTTTTCATCATTCATGTACAAGCGAAAGGCGTTGACAGATTGGATACCCTCTACAGACTCATATCGAGAAAGGCGCGAACAGAGTGATGCCAAAGCACGAGCGAAAAGGGCCAGGAAAGAAAAAGACACCGACGAGTGGACCGGGTTATCTGATGACCAGGGGGGGTAAGGAGGGGGCCGAAAAAGAGAGCGGGGAGAGTGATGGCAATATATGCACATACCTCCGTATATCTGTCTACTGTAGAGCTTTGACTGGGGTAGCGTTTTCCGTTAATCTACATGCTGTCGAGTGTTCTATTTTATACTACTACGGCTCGAATCACAGTGTTCTTTAGGTATCCAAAACACGTCCACTTGATTCTGTAGGTTGATGTCACGCATTCGTTTCATTTCGGGCCGTCTTTCGTATCTAGTCCCCTCAAGAACGACATTACGAAAGCACCACTTTTGGTCCGGTCTACTTCTTCATGCGTTTCTTGAGCCTCTTCTCGGCCCGGACGTCCTTCTTCAGCCGCGCGTCGACAATCTTGTACTTGCCCTTGACGCCGCGCGGCCGGCCGGCGACGCCCTTGTTCCCGCCCCTCGCGACGACGAGCTTGACCTTCTCCTTGGGCCGGCCCTTCTTGGCCGCACGGGCCATCATGCGCGCGATGCCGGCCGCCTTGTCCTTCTCCGACATGCCCTCGTCGTCGAGCAGGAGGGCCGACTTCTTGCGCAGCTTCTCCAGTCGCTGCGCCGCCCTCATCTTCTTGCGGCCCTTGGCCTCGAGGACCTTTTTGATCGGCCGGGCGTTGAGCGCCCGGAGCTTCTCCTTGATGGCCGCCGCGGCGCCGGCGGTGATGGGCCGTTGCGGCTTGCTGTGTTGGCCCTCGTCGTCGAGGAACCATTCGGGGAGGCCGTCGACGTCGCGGAACGAGTACTTGTTGAAACTGTCGTCGATGAGATCTGAAGGCTTGGTGCGGCGCGTGGCGAGAGATTGGGCCAGGGTCATGGCTTCGGCGGTGATGATGTCGACGTCGAGTTGGCCGTTTGGCAGGAGAGGGTCTTCAGGGCGTTCAGGTCGGGAGGATGTTTTTGACTTTTGTACAGGGAGTGAGTCAGATCCGGAATCGGAGTCGTCGGCGTCGTCTCGCCGTGGCGTGGCCTTCGGGGATCTTTTCAGTGCTGGCTTCAGAGGTACGGATACTTGGTCGGCCGTCGACTGCTTCTGTTTCTTCTCGGGCTGAATACGCTTCGCCTGATCGGACAACTCGTCCTCGAGTTCTATGGCGCTGTCGTTGTCTTCCGCATCCTCTTCGTCGATGCCAAGATCCTGGAAAATGTCCTGGTCAAAGAACATGGCTGCCTTTGTCGAGAGACCTTCTGATTTGGGAATTGGTCGCATCGAAGCTTCTTCGGCTTCGGACTCGCCATCTGTCGCTGCGTCCCCGGCGCCCTCGTCATCAGATAACCCGGTCCACTCGTCGGTGTCTTTTTCTTTCCTGGCCCTTTTCGCTCGTGCTTTGGCATCACTCTGTTCACGCCTTTCTCGATATGAGTTGTAGAGGGTGTCCAATTCTTCCTCCAACCTGTCTCCATCATCGTCTGAGTCGTCGTTCTCAGATTCATCTTCTGATGTCTCGGATTCGAGGGCTTCTGCATCCTCCATTTCTCTGGTAGCGACACCTGAAGCCTCTTGAGCCCTGTCGGAGGATTTGAGGTTGAACATTGCCCCTTCTCCCATTGGACCATTTTGCTCAAGTCCAATATCATGCGGCGTAGTCATGTGCATTTGCATTCGCACAATTTCCTTCTGTCTCCGTTCGTTCTCTTTCCGTCGGGCTTTTCGTTTCTCTTTGGAGTCTTGGTCTTTAAGCCGCTGTAATTCCTCTTGGATCTTGAGTTCCTCATCCATGGACTCTACTTCGGCAACTTCTTCGCCCTCTTCCTGTTCAGTCTGTTGTTGTTTCTTGGCTTTAGCAGACATCCCAAATATGTCCCGTACTTTCAAACGCCATCTTAAAAGCGTCCTGAACTCTTTCTTGCCTAGAACCTTGAGATCTTCGCAACATCTCCTGACCTCAGGCGTAGTTTCTGGGAGTCTGTCCAGAGTCACCATTGCAAGATCGCCGTTCGGACTCTGGTCGAAACTCAGCTTGTTGACAGAACCGAGTATTGCTATAGGATCCGTGGTGTGAATAAAATCTGTAACCGGCACCTCTTTGTGTTGGGTCCAGTCGCCCTCCTCATAACCTTCTCTCTTCCTCTTTTTCTTTTCGGGGTTGAACACCTTCGCTTCGTTATTTGGCGTTGCCTCCTGGACTTCTGCAAAGACGTGCTTAGGGTCCAAAAACTTCGGGTCCATCCTCTTAGGAGCCTTGAAGCCTCTGCAAACAACGAAAATCTCGGCTGAAACATTTCGTGATGACGGAGGCTTGGTGGCTTCGACAGAGGTGAACAGTTGTTTAAACACCCACAACAGTGCATTGTAATCTTTGGATCGGAAAACCTTGGTGACGAATGTTCCACCCTCTTTCAAAAACTCGGTTGCCAACTTCATTGATTGTAATGTGAGTTCTGCCTGCGAGAAGGCATCTTGTACCCAAGCAACACCCACGTTCGGGGCTCCGTCGTGCAGAACCGTGTCTGCCTTCAAGTGCTTGAAATGCCCTCGAATGGTTGCTCGGCATTTGTCCGTAGTAATATCGCTCTGAAAGGTGATGACTCGAGGAATGGGCTTGATAGGTGCTAAATCAACACCAACGATCAAACTCTGTGCGGGCATTGTCTCTGCTGCGACCTGGCACCATGAACCTGGGGCGGCGCAAAGATCCAACAATACTCTGCTCTTCTCAAGAAATCCATATTTTTTGTTCAACTGGATCAGTTTGAAGGCGGCACGGGCTCGGTAGCCCTTCTCTTTGGCAAGTTTATACCACTTGTCTGTTGAGAGTTAGTTGGCGGGCAAGAAGTTATGTCTGCCACAAGACTTACCGAGACGGCCCTTGCCGTGCTTCTTTTGAATTGCCATGGCGACTGGATGTATCGAAATACAGAACAATGTATTCGATGATATCCTGTGCCAGGACTATTGTCAACGGCTTGCTCAAAGAACGCCCTCGTCAAGACGCAGTCAGAAAATTGTGCCGCTGGGGAAAATTGTTGGCGATTGCCGAAGTTGTCCCATTGCAGTTCAGTTCGGAGACCGGCACGTGACTGTACTTAGTCATCAGTCTTTTGACCACTCTCACTGCCAGCCTGATCGCGACGTGAATTTAGTGAATTCTCGTCTCGTCTTCTCATGTCCATGTAAGCAGTCCAATATCTTTTCCGTTTGTCTAATTGTTCATGGCTGTATTGGGACCGCGCTCATCAACCCTTCGTCTCGCTGTCGGCGATTGCGGCAAGCGTGCTCGTCAGTCTCCCCTATCTCGCGTGACTGCTCACAGACTTCAGTCTGGACAAGACGATCCAGACATGTGAAAGCCAACATCTGATTCTTGAGCTACAATACACCTTGGCCCAAGGGCTCAAAGACTGCTCGTCCATCATGGATATCTTCATCTCGAACCTTGATGCGAAGCTCACCAAAGAAAAGTTGAAAGAAAAACTGGTTCCTATCCTAAGCCAGCTTGAGATACACGTGTTCGAAGCTCGAAAAACCGTCAGCAAGACCTTTGCTACACTGACAATACTAGATACCTCCAAAGCTCACAACTTGCTTGTTCATGCTCGCACGACCCAAAATCTTCTACAGTCAGCTTCCGGTCGTTCAGCGCTGTTTTCGATCAGCAATAAGCCAGTCGATCAACACTGGTTGCGAGTCCTTCGCAAGGAAGAAAAGGATCGAGTGAGTTCCCAAGAATGGCGGAAATTTGCGAAGATCAATGGGAAAGGTCAAGAAATCGAGCCGAAATCAGGACTGGAAATTACGACTCTACAGTGTGGACGATTCGAAACAAGAACGGGGAGGACATTATTCGTGCCCTATTTCAGTTGCGACACACAAGGAAAATTGACAAGAACTGGACGAGCACTGGTAGTATCCATCAGCACATCCTGTTCCAAATCTTATGATCTTGTCATAGATTTGTCCGCCATACTGGCGTTAACTGGATCAGGCTCCAGGAGTTCGAGTACCTTGATGATTACTCTTGTTCTCTCGCCAAAATTGTACGAGGATACGACACCTACTGGCAATGATCTGAATTTGGCGGCTTTCAGTGCGATGACTCTCGGTCGCCCTGTGATCAGAAGATTTCGTGACAGCACATTACCAGGTTTAAGTGCTACCGTCATCGGTCGTTGTTTGACGTACAGCATCACCGTTTCGACAAGTTTAAGCGATCTGGAGCATCAAATTAATTCGATGGTGTATCAGAGGATCCCCATGACGATAACATCAACGAAGTATGCTGCACTTCCAGACGCTCAATACTCAGAGCAGCTATCCAACCTAAATGCCAGACTCTTAAGGATGCGAATTTCCTTTGCTTGTAAATTCCAGATACATGCACTATGGGCTAACGGTTTGTTATCGCCGGGTGAAGTCAACTATCTGATTCCAAGTATGAATGTGCTTCGAGATCGATCAGGTGAGGCAGCACTGGCAGCAACTCTACGAAAATACCACGTGCAACTTCCTCACCCTGATGCGACCACCGATGGTAGCACTGCTGGGGTCAGACGTATATTGACCGACTTGAGGTCTAAAGCCCTCGATCTGTTTGAGGAGGACAGCCTGTACACCTCTACCCGCGACGAGGTCTCGGTGCATCGAGCCACAGTCACTCCCACAGGCGTTTATTTCTACGGACCAGAAATGGTTGCAGCCAACCGAGTATTACGGCAATATCGTGCGCATGCAGACTGTTTCCTGAGGGTTCTTTTCTCTGATGAGAGCGGAGACCGACTTGACTACGAACGGAACGCTTCTAATGAGCGCATTCTACAAGGCCGGTTCCTGTCGGTCTTGCGGAATGGACTGGAAATTGCTGGATTCCACTTTAGTTTCCTCGGATTTTCACATTCTTCGCTGAGATCTCAGAGCTGCTGGTTCATGCGACCATTCGAACAAGACGGTTCGTTATTGTTTGCCAACAATCTTATTAGCAAGCTTGGTGATTTCAGTGAGATCAGATGTCCAGCCAAGTGTGCAGCGCGTATTGGACAGGCTTTCTCGGAAACCACATCCACAGTACGAGTTGACCCACAGATTGTCAAGGTCGATCGTGATGTCGAACGTGGCGGCTACATGTTTACAGATGGCTGCGGCACAATCTCGAGGTCGACATGGAAGCTGTTGAGGGGCATTAGTCGGGCAAAAGACCAGCCTACTTCTTATCAAATTCGATACAAAGGTAAGTAAGATATCGCTGGGCGATTCCTACTAACAAATGACAGGAGCCAAGGGAATGCTTACGCTCGACAGCCGTCTTGATGGTGAACAGATCCGACTCCGAGAATCCATGGTAAAGTTTCAAGGAAGTCCCTCTGATGAGCTTGAGATCTGTGGCACAAATGCAAGAGCGTTGCCTTTCAAGTTGAATCGTCAGATCATTAAGATCCTAGAGGATCTTGGGGTAGGTGGTGAGGTCTTTGAAAAGCTACAGGGGCAAGCTATCCAGCGGCTACGGGTGAGTGCGTCTTCCAGAACCGTCGCGTTGGATTTCGTGGTTCAACAACTCTCGGACAGTGCAAGTGGTTTGCCAACACTTCTTCGACACCTTGCCCGTATAGGGCTTGATGCGACAGAGGATGATTTCCTACGAGAGATACTGGGAGCATTATTGCAGATTCAACTTCGAGAGATCAAGTACCGCACCCGAATCCTTGTGCCCATGGCGTACACACTCTACGGTATTAGTGACGAGACTGGCTGGCTCAGTGAAGGCGAGGTCTTTGTCACATACATTGACGAAAAGAACAAGACGCATTGTTGTCTGAATGGCAATGTAGTCGTCACGCGTTCGCCTGCTCTTCATCCCGGTGATGTGCAAGTCGTCCAGGCAGTAGCACCTCCACAGAGCTCAGCACTGTGGAATCTACGGAACTGCATTGTCTTTAGCCAGCATGGTGATCGTGATTTGCCTAGCATGCTGAGCGGAGGCGATCTCGATGGTGACTTGTACAACATCATTTACGACGAAGAGCTGATCCCGTTACTCCGTGCCGATCCCGCAGCGTATCTTCCTGTGAAGCCCGTTGATATTGGTCGAACTGTCACGGCAGGAGATATGCAAGACTTCTTTGTGGACTTCATGCAGAATGGCCAACTTGGCAGAATTGCAAATCTCCACCAAGTCTTTGCCGATACCGATCCGAGGGGCACTTTCTCGCCCGAGTGCATTCGACTCGCACAGTTACATTCGGACGCGGTTGATTTCTCAAAAAGTGGTGTCCCTGTTGACATTAAACAGATACCGAGAGCCCCAGGTTACCGCCCGGATTTCATGGCTCCGAGTGCCAGCACGAAAGTCGAAAAGGGCATCAAAAGACCTGAAGAACTTGCTTTACCCAACAACAGTCAATCATATCGCTACTACGAGTCCGAAAAGATTCTTGGACGACTGTACAGAGCTGTCGACGAGGATGCGTTCTTTGATGACCTTGAAGATGATACCGCATCCCTCTTTAGTAAGACAGCGTCCAACGATGTCCTTGCCGAAATCCTTGACTGGGTTTTGTCACATATCAGCCCATCGCGAATCCCAGGTTATCGTGCCATGGCCTCGAATATCAAAAGCCAGTATGTTTTTTTCTTCTCCACACCATGTAACGTTACGACGAATGCCAACTGACACGCATAGCTATGAGTCCACCGTCCTTGAGATCATGTCGGTCTACGCGGTGGGTCGCACGGAACAGCTCACTGAAAAGGAGGTCCTCATCGGCTCCATCCTGGGTCGTTCCGGGACACTGAGCAAACACCAACGAGAGCAATCCGATTACATGAAACGACATTTCAACAGCGAGCTTCGCAATTTGCGGGGTTACATGGAACGACAAGTTGACGACGATCTCTACGAATTCGTAAGTCTCGCTGCTGCGTGTCTTGACGTTGCCGTCAACGGTGGATCAAAGACTTCCAATGTCAACCTACGCAGCTTTGGATGGTTTGTTGCAGGACTATGTGTCCCTGAAATTGTCAAAGAACAAGATGGAAGCGTCTATGATCTTGATACTCGTTATTGAGAGAAGACGTAAACACATGAATACGAGAACACGTGATGACGAATGATGACTTGTCCAAGGTGAAAAAAGCTGGGACTCAGGAGATGAAATGTGGATTTTGTGCCCAAAGGCATTTTGGAGAATGCAGGATTTTTCACATGTTGAGGATGGTTTCGGGATCATCTGAAATTGAAGAGATCAATCACATACCCCCTTGGAACAATACGTGTTTATATGACTACGAATACCAGAGGATTTTCTTGGTTCCAACTTTGCTTTGTCTATGATGGCGACGGTTGTGTTGGAGATACGCGACATCTTTTGCTTTTGTAGAACCAACTTGCTTAGTACTTGTATTCAGGGGTCTCTCAAGGAACGCATCTCCGGGAGTAGCTCTCTGTCCACCACGTGGCCTGGCCACAATCGATGAGACTATACGATGGAGTTGCTCAGGGACACCAGGAGAAGTTTTCTCTGAAAAGGTTTCATTCTAGAATTGAACTCAGACGTTTCAATCAAGATGGAGATGATGATAAAAAAGCAGAAAATGAAAAGTATGAAAAAGTCATCCCATTCAAGCGAAGAAGTTGTAGAAGGTGCGTAAAGTATAGAGATTAAAAAAAAGCCCCTCCTATGGAAAAGTAAGGCATGGATAAGAAATAGAGTAAAGAAGGACATCCTTCCGAGATATAGAAACATCCTCCCCCCTTCAAAGAATAAGAAAAATCTCCATCCACCCTTGTAAAATTGTAAAGTGAAAACGTCCTCTCTTCCCCCAAAAGATATGGCCACCAAGAACAACGCCCAGGTAAGCCTCCGAGAATGGTAAATAAATAAGTAATGTCCGTAGTGCACAACCCAACTCTGTGAGTGGATAAATCCGTCCAACAAAAGTCGAGTGCGGCGCGGATGAAAGAAAGGAGAAAAAGGAAAGACGACAGGATGCCTCTCAACCAAGGAAGGAGTTTTCAATGTGTTGAAGAAAAGAAGAGAAAAAAAAATTGGTACACCCAACCATCAACACCATCCCCACGAAGAAGAAGAAAAATCCAACCCATACCCCCTTAAATTTTTGGTGTTGATGTCATTCAGATCATGTCTTGTTGGAAAAAGAAACTCAAGAACACGAAGCGTCACTCAGAGTGATGGTGGTGCCTCCGACGACGCAGGCGTTGTTCAAGGCCCAGTTGGCGACGTACTCTTGGACCTCGGCCACGGTCTTGGACGAGGTGATGGGAGTGAGACCGTTGTTGCCGTACGCGAGACAGGTGTCCGCGTCCGTGCAGCTGTCCCTGGCGGTTTGCGTGGCCTGGCTAGGGGTGCAAGGGAGCAGAGGCCCGTTGCTGCACGACCCCGAGGTGATGCCCGCGTCGGACACGGACTGCAGGATGCAAAAGGTCACGTCCGAGTTGCACTGTTGTGCGGGCAGCTCGGTGACGGGGCAGGTGGCGTCGGAGATGCTCAGGGTGAAGATCGTCAACGCCGTGCAGATGTCGTTGATGGGGCCCAACAGACCGAGCTGTCGTCGCAGTTCGGAGGTCGTGACGCTGAAACCGTAGGCGATGTTGTTGGCGTAGGCCGTCGACTTGATTCCCGGCAGGCCGACGAACGAGTTGGCAAAGGCCTGCATCTGTGCGTCCGTGCAACCGAGAAGGTCGGGGCATGCCTGGCTCTTGACCGTCCACGCGACCACGATGGGAGCGCAGAAGTCTACCGAGGCGTTACATTCGACGGCCGGCGTCGTGGTCGACGATGTCGCCGAGGAACTCGTGCTGGAACCGCCCAGGCTGGACGTGAAGGACGTGGTCGACGTCACCATGGTCGTGGGAGTCGACGAGCTGGCAGAGGTCGATGACGCCCCGGAGCCTGATGTCGATGAACCGTTTGATCCCGAGGTCGATGACGCTTGACCACTGGTGGATGATCCATTTGAGCCAGAAGTCGACGTGGCTTGTCCGCTGGTTGACGAGCCTCCAGAGGAGCCGGACGTGCTTGAACCGTTCGAGCCAGATGTTGATGACGCTTGACCACTGGTCGAAGATGCCCCAGAGCCTGATGTCGATGAAGCGTTTGAGCCGGAAGTCGACGTGGCTTGGCCGCTAGTTGAAGAGCCTCCAGAGCCGCCGGACGTGCTTGAACCGTTTGAACCAGATGTCGATGACGCTTGACCGCTTGTCGAAGATGCTCCGGAGCCAGATGTGGTCGAGCCACCTGCGCCCGACGTTGTCGAGCCCGCCGATCCGGATGTGGTGGACGTTTGAAGAGCGCTAGTCGTCGTGGAAGAAGTAGTCGGGTTATTAGGGCAAGTCGGGTCCCGAATCACAACGCTGACTGGACCTCCAAGAGCGTCACACACACCTGTCAGTTCACCGGCATCGAAAGCCGCCGAGACTTGTTCGGGGGTGAGGGTCAGGCCGATGAGCTTGTTGTCGGCGACAACGACCGAAAGAATGTTGGGATCCATGCCCAAAAGGTCAGGGATGTAAGACAAAAGGTCATTGACGGTGCAGAGTATACCACCCAGAAGTGGACAGTCGTACGTGGCGACGGAGTTGACAGAAAGGAGCTGAGAGTTCAAGCAGATGTTCAGATTCAAGTTGCAATCTGGGCCGGAGGACGTGGTCGTCGCTGGTGCGCTGGATGTCGTGCTTGAAGATCGGCTCGACATGGACGTTATGCTGGTGGCTGACACCGTTGAGCTTGCGCCGGACGAGCTTGCGGTAGATGAGCCTGAAGTTGATGGACCTCCTATTCCTGTGCCGCCCGATGTCGAGCTTTCAGAGCCTGAAGTCGATGAACCTGTGGTGGATATGTCAGCAGTGGTCGAGCTTGAGGCGGCGGATGAGCTTTGAGAGCCTGATGCAGTCGAGCCTGTTGAACCAGAAGTGCTTGAGCCCGAAGAACCAGAAGTGCTGGAGCTTCCCGAGCCTGAGGTCGTTGAGCTGCCCGAGCCTGAGGTCGTTGAGCTTCCTGAGCCTGAGGTCGATGAGCCTGACGAACCAGAAGTGCTGGAGCTTCCCGAG